TTTTTCACTATACAGCATGGTCAACCCCCCTCTTTATTATTAAATTCCCTTATTTACAGCATTGAAAATTCCACGTAAGTGCCAACTGCTCTCATATTCTTCTAAACCATCTACTACCCCTCTTTACTTTCTATATGTCTCAACTCCAATACTCTGATGCTGATGGCTTCTCATCATCTATCTACGATGGTGATTTAGATAATCTTCCTTATTTTCCACCAGAGGACTCACATCTTTTATATACACCCGAACTCTCAGTCAGCCAGCAGACAACCAATTCCTTTGATCAAGAGTTTATTCGACCATCCGCCCCTCTCACGATTCCTTCCTCTCTAAAACGCGTTGGCCCAGATCGTCGAAAGGGCTACATTCTCTATGGAAGCATGACACATAGTGATTGGGTAGAATGGTGGCTTCAGACCGACTTTGGGAAACAAAGTAGGGTACGATGGGACTCAAACCACTTTTCTGAAGTTTGGACCCAGTTCGATCAGGTAGCAAATGCCGCTGATGGTGCACCAAAGGTAATGTGCAGACGTTGCGGGCAAATCCTTGAGCACCCTCAATCTCCATGCGCTGGAACGAGTATGCGCCATGGAACTTCGACAATGAACAAGCATTTAAAGGGTATTAATTGTCGCAATTATACTAAGAATAAGACGCAAGCATCTGGTATTACCCAGTTTATACAAACAGCTGTAAGTATAAATATTCATCTATTCTTCTATTTTTCCAACTTTCTCTTCGATCATTAAGAGACGTGTTTTTGTGCACAAAAACATATCTTTAATTAATATTCACGCTCAACGCTTAACTTTCAACGCTATAGAGCAGAAACCCTTTAACCAATCACAAATTTACACAAGATGCATGGGAACAGAAGCTTCTTACTTTCCTTACGGTCGCACGGCTTCCATTCCGACTAGTCGAGCACCCTGAATTTCATAGCCTTATCAGAATGGCCCAAACTGCCCCAACATGCCCTGAGATCCCGTCACAAAAACGTATTAGAAACCGGCTACACACTACAGTGAAAGAGAGACAAGAAGATTTACTCCGAAGGCTACCTGCTGGGTCTAAGATATCAATTGCGCTTGATTGCTGGACATCTCCATTCTCACAGGCGTTCATGGCTATCAGTGGCTATTTTATTGATGAGGACTGGCAGTATCGTGAGATCCTTCTTGGATTCGAACCACTTTATGGAACACACTCTGGTGCAAATCTGAGTGTAGTACTCCTGGAGATCCTTCAGCGACACAAAATTGAAGATCGAGTTCTTGCAGTTGTCACTGATAATGCATCAAACAATAAGACCTTAGTCGACACCCTTCAGCAATCTATGTCAGATGATATTACCCTGATTCGGGTCCCCTGTATCGCGCATGTTATTCAACTCAGTCTAAATGAGCTTCTTGGTTCTATGAAGGCGGACCCTATAAATGAGACAACCGAAGCACGGTGGACTGAGCAGCGGTCCCAGTCAGCTCGCATGAATGCAAAGCACCATAGACGAGAAATTGTGAGAACGTTAAATAAGGTAAGTGATATCAAATCTATGAAATATTACTATTACTTATAAAATTCTCCAGATTCGCAGTCTTGCTATCTATATTAACGCTAGTCCTCAACGCCGGGAAGCATTCTATAAACTTCAACCTGAATCTGTCAAACTTACGCCTATTCAAGATGTCAAAACACGTTGGAACTCTACATTCCTCATGCTTCGCCGTGCAAAGCGCCTCCAATCTATCTTCAACCCTTTTTGTGAGGAATACGATCGGACAGACTTGATGTTGGATGATGAGGAGTGGCGGCAGATTGAATATCTCCTTTGGATCACACAGCCATTCTTTGAGTTCACTAATGAACTTTCGAAGACAAAAGACGTTACAGCCCATCATATCTTCAAGATTTATAACAAACTGTTTGAACATCTCGAGCTATCGATTTCCCAACTCCAAAGAAAGAAGGCTACTTGGAAAAAGAAGATGCTTGAAGCGCTTCAGGCTGGCCTACAGAAGCTTCGAGTCTATTATTTTGAAACAGATAATATCCGAGGTGACCTTTATGCAATTGGCACTATCTTAGCGCCAGAGAATAAGCTCCAGTTTTTCATGACTGACGACTGGTCTGATGAATGGCGCCAAAGATATCGACAAAGCTTTAAGGATTACTTTATCCCCTACCAAAGCCGTCTTACTAGTCAACATGATTCTATTCCCTCCCAGTCATCTACTAGGGTAGGATCACGTCTAGATATGATGCTTAAAGGGAAAAGGCAACAGGCAATACCACGTGATGAAGTTACGCAATATCTTGATAGTGGTAAGTTTTATCTGTCTTATACTTAAATATTATTAATCTCTTTAGATATTATTGAAGTTACCCCTCTTACGTTTTGGAGAGAGAATCAGTACCGATTTCCAGCACTTGCAAATCTCGCTCGGGATGTCCTTTCAGTTCCAGCATCTGGTGCTGGTGTTGAACGACTGTTCAATACTGCTCGTGATATTTGCCACTACCGCAGAGGGAGACTAAATGCCACAACTATCCAAGAATTAATGATGTTCCTCTGCACTTCAAGGTTTGATATGCAAGAAGAGCAGTTCAAGTTCTTAAAGGAGTTCTTCTCTCATGATGAGATTGAAGCAGTAAATGAAGAAAGAGATGATTCAACTGATCAATTTGATATTGATCCAATCAGTGATGATGAGGAAGAGGATACACAAGGGCAAGAGGAGACTCAAAGGTCTAAGTCACCTGAAGACCACAGTGAGCATGATTCGCCTGATTTACCTATGATAGAAGGGGTAGATACTCAAAAACGCACATCAGGGAGAGTGCGTAAGCGTGTTAGACGTGAAGATAGTGATTTCCTATATGATTAGCTGTTTATTTAATATATTCACTTTATATTCTATCTACTTGAGTGATTCATAAATCAAGATTTCATGAATTAAGATTATATTGCGAAAACTACAAAGCTGTACTAGGCTGTACTAGGAATACTCAAAAATACTCAAAAATACTACATAATTTATGCAGAGAGAGCTATTTCTATGTTTGTCCTGTTTGACGACCCATTGGGTAACCCATAAACCCGCGCGGGTTTCCCAACGGAACCCGCAACCCGCATGCGGGTTAGACAGACCGACCCAAAACCCGACCCATAGGGAGGATGGGGCGGGTTCGGGTGCGGGTTTCTGCGGGTTACGGCACAGCCTAATAGGCTGTTTGTCCATCTAGAAGCTTCGATTCAGAAGCTGCAGCGGAAAAAGGTAAGTTTCATCCGATCTTTTTTAGTCAAAAAGCTAATATCCACCCTTTAGATTCCATGGAAGCAGCATATGCTTCAAGCCCTAGAAGCAGCTAAGGCTAAGCTCTCTGACTATTATAGTCAGACCGATAGCCCTGAGCTTGGTAACCTATATGCACATGGGACAATCCTTGCTCCTCAGCATAAGCTCTACTTCTTTCAAACAGCTGATTGGTCAGATCAAGATTATGCTGGTCAATATAAGATAAGCTTAAAAGATCGGATTGAAAGCTATCAAAGCAAATCTACTAGTTCTACTAGTATACCCTCTATCATACTTCAACAGAGTGAGCTTGAAAGCTTACTAACCCCAGAAGTGCAGAGCCCTTTCGTCCAAGATGAGTTATCTCACTATCTTGAATCAGGTAATTTATACTTTTCTATACTTTTTGGCACTTTTTGGCACTTTTTGATACTTTTTGGCCAAAAAAGCTTATTATTTATATCTATAGGCATGACCCTTCTGAATCCTCGACAATTTTGGAAAGAAAATGAGACCAGATACCCAATTCTTGCGCAAATTGCACGTGATATCTTTTCTATCCCTGCTACAGGTGCTGGGGTAGAAAGGCTTTTTAACTCAGCACGTGATATCTGCCACTACCGGCGTGGTCGTCTGAAGGCTAGCACGATTAAAGACCTTATGCTCTATAGTCGTGCTACTAAATTTGAGATAGAAGAGACAGAGCTTATCTTTATCCGATCTTTAGAAGAGAGTGGAGAGGGTGAAGAGGGTGATATTCAGGTACAAAAGAGTGATATTTATCAAATTAGTGATAATGAAGAGAGTGAAAGTGAGGGTATAAGAGAGAGTATGAGAGAGAGTGTGAGAGAGAGTGTGAGAGAGAGTGTGAGAGAGGTGTGAGATCGAAGAGAAAAAGAGGGGTTTCATCCGAAGAAAGTTCGGATGAAAGTGCGGATGATGGGGATTTGCCAGCATATCGCACTTCTGGTCGTGTACGGAAGCGTCCTGACCAGCCAATTGGCTTTCATATAGTTAATTAGTTATTATTTATTAATTGAATTTTATCAGATCAATAAGGGTTACCGATTTCTGTAGAACTGATTAACTCCTGAAATTTCAGGCAGTAGGGTTTTTGTGCACAAAACCCCATCTAAGTAGTGTATATTATTTTATGGTATTTAACAGCTAGGATACCAAAGATACAGCACATTTTTCATAAATTATGTAAAAAAGGTGTCTCCACTCTAATGGGCCGCCATGGGCTTTTTATGGGCCCATGGGCTGTCCAATGGGCCGGCCCATGGGCTTTGCTAAAGTCTAGTCCTGCAGGGATATTGATTATTTTTTGATATATCTAACTACCCTACTATAGATCCTAGACCATCTATATCTTCTACACTTAGGTTTTCCTTATAGCTTTTTAGTTGTAAGTCTCAGTTATTCATATTCACTTCTCCTTCTTGGCTCGTAGGCTATTATCACTATGTCTCAATTTGACCAGTTCTCTGATGCTGGCCCCTCCTCACAGGCACTTAGCGATATCCCTGATCAGGCTGATTATATTCTGACGACCAATCCCTTACATACGAACATTTGGATAGCCAGCAGACAGCTACCTCCGCACCTGGGTCTGAATTCATTACCCCTATTTCAGCTCCTCTTACCCTTGAACGTGGTGGACCTCTGAATAAGAAGTTTTGGGTAATCAGAACCGACATGAATAAAGACGAATTCATCAATTGGTGGGTACAGACACAAGCAGATGAGACACAGAAAAGAATTCGTTGGGATGCAAAGCGTACCTCAACAGCCTGGGATAACTTTGAGCAAGTTGCTCACTTTATTACTGGCGAGCCAAAGGTTCTTTGTCGGAAGTGTGGGATAACACTTCCACACCCCCAATCAACTGCGAATGGAACCAATTCGATGAAGCGTCATGCTACCGCAGGTAAATGTCAGCGTGTCGCAAAGGATAGATCATCATAAAGAAATATTCATGAATCTATGGAATTAGCGGTATAAAACTATTTATCTTCTATTATCCTTAAACTATTACTAATATTCTCTTTATCCATAGGCTCAAAATACCCCTACCGCAAAACGAACATTTAATATAGCTCGTTGGGAACGCAAACAAGTTACATTAATTGCAAGGTCCTCCCTTCCATTCCAATTCCTTGCGCACCAGGACTTCGAGGATTTGATTCCAGAAGCCCAGCTATCTCCATCAAAGCCGACCTTACTTTCGCCCAAAACTGCACGGCGTCGGCTTCAGACAATAGTGAAGGAGGAGCAGCAGAAGGTTCTATTAGCACTTCCCGATGGTACAAAGCTATCAATTGCGATTGACTGCTGGACCTCACCATTCCAGCAGGCCTTTATGGCTATCACTGGATATTTCGTTGATATCGACTGGAAATTCCGTGAAATCCTTCTAGGATTTGAGCCTTTACACGGGACACACTCTGGTGCTAATCTTGGTGCCACAGTCTTTGCGCTACTCGAAAAACATGGTATCGTTAATCGAGTATTAGCAGTCATAATTGATAATGCGTCGAATAATACTACTATGGTAGAGAGTATTCAACAGTCTATCGACTCTCTTGAACTACCCGATCAAACACCAATTGTCCGTATTCCTTGCCTTGCCCATGTCATTCAACTTAGCCTACGCGATCTTCTTGGTTCCATGAAGGTAGAGCCAAAGAATGATACCACCGACCGCCAGTGGTCAGAAGATCAAGAGAAATCACTCCGGATTATCCAAAATCAGCAAGGCATTATATACACACTTTCGAAGGTAAGTTTCAATCATATTCCTTCTCATTAAATTATGTAATAATATCTTAGATAGTTAGTTAGCGACACAACCTAACACGCAGAACACCTACTTAATAATTCTCTCTTTAAGCTTTTTGTACACAGTTCGTGGCCTAGCTCAATTAAACATAAATTCTGCTTTAGCCCTTCACAGCATGTTTATAATGTTTTGACCTTTTTAGGGCCCTATTGGGGCCCCATATATTGGGTTGGGTCCGAGGGCTAGACCCAAAACCCAACCTAAAGTGCGGTTGGGTGGGGTTGGGTTTGGGGTCTATTGGGTTTTGTAGAAGCCTATAGCTATATCTATTTCGGTCCGAGTCCGAGTCAGTTCCTTCTCGGGGGCGTTTCGAAGTATATTTTTGGACTTGTTTCTCTAGCTCTTCAATTCGCTTAAGGAGACGGGCGGTTATAAGTATGTTCTTCTCTTTCTCCCTAAGCTCTCTAATTGTGGGGTCGCTTAGGGATTCGCCTATAGAAGCGAGCGGTTCGAGGTCCGAATCGTCATCGTCTCGAGGTGGTTCTATGGTGGAGTCGATCGGGGTTGGATCCACGGTCGGTGCTAGCTCCACCGGGTCCATCGAAGGTTATGGGTTACTGCGAGTAGTACGCACCATCTTTTCTTCTCTATCATATCAAAGAAGAATCAGAATTGTTAGGGTTTATAGATAAGATAAAGGGAGAATAGATGGGTTGTAAAATAGCAGTAATCAGATTTATATCAAAGCTGATTCTTGAAGGAATCGTAGGTACTAAGAGAACGATGGGCTTTATACCCCGTACTCTCTTGGTAAGGTCAGCTGAGGTCACATAAGAGAACTTCCAGATACTCTTTATCAGTTTGTGACAGACCCCCTGCAATAACCATTTCTGCTGATTGGAATGATCTGAATTTCGGTTTGACCATAAAGTAGAGGGTAACGAAAAACATATCAAAATCTAAGCTTCGTACGACCGAGGATTATAACTGTAATCTACTCGTGAACTTTAACTATAATCTACCCTGACCCACTTTTTTTCCCCCATACTAAAAAAGCTCACCCTAACTGTAATGATATAGATTACAGTTACCCCTATGGGTTAGGGTGCTTGAAATATAAATTAAAAACATATCAAATTTTCAGCTTCGTACGGGCCTAGAAGATAATTGTAATGCACTCGAATACTTTAAATGTAATGCACACTGACCCACTTTTTTTTGCCCATACTATAGAATCTCACCCTAATTGTAATGCACTGCATTACAATTACCCCCATAGGTTAGAGTAGCGATAGTAATTCAGGGTAGGATGGAGTATGGTTGTATCGTCCAAGAACAGAAAGGACCGTTTTTCACTCTATTGATCTAATTGAATCTCCGAATCCCGTCTTCTAATACGTAATTTAGCCTCCGAATCGGAGTAAAGCCCCACACCCAGTCTGTGAAATTCCGGTTGATCACCTTCGACCAAGTCAATCTCATATTTTAGCAGGACGTGGCAAAGGGCCACTTTGAGTAGGATGGCAGCAAGAAAGCGGCCTGGGCATGCATCTTTACCATGCCCGAAGCCTAGATGATGAACACTCGTAGAGGCAAACAGGCCAATAGTATCTTGGCCGGGAAGTTGGCGCAATTTGAGAAACCGATAGCCATCGAATTCGTAAGGTCTTGGATAAATATCCGCATTCCACATTCCATGACTTGATACCATGAGAGTGGTGTCTTTTGGGATATAGATCCCATTGGATAGAACGACAGGTGCTTCCGCCTTCCGAAGCATTGAAGCTGAGATTTTTGGAGTGTTAGATCGAATTTGATTTGAAAAATGAATGGGAGGCAGTGCGGTAGACGAACTAATCGTAATCGGTTTCAAGCGATGAGTCTCCTTAAGCACACTATCCATGAGTGGCAATTTATGCAAAGTCATTTTAGACCATCCATTGGTCTTAATGGTGAAAATAATTTCATTTCGAAGTGCGTCAATGAGATCTGGGCGTTGACTTAAGTTGAAAAGCGTCTGCGTTAATAGGTCAGCTGAGGTATGAATTGCTACTAAGCCGAAGGATAATTGGGCGGCAACCGCGTCAAATTGGCGTCCTGCTGCTGATTTCTCCATCCAATGGATCGCATCCCACGCTTTTCCATCTCTCTGGACTCCCTTGCGTTTCTTCAGGATGGGGTCGATAATGGTCCGGGCTTTGCAAACTTCAACGCGGACCATTCGACAAGATGGAAGAAACCAGTGAACTACTGGACGGAGGAACTTAGGCCAAAGACGAAGTGCTTGTGCAGCAGGGAAGGCATGCTCTGCATAGCCAACAATGACGTTTATCCATGCAGGGTCTCGGCAAAGCTCTTCTCCCACAAAGGTTCGTGACGATACCTGGGCAACAATATTACAAACACTCTTTTTTAGTGAAACATTGTGCCATTCTATTTATGGCAGTTTTTTTTAGCGTTGATATGTTCTGAAAATGTAACATTAAACTGCATGGTAGTCAAATTACCTGCGTCGTCTGTCCAGTGGGTTTGGAGAGCAATATTTGTTTCATTAGAGAGCGGCTCCATTACTCGACCTGGTGAAGAAACTTCTATCAATTTCTATCATGTACTCCGAGGGAATGGCTTACCTAGAGTGTTGGTCATCATGCGAATCGCATCTCGAAAGATATCACCGGTGGCGGGTATTTGCAGTGGCTCAAATCCGGCAATATTGTCAGGGAATTCCTATTTTCGTTCTCAGGGGGAGATTTCTGGTGGGATTAGATCTAACATAATCTCACATCCTCGGTCGCTTTTCTCAGGCTTAGCACGTTGACATCCCGGATTTCATGGGCGTACTTTGTGGATAGCACCATACGTAATCCACAATCAGTCAACAAATAGAAAACGTCACTAGACTAGCACGCAAGTTTGGTCAGAAATATTTATTGATGAATTTGGGTCCGAACGAGGGACAGGCCACCTTTCTGAAACCTTCCTGAATCAGGTTTTTAGCATCGGACAGAAAGCGCTTGTTCGCCTTTTCCTGTGTCAATTCCAGGGGTCGCTTTGCATTGATCACTGGGTATGCGTGATTGCCCTGTCTTGTAGGTAAAACCAGCAAATTTATCATTGCAAAAAAACCTGAAAAAATGAGAATTGCAAGCATGAGCACTTCACTTGAGGATAGGTTCAGAGAGGATGCGAGGTTCCAGATCGCGCTTCCAATCATTGTCGGTATGGTTTAAATGCCCGTAATAAGTAAATGTTCTATCAATCTGCTCTTCCTACACAGGAAGAGGGCCAATTTATCTGTCAATGTGGCAATAGTAATTTTCTCTCAAATTTTCTCCCAGTAAGGTGCTGCAGCACGCTCGGGGGTAATCGTACTGGTCATGCACATTATCCCTTGCCTGAAAAGAAGGAAACCGAAATCAGCGCCCATAGTTTTAATTGGACTCCGTCTTTGAGTAAGGGGCACATCATAATGTTTGTATCTCCAAACCTGTTGCGCACTTAGACCGCAATTTCAACCATCAATGATGACCAAAAGGCAATGCCTCTTACAAGAATAGTATCTGTTGATAGCTGGTATATTATTTACACGCCTGGATATCATGATCAGATCTCCGTATTTGCCAAGAGCAGCATCATGTGTCAGCGTCTTAGCTATGGCTAGAACCTATGATGCAAACTACTTGCAGGCAAAGGGCAGATCGGGTTGATTTAGATCATCAGGGATTTGCCTCTCTTTAAGACGCTTGTATTGAAATGCTTAAGCAATAGGGCTACACCATAAGTTCATGGAGGTTATGTATTTCTTTATCGACTCAAGGTTGTTGTGGTAGAAAAAAATCGTTGGTGATACCCGGGCTAGAGCATGAGGTCTTGAGAACTGTGAGATGAGACTTGAATGGAGTATACAATACATATGCACTGTGTACTTGGCCCATTACCGAGCGGGATCGCTAAGTTGTTGAAGGGAAAACAATGTAGTAAATGCATGTACGATGTGCAGTATTTATACGTCTATTTATATCATATGTGTTACGGACCCACTTTGAACACTCCTCACAAAAGAAGATGAGGACCAACCAAGCTCCCAGGAACAAGTGACTAGACCTCGCCAAATGGGCGGGTTGGGTTTCGACCCTTGACCCAAAACCCGCCAAGAGATTAAAATACACGTAACATATACCTGATTACATCACTCTATATCTGGTATTGGTTGTATTTCAACAGTAATACTGTAATATACAGGTAAATGGGTTCTTGGCGGGTTCGCGGGTATTCCTTCGGGTACCCAAAAAAGCAATATGGCGAGGTCTACAAGTGACACAGCAGGATCACGTGAGCAGCCACGATATTCACTGAGCAAGCACTAAGCGAGAGACCGGCAGAACGGGTCTAGACAAGGAATCCACTACCTAGGTCACTCTAGGTAGCGGACGACAAACTCACCGCCCGCGCCATTTACGGCCTCCAACTTGCCGTCACAAAATATACTCGTTATCAGAATATAACAGTGCACAACAGGCCGGGAATGGCCACCGAACCACATACTCTGAATCTACGCCAAGAGAACGCGGTATACTCGACACCACCACGTGACACATCTAGTATACAGGAAGGTATACAGGGGGGAACCCCAGGGGTAAACATTTGGTATACCCAACGGGATACCCGGAATACGAAGGATTAGATATATAAGGACAGTCATTACCACACATGTATTTAGTCTTCACGTTCAATCTCATATTGCTACTTGGAACCCAACAGTTCATTCACCTATCAGTTTCGTACAAAACAAACCCCAATCAGAAGAGGTACCCTTAGTCTCTGGAACACCTGTTACAGATCCTAAGTATAGCTTGACTAAGCGAACCTACCTAGCGCATCCTATTGAGTCTATCCTATGGACCCGAGTCCGTGTAAGGCCTAACAACGACTGGCAACGGTACGGTTGCAGATTGAGACTCCAGAATCGAGCATCACCTTGGTAAGCGGACCCATAACGACGATACTCACTGTGACCAGTTAGCGTTGCGTAACAATATGTCGAAGTCAGTGTACCTTACTCTTTGTTGGATATCACCAAGAAGCCAACCAACAAAAACAACAACAACAACAAAAAAGCAAATTTATTATATATAGCTAAATTTAGATGGGTTTACGATGTATTTGATCATCCGCCCTTCTTATGTATTCTCTGTGTGGGGGTCATTAGCCCAGTCAGTACCTTCAAAGGGAACTTCAGGACAAACATGATGAGTTCAAGCATTAGGAGGCACCCAGTCCTAGAGATTTGTCCGCTATAAAGGTCCCCCAAGGTCTTGAATTGATTACGATTTTGCCATATCATACTAGTATGAGCTTCCTTAATCCAATTATTGACCCTTGTAGTCCATCCTACCTATATTGCTGAGTCGGTTCTGCATTGCGCTTTAGGTTGTCTGTAGTTATTGGAGATGGTCAGGTGTCCATTTTGTGAACACTCTATTTGTTTATAGCGCTCAGTAGGATGTAGAAGAATCTTGCCTATCGAGAATTTTCTTTGCGGTGGGGCAATCCCCACTACGTCTCTCACTCCAGAGGCTTTCCCTCACACACATCCATCCATCCATACACTCGTTTCTCCACGTCCATATCATTTCACGTACAAACTTATGCTCTTAATTCCCCTTCTGAATTTCGCACAATTGGACGCTTTAAAGGTCTTCAGCCCTCTTCAACCCTTTCTCCCTCTTCCCAGTAGATGCTGGACTAAGCCGTCGGGGATTGAAGAGTACTCTAATTGAACTTTCCTTCGAGATGCTCCTTTGTGCTTGAATTGTTCATTTTGGGCGAAATTATTGAAATTATTAATGCTTCATGAATCACTCACTACAAGAGCGGTTATGTGGAATACCTATTTAGTAAATCCTGTTCAGGTAAGCGATTCGCGAAGTATTTATACATATTGAAGAGGGGAACGCTCGTTGGCTGTACGCTCTGACGACGCACGAATCGGATATACTCAGCAAAACCCACCACGCCCGAAGGTCGCCCTCGGAGAGTAATGGATCCCTCGACAAAAGTCAAAGTGAAAGATTTGTAAGTGTTTGTATTCTGTAACTAGTGCTAAACTCGTATTAATATGACCTTGTCCTTATGGGACGGAATGTGACCGGTAAGGGTATGGTAATCCGTAGTAGGGACCAGGTCTCCCACTACAATATGTATATATCAAATGAACATTTTGAAATAAGATTGAATTCCGGATTTAAATAAATTAAAATTATCTTCCAGATTGATTGTCAAGTTGTGGCTAGTGTGCGATGAGTTTTCTGTTAAAAAAGCCAGCTGTTCACGTACGAATACCCACTTGATACAATCATTGGGGTACATTTCATCATTCATATCTTCAGTCATGTAGGGCCAATCTGACTCCTTCATTAGGCAGTGTAATGGGAATATCCTCTTCCTTTCTCACTCAGGTAGCCTTCACTTTCCGTATACCACTTCTTTCTAGCCACTTAGCCTTCTACCACGTAGGCCATGTCATGAGCAAGCACGGCATAGATTTATGGATCTATACTTTTATCCAAGTTCTCCAACCAATGTGGAATCCCCGACTAATGATGAAAATAGCTGCGCCCATAAGTGACATGGAAGCGGAGAATATCCAAACCGGATTATATCCGTAACGATCGAGAATAGCGCCCGCGATTGGGGCCCCCACAAGGCTCCCTATAGTTGAGGCCATGTAGCCGCATCCCATACGCGAGCCCATTTGTTGGATATCAGGGCAGAGTTTGACGTAACATGCTGGCTGTAGGGATGAGGGAGCTGCAGAGAGAAAGCCAAGAAACACAACCACAACAACCAGACCCCCTTTGTCATTCAAGTCAACGAGAGCCCAGGTCAGCGCGCCACTGAGGCCGACAGAGACTGAAATCACGTTAAATGGGCCAATCCAGTTTGCTAATGCATTCAGACCAAAACATCCACACGTGTAGGCAGCCAGATAGATTGGCAATATGTAGGAAATTAGGACTTCGTCTTTGATGTTAATGGCCGAAGCATACTCCTGCACGTAGTAGGCAGGTATGTTAACCGACATGATTGCTACTATGACTCCTAGAAGGAAGACGACAGTTGATGGCTCTTTAAACATGTCCCAGCTCATGAACTGTCTGGAGGGGCGAGGACGCTCTGACTTTTTCAGGGGACGAAAGACGGAAGCGGCAATGAGCAGAGGGACAAAAAGGACTAACCCAACTACCCGAGTAGCCCAGGCAAACCCTACTTTGTAGATAATTTGACTGAAGATGATTGGGAGGATAATCCCACCTGGAGAGTGTCAGCAGAGGACTGGTTAGCTTGATCGAGTTATGCTCACCCACGCCGCCCCCCATGTAAGCAATCCCGGTCGCTACCTCTAAGTGCCGATCAAAATATGTAACAACAATGCAGAAAGAAGGTAACAAAGCCAGTCCCGCTCCAAGGCCCATGCAGACCCCCTGAGAGAGAAAAGCCTGGTAGTAAGAACTGGATAAGCTGAGCATCATCTGGCCAAGCACAACGAGGAATGACCCAGTGTATACGAGATGGTAGAAGTAACCACGATCATACAGCGGGCCTGTAATAATCCCTAGAGCAAGGCAAAGGGCTGCTTGCAGAGACCCAATCCATGAGATTGCCGATACCGAGGCGTCAAATTTCTTTTCGTCCAAATAAAAAGTCATATACACTCCGAACATATTGGCCATACCCCTAGTCCGAGTTAGCCATTGCCATACAAGGAGACTTCGACTCACGCTGTGCTGAAGAATACCATAAAAGATCCCAAAACCTGAAGCCAGGCACGGTAGCCTTGATCACGAGCCAGCTGGTTGTGACCTGGGGGCGATTCTAGAGACATAGTCGGTACCAATGGTACAACGTCATTCTGTTGTTTGGAGTTCATCATGATCGAACGACCAGCCAGTGATGAATTTGGATGTCCTGTTTATTCCAATCTGTTGATTAAGACCCTATAGAAGGTAAATATAGTTGAAGTACCCTAAGCTATTGACATCGATATTCTGCGTTGTGTGGCAACGGCCTTGGAATGCTCGAGGGAGAAAGTACATGAATCATAATCTCCCTTACGTTTGGGGGAAAATATTGGTGTGGGTATATAGTAAAAACAACTCTTACTTGAATGGCAGTCACCGCCTGCACGACAATTGACTGATGCCAGCATGGAAATTTCCTTGCGTTTCGGGGAATCGGAGGAGCGAGGATAGCTGGCAAGCTGCAAATACATACAACACAACATCAGAGTGATCATTGGTTGCTATACTTTATGTATGATTCATGTTTCCCGTGTCATCGTGTAACAATGCTCACAATATACGTGGGGGTTTTTCAATTTGTCATGTCCCTTGCATTTCCAATTAAGGACTGAACTGCAGTCTTTATCGAATAGAGAAATGTCCCTCACATGTAAGCCCTGAAGAGGGTGGCTGTGTTACAAATGAGGACCGAAGGAAAGCTCGAATTTCATTGTAATGATCCCGTTGATTTTTTAAGATATTGAGGTGGTAAATAATGCTAGGGAACTTTTCATGTGAATCTTAAGGGCTGAATAGTAAGGGATATCTAGCCTAAATTTGGTAGATCTCGCAGTTTCTTATGCAAGTTCCATCAATTGATGAAAACTTGCATTTTCATCGTTTTAATTGCCAGCCTTCAATGCATCTCGTACCCAGGCCACCGCCTCCTCTAGTTGCTCAGTATTGACCCCCGTGGCAATCCCGGCCTTTTCAAAGGAAGCAACCAGTATTTCTGTTGCAAGATTGCCTCGAGCCCCCGGAACAAAAGGACAGCCGCCCAGCCCCCCCAGACTGCTGTCCAAGGTCCGTACCCCACACTCGTAGGCGGCCCACGCGTTTGCCAGTGCCTGATTATACGTGTCATGGAAGTGGCCCGCGATGCTGCTCATGGGTATTCCATGGTGCTGGAGGTACTTCAGGAGTACAGTTACAGCGTCTGGGTCTCCAGTGCCAAGGGTATCCCCTAGACTGACCTCGTAGCAGCCCATGTCAAGAAGTTCCTTTACCGGAACGAGAACAGAAGAGGGCTCTGTTGGTCCATCATAAGGGTCTGCAAATATGCACGACACATAGCTCGGATAAAGTTAGCTCATAAATTTTTGGGAAAATTTGAGAGACTTACCCCCTCACGGCAATACCCAATCGCCTGGCCTCAGCTACCACCTTCCCTATCCTCCTAATTGCCTCATTGCAAGTGCAATTTATATTTGCCCTGCTGAATCCCTCTGTGGCACTGATAAAGACTGCTATTTCCTTTACCCCGTAGGAATGGGCAATTTCAAGTCCGCGAAGATTCGGCACTAAAACAGGAAGCCTAACATTGGCTTTGGCGAGCATGTTCTGCACATTGGCATCCTGAAGCAACTCGGTGGCATCAGCCATCTGAGGAACCGCGCGGTGGGACACAATGGAAGTCAGTTCTATTGTGCTCAGTCCGCAGCGCACGAGTCGATTTATAAGATCAAGTTTGGTGGTAGTTGAAATCCATTGAGAGATGTTCTGAAGGCCATCTCGGGGTCCAACTTCAACAATTCGCACGAACGGCGATGATGTGACCGTCATTGTACCGTAATAGAAGCCTATTCTACGTGCATGTAGGAGGACAAGTTATATTACACATGAACGACTACGCGTATTAAAGAAATTATTCGCCCACTTTCAATCGTATAGGCGGTAGACGGTCTCGGCTCTTAGAGATCGAGAATTTGTCATGCTGTCTCATGTAAAGGTGCAGGGTGAAAAATTTTTAAATCCAGCCACTTGACCCACATGAAGTCTACCGCTTTTGAAGCTAGGTAACATGCTGTATAACTATGGTCACATGTGTTGAAAGATTATGATATATCTATGTAATAGCTGTATTGGTGGTAACTCATCTCAAATCGAAGTATGCGTAAAAGCATAAAATTACCCTTTTTAGGAAGGCAGGTGATAAACTAAGTGAGTGGAGTAGATAGGTTTCAAATCTTTACTTGAATACATAACGCCCCCCCTTGCATGGAAGGTAAGGTACTCCAGTATAGTCTGGACGACTGTTGCCTAATAAGGAATCTCCATTACTTGGGACGAGTATCCAGATTGCATAAAAGGAAAAAAATCAGCTATTTCTACCTTGATCAAGGGATAGATTGTGAGCTGAAATAGTGAGCGCATCCCGTGAATTTATGCTATGAATCTATATAAATAATCTGTAATGACTCATGCGGCCTAGTGAGATATAACTGTTATAAGAACACTGCTCACTTCTATGAAATATCAATTAGTCTAGCCTTCGATGGTTTGAACTTCCAATCATTAAATATGATAGTAATAATTCTTAAACAGCATGGTGGCAAAAAGTCTAATGCAAGGATAAAAAAATCACCGGTGATTATGCTGGCACTAAGCGCTTGCTTATCGATGCAAAATCACGAAGCAAGATCATTGGGGGGTAGTATCCTTGAGAATCTATATTTTATCTTTACCCATTCCAGTATACTTCACAGTGGTTGAAACCGAACTTTCATCAAAAATATTTATTTTTGAATGGTTCGAAAGGATCAGGCAAAAGTGCACAAAGTACAGTACGATGAGTCTGGGTGAATGCTTGCCACCATCAGATGAGGAATTTTTATTCTCTGCAGAAGGAATCAGAGGTAGTGAATAAAGTATGTCTTTCTCTTCAATCCTTTGTTCTTCTATTGCTCATTGAAAGAAGATATCAGAATACCATTTTTGTTAGTGTGGGTGCCAAAGGCACACGCTCCAAGGGACGCCTATCCATCCCTACTTTCCTCACTCTAGTTAGTCTTTTCTTACTGCTTCCCACTAATTTTGTGTACACTCGGTCGTTCTGCTGTATATGCTTTCCTTCGTACAGTTTTTGCCTTTCTCTTCTACATATTACTACTGACTCCTTGATTTTGAAGACGTTCAAGCTTGGCTGGCCCGTTTTAGGCCACAAAGGTTTAATGATAAGCAGACCCAGGCCATCGTCATCTTCAACGCCCTTGGGTCTCAGGGGCATGTGGAAGTATCAACCTGAATCTTATGGTCACTGACTAAGTGCTTTAGCACTGTCTACCACGGCCCATGTATCAATACTTTGGAAGACGTTTATGTACTCATCATATCTCATTCAAGACTAAAGAGTTACGCGATAAGTCTGAACAAAAGCTGACGGACCATCTGGCGAGGAATTCAAAAACAAAATAATGAGAGAAAAGGGAAAAAATGGGTCGCTCCTCACTCCTGAACAACCCCGAGCACAACTTCCACGAGTGGCACTCTCAACGTGCCAAATCGCTCCTCTCGATTTCAATCTGCGAGTCTTTGCCTTCTGAATCACCCGGAGATAAATTTCAATGCTTACCCAATGACCGGGTACTTAATGACCGGTCTCGCACTGTGTCGTTCTGCACAAAGTCACCGGTCCTGCCTGTGCTAAAGCCTCAGCCACGCGAGCTCGAAGCCAAGCCTCCGGCTCTAGCCCTACGCTGAGTCGCACAATATGCTTAGGTACACCGTACTCGGCTGCCCAATCCTGCTCTTCCCAGTGTGCAAGTACGGAGTATGGAAGCGCAATTGATGAATTGGTCCCAATACTTGGGCCTTTCCAAACATTCAGCGCGTCAAAGAACTTGACTGCAAAGTCTGGTTCACGGAATACAACGCTGAGTAGATATCCGTAGCCCTCCCCGTCGCGGCGATAGCGCTCGTACTCGGCTCGCGATGAGACAAGAGTCGGATAGTTGACGTAGTCAACGGAGGGGTGCGCTGCCAGAAAATGGGCAATCTCGCGGGCAGTCGCACTGCATTTTCGGACGCGGTCAGGGTAGTCAATGCAATTTTCGCTGAGCACGACTGCATCAGCTGGGAAGAGAAGATCCTCAAAGTGATCTTGTAGGTAGCCGTGGATTTCTTTGTAGTGATAAGAGTTGGGATTGACGATCAGACTGAGACTGCTTAGCCAGAATATCAACGGAAATGAATGAGGGAAAAGTGTTACCTTCCACCCATCGCATTGCAAGCGCCGTTGAAGATCTTTGTCAGGCTAGTCGTAATAACATCCGCGTAGGGAAATATATCAAGGTTGGCTGACGTGCCTATGGTATCATCAACTACCACCGTGAATCCATATTTATCTGCCAATTGTCGAATGCGAACCAAATTCGGGCTGTGCAACTGAGGATTCGAGGTAATTTCACTGAACAACACATTACATTTTGCGCCTGCTGCAAGTGAAGCCTCAAGTTGATCCAGCTCCTCCTCTGTCCCACGTCCATATAGCAGGCACTTCCCATACCCGCTGTCTTTGATCAAAGGTAAAGTTCCTGAATACAGCCAGCTGCCACAGATCAGCTAAGAATTTACGTCTCCTAGAGTCCAGAGCCTACCCGAATATAACCGCCGCATCATCTCCCGACACATCGCTCATAGCGCGCGCAATCTTGCCAATGGCCATCATACCAGTGGAATATAAAAACACGTCCTCGGGTTGCGCAGGAAGAACACCTGCAATCTGTGATCTGACAGCCTCAGCAAGAACGGACTTGATTACTGTCTTCTCCTCCAGCCCAGAGTTTGTCCAGGCGGGGAGATCTGCCGGCATATCTTCCGACCTTGGCCCAGAGGTTTGAAAATCACGTTCAGCATCATCACAGCGTGAATCCATGAAGTCAAATAGGTTCAAACAGAATTCAGCGTGTCTATTTGAGATTCCGTCGCCGTGGTTCAGCCAGAATGTGAAAGCTTCCCCTTCCACACTCTCTGGGAAAAGCACCATCACGAATTTCGCCCAATTTGATATATCCTGGCTGTCTGTTTGGCGCACCTTGAATTCAATTATAGATGCACTGACAGTTGGATCTTTCTCCTTGACTGTACGCTCAAGTCGAGAAGCAGCCTCTTTGGAGATGAAGATCCGCGCGTTGACCCCCGCGGAACGTTTGACACGTCCCAGGGCGGCTTCAGTCAACCTTCTGACTATTGGGCAAAATCCCATTCTATTGAATACCACCTCAGAATCGTTTTCATAGTGAGTTCAATCGTAGAATTTGACAAACCTAGGATACGTGGTCTGTTTTTTCTTCCTCACCCAACCTTCCCCGGCCATGTTGCCGGCCACAGATGCCCATGTCGGCAGGGAAAAGCTCACAGCCTGTGTAAGTCTAGTCAGTTATCTAGGTCTCGGAGGAGTAATTTCGGGGAAGCGCAGTACATGGGGATCACCAGGAGGATGCGAGGTTCCCAAAGGCTGCGTCCCAAGCGACGCAGCTTTCTCAAGACATTGCGAACTGTTGTTCCTCATAGTGCGAAGTTGATGTTCAATTAGTATTGTTTATCAACCGGCAATGGCTTTCTGGTTCAATTTATTAGCATTTGGTGCAGACATCAAAGACTACCCTGCCGGACATCAACTAGTGCAGCTAGTTACGGAGCTCCCCTACACTTATCATGCGTGCAGACAAAACTAAAGCTAAAGATCATCGCACAAGTTCTCGATCAACTCAGAAGTCTGCATGGCCAGATTCACTACATGGTTCAGGCAGCGAAGTGGAGCGCTAGCACGCAAGGCATATCTGGAGCTAGCTCTTTTCTGCTTATGCATTGCATTGGAGTAATCACCATTTGTCTCCACTTACGGACATGGTGAGGTGCACTACTCATTAGCGTTTACTGCAAGTTCCATCAAGCAATAGTCCGTTATTGAGATATAAATACACGTTGCAGATTGCTATCGTCATGGGGCAAAATATCGCCTTTAGTCCTCAATCACGAAAGCATGACGCTCAAATATCTTATCACGGGCGCGACGGGTGGGTTTGGCAGCCAAGTTCTAGACTTTTTCATTGCCAATGTCCCCTTGGGTGAGTTTGCCGTCTCGTCTTCCCAGATCAGCAACCGGTCCATGTTTGAGAGTCGTGGAATTCAATTCCGTCATTTGGACTACGAGGATCCAGCCACTCTGGAGGTGGGTCTCCACGAAGTGCAGAATCTGCTCTTCGTCAGCACGAATACGAATGTGATACATATCGATCGAATTCTCAGACATCACCAAAATGTCGTGGCGGCGGCTGCCAAGGCTCTTGTTGGACATGTATGTGGTCTTTCATCGCATGTGTTTAGCTTTCGCAATATGTGACTAACTGCGCTGATCACAGGTATGGTACACATCCTTGCCCTTTGGCGGCTTTGAGGATGACTCAGTTGTTGCGGTCCAACAGCATCATATAGCTACAGAAAAGATGCTCAGGACGTGAGAAGCCCTGCCATTCAATCAAATTCAGGGATTGAGACTAATATTATCAGATCCGGTCTGACTTACACCTTCATTCGTGAGGGTATTTACACCGAGGCATTCCCACTATTTCTCAACTGGTATGCCGATACAGCCCACATCATCCTTCCGTACGATGGCGAGATAGCCTTTACTAGTCGAGATGACCTTGCCGAGGGTACTGCACGCCTGATGCTGGGCGGTGGGTACGAGCATAAAACCGTACTTTTCACTGCGGGCGAGACAATTACTGCAAGGGAGATAGTGGATACAATTAATCAAACCACCGGTCGTCAGCTGAACGTCCAATATGTATCTAAGGAGGAGTTTCTCGCACATCATACCCAGCATGACAAAGGAAGGAAGTCAGTGGTGCTTTTCGAGATACTTGCCTCGTGGTGGATGGCGGCTGCAAGGGGGGAACTGAAGACCGTGGACCCGTTGTTGGGCGAAATACTGGGAAGGGAGCCCTTGACGCCGCATCATGCCGTGCAAAAGCTTTTGCAGAATGGTGGAGATCATACCTGGCACCAAAATTATGCATGAATCATATGCATGAGACCTGTCTATCAGCCATGATCTTATCTGCACGGATAGCCCGAAACTCGGCCCACATGTGAGCAGTACCTTGCAGAAAGTAAATGATTAAAACCAAAAGAAAAGGAATTTTACATTACTTTTACTAAACCTGATCTTGCTACTTGCACCATGTATCTGCATAACTCACCGCTGATCAGCCACCAGTTGAGGCATAAGCGAGAAAGGCGGACTTCACACATACTCAAAAGTCACCGCTGAACGCAGTTGTAGAAACAAAAATTCAGTTCACCTATATACTCCGACTTGCAAATTTGTGGCTCAAGATCTTCCTTGTTGATGCCCTTCAGTGCCCATCGATTATACTCGACATGACGCAGGGCATCAAGAAATATACTAGTCTCTTGTATGGCAAGGTGGTACTCATAATTGGTGGTACTTCAGGCATCGGATATGCTATCGCAGAGGGTGCTCTTGAGCATGGAGCTTTTGTAACCGTGGTGGGCTCTAATAAGACAAAATTGGAGAACGCTCTGTCCAAACTCCGCGAATCATACCCCTCGGAAACAAGCAATGGTCATTTGAAAGGCATGCAGGCGGATCTTTCCTGTCCAGAGACTCTGGAGATGACGGTCCCTTCCATTTTCGAGTATGCAGCTGATGGCGCGCAAATCAATCACCTCGTTGTGACGGCGGCAGACATGACCGTTCCACCTCCTGTGCACAACATAACGGTCAAAAAAATAGAGTCAACCCACACTTTGAGGCTCCTTGCGCCTCTTATTCTGACCAAACACCTACCGCGGTTTATGAAGAGGAACGCTGAGAACTCTGTCACTTTCACAAGCGGAGCACATGGCCAAAAGGTTGACCCGGGCTGGAGCATTGTAGCTGGCTACTGTGGCGCTATTGAGGGACTTATGAGAGGACTTGCTGTGGAAATGAAGCCGTTACGATTCAATGTGGTGTCTCCAGGGCCTATCGTGACCCAAGCCGTGAAAGACATATTGGGGGAGCATTACGATGCAGCGATCAAAGTGGCTGAGCAGAAAGCTTTGGTTGGTAGAGTTGGCCGCCCGGAGAATGTGGCACAGGCCTATTTGTATCTCATGAAAGATGAGTTCGCCACTGGAACTGTGTTAGAATCGAATGGAGGGTTTCTTTTGACATAGAAATACACGTTCTTATCATATTGAGAAAGTGATTATTGTGCACGTAAAGAGGCTGTTTCCGCCGGAGCAAAATGTATTCAGAGGTCAAAATCGCATTTTTGTAATCAGCAGCCATCTTATCATATACATTCAATTACTTATGCATGGCGCTTTCTTTCTTTGTGCATGCGGCTAAACCATTCTTCAAAATCAATGGTCGTAGACTTCATGCACCCGCGAGCATTCGCGGCAGCAGCCTTACAATCCCTGGCAGCGGTGTCGTCGCTAGGGTACTCAGCAAACCAACGACCACCACAAAACTCCATATAAAAAAACATCAGAGAACACTCGCGACGAAGATCACCACCATCCTGTGGCACTTCCGCCCACGAAGAGAGGGGCTGAAGCTTCACAGGAGTTCCAGTAGCTATAGGCAAAATAAGCAAGTGTTCAATTGCATGAAGGGGATGACATACCACGAGTGTACGCTAGCGCCAAGTCCTCAAATCGAACAAGGCTGCTGATCGCCTGGACTCGTTGTTTGTCATAATGAATCGGATCAAGAAAAATACCGTGAACGATATCCCCAAAGTCGTCTTGGACACTGACCCACGGCATTCGACCATCACCACCATAGGGCGGCACAGATAGGACAAGCTCGCCATTTTCCTTGAGGACTAGTGGAAACCCGCCCCAGGTCTCACAGAATGGTTCAGCTGTCCAGCACTCCATGAATGAAGCGGGTAGAAGTGGTGTAAATGTCGTGAACATTTTGTGGGACTGAGCGTATTCCTCGGCAAAGCTCTTGCCTGTGAACTTTCGTCAGCAGGGATAATTTTGGGATTCAAAGATGCCAATACAGTCAAAACCGGGCAGCGAAACCCGACCATTCGTCGCTCGATAAACATTAGCACCAGAGCTATAGACGACGTGACGCACAGCCGCTGCCTGTGCAGCCTTGAGAACAGCGGTATCAAAATCGAAAACGTTGGGGAGATGCAACTCATTATCCGCACCCTTTATTGTTGGCAGTGGTTTTCAGCGTCCAAATCTCAAACTCAGGGAGGGTGCCTTACATGGTGATCGGAGTTGGAGTTGATAAACGCGCCCCACGCCCCACGAAACGCAGCAACTAGCTGGTCATGGTCGCGGGCATCAGCGCAAACAGTCTTCGCACCAAGGCTGAGCAGTTCTTTGGCAGCAGGGGAGTTGACATCGCGTGTGATTACGCGCACCTCAAAGTCACCTTTTTGGTTCAATAGCAGCGATCGAACAACAGCACTTCCCTGGTTACCTGGAATTGGTCGTCGTTAGCGCAGCTCTGTGCTTACAGTACTTTCGATGCTTTTAGACCATACCAGTGCCGCCGAATACAGCGACTATTTTTTGCTGAATTGTCATTTCGTTGGAAATTTCGTTCCGACCGATCACTAACAACAAGAGTCTAATGCGAGCATAGAAAAAGTGCAAAGTACAAGCCGAAGAAAGCGGTATTCAGCCGAAAGCAAATAGCGAGGATGTTCACCGAAGCGTAATAGGTACGTACATGTGATGTGAGGGGCATATTGTGCAAGTGTTAGACTCGGGATTTCTGTGATCTGTCGGATCCAAGTAGCGGTGGGATTCTTCATGAAAATAGATCTGTACGTCGTGCGTCGTGCGTCTTGCAGCATATTGATTGTGCACGCAAACTCTCAATATTGAAATAATCATAATCAAAAATTATCCGGAAACCGGATGATATGCGACCCACGATGAATGATGCAAGGTCCACGCTGACCGATATTTCTGGGATTCTTGGCGATCATGAAGGCAAGGTGCCAGGTTACAAATCACATTCATCATGTTCCAAGCTGGATAGAAAATCGGGTCATAAGGCAATTAGTAAAGTGATCTTGATCATCCAAGAATTGTCACAAAGCTGGAAGAAAATGGAAAGAAAACGTAAAATCATCTCCGTGATAGGAGCAACAGGTAAAAAGGAGTTTGGACAGGAAACATGAGTTAGATGCTTACATCATCACAGGTCAACAAGGTGGTTCTGTCACCCGATCTTTACTACAGAATCCCGACTTTTGTGTCCGGTGCATTACACGAGATGCTTCATCTGTTAAAGCAAAAGAGCTGAAACGTTTGGGCGCGGAAATTGTGCAAGCCGATGGCAATGATCCCAGTCTTATGACCACTGCTCTTCATGAAAGCTGGGGTATTTTCATCAATAATGGGTACGCACTACCACCGACTGTCCGGGAGGGCAAATATGAGGAAGATTTCGGAAACATCATTCTCAAGAGTGCCGCCGATGCTAAGGTCCCTCATGTCGTGTTCAGTTCACAACCATCGGCGTATGAGCTGTCTGGTGGCAAGATCCGCACTCCAGTTCTCGATGGTAAACAGCTTGTCTGATTGACATTGTCACTGAGCGCCAGCTAATCTTTTCTACTACCGCTAGCTAAAGCCTGGGGGGAGTCTTGGGGACGCGCTTGTCCTGCATTTCAAACCTTCACCCCGATCATGGCATCTTGGTATTTCCAGAACTTCTTCATACCGTCTTTCGTGGCTGACTTTGGAGGATTCCCATGGGCGGAGGATGCAGAAGGGTACTTGACTCTGCGGATACCACCACTTGGAGGGAATGAAGAGGTTCCTTGGATCTGTGTTGATGAGGACTTCGGCGACCTTGTCCACGGAATCTTCCTGAACCCTACACGATGGAACAAGCGAACAGTCCAGGCAGTTGGGGATATATTGTCGTACGGGGATCTGACGACTACTTTCGCCGATGGTAGGTTGTCACTTAAGCTATTGAGAGGGAAGGTCTAACCAAAACACAGTGACCCAGCGGAAGGCACGATACATCCCATATTATGACTTGGCAGAGATGCCTGTTGACCGGCCCTACCTCCACGAGTCACGGCAGGTTTTTGCCTTCTACCACATGCGCGACGGTGAGCTCTTTGGTGGTGGAATTACAGAGAACAGGACCGCAAGTGTGCTCAAGGGGGCGGCATTCCAGGCAAAAGGACAGAAGGGGCGGGAGACTTTGATGTCAGCGCGTGAATGGTTCGAAAAGCACTTTACTAAAAGTATTGATTTTGAGCGAGTCGAGCGGTCGGTTCCATATATTGAACGTCAGAAAGATGATTAATAATCGAGGGAAGGACGTTTTCTTTGACCCTGTTGACGATATTTGAATGGGCTGTTTTTGTACCAGCCCTGCCTACCGATGGTTTGGAACGTGAAGTGGAAGCTGTCAGTGGAAATGCGAAGATAAAACATTAATGGATGAGGGTTATTTCCAGTAGGCTTAATTTCAGAATAATCTGTGCACAATAAGAAGAAAGGGTGAAGCGGCCATTTTTGACTGAATAGGCTTGAAAGTTCAAACCCTTCTTTCCTCTTAACATTCATTATCATAAGCAAGCAATTTAGCATTCGCGTCTTATTTCGTTAATATATCACACATCGTTCGGGCCGACATGCACGTGTGGAGACAAGATCGAAAGGTCCACATATTTATTGCATCAATAGATTCTAAGGTAGGATTCTGATCAAGACGGAATACGTGTAACTCTTCGAACACTAATCTAAATCCACCCCCAAGCTCCCCTCACTTCCAAGGCCCAATATTGATGCACGAAGTGGGTACATGACACACCAACGAGGGAATTCAATAAACCACTGGAATTCTTAGTGCCGAGATTTCCCTTACGCGCAGACTGCAAGGGTTGGAGGCTGGCCTCTAGTGTTTCTCACCTTGGCCCAAATAAGACAAGAAGAACACTTAATGTACTCCCCAGGCCAGCGACATGTCATGGGTCTCTCTTACATGACCACAGCCATTTATTAATGAGCCTCCATCTTTTTTCGTACTCCTGCAAAGATGCCTTTGGCGAAGGTCAACCCCAAACAGCCAGAAGCAGAACCTAGAACCTCAGTGCTGCGGACTTCGATACTTAGTCCCTTCACTACCCTTCATGATCCTCTTCAGGTTCACCGGACCGTCGCCGTCACAGAACCAATATGCATTCAGAACTCCAACCTAGACAGCAGTCTCTTGACATTGGCATGGGCTGTTCTTGTTGCCTCTTATTCTGCATCTAGCACAATAACACTTGAAACAAACTTTCAGCACCCCGATGAATCAACAGCAGCAGCAGGTCTCATCGAATTAGAGCTGAATCCCATTCTGGGAATACAGGAGACATCGGTTGCAATCGCAGAAAGATTGAAGGATACTTATAGCCGGGGAGATATCTCAGTTCTTGATGGAGACACAAACAAAAGCATACAAGGGCTTCACGTTTCCATGGTTTCAACGTGGAGTTCCTCGACGGATGACGAAAGCGCCAGTGGTGATGAAGGCCATCAATTGCACTCCCTCCATGAGCACGAGATCCTACTCTTGATCGTTGAATCTATATCACGGGAACATGTATCTTGCCGCATTCAGTATGCGGAAGCGGTGGGTTTTAAGGAGGCTGCCTCACGCTTCGCATATCAGTTCCGTCATGTCGTCCGTCAGATCACGTTGGAGACTCCCGATCTGCAATTGCAGCAGCTGGACATGGTTTCACAGGTTGACAAAACCACCCTCGACAAGTGGAATTCGCAGACCAAGACGTCGATAAAGGAATGTTGCCATCGTCTTGTCACAGCCCAAGCGGAGAAGCAGCCATCTGCCATCGCTATATCATCCTGGGATGGTGAATTAACTTATGCTGAGCTTGACTCTCTGGCAGGAAAGCTGTCCGACGTCCTTCGCGCCAATGGAGTACGTCCAGGAATGATCATCCCACTTTTGTTTGAGAAGTCAAAATGGATGGTGATCTCCATGTTAGGAGTCCTTAAGGCTGGTGGTACATGTGTCAGTCTGTGCGCTGATTATCCAGAGTCTTACGTTCAAGCAATTATCAAAAAGTCTGGTGCAACTGGAGTTTTATGCTCTCAAGCGCAAAGCCAAAGATTTGACCATGGCGAGCATTCTTGCTGGGTATTGCCTGAAATTCTGGAAGCATCGGTTTGTTTTGAACACAATCCCGTTCATACAGACCCCTCCGGCGTCGCTCACGTTATCTTTACTTCCGGAAGCACTGGGGAACCCAAGGGTGTGTTAATAACCCATGAGGCTATCGCTACGGCTACCCACTATCAAAGCCACGCCCTAAATGTGGACCCACGCTCTCGGATCCTACAGTTCTCCTCTTACGCTTTTGATATGAGTGTTTTGGAGACATGGTATGCATTGACGCGTGGCGGCTGTTTATGTATTCCGTCGGAGACTGATCGTCTCTGGGAATTGCCGTCCTTCATTCAGAAGCATCGCGCCTCATGGGCATTCTTTACCCCGACCCTTCTACGCAATTATACACCGAAGGATTTGATTAATCTGGAGACGATCGTCCTTGGAGGAGAACCTGTGACTCAGGACTTGGTGATGCAGTGGAACAACCACGCCCGTCTGTTCAACTTGTGGGGCCCCTCGGAAGGTTGTGGCGGTGCAAGCATCGAGATTCTTCCCGACACCTGGATTCCAGGAACCTTTGGGAGCAGTTCATGCTGTTATTTGTGGATTGTGCAACCGGACAATGTGGAACGCTTGGTGGCTGTCGGAGCAGTTGGGGAGATTATCATTGAAGGGACTGCTGTGGCTCAAGGCTATCTCAACGATCCGATACAGACCAGTGCGCTTTTCATACAACCTCCTGAATGGCGCAATACCTTCAGTTCGCCCATAATTGGACAGTTCTACAAAACAGGCGATCTCGCCCAATACAATGCTGATGGATCCATCCGTTATTTATCGCGCAAAGACACTATGGTCAAGATCAACGGGCAGCGAGTTGACATGGACCAAGTCGAGATTGCCCTCCGCCGCTTGGAGCCCGATTGCCAGATTGCTGTTGATGCTGTGTTACTACCTGGTCGCAGCGATAGATCTGATCCGGTACTCTTGGCATTTATTGAACACGCTGTGGGCGTTGAATTTGACCTTGACAAAGTGCAATGGCCCATTCAGATACCCCGATCTTTCCACATTGAGGCTTCCCAGCTCCTAAACCGGCTTGCAAAGTCTCTCCCCCGATTCATGGTTCCTTTGTTCCTCATTCCCGTCACTCAGATGCCAATTGGGACTACGGGGAAAGTGGATAAAAAAAAGCTGCGCAAGACCGTCGGAGGTATGTCTCACACTGAGCTGGTTACGAGATTATATCCCAAAAGCGGTCTTTTGACACCAGCTGAGCAATCTTCATGCCCGCCCCAGACTAAAGTGGAGCAGGTTCTTCAGGACAGTGTGGCGAACGTCTTGAATATACAAATATTGGCCGTTGATTTAGATCGATCCTTCCGGGAGCTGGGCGGCGATTCTGTCTCAGCCATACAGGTTACGCGGCACTTGGCGACAAATGGCCAATTTTTTCACTGGGAAGGGCTTCTTGATGCTGAGAGATCGTTGAGAAGCCTTGGCGCCTCAATTCAACCCGTTAAACGCCCCCATAAGTCTCTAGTTGAACCATTCTCGCTCATGCAACCTTCCGATGACATTACGGCTCTGCGTCAAATCGCTGCACTGCAGTGCTTGGTCCCCGAAACCGATATTGAGGATATTTATCCCTGCACGCCGATCCAGGAAAGCCTTTTCTCGATTACCTCCGGCCTGGGCACCGATGCATATATCGACAGGTTTATTTTCCATCCGCCACCGGGAACATCTCAAGATATGAACAAATTGAAGCGAGCCTTGCATCTGGCAGTGAATCAACTCCCGATTCTGCGTACAAGGATGGTTCAATCTTCGGGTGCTCATAATTATCAGGTCGTGGTCAAGCAGTCAATCAATTGGCGACAATACTCAAGCATCGCTCAATTTACGTCGACTGACTCGGCACGCGAGATGATTCTTGGGATGCCTTTGGTCAGCCTTGGGAGCATTAAAAGTGAATCGCAGTCTGAAAAATTTGCCGTGACTCTTCATCACGCGACATATGATGGCTGGACACTTTCACTACTCCTTCGACTTGTTGAACAGGCCTACCATGGGTCATCAGGAGTTGAACATATCCCATTCTCTTCATTCGTTCATCATATCCAGCAAAAATGCGACCCTTCAGCTACGGCAAAATTCTGGCGCGATGAGCTCGCCGATGTTGAACCTTCTGCCTTTCCCCATTACCCAACACCAGACTACGTTCCACGTGCAGAAACTACAATTCGTCGATCCATTCATCTACCGTCTTCAGATGGCGCTTTTAGCCCGACGGTGCGTCTACGACTCGCATGGGCAATCTTGCTCTCATTGTATAGCGGCGCAGAGGACGTTGTATTCGGCAATGTCGTTGACGGACGTCGAGGGGACTTCCCTGGAATAGAGGCTGTAGCCGGGCCTACAATATCCACCATTCCTGTCCGGTGCCACTTAAATCATAATTCCAGCGTTCGAGACACGCTGTCACAGCTTGAAGATGCACGATCTCGATCTATACCATTTGAGCAGACTGGTCTGCAGCACATTGCTCGTGCGGGAGAGGATGCTGCGGTTGCATGCCGGTTCCGGACCCTCCTCGTGGTGCAGTCCAATACCGAGGGCGTTGAGTGTCCCCCTGTTCTGGGCCGCGTAGAGACAATACTAGGTGGCATGCAAGGATTCCCAGGTTATGGGCTTATACTTGTTTGTGAGCCTAAGTCTGGAACCTGGTCTCTGGAGCTTCTTGTTGATACAAATCTCATATCCATGCGTCGGGCGGAAGGAATTCTAGGTCAACTTGCCCATTTGGTATGCCAGCTAACGCGGAGTGACTGTTTGATTGGCGATTTGGATCTACTTTGCGAAGAGGACCGGAGTCAATTAACAAAATGGCAGACAGTTGCTCCAATTCAGCCAGAGTGCTCCATTCACGCCTTATTCGCCCAAGCTGTTGCAAAATGGCCTGAATCCTTGGCAGTGACAACATGGGATGACTTAAATTTGACTTACACACAACTTGATGATCTCACCTCTTCAATGGCAAGTGACTCGAATTTTGAAAGCCCCACTGATGCACACACAACGATATGTGTACTTCTTCCGCGTTCTCATTGGGCCCTTGTTGCGATGCTAGCTGCCATAAAATCCGGAAACCCATTTGTCATGCTGGATTTGGAACAATCGTCAGCGCACCACGAGAAGATCTGTCAACGAGTCAAGGCTGGTCTTGTTATCACAATTGAAGAATTGGCAGATCGGGCCAGCGGGCTTTGTGGCTCAATGTTTTTTATCGACACTTACACCCCGCAGACCACGAGTGCCGCCTTTGGTATTAAGACGACTCCAAAGGACATCGCATACACTGTGTTCACATCAGGATCTACTGGTGAACCTAAAGGAGTTGTTATTGAGCATGGACAATTTGCTGCTGCCGCCGTTGCGCAACAGAAAAGCTTACACATCCACAATCAATCTCGTGTGCTCCATCTTTCCTCCTATGCCTTTGACTCGTTTGCTGTCGAAGTCCTCACCACACTTTGCGCGGGAGGCTGCGTGTGTATTCCGTCAGAGGAAGAGTGCCGCACCGGCATCGTGGCCGCAGTGCAGCGGTTTCAGGCAACCTGGATGGTCATCACCCCATCGATGCTCCGTCTCGTGAATCCGCGGGAGGTGATGAGCCTGAAGACTGTAGTTGCGGTTGGAGAATCCATGCTTCCTGACCAGGCCGAGGATTGGTCGTCTCGAGTGCAGCTTCTGTGTGGCTATGGTCCAACTGAGTGTTGTACAGGCGCCTCGGCTCAGCCGGTTGACTGTCAACACGTGGACGTTAGAAACATTGGAAACGGTATGGGTGCACATCTTTGGCTGGTTCATCAGAAAAACCATAACATCCTCGTTCCACTGGGTGCAGTCGGTGAGGTCGTCATTCAGGGTCCGATCGTGGGTAGGGAATACTTGGACAATCCTAGCAAAACCCAAGAAGTCTTCCTGGATACCACCAACTGGGCTTCAGAACTTGGTCTAGCGTCTCATGGTAGATTCTACAAAACCGGCGACCTTGGCAGATATAACGCAGATGGGTCGGTAAGCTTCCTCGGGCGAGATAGCCAACATATCAAGCTTCGTGGGCAGCGATTGGATTTATCTCTCGTGGAGCACCATCTGCAGTTAGCATTTGGCGGTGGTTTTACAGTAATAGCGACCTTGGTCACGCCCGAGGCCTCCAAAGGCCATCCTTTGCTGGCCGCCATGGTCTATTTGGGCAAGGACAAGGACTCCAGCACAGATGAACAATACACTACTCCTTTTTGCCAGCACTCCCCTTTTTTTGCCTCTCGACTGTTGCATGTCCGAAGAGTCTTACAGGAAACATTACCTCCCGTGATGGTACCGTCGCTCTTCCTCCAACTTTGCAAGCTTCCACTGCTTGTATCCGGCAAGGTCAATCGTCCAGCCCTCAAACGCATTGCAGAGGCAATTCCCGCACATGAATTAGCTGTCCTAGAACAATCTTGCTCCCAGCTAGTGATTGAATCACTTGCTGAGCATGAGGTTGTCGCACATACTCTTTCGCGCTGGCTGAGTGAAATTGTCCGGAAACGCTTTCAAACTCCAGAGATGCAGTCCTCGATACGCGAGATTCTAGGGCGGAATGTAAGCCCGGCTCAACTAGGATTGGATTCTATTGACATGGTTTCATTGGTTCAATCAATCCAGCGAGAGTTCCACGTCACCATCCCGACTTCTGCACTCTTCCAAACCATGCCAACAGTCCGCGATATTGCCACCATGATTGCCTCATCCTCCACACAATGCGATCCCTCACTCAAAACCGCTCCAACAAACATTGCCCCCTGGTGGAAGGACTACCAACGGTTAGAGGTCGAGGTGGATAAACTTCTTCCTGGACCAAAGTCGATGTGTAGGGACACAAAGGACCCGGGAACCGTGCCGACAAAGCAGCCCCGTCACATTTTTCTCACTGGTAGCACGGGGTTTCTGGGAACAAGGATTCTTCAGTCACTTGTGGGAAATCCTGAGGTTCACTCAATCACTCTTCTTGTGCGCGGTCCCACTGTTGAAGTGGCATTAGCCCGTATCGTCCGTGCCGCGAGCCAGGCTAATTGGTGGAGACGAGAGTATCGCCGTGTGATCCAAGTCTGGCTTGGAGATCTGTCAAAGCGTAATTTGGGCCTATCCGATGAACATTATGAGATTTTATGCGGCGAGACATTTGACGCCATTGTCCACTGCGCCGCTACCGTCCATTGGCTCTACGACTATGAAGCCTTGCAAGCCAGTAACGTGCAGTCTACTTTCACATTGCTTGCGGCAATCTCCCGCCGACAATCTCCTGCTCGATTCACCTATGTATCTGCATTGCGACCAGGAGAGACTGGTGGGCCAACGGTCTCAGATGATATGAGGAGGATGCTCTCCGCAGAGGCCGGTTATAGTCAGACAAAGGTTGTTTCCGAGATGCTGATTGACCGCTTCATTCAGTCGCATGGGAACCAGGGCCATTCCTTCACAATCGTTCGCCCGGGACTGATGATGGGCCCTGCGGTAGATGGAGTAGCTAACCTTGATGATGTCATTTGGCGCACTGTTTCTGCAGCCCTTGACGTTCAGGGCTACAATGCGCAAGAGGACGACTCTTGGATATATATTTCTCCAGTAGACTGGGTTGCTAGTGTGGTAATTCATGCCACTTTCCACCGTGATACCATGAACCCTTCCAGAACGTCTTGTAACGCTTTCATCGTCTCTGTGGACGATGGACTTCGTGTCAAAGAATTCTGGAACGCAATCATGGAAGCAACATCGCGACAACTCACGCCTATGAGTGGTTCACAGTGGTTAGATCGAGTACAGGAAAGGGTTGTAGCAATGGGTAGCCACCATCCTCTCTCCACTGTCATTGAATTCGCCATTGCCACCTCCGGCTGCATTGGCTCTTCACTGCTGTCGCAACGTTGTGACCTTCAGCAAACCTGGTACTCAGCTCAAAGTATTCTATGGATGGCAGTTTTTCGTAATGTCGAGTATCTCACTTCGCTCAACTTCTGGGAGTCTGGTCAACAGGTGGTATTCCATGCGTCTGCTCCCAATCGGACGAATTTCTTAGTTTGATGAATTTAGTGGCACTGTGCGAATTATATTTCGGTTTTTTCCTAACATTAATATATATCAATCATTCTGACTACATAAGATGCCTTAAGCCCCATCTTTCCGTCCGTATTCGTTACAGTACAACTTTTCAATAGCTGTCTAACACTTGAAGTAAAAGTCAACAGTTTAAGTATACATATCTCGCGGATCAAGGCTCAGCAACATTATAGCACCACTGTCTTCTCGGATTTTCAGTGCCGAATATCAAGTGCAACCCAGCAACTGAACTCTCAGTCACAACGTAGCTAAATCGCATCAATCCCCTATTATACGTATGAACTATCTCACAATCCTCCGGGGGTCGAATTCAGCCAGACCACAAAGCCAAGGGGGCTAATTCTAGTTATAGGAAGCATGAGAATGGCCATATTTTACAGCCCTTTTTATCTTTGATCCGTTGCTTCCCCCTTCTCTCCAGCGCATAATAGCACCATATACATCGTTATCTCTTACCTAGCTGACCTAACGTACTTTGGGCATATAGGCCCTCCCTTAATAATCACTAGGTGGAGAAATTCATTCAAATCCAATAGCCAGTAAAGGTGGTATTAATGTACGGAGTGCTTCCGTAGCCATAGTTCTAAATTAAACGCGGTCGATGCTCTAACAGTCATGCCAATCACATGTGATACATGACACTTTCCTCCTACTTTGCAGCTTGTAGGTTGCAGATTGCAGATATATTATTTCCGTTAATCAAGTGGCGGTCAGTCCCGAAAATACACTACATATGATGCATCACATTGTGGCAGTTTGCATCTATCTTCTTTTAGTGACTTCCTACCTCTCGAAATACCAAGCGCATGTGTTTTCGTATTTCATACAATTTGGTGACCTGAGCAATACTCTAAGGTGAAACCTCGGATTTTACTATCGACGCAGTAGCGAAAGGAGGAAAACAAAAGCTATGGCGAAGGAAAGCAAGATTATTAGCATTATCGGAGCCACTGGTATGCAGCTAGCTTTTCTTCTTTATTCTCCATGTTACTGACTCTCGCTCAGGGGCTCAAGGTGGCTCTGTTGCTCGGTCCCTGGGGCAAAACTCGGATTTCGAGGTTCGATGTATTACTCGGGATGCAAGTTCGGTGGGAGCCAAGGGACTCATCAGTGAGGGGTTCAATATTATTGAAGTTAGTGGTGCAAAGGATGAGGAAATGAAACAGGCATTGGCAGGAAGCTGGGGTATATTCATCAACGTGAATACTCACGTAAGTCTTGTCAACAAGGAATGTTAACAAGCATCTAATCTATCTCCCAGGGGAAAGACTTTGATATTGCCGTTGCACTACAGACAAGAATCCTTTCCAGTGCCGCAGCTGCTGGAGTGAAACATGTTGTCTTCAGCTCAGCACCTGACGCGCGAAAACTGACTGCAGGCCAAGCGCCAGTCCCTACTTTGGATGTAAAGGCTCAGGCAGCGGAATGGGGCAATGCCTGCCCCGTTTTTGAGACCTTCACGCCAGTTATGCTTTCATGGTATCTCGAAAACTTCGAAGATTCTTTCCTTGCTGAGCTTTTGGGGGGCTTCCCCATCCACCAAGACCAGGACGGTTACCTCAGCTGTCGGGTCCCGCTATGGGGAGGCAGGGAACAGGTCCCATTTATCAGCGTCAAAGATGATTTGGGAGACCTGGTCCACGGCATATTCCTAAACCCCGTACGGTGGAATCGCGCTGTGATCCAGTGTCATGGAGAGCTGATGTCGTGGGCAGATATGGTACAGGCTTATGTATCGGGTACAGACTCCCTCCACTCTTCGTAGACTGTGACTTTGATTACAATGGACTAGGAAATAAGCTGATCTGATTATAGTTACGGGTAAAAAGGCTCGATTCCTGCCCTACATTCCCGCGGAAGAGATGCCAACCTTTGAGGGTGGTGGAATTCAAGATCTATTCGTCTATTCCCAGCTACGAGGGGGGGATTACTATGGCAACGGACCAAGTGAGACTCAAACTGCTAGTCAGCTTAAGCGAGATGCATGGAAGGCGAAGGGAAGAAATGGACGAGAGACTATGATGACTGTCAAGGAGTACTTTAAGCGCCTCAATGCATCCTAAGGGTTACAACAATCCATGCTTGTCAGCAATTTGAACTGGCAAGTGGTACCTAGGTATTAGAAATTCATCAATATGCTGTGTCTCACTTGAAATACACCTTCCCGTGCTTGTCCTATACCTCCATTATCTATAATGGTGCCTGTGATTAAGGACGAACTTGTGAAATATTATAACATGGATGGAACATAGATGAGTATGGAGGAGATATATAGGGGAATGTGGAAATATACACAAGTTTGGCCCTTCTGTCAATAAAGGGATCTGGGTATATATAGTGGCCTTATAGAGCGACATATTTGAATATTCAAGTTGACCTCATCCGCCATATTCTGGGCCTAACCAATACCCCGAATAGTAAATTGATTGTATTGTAGCCATCGGATTACAAATGACTGGCTTCTAAGAAGACGTAATCATATTCATTTGTAAGATGCAGAAACTATCTAAACTCACGTCCGCACACCGCTAGTTCACGAGAACTTTGCAATGTAGTCATGTCAGTGCTGTTTGATTTGCGCTACTCTATATCTTTCAGACCCAGTAGTTACTTACCGCTATTAGTGAGCTAAAAATAGCCGGAACCTTGCGTTTTAATTTATTTTTTTCGGCTTGCACCTAACACTAATGACCTTCCAATTATGCAGTCAAAACGTCAACCTTTATAAGATAAATGTATTTAAAGCCGGACTCACTGTTTAAGGGACCAGTCTTTTTCAAACACTCCCCGTTTTGATACTAAAATATTTCATCCCCCCATCATCAAGCCCCGGAGCCATCGCAAAAATGGATACCGACTCTCTCTTGAAAGCGCTGAGCCAGGCTGCTTCTTCCCCACATGTTCAAACAGACACCACGGATATTCAACGCCGGGATATTTACTATGCATGTCAAAAGCTCTCTACAAGTTTGGAGACCCCAATTGATCGGCTGATGAGAAGTTCATTTGATGTGAGTGCCCCAATTTGGATACAGTATCTAGCACATCAGTTCTCGGTTGCTCAACTAATCGATCGATAATTTAGTTTGTATCGCCTCTTATTCTCAGGGTAGCAATAGACCTTGGGATCTTTGATCTTTTCAACCAAGAGTGTCAATCCCACCGAGAATTTGATGTCTCCGAGATTGTCATCCACACAAAGAGTGGGGAGCCACTGATATGTAAACACGGATGTCCCCTGCCCAGTATTGGATCTTACTAATGTAAGATAAATAGCCCGGATCATGAGGTTTCTCATTACGATTCATATCATTGACGTGACAGACGATGGGAAGTGCAAAGCTAATAGCTTCACCAAGACCATTCGGCCGGGAACTGAGATCCATGCTCTGATCATAATGCTCAGGTACAACTTTTCCAATTCTGCCATTTAATTCAGTCACAGTACTATACTAAAATCAGTTGATGAGGATAGTGGCTTGTTTATCCCACTCCTCGGCAGGCTCCCCGAATATCTGAAACACAATGGACACACAGTCCCAGAAAATCCCAAAAATGGAGTGTTCCAGTATGCTTATAACACTGAGTCGCATATTTATGATTGGTTCAATAAAAACAAACTGGAAGAGGACGCATTCCATCAAATGATGGCTAGCAGACCAAGCTCCCATGGGGGTATGTGGACAGACTATATCCCAGATAAATGGATCCTTGAGAAGTTCCCATCAGAAGTCCACTCTGATGAGATCACAATCGTTGATATGGGCGCCAGTTCTGGTAATGTTCTGGATGCCGTCAAGAGAAGGCTGCCCTCGGAAAGTGTGCGACTGATTCTGCAAGACCTCGAAGATGTGACCGAAGGGAAGCACCATGCTACATCTTTGTGCCAAACGAAGAAAGGTGCGCCTGAAAACATCGAAAAGATGAAGCACAACTTTTTTGATCCCCAGCCTGTCGAAGGTGCCAATATCTATATTCTGGCACGAGCGCTCCATAATTGGCCAGATAAAGAAGCCTTGATGATTTTACAGCACATTCAGGTCGCCATGAACCAACATTCAACTCTTCTTATCTATGACTGTGTGTTTCCAGACCGGCTAGAGGTTATATCCTATAACGATGTTGCCTCCGACATGGTCATGATGGCGGCACTTGCATCACTTGAACGCACCGAGGGACACATCAAAAAACTTCTCCATTCAGTTGGGCTTAAGGTGGTTAATGTCTGGCGCAGTCCACAAGATGATGATAAGCAAGCGATACTGGAGATTGTCCGAGAAGATCAGCCTTCCACATGATATTCATCACCTGCCTGGCACAGCGTATGTCTGACAGATACAATAATAATCGGTTTCGGCGAGATGTTACACAAATAGCTACTTGAATCACTTCTGTACCCCGGGGCCTTTTTAAATATTTGTGATCATAGACTTTCGTCTCTTTTGTCTTAGGACTTGCAACGCTCGATGGTCCATTTTCGGCATCAAACAGGTCTTTCAATCCCTTTACTTTCGGTGTTTCACTTGCATTAAAATCAGCCTTATCAATCAATGCAATTATGTTATTTGTTTTATCCTCTTTTTGATTCCGTTTTTCTCATTGATAGATCTCCGTGGCCATACGGGGTCACTGGTGTCATTGCCAATACGTCCTCCATCTACTGAAGGTGGAAAGCCCCTATGAGATTATATACTGCCGTTCAAGTCTATCTTCTCACGGTCAACTAAGTGTCTGTAGCGAAAGACTTGGGCAATTTTAGCAGTATTTTTGGATGATGTAGTAAAGCGCTTGCCTTAGTTTATAATGCTATAGGCATATCACCACAATTGTACCATCGATATAAATGCCTCGGTAAATATTCTTTGCTAGTTACTGACTTAGTCTTTAGAAGTCCTTCTTTTAATTTATCTTTAAGAAACAAATCTGTTCAGGGTAAGGTACATATTATATCAAACTACATAATATAGTGGGGAGACTCGGTCCCTGTACGAATTACCATACCATTACGGGTCACATTTCGTCATGTAAGGGAAACGGTCATATTAATACGAACTTAGCACTAGTTACAGAATACACACTTACACATCTCTCACTTTGACCTTTTGTCGAGGGATCCACTACTCTCCGAGGGCGACCTTCGGTCGTGGTGGGTTTTGCTGAGTATATCCGACTCGTGCGTCGTCAGAGCGTACAGCCAACGAGCGTTCCCCTCTTCAATAAGTAATGATAGCTAAGGCTATCGATAAAATGATTTAATCTTCGTATAACGTACTATATATGATACTCATCATACTATATTTTGTCTAGCTAGCATTTCTTTCTCCCATACGGACAGCGTGAGAGTAGTCAGATTGGCATGGTATTGGTAGCGAACTCGAATACCAAAGCAATAAAAAATAGAATTGATCCCCATTTCTGACCGATTTCTGACACTAGCCTTAGTAGTTGCTGTTAATTCGCCAATTGAATTGTTGTACTCGAACGTGATCAATACATCGTCAATATTCTCCCTATAGGCTTTACCTTTGGATTTTCATTCAAGACATAATCCCTATTAAATCGAAATTGCAATTTGACTCAATAAACACATGGACTACCTTCTTTTGAGAATATACATGGTTTCGTTGCTACTCGAACACGTCTCAACAAGGTCCAGCCCCGCCGCCGTAGCTGCCAGCAATAGTTCGCCATCCTGCCACACACGCCCACCCATTGAAGCCACGTCACTCTCAACGACACTTTCGATTCCCTTCGCGTCTGTCTTGATCACCTGCACGGGTAGATCCCAAAAGACGAGATTTCCCTCCCGGCGATAGCTCTCTTGGCCTTGGCGATATAAAATTCCCGGGAACAACACGCTACGAGTGTCCTGAGAGTAAGAACCCTCAAACATGCGCTCCTCCATTTTGGCCTGCTCATTCTTTCGTGAGTCGTCAAAAACATATCGGACAGAGATAAAGGCGCGGCCTGTATCGGGGCGCAAGACGCCAGCTGCCTCTACTAGGAACTGCTCTGCCTGCCCAGGCTCCATCAACATACTGATGCTACCGGCCGCAAATGTCATTAGGTCGACGTTAGGCAGGCCCTGGAATTCTTTGACTGCTGAAAGGCTCGTGGCAGAGCCCTGTACGTATTTGATGCAGTGCGACAAGGTTTTCGGGATCTTTGCGACCGCACGCTTAAGCATGTGAGCCGAGAAGTCCAATCCGATGAACTGTGTACGGTCTAAGGGTTCACCGCTTTGGACCAGGCTGTCTGCAAGCTGGGTGAAAACACGGCCGGTACCACAGCCGATATCAACGAAGACGAACTGGTCTTCTGATCCGCCCAAAGAACGTCTGGCGCGCATGTCCTTATAAGCGCCCAAGAAGATATTCGCGTCCTCGTTGAGCCAAGGAAAGAGATCATGGCCCAAATCGTAGAGCTCTGCCCAGTAGGCTGAATGGTATCCGTCTTTCATGGTGATTCAGGTGTTCAGGAAGAGTAGAATAGAGTGGTGTAGAAGGGACATCAAAGTAGCAGTTGATAGCTGAGATTGTGCTTGAATAAAATTGCGAGTCGTCGAAGCTGATGGGAACCACACCAAGATAACAAGGGTCAACTAGTTCGGTCAAGTTCTTGCAGATATCGTCGTGCATATTACCGACTGCAGAAGTGTGATGATGCACTGCTACACCGTATACCTAATCAGTCTTGGCAGATATACCCAGTTCCGATAGTCAAAGTCAGAGCAAATCCCCCCTTGCTATCTGCATGTGCATAGATTTATTAGCATGCACTGCACGTAGGTGAAGAACTCTTCAGCTGCAATGCACTCGATAATACTGATACATGAGGTGTCATAGAAGGTTAGCGAAAGCTGCAGTCAGTACCTTGCTTGCCGTAAACTTGAGCTTGAAATGATAGATGATCGATATTGAATTCTCACCAGGTCATCAAGTCTTGTTACAGTCTTGTTACAGTCTTATTACAGCCTTATGGTCCAGGCATCCCGGTGCCATGCAATTGCTTACTGTTTGTTCCCAATCAGGACTAGGTTCATGTTAACTTCATAGCAGAGAAGTGGAACTTGACCATCTGTCTCCTTATACTGTTCATCTTCCACTTCCGAGAGAATCCTGGGGCGTTCTTTCTAAGCCCGTGGAAAAAAAGAGTTTTTTGTCTTCATCCTCCGGTCCCTCTTAGACCTGCCTCCTTTATTATCACTTCTCAATATGGCTATTACCCCCAATCAACAGGATTCTGATCCGAGGGGAAAAGTCCCACTACTTGAGGTAGATGCTCGCGATGGTGATGTGGCAAACATCGTTGCAACGGCTATATCCCACATGAAAATCAGTGGTGGGTGTGTGGTCCGCAACCTCCTCCCCATTGAGACCGTAAAACAGATTGTGCAGGATTTTCAGCCGTACCTTGATGACCCCGAGACATTCCTGAGTGAGTTACTTTTCTGCTTTTTGCTGTGCTAGGTTGATGCCTTTACTAACTTTCAATTTTTTTCTCACTTAAGAGTTTCGCCCCGGGACCACATCAGCTACAGGACTGGCAGCCAAGTCAACCACCTTCTGTCATGAAGTGATCGGGAACGAAATCTGGCATGGTGTCATTGACTACTTCCTGACCTACACATATGGCCCTTACTGGGTAAGACGCTCAACTACATGGCTTTGAATGAATACCGATTAGCTGACTTTGAAGAGTAGATGGGTAATGAGCAGCATTCACACACGGGAAAACCACAAATGAGCTCGACAACGACCTTCAAGGTTGGCCCTGGCGGTGAAGGTCAAATGCTGCACCGTGATGACATATTGCACTATAACTGGCGAGGTGGAGCTCGCGAGTACGAGTTGGGTCGGGATGTCATGTCTGTCTTCTTTGTAGCTCTTTCCAAAACGACAGAAGCAAACGGGGCAACGCGCGTGATTCCGGGGTCCCACTTGTGGGACTACTCTCTTCCTCCTACAGAGGATCTTGCCATTCACGTGGAACTAGCCCCTGGAGACGCGTTCATGTCATTGGGTGGACTCTTTCACGCAGGTAGTGCTAATAGCACAACCAATGAGGATCGATTGATCGCAATTGTGTCGGGGATCCGGACTGAGCTACGCCAGGAGGAGAATGCGTATTTAACTTATACAAAAAAAGAGATTGAAAGGCTACCGCTGCATCTGCAGCGTTTCTTGGGCTACACCACCGGCGAGCCTCTTCTGGGGCATGTTGATATGCGGGACCCGGGGCATCTTTATAATTCCGCTGTTTCTTCCAAGCGAGTGATCTGATATTCGTGAACCGCATGAAAGTCTTTGGATAGCATAAACTATTTTTTTTCACCCCGGCAGCTTTTTCCACTCACTGCCCAAGAGTATTCAATTCTATGCATATCTCCGTTTCCACCGTTAGTAGCTCACGTAGAGTAACTGTAGTTAGTAGAATTCCAAGTCTTCATTGATTACAAGCTTCTATTCCATGCTTGTCAGTCTTTCACTTTAGGGGTAACATGCTCATTTTTCAAAGCCTTGAGTTTCTGCCACACTTAAGAAATAATTTCCATCCATGTTCATTGAACTGCCCTATACCACAACATAAAATCTCCTATGGTAGGTATGCTTTAATTTTTCTTCTCTCTCATATCGCCATACCACCAAGCTAAAGCAAATTCCATCCATCCAAGAATTCCTCAGCCTTCGCGTTGATGATCCGGAGGGGATCCTTCTTATCCACCCATCCACAATAGGGCTGGGTCAAGGTGTACCCCATGAAACGCTGCAGCCAAACTGGAAAATTGCGAACCTTATCCATATCATGCGCCAGGTACTGATTCTCCAGCTGTTTTAGATGAGCTCGAGCAGCAAAGCAAACAGCAACCATCCGGGTGTCCTCTGTAACATTTGAACCACCAGCATGGAGTGTACTGGAAAGCAGTAACAAAGAGTCTCCAGGCCGTAGTTCAGGCGTGACAAGACGAGGATCAGCGTGGTCAGGCAACACATCCTCATAGTTCCACAGATGACTGCCAGGTAGAACAACAGTCGCCCCATTATCGCGCGTTGTTGGTGTGAGGGCTGTAAGCATGGCCACGCCAAGGTCGCGGCCGAGCTTATACTCGCTAGCCCCGGACAACCAGTGCATACGGTCAATATCATCTCGATGAAGATCTTGGCCCTCACCATGCGGCCCGATACAGACGCAGAAGCTGGCATCCAGCTGGGGCTTACATTGACCCGAGACTAGCTGATTGGGAAGTACCTGAGTACCTTATATGAGCTTTATCTTGAACTCATTTGGGAAATGCCTACCTGACGCGGGTGTAACTCATTTGTAAGAAAGTGATCAATGACGGTATGAAAGACCGGATGTCCCACAATGTCGAGGGCAAACGTGTCTGATTTACTCAGCAATGCTGTGACTGTTTTTGAGGTAGGCGCGCAACCTGATACCTTATCAGCTCCATGCACAATATATATGATAGCAATTAAGAGCAGAAGGACCTGTGTAGTTGCCCGCATCAGCGATGTGTGGTCGGACATCCTCGATCACCTTCTCTGTGGTAATTGTATCGAACATATTTCGCACAACACAGGCTCCGGCTTTGGCCATGGCTGAGATGATCTCTGTTGCCAAAGAATCATTGTCGGTATGACTTTTTGCGTTCACATATGGAAGACTGATTGGCGGTGGCTCATTGTTGTTTCGTGTCATGGCTGATTTCTGAGATATGCAAAAAAAGGAAGATGTTGAAATGAATGGATTTTTTTAGCAATGATTGAAAGCAAAAGTTTAGTTTGAATGTCTCAGTAGTTTCAAAATTCTACATTGAGATAATTCTAGGCAAGGTGATCTCTACCGTACCTGGTGTTCGCAGTACTGTCACAACGAGGAACTAGTAAGTCAGTGATCGTCGAAAATGACGACGCTCTCGGATGTCGGTGAGAATTCAATATCGGAGCAGTCTTGGATGAATCATTCTTCACTCTCCTTACTCGGCTTGGCGTTAGATATTCATTATTTGGCGGTCAATGCCTTGCAGATGTGATATATCACCAATAATATTCTGCAATTAAGACACATGCATGATGCAATTGCGAGCACACCAGCGATGATTCCTGACGAAAGATTTTCAATCCCACCTATCAGCGGGCTTCATTAGGTTTGGAAAGAAGCCGGGATCCCGCAGAGTGGACAGTATCAAGATCAAGTGACAAAGAGTGTACTCGACATGCGAGAAGCCCCAAATTCTTCCAATTCGATTCTAGTTTGTATTTTATGCCTACCGTGGGAAATCAAGATGCTATAAATTACTGGCTGCTCGAATACTGAGAGCTCAAGAATTATACCGAGCACAACACAGCATCAAGACAGATAAACGCAATGACTATTGCGGAACAACAGCTCCAACTGCCTCTAGAGGCAGGGATGGGTAGTCCCAATTTAATGGTGAGTAAATTTGGAAAAATTGCCTGATACAGTACTGACATCAGTCAGTCTGCTGCCACGCCCTGTCAAGATTGCACTAGTCCCTTCGATCCTATTCTTGGACAGAAGAGAAAGGGAATCACGCTACCGATCCCAAAACGAATGGTTCAAGCAGAGCTTGTTCAAAATGTAATTCTTTCCTGGGCAGTGTTACAGGCACAGCATGAGGGACAAAACCAGGTCATGTTCAATGCTCACATCCCGGCGGACGTGTTCCTATCGGCGAGCAAGAAAATGGACGAAGATCTATCGCGTGAGTCGTCTGTTGTAGCTCTGGCTTTGGACTTGGAAATTCTGCCAGAAATGATCACTTCAGAAGCTTTGCTTTATCTTCAAGAGGAGATCAGGTTGTCGAGTCAAATGGAAGACGCAAAGCTCGAACGTTTCACATCTGCCAAGACGGTCCTTTGGCTAGATAATGGAAAGATTCCTATCAGCAAAGCTACCATAGTGGAACTGTGCAAACGTTATAACTTTCTGGTTCTATTTTCTTTCGGGGGTGATTCATGCCAACTCTGCGTTCTCCCCGGCACAATACCGAAATCCAACATCGACCCGTCGCGGATTGAGAATCAAATCGCCCATATATTTCAGAATATTCTTGATCAAGAAGATTTACCCATCCGTAACATCATGACGCTGAGCCCGTTGGATTGGAAGGAACTTCTAGATCGAAATGCAAAGGTCCCGTCACGAGTAGATGAATGTGTGCACGACGTTATTCGGCAACAGTGTCTCCAGCGACCGCGCGCACCGGCCGTTACCTCACACGAAGGACAGGTTACCTACCAGGAGCTTTTGAATCTCGCTTCCCGTGTAGCCAAAGCCTTGCAAGACCGAGGAGTTGGTCCGGAGACGTTTGTGCCACTGTGTTTCCCCAAGACCTATTGGGCAATGATATCAGTACTTGGCGTGATGATGGCCGGGGGGGCCTTTGTACTCCTAGAGACAGCTTATCCACTCCCACGTTTGATGGAAATATGCCAGACATTGGAGCCACGGGTCGTTCTCTGCATCAGAAGTACCTCTGATCTAGCTCAGCATTTGGCCCCAGATGTGCTGATACTAGACAACGAGGAAAGCCTGCCTTCGGACACAGAAGCAACCTCGTTTCACGCTCCTTCTGTGAGTCCATCAAATGCTATCTACGCAGCTTTCACATCTGGATCGACTGGGAGTCCAAAAGGTGTCGTCATTCAGCATCTCGCGTATTCTAGCGCAGCCCGGACTCATATCGAGAAATTTCACATGAATACACAGTCTCGAGTTCTGCAGTTTGCCTCATACGCATTTGATATAGCTCTGCTCAAGATACTCAGCACATTGATGGTTGGCGGCTGTTTGTGCGTACTGGGAGACGCGCAACGGACGGATTCGTTTGTGGAGTCGGCTCGGGCTATGCGTCCATCCCATGCCTTTTTAACCCCATCCTTTATCCGAACACTGACACCGGAGGATTTTAATCTAATCGGCATCCACACACTCGTTCTCATCGGCGAAAAGGTCACCTCTACGCACTTGATGTCCTGTCCCAAGGAGGTGCGGGTGATCAACGGGTATGGTCCGGCTGAATGTACGCCCATCACGACAATCTATCCCAATCTCCGAGAGGCTGCCGATCCATCAAATGTTGGCTGGTCACAGTGCTCTGCTTGTTGGATTGTTGATCCTCGGGATCATAATCGATTGGCCCCAATTGGGGCCATTGGAGAGCTGCTCATCGAGGGTTGGAATGTTGGACGAGGATACTTGAAAGACGTGGCTAAAACGGAGGCCGCATTTATCACCTCTCCCAAGTGGCTTGTTTCCATACGAGGTCCAGGTAACACGTTGCCTCTCTATAAAACAGGTGATTTGGTGCAACAACTACCGGACGGATCCCTATTGTGTGTCGGCAGAAAGGGAACCCAGGTGAAACTTCGTGGCCAGAGACTAGAGTTATCAGAAGTCGAAACGCATTGTCGACACCATTTTCCACAAGCTATTGAGCTCGTGGCTGATGTGACAAGCATTGATGGAAACTCTGAGAATGCCTTTCTCGTACTTGTGGTGGTGATACGGACCAAATTCAATCGCGACGATGTTATCCTACCACCAACCGATGACTTTGTCGAATTGGCACACTCAGCCAAGAAGGAACTCAAACGCACTCTCCCAAGCTACATGGTGCCGACCATCATTTTGCCCTCTGCGGGGCTCCCTAAGAACGTTAGCAAAAAGATGGATCGGCAGCAGCTGCGACGGTGTATCGCAAGACTATCGCAACATGAATTCAGGGGCTACCAATTGTTCACTTCATCGAGTTCAAGCTCTGGTATCCTCTATGGTATAGAAGGGACTTTGCAAGATATATGGTCCAGGGAGCTCCATATCGCACGGGAACTTATTGGACCAAACGACAATTTCTTCATCCTGGGTGGTAATTCCATCTCTGCCATGAGAGTGGCTTCAACCGCTCGATCCCATAACCTATCACTGGTGGCATCAGACCTTCTATCCTATCCCACATTATCATCTCTTGCCAGATATGCCAGTCCGGTCCAGGAAATCGTATTTGACAGAACACCATTTTCCCTGCTGAAGGCATCGGTTATTTGCCTGGATCATTTCTACGCCGAGCTACGTGCGAACGGTGTTATTCCCAATCGTGCCAAGGTCGTGGATGCAGCACCTTTGACTAATTATCAGGGCGAAATGCTGGACACCAATGGACTGGACAGCTTCATGTTCATCTATCATGGAACAGTAAATCAAGAAAGACTAAGAGAGGCGTGCCAGACAGTATGGAATCTTTATCCAATGCTCAGGACGGTGTTTGTTCCCATGGGGAATATATTTGTTCAAATTGTTATTTCCGATGTTGACCTTCCCTTCCACACTATCGAGACAAACGAGGATGTGGAATCGGTGACCAAATCCCACGCCAAGGAATTATGTCAACGATCCTCTCTTGGGCATCTTGGTGTATCATTCACCCTTGTATCAGCCCCGGATCGTGTGCAGCATGGATTTATTATCACACTATCCCACCTTCAGTATGATGGCATCTCGATGCACTTTATCGCCAACGATATCTCAATGGCCTATTGTGGACAGACCCCAGCTCCTCGCCTGAATTATATCGACTACCTGTATTTCCGCGCCCAGTATCGTCTCGATCATGCTTTCTCATCTTGGAAGGAATATCTACAAGACGCGCCAGTCAACCGCCTTCTCGAGAAATATCATGTGGAGGACCCCAATCCTCCAATGGGCATGGCATGGTGCCCCACTCAGCAGGAGACTATTCGCATACCTTCCTACTCAAAGGAGCTCACCCTGGCCACACTAGTTCGTGCAGCGTGGTCTATTGCTCTGGGTGAACGCTACCGGGAATCGGACATTTTGTTTCAACAAACAGTCCATGGCCGGGATTCTCCTCTCACCAATGTGGACCAGATTTTCGGCCCATGCATCAACAAGATCCCATTCCGCATCATTATCGATCCAAGCAAGACCGTACAGCAATTTCTTACTGAGGTACAGGATCAGCAAGCCAAGGCTCTACGATACGACTATTTAGACATGCCCGACATCCTCCAGCGGTGTACATCATGGCCAGCAGATACCCGCATGGCGTGGCATTTGCTGCATCAAAATTTCGATGCGGCATGGAAGTGTCCTTTAGACGGCGTGGATGCTCAAGGACAGGAGATCTTTGATGGCCATCCTCCCAAGTCTGAGTCTGGCCTAGGTATCTGCACGGTGGAGGGAAACAGCCTGCATCTGGTGGTGGTCGAGATTAGTACGCCAGACAATGTGGGTCCACCTCGAGCGTTAGTGCGGCGGTGGGCGAAGCTGGTGGACGTGCTCTCCGTCTCTTTGCATATTCCGCTGCAGAAATTGGTCTCGATTTGATTTGGAAGGTTTGGAAGTCTACGGAAGTAATCGATCTACACGAATTATCCCAATCTTACGTTCATTTTTTAGAACATTTGATCAACAACGTAGATTCTAGACCGACGCAATTGCAAGGACACATCACATTGATCTTTGAATATTCCCAATTAGGCATCGGGTTCTTGATGATATATCATATTTATTGTGCTGGTGATGCACGCAAGTGATCGGCGGTAGCTATTGAAGCTTCACATGCATGCATGTGTATACAGCATTCCAGCCACGATAATGATTTTCGTGCAACGCAACCTCCCGTGGAGTCTATCTCACTGCAGATAGCTTTTCTAATACATCCGGCTTTGTATGCGCGAACTCATGGTCTCCACCTCTGTAAGTACGTATTCGTACTAATCAATGGACGGGTGTCGGTGTGACTAAGTGCAGATCCACGTCACAATACAAGATGCTTTCTTACTGCGTCTGGAATCATGCGTATCTCTCACTTAGTATCGCTGATTACACAAGGGCTCCATGCGAAATATGCTCGCGCAGATGCGGGAACACAAACCGATACCCTTACGTCCCTGGACGCGCGACTATCGGCATAGAGGATCCCGTAGGTGCAATATTAAGTTCTAAGTTCAGGCCATCTATAATATCCTTAGCGGCTTGAACAGTCTTCCTGTTATTGACAGTCGCTTGACTTTTCATCACCAACATGGCTGCTATCTTCGGCAAGAACATGTTAAGGAACTTCATGTTTGCCGATGACTGGACCAATATGAACCATGGTAGGGCAATTGACGGTATCATTTTTTGGAAATCGGACTAACGGTATCCAGGATCATTCGGATCAGTTCCCCGTTCAGTGCAGAACCGTCTACAGGAAAGACAGTTGCTTGTCGAAGCGACACCGGATCAGTTCATTCGCTACGAATATAACCGGGAGCTCACCGCTGCGCGTATTGAAATCGCCAAACTGGTGCATGCGCCGCTCGACACTATAGTCCTTGTGCCAAATGCTACTAGCGGGATAGACACCATCCTACGGAATATTGAATACTCACCTGGGGACCATATCCTCTTTTTTGACACTATCTATGGCACCTGTGAGCGGACTGCTTTACATCTTGCAGAGACAACCGCTGTCCAAATCACATACACTCCACTGGTCTATCCTTTATCAGATTCTGCACTTCTGGAGACATTCAACAAGACAGTGAATCGGATTCATAGCCGCGGAGAGCGTGTTAAGATCGCTGTATTTGATGCAATCAGCTTTCAACCAGGTGTGCGCGTTCCTTTCGAAGACCTTGTCAAGGCATGTCGAGGGCTAGGGATTCTATCTTGCGTGGACGGAGCCCACTGTATCGGGCAATTACCGTTAGACCTATTGGCCGTAGATCCCGATTTTTTTGTGGGAAATCTCCATAAGTGGCTCTTTGTCCCACGAGGCTGTGCAGTACTCTATGCTCCAGTACGTACCCAGCAACTTCTGCGTACGACCTTCCCAACAGGCTGGGGTTTCCGGCCGAAGAACGCCCGGTGCAATGCCTATTTTGCTTTAGGCCCGGGACAGAAGAAACCATTCGAGACCCTTTTTGAGAGCTTTGGTACAATGGACTATAGTCCCTTCCTTTGTCTACAAGATGCTTTGGCCTTCAGACAGGGGCTAGGTGGAGAGGCAAAGATCATGAGCTATAATTCTGAGTTAGCTGCAACTGGAGGACGGGTTATGGCTGGAATTTTAGGGACAAAGGTCTTGGACAACGAGGAAGGCACTTTGACTCGTGGATGTAGCATGGTTAACGTCATGCTGCCTCTGGATTTGTCGCAGTTATCTGGGAACGTGGGCAGGGTCATCGAAGATATTTCCCAATCTTTGGTCCATCGTTATAGAACATACGTGCCTATTTTTCAGCACGGACAACACGTGTGGGTGCGAGCAAGTGCTCAGATTTATTTGGAAGTTGAACAATTCAGCTTTTTGGGACACGCGCTTCGGAACCTGTGTGAGGATGTCATGCGTGGGGAGCGTTCTTACTGCGCTGAGCACCGAATACTGGAAAAGCCAGGGGAGCTATCAAAGGCCTCAATGCAAGTATTGTAGCGTCTGATTTTTATAATTGCTCTACTGCTATCAAAGAACTACCATACAATTACTAGTCACCCACCACCTAGCCGCCAAATATCTTTTCATGTTCAAGGAACTCAATAACCATCAGTACTATTTTCCGGCTTCTTCATGCCTGAATGAAGATTGTATACATAGATATCGGCAAATGTAGTTCCTTCGACTGATTCGGTGAAAACCTGCCCTTCAGCATCCACAATGAGCCTCACGTCTGCCAGTCGTTTCTTTGGTTGGCACAACCTATTCTTGCCGCCTAGTTAACAAGATTGGCATATGTTCTATACTCAAGGAAAAGTGCTCGCGAGAATTGTCCAGCAAAGAAGGGCCTTCCACTCCCGGGGGAAACTGAATGTCAAAAGTCATAATCATGCGGGCAGTGGTGGTGCGCAGATTCATGAGGGCTAGCGATTTGCCGATACATGCGTATGAGCCTTTACGATATTAGCATGTATCTCATTACAGGATAAATGGCTTAAATGGAGGCCTGGAAAGAGTTAGGATTAACCCAAGGAATGTTTTTCATACCAATGGTAAATGGCGCAAATGCTGATTTCTCCTTGATCAATTCTGGCTTCTCAAACCATCGCTCAGGAGTAAATTTTTCAGGATCAACGTATACGTCTGTAGCTAAATTATGGGGTCAGAAAAAATAGAACGAAGTGGCTATCAGTTTTCTTACATCGACCGAGAACCCACTGCGGACACGAGACATTGATATTTCCCGGTATAAAAGTGTCTCCAAGTTTCATTCCTTCAGGAGGTGTCTTCCGTGGGATCACACCAGGAATTGGTGGATGAAGTCGCAGTGTTTCATTGATAAATCCGTTCAGCCGCATCAATTGAGAAATCTGATCGTGGGAGTACTCTCCATTCTCATCAGGGGTATAGGGAGCTAGTTCATTTCGCAGCTTCTGTGCCTCATCAGGATGCTGCGCGAGTTCGTATAGAATCATAGTAAGTGCAATGGCACTGGTATCACTAGAATTCTAACTGTCAGTCTGGATTAGAAAATAGATTCCATTAGGATTCATACCTTCCTGCCGTCAGAATTAATCGTGTATCAGCGCCCAGCGTCCCTATATCATTTGAACTGAGATTATCACAGTCTACCGGCGCAAGCAGCGATGCACTAATGTCAGGAATATCCGGTGTGTTCTAAACAAGAGCATTAATTGTCGTTCTTACTCGGGAATCTAACAGATTGCGTAAATATACCTTTAATCTATGCATGAGGCGATCATTACAGAATTTCCCGAATTGCCACCAGTCCTTGGACAACATGGCAATACCCAGGAAAAGCCGTAGAAGCCAGACAGGAATCATATACTCGAGCGGGCCGAGACCGTCTAGTAGGACCTGAATCGCCCAATGATTCTCATTATCGTCGAGCATATCAAAACTGCGCGCGAATGCAAGATCACCCATCACGTCGTATGCGTAGAAGTTAAACCACTGGATCGCATTGACAGTTTCTCCCTCACGTGCCATGAGCTGGTCAAACAGCTTCTGGCGATAGACTCGAATTCTTTTCTCATACCCGCGGAGTGCTTTTTCACTGAAGCCAGGGCTCCAGACACGACGGCGACGATCATGGAGCGGCTTCTCGCGGAATGAAAGGAGCGACTGCGCCGGGTACGACATATCATAAAACGCGTTCTTGGTGCAGGGAGACTGCGGACCATAGATCAGGCGCACTCCTTGAGGGTGAGCAATGGAAAGGTCGCATGGGCCAGTCCGCACAATTGGTCCATACTGACGATGCAAATCATCAAGCATGCGGAAGGCTGGTCTTGATCGTAATTTCCACGACAGCCACAGTGCTGACGTCTTTGCGCCAAAGGGGCCAGGGAAGGTGCGGAGGGAATGGAACATACACCGATACAAAATTAGCGAGCAATAGAGCCCGCCAAGATAGAATAGTGTGGCCCGGATGACACCATTTAATGATTGGCTCAGAGAAATTCCAGCGAACAAAGACAATAGAGCTACTGCGCTGACGAATAGTATGCCATGGAATCGAACATATCGAAAAGGGTACAGGTGGTGTTCATTGGGGCGAAAATAACACAAATGGACAAATACCCCGGTTAGAATGGATGAAGCAGGGATAGCATGAGTCGTCATATCTGTTCTACCATAGCAGCTCAACCAGCCTGTCAGCACGGATTAGATTAAGGAGTGGAATTTCACAAACTTTGATGAATAAGATAAACAATTTAAGAGGATCCGATCCCATCGGTTGTGAGGGGGTGGGATTCCGCAACGAAAAGACAGAATTTCAAATATGTAAACAGAGGGTCAAGAAGCGGTCTAGGCGCCGTAAGGGAGGATCAATACATATGAATGCATGAGAGACGATTCACGCAGAAGCAAGGTATTTATAAGTGTGCAGTCTTTTATTGACACGAGTCGCATGATTGCTTTTTCATCAGAATGTCACTTGCCACCCAGCATGAAACCAGCTAGTTGCCGGTAATTTCTTGTCGACAAGTAGATCCTACTGTCATTTATGAGGAAAGGCGTAAAAATAGTAGATTGTAGAAAACAGACGAAATGGACAAGATTTTTATTCAAGAAAGATAGAGAGAGATCTGACTGGAGCAAACCGGGATCACCTGACCCTCAGTTTCAATGCTCATGGACTGGTAGTTTAGGACATATTATATTTAGGCTAGATGAAACGCTCATTCACTTTCTTTCATGTTCCTCCATGTTTCAGGCTGTTCAGCTGCTACCTTTGAGCTTCTGTTAATTCCCGCGTTCCGTTAAGATGGCCGAGCTGATATTTTTTCCTTCATCGACCAGGCGGTATATGCCATCTGCAGGGATATTTGTTGGTATATACTTCCCACCAGTGATCACGGCATTCAAAGCCTTAGGCCACTCTTCATATGTGTGTCGCTGACAGTTGTGGCCATGGATCCACAAGGGACGGGAAATGGTGTTAGGATTCTCATTCTGATTCTCGGTGTCGAATTGTGCCCTATGTAGATTTTGAAGAATCTTCAATCCAGATTTCTGGATCAATGAAATTCTTTTTTGTCTATAAATTTAATAATGAGCTTCTTCCGGAGCAGTTTCAAGAGAGGAATATATAATCTCACCTGAGTTTCTCGAACATGCGGAAACCCAAAGTCACTCGCTCTTTTCCAGCTTTTTCTAAGCAGATGGCCACAACGGCTCCATCTTCAATCGCCTGACTGGCTCCTTGGCCTGTAGTGGGTAGGAAGGGGTGAGCAGCATCTCCAATGACCATCAACCGTCCCTTTCTTGACACGAATCGGTCAATTGGTTCCATACTTAGGACCAAGTGATCATAACATTTACCATGGGGGGTTTTGCCGATGACCGATTGGAGTTGCTTGGCAAATGGCCAGTCTTCAATGTAGTCAAGGACATGCTTAACATCTGACACTTGAAGCCAGGGCTCGGAAACATCATGGAAGCTCTAGGAAGATGTAAGATTGTGACGAATCAAGGTAACAAAGCAAGGGTACCTTGTGAACACAAGACCAGAAGATTTCTTTTCCGTACTTCATGGTACCAATGATGATGAGAATGTTTTCTCCAATGAAGTAATTCAGCTTGTCGGTTTTTCCCCGACCATCAAGCAGCCATTGGGCATCAGGATCTTTACCAACACAGTCACTGTCAAAGCTGGCACGATAAGTTGCGCTACCAGTCTTCTTAGGGCCGGCACTGTCTCCAGTAATGATCGGTCTGGCTTTACTATGAATGCCATCACAGGCAATGACACAGTCCCCATTGACCTTTTCTTCGTTCGCAATCACTCCAGCCTCATGCTCCGTCTCCCAGTATTCCGACACCGTAATTCCAAATCGAAGGTCTAGACCTAGCTTCTTCGCATGCTGGTAGAAGACCTCAACCGCTTCTGCTCTGTTTACCAGATATCCCTCACCTGGTCGCACACCAAATGTCGGGTTTTTCTGGAGGAGTTCGCCGGCAGAGTTATGCATGTCAGTGGAATCAGGAACTCCCCGGATACTATCCAGCTGCTCTGCTACCACTCCATTACCCCACTGATCGATTACCAGTGCTCCATTGCTAGAAATTCCAAACACGTCACCTTCCAGTCTCGTCCATTAGCTGGGTTGGGTCTCGTTCGCATAGTTGCTCGTGGTGCTCGCCTACCAATTTGCCGTGACTTTTCTGCCTTCTCAAACCCAATCACGGTGTGTCCTTTGCGGTGACATTCAATAGCCGCAGTGAGACCAGCAACCCCGAGACCGACTATGATGACAGTGATCCCGGTGGGCGCCATTGGAAGCTCAAGAGCATAGTCTTGCTTCATTTTGGACATTGATCTGTTTTTGCCGTGGTCAGAATCGATAGGAAATCGAGGTAACCTTATAACAGCACGCTACTGTGGGAGAAATAGGCGAGGGATCCTGAGGTCGGCGGCATAAGATCCGTCATTGGTATTCTTTTCAATGTTTATTTCTCTAAAGCCACGGGGAGAAACCTTCTTGGACATGCACCGATGCAAGGGAGAATGATAAATCCATCCGGTGGTTGACATCTTCATGCACATGCATATGCACACTATATCACACATCATGCTTTGGGGTCAGTATTGTTCGCATGCAGTGGCCCGCACCTAATGACCCTTACATTTTATGTAGTGCTCGCTTTAATTACACCGCCAGGTTTGACGATGAATATTCACGATCAAGTGGCAGACCCTCAACATACATATTCTCTAACTGTCAGTCAATTGATTCTCAAGAAACAGACCCTTATCTCGGTCACTCATTGTCATCCTTCAGACAATGGACATCTCCAGTTTGATGTCGAGGCTGGACGAAGCGAGTGCTTCTCTTTCCGTCAAAAATGAACTAAGCGAGAACCAGCGAGTTCAACTTCATCAAGCCTGTGAGAAGCTTTCAGGATGCCTAGCGACGCCTGGAGAGCATATCATGAAGACCTCTTCTGGGGTGGGTGATAAAGAATTTCGCACGCCGATCAACTTTACGATCCTGATTTTGTTTGTTTATTTCTAGTGTATCGAGCCTGCCTTGATCCGAGTGGCAATAGAAAGAGGAATTCTCGACCTTTTCAACGATGATCAAAACGAATTCGATGAAATTGAAATCGCCACCCGAACCAAGACCCACCCGATCCTGACAGGTATGAAGTGTACCGGGCATTTCAAGATCATCACTAACAAATATATAAAAAGCCCGACTTCTACGATGCTTGATTATGTTGAGGATTGTCGATGTAACGCCAGAAGGTCGTTGTAAATCAAACAGCTTTACCTCGAGTTTTAAGCCTGGCACGCCAACTCACGATTATGTCCTTTTATTCAGGTACGCATCTTCAATCATCTCAGGCTTATTCTTACATACTGACTCAGTCAACCAATTAGTGGAGTGTATTTACCACTCTTTGGAAGGCTCCCCTTGTACCTCCAAAAAACCGAGTACAAAGTACCCGACGATATTAATTCAGGACTGCTCCAAGACACCTTCGACACCAGACTGCCCTTCTGGGACTGGATGGAAGCGCACAAAGGGGAGCACGATGCATTTCACCGATTGATGGAAGCAACCGGTAGTTCCAATGGAGACGCCTGGACGAAGTACATTCCTGAAGAATGGTACTCCAAGCATCTCAGTTCAGTCATAACAGGCAATGGAAGCTTCGCATTCGTTGATGTGGGCGGGAGCCATGGTCATGAGATGAAAGCTTTTATGCAGCAATTTCCAGCCATTAAAGGTCGTTACATTCTTCAAGATCTTGGTGGTGTAAGTGAAAAGACTCGGGTTCAGACAGGACACGGCTCTTTGTGCGAGGATGTTCTTCGACAGTCTGATGGAATTGAAAAGATGTCCCACAGCTTCCTGGATCCACAGCCAGTTCGAGGTGCAAATATCTACCTCTTGTCTCGCATCTTGCATGACTGGCCTGATCGGGAGGCCCGGAAAATTCTTGGACATCTCCGTGATGCCATGAGCAAAGAATCGACTCTATTCATCTGGGAACGTGTATTTCCTGATCGCCTTAGTAAGGTGTCTCCAATGGATGTATTATGCGATGCTTCCATGATGGCGTTTTTCTCTGCGGCTGAGCGTTCGGAGAGTCAGTTTAGAGATCTGTTGGAGTCGACTGGACTTTCGCTTGTCAATGTTTGGCGAAAGGAGTCTGCTGGCGAGGATACGCAAGCTGTCTTGGAGATTGTGTTGGGAGATTGATGGTATCTGGTCATTTGTCACTCTCACGCTCAGTAGAAGCCTCTTGCCTAACGAGAGCTTTTCCCCTTCTCATCTCATATGACTATGAAATTTTTATGCCTTTATTCTCTGTCCATAGTCTCTACTAGTTTTCGCTTTGAGCACAACCCTCTATTTTTCAAGAGGTCGTTCAGGCAAAATGAACTCGGGGATGACGGTTGTGTCTTTGGAATAAATCGGAAGAGGGTAAACAGTGGATGTAAAGTGACGGTGAAAGGTTTTCTCGGTTTTCTCGTTGCCTTGTTTCACGAGGTGATATATGTGTCAGCCGTGAGTGAGATATTTTTTCTGCATTGTTCTGATGTATGTGCACTTCATTGTTGAAATAGTTTGTAGTATGTACAATCATATTCAACCATCCTCCAGGATATTCCTTGATCCTGTATCCAAATACCAATTAGGCTATTGCAAATTGTTATGTCTCTCAGTATCTTTGAGACTTACCGGTCAGCACATATTCAGAAAATTTGGTTGGACTTTTACTCAAGTGCTACATGGTCATCAATGGAGAAGGCTCCAGTATCCAGAATCACTTTCATTGAACAAATTCTATGAATAATTCCCACTAGAATGCATCGGGCTTTGATCTTACTCCAAGGTCAGCTTACGCTTTCACTAAGCCCAAACTTCCACGACTGACATTGGCGCACAGGCCATTCAGCGCACCGTCCCCGAAGTCATTAACATCCGCGGCTTCGTTCTTGACCATGACATCAATTACCATTTTCACATACTCGCCTACTGTTTTCTCCGACACTCCTAGCTCCTTGGCCAACTTTTCAGTACCTAGATTGTTAAAGTCCTTCTGGTTGAGCATGGCATGCATGCAAAAGTCAAGCAATCTGGCCGATTTTGTCACGGACAGAACCTGGGTAGGAACATCCGCGGATCCTTGGATAACTTCAGAGTACCGTCAGCTAAAATTGTTGTGAGGGATTTTTTAGATGCACATATACCTGGTTTGAATATATCGAAAGCCCGATCAAAATTGTCCTCGTCCCACTCGGTCAAAACGGGATTCTCGCGATCGCCAATCTGCTTGAGTGCACTGGTAACAACGAGTAAGAAGCGATTATAACTGTCTGCAACCTTATCGCTGTGCCACTTCGCTGCTACCGCTGGCTCGCATTGACCTCGTTCCACAGCGCAAATCGTCACAGCTGCGGACAGTCCGGCGGTCAAGGCAAGATGAATACCAGAGGAGAAAAACGGGTCAATGAAGCACCCTGCATCGCCAGCGACGCGCCAGTTGGGTCCAGAATAATTGGATGCATTGTAAGACCAGTCCGATGCGGAACGAATGGACGACACGAGCTTGGCATTTGGCAGTATGTCCGTTGCCAGAGTGGATGAATTGACCATGGTTTTATATAGTTCCTGGCTCGAAAGGCCTAGTCTCTTTTTCGTCGCCACCAGAAAGTCCTGGTTCACAACTATCCCTACAGACAAAGTCTGGTTATGCAATGGAATTGCCCAAATCCAGCCTTTTCCGTCGGCGAGAGCCTCAAAATAGGGATTACCTTCACCTATCTCTCCTTTCTGTGTCGTCTCTGCACCTTCCCAGTATCCCCAGCTCGCATTTGCCTTCAGAGAATTATTCATTTGACGATTCTTCAAGTACTTGGTGCTCATGAGGCCGGCCCGTCCAGTCGCATCGACCAAGTATTTGAACCGGATGACCCCAGTCTGTCCATCCTTTTGTGACCAAGATGCTGAGACAGGTCGCCCTGGTCCCAACGAAAGGTTACCCTCCGACTCGAATTGAATCGAGTCAATCTTCCTTCCATCAAAGATTGCAGCTCCACAGTGACCAGCATGTCGAAACATCAGCTCATCAGCCTCGGAACGGACCACATTCCAAACGGCGTTAGAGTTCCCGTTACCAGCAACAAAGTCCGTATCTGAATAGTTTAGATGACGCCGACCTATATCAAAGCCTAGGCCTACTTACAAGCGGGAGGTTTCGAATTCAGTTTAAATGTCGCTCCAGTCTGTGGAATCCCGTTGAAGTTAGTCCAGTGACTTAAAATAAGACCAAGCGTAGCGGACCTTTTTCGCGAATCCATGCTCATCGAACTTGGTTTCGAGATCAATGAAACGCAAGAAGTACCGGAGAGAGGGGAGCGTGCTCTCGCCAATGTGATATCTATTTTCCGTCAAAAATTTAATTCAAGATTGAAACGTCCAAAGAGCTCTTGCTCAAATGCCGCATACCTCGGGAATAAATCTGCTTCACAAACTACCACGTTGATGCCCTCCCGAGCTAGCACAGATGCAGCATACGAGCCTGCTGGGCCACCGCCTACTACCAGGACGGTGCATTCCTCTGGAGTTGGCATGCTGGGTTCGACTGCCATTTCAGTATTTTTTGAAGTTGATCAAGACGAGTTTTGGGATACCAAAGAATGTTCGATTGGGATTTGGGGGTCGTTTGGTAGTCCTTATATGAACAGTATTATCTGATATATTCTATCTGACATTCACGCGTTCGTCATTTTGCTGAACCCAAGTGGTATTGGTCAGAACATATTTGCTTGGCGAACCTCTTGGAATGTGATAGATCATGTAGCGGCATGATAGTGGCGAAGTAAGGGAGCCGATCCGATCCGTGAAGAGCACACCGATCTAATCTGCAAATTCCTTGAGGTGCGCTGGTTGATCACCAGTATAAATCCATGTAAGGAGGGGGTACCTGGATTGTCGATTTTTTGCCGGCTCGGAAATCGACTGTGTATGTATTTCCCAACGATCAGCTGGAACAGAAGCCGTCACATGTGGCAATAAAATCCCTCACCTGGTCCTACATGTACTCTCAATTTGGTACATAATCTGTGCAGAAAGCAGATGCATTCAACCCAGGCAAGGACAAATGCCAAGGTAAGGGGCATTTGGTGGATAGTGGAAGATGGTAGGTCGAGAAGATGAATGAGATTCCATGTGGGATTTCATGAGTTCCTGGAAATATCTGAATTCTGGATAGTTATAGAAATTTGAAATAACATACGAGGAAATTCATGTAGGAATGTAGTACTTGCGGAAGTGGAATTGATGAGATCGAGCATACAATGTGTGTGGATAAGGGAAAAGCTACCTGAGGGAGGGATGGAGATAAGCCCCACTAGAGGTTTTGTGTATAACACGAACATATTTCTATCTTATTGCCAGAATCTATTCTTTATTTGATGAAAGACCAAATATTTTCAACTGCCTGCATCGGAAGGCCCTATTTCCCTGGTCTGATGGGACAATTGCCATCCGCGTCCCAGTCCTCGCTGCCCACGCCCAATCGGGTCAAGAACAGATCAGAAGTATCCCATTTGCGTTTTATGGTACGCAAACGGGGGTAGTTGGGACCCCAGAAAAGCCGCGCATTGTCAGGTTCATAAGCAAAAGGGATACCGCCATAGCTACCCATAGTCCCGTCTTCCAATGCTTCGAGTGCAGGTCCGATAGTATGCTGGAGTTCATTCTCGACGGCCTGGTAGCGCTGCCAGTCGGGATCACGAGCGAGGCCCTTGGCAACGGTGAGCGACAGGACGGCTGATTTCCATGACGGATGCAGTGGCGTGTCCGTTTTATGTGCCTTTGGGCTCATGAAGCCTTCAAGACTGACCATATCGCCAGGCCCATAGTCCAGCCGAGACAGGGTGTCGATGATTTGACGGGGACCCTGGATAGATCCCAGAAAGTCCGTAGATACCAAGCGTGAGGTGAGAAGAATGCTCACTCCAGCCATTTCCAGTCCGCGCGGAGTTGCGAGGTAGTTGGAGAGCCGGGGAAAGTGATCCACTTCATGATGTACTGCCAGCCCAGTGTTCTCCAGGCGCTGAGGTAGATCGCCAACAAGAGTTTCAGATGTCTGGTTCATACCGTAGAGTTCAATCGACAGCATGGACCCAAGTCCAGGCCCAACCGGAAGCGCGAAGCTTAGGCTTGCAATGCCTCGGTCGGCCCACGACGGCACCGTAAATAGAACTTCCTGGACTGCGTTCCAGAAGTCCGTATTTGCTGACTCGCTCTGCAGAACTAGACGGGCGTGACTGATTGGAGGATCTGGATGAGTTCGGAAAGCAACACTGGTAATAACACCAAATGAACCGCCACCTCCACCACGAACAGCCCAGAATAGATCTTGGTGATGATATTGGTTAGCTACAACCAGCTCTCCCTGAAAAGCTCGTTAATCACCAGTCTGTGGAACTTGAGAAGTGATGGGGCTCACTTACAGTTGCGGTGACAAGGTTGAATTCAAGTACGTTATCAACGCCAAGCCCGTACAAGGGACTCAGAATCCCATATCCTCCACCTTGCATCCAGCCGCCAGCGACACCCACAGTACTACAACTGCCCCCGACAACCGTGTAGCCTTTCGCGGCTCCTGCGTCGTAGAGCTCTCCCGTGAGAACCCCTGCGCCCACGATGACGGCAGGCCCCTGCGGCTCAGTGTGGGAGCCATCGGGAACTGTAGGATAGAAATTTGCAACGTGCTCGATACCCTTCAATCCTGCAGTATGAATTTGGATACCATCGGGCGCAGTGGAACGACCGGCCAAATCATGGCCAGTGTTGCGGATCGACACCCGCAGATTGTGGTTGGCGGCGAATCGCACGACGGACTGAACCTCATCCACTGAACTCACCATCGCCGAATAGCGAGCCACGCGGCCCTGGTGACAAGTTCCATCAGGATTGATCCCTTCAATTGGCACTGCACAGCTTTGCTGCTTCGACCTCAAATGCTCCCAATCCACCACCTGAACTGTTGCTGCTTTCGGTCAGTTTTGATATGGTATGGCCATCATGATTTTATGCGTACCGGGATTCCAAACCCGCCATGTTGTATTATGAAAGTTGACTTGGATCTTCTCACATTCCCCAGCTGAAGCATGTGATCCTACGCAAGAATGGCCAACAGGGCGTAGCACCTGGAGATTCCCTTCAATAGTTCTGTTCAATGCTTCCCACTGTTCCAGTAGTGGCCAGCATTGGTCATCTGGGAGACATCGACAGCCTCTAGAGGAATTGAAAATGGATGTTCGAAGGACATAGGCAAGAGTGATCACGAGAAGTGCGTACAGCCACTGCATTTTTTAAGTGTTTCACACTTGGGAGATATTCAAATTCTAGAGAAACCAAGATCTTTAAGTTTGACAAACTGATGGATGATACGCCAGGGGTCCTTTGTCAGTTCATATGCGTGTGCATGCTGAAGGGTCCCATCAGCGAGGGTGCAAACCAATACATACCGGTTCAGGTTGCTGGAACGTTTAATAGTCACATTTTGGGGCCATCACAATTTGAATATGCGGTGTATATAGGCACATTTTATATATGCTGCACAGTAACTGCCATCTGCATATGTGAGCACTAAGCACGCACCATGTAACTAACTCAACTGTGGAAGGCTGACTAATTGTCTGGAATGTGGACAACAACTAACTAGAGCTCAATGTTAGCTTACGTCAATTGATCATTTTCCGCACATGTGCATACCAATTGTAGGATACGTTGACCTTGAAGAGTATATTTACGTGTAGAGTATAGATTTTAGAGTATAGAGAAGGAAAAAGAGAAGAATCCTTAGAAGCTCCTAAATCTAAATGGGACTAACTTAGTGTTGTTAGCGCTGACATAATCCCTCTTCAACAGCTTCCAAGGTTGCCATGGTATTACCTACCAGCACTAGAGCAGCATTCATTAGTTTGCCTTGGTTGGGTTACGTCGTCGGAGCTTCAAGTTTGCCTGCAGAGTGGAATCCAAAGGTTCAAGGCGACCATCACCAGCCACATTGAAGTGCATCAAAATATACGCCATCCCTAGCCGGAGGGAGTCTGCCGCCAACTGTTTACCAGGACTATTCGTCACCCCGGTGAGGTGGAATATTAGCCACAGTCATCCCACTCGTCTCATTCAGAAGCCACTTACCAAGTATGTCGGCCAGCGCCAAATTGACGATTGGCCGGAGAAGAGCCCGTGATCTTGAAGTCATCGGGAGAATTAGTCTGCCGGCCCTGTCGATAAAACCGAAACCCGTCGAATTCATCGCTTTTGGGGTAGTACCGCTCGTCCATTAGATGGGGGGTATTAGGTACATGCAAGACTGTGCCCCGAGGGATGAACAGACCAGTGGAGAATGTGTGATTGCTCTTTGCGAGACGAGTCAGTGCCACTACAGCGATGGTCAGTTATTGGAGGCTTGGAGCATGATTAAACACCGTCAAATAGGAGCATTACCAGGTGCAATAGGGCGGTGACGGTGACATTCCTTGATGAAGCTGTCTACTTGTACCATGCTCTCGATTGCTTCTTTGCACCATCCATTGTGCTCTTCGAGGGCACGTCGGACCTCTTCGTGTAGAGGTTCAATATATTCTGGGCGGCGACTCAGCTCATACAAACAGCTTGCTAGAACCTGCTCGATGGTCAGCATGCAGATCGAAGTCGGGACCAATCATCTACTTGAATGGTGAGCTTACTGTTCCTGCGGAATGCACGGAGCCAAAGACCACAGATACTAAACTCTGCGCTATGTGAATGTCACCGTATATACCGGAGGGATCTGTCTGGATCCATCGACAGAGCCAGTCAATGATTGTCTTGCGATCCATCCGTCATGTTAGCCAGAAACGCTCTGCGAATGCCTTGATTGAATTTACGTACTTGTGGCTCTTTCAAATCCGAGGTGCGGCGATCGGCAATTAGTTGCAGCAGCATCGCATCAAGCTCCTTTGAAAGTCTAGGTGCCTCAAAGTAAGGTGCCACAAGCCTAGATTGAAAGATGAGCAGCGTGAGACACTAGAAAGAACGGATGAGAATGGAAGGGGCTCACGGTCTGAGAAAACGTGGGAAATATCCAATTCGTCGCCCGCTGACTGGCACTGAGGCTCCGTATCTCGAGAAGAGGTCAATAGCCCTGGGATCACGACATAGCGGTGTACCAATGAGAACATGGGTAATCAACCCAAGCAAGAGATGGGTTCCCAGTTGGAAACAATTTAATTGAATCCAATCTACGTTCAAGACAATCAGCAAGTATGATAGTACGAAAGGCATCCAATGAGTAAACGTACCTGCTGCGGAGAGACCAATTTTCTGGTCGATACCACACTCTAGATCTTCTACAAGACCCGCGAAGTAAATGTCCTTGTCCGCCGAGCCACGAACTCGTGCCCAAGCTAGAGCCTTACTCAAGAGCTGAACGGGAAGGTTAACCCCGGAATCTGCGAATCCGGGAGAGGTATACTCGGATTGAAATTGCTATATGAGCTGAGTATTAGATGAACACGAGAATGTGGTTCAGGGGCTTGATCGAAGACGTACAGCATCATTGAAGGCGTATAGGGACATGATTTCCTCTGGAAGCTGGGCCAGCTCCTTCACTAAGGTATCATTGCAGATGCATACTTCCCAGCCATTGGCTGTGGCAAATTGATAGGACCCCTCACGATACTGAAAATGGAATCAGGGTATGAAATAATTTGGGAGATGCCCCAGTGGTGGACTATTATACAATACCTTCTCGTACCCTTCTTGAGAGAGTTTATCTGGAGGACCAGCGAGGCCACCTGCTACTTTCCAAGGGGCTAAAAAGCTCGTGTCGCCCATCACAGGGAGGTCAACCTATGATGTATTAGCCACAATTTTGGGGTTTTCAGGATTGTGGTAATCTGGCTTACTAGGGCACGGCGAGACCGAAGCCATACAACCAACCACGACCCGACAATAGCCACAGCCAGGAGAGCTGATATAGTCATTGTGAAAAAAAAAAATGAAAAAAAACAACCAACTATCTCAAAGCCCAAAATGACGTTCAAATTAAGTATCCCTAATCAAGTCAAGATCTTAACGTGTCACAGTGAAAATGTGAGCAGATTTTTACCATTAAGGAGAAATCTGTGCAAGTAATTAGGATGAAGGGAAAATTGCTTGGATTTTTTTTCAACACATTCCACATGACTCTAGCAGATTCAATGCGGATAACACTACAGAGTGGCTATGTCCAACTAAACTAACCCTTACTCAAACCCCCTTATCGTATCCACTGCATACCATGCGTATTTCCTACTTTTTGAGCTGAATCATGCTTGTCATGAACATTGAGATGTTTTGTATAACCATGCTTATACTGGTCAGTCCAGGTGGTCTGTCGATCTTGTGAGATATGCTAAAACCTTGGAATGATGCCAACAACTAAGGTTTAACAGAGCTAGATCGATCCATGGATTTATCGATCCTACATAGTGACACATAACATCCGTAGATCGGCCATATTTAATTATGTGCATTTATCACCTGAGTCAGTCAGGTAAGGTCCTCTGTGCGAGAAAAAGAAAGAAAGAAAGAGAGAAAAAAACAAGAAAAATCGGTCCCTTACTTTCAATACGTGCATATGCATATTATTTTCCAAGGTTCTAATACTGTACTATTAATATTTAGGTCTGAAGGATCTCATTGCAGAATGTGCCGGAAGATATTGAAATAATTCACGCACGTCTATGCATAAGCCATGGTCTACAGTAGGCCCACATGGGAAATGTACCCTGCATGTAGTGGAAATGTGAATGTGATGTCGAAAAAGTCGGTGTGGGCTCTGCACAAGTAATTTGAGAGAGAGAAAGCTCAAATTATCTATCTAGCGACTAGTCTTCTAATTATCGTGAGTTCAAATAATCTTGAGCTGGCTTTTAAACTCTCTTTGCTTTGTGTGCAGGAAAGCCAACACTTTTCCATTCATCCCTATTTGTCTTACCATGACCGTCACGATCCAGAAAGACGTCTGGTCCGATGATGCTACACCGTACGCGGTGTTGAGTAGGTTCAACAGGTTCGGTACTCCCCACGAGCAAGATTGGTGGAAGAAGACCGGTCGACTGCTGTCGAAAGTCCTGGAGGCCGCTCAATACAGTCAAGATCGCCAGTATGAGGCACTGCTCTTCTACTCGCAGATTCTTATTCCGCGACTGGGCCCTTATCCATCGGTGTTCCGCAGTGCTATTACTCGCAGTGGACTACCTCTCGAGTTCAGCGTCAATTACCAGCAGCACTCGGTCGCTGGTCATGTCGTGCGCATTGGGCTTGAGCCTGTGGCTGAGGCGTCAGGCACTACCAAGGACCCCTACAATCAGAAGCCGATTATCGAGCTGTTGGACAAGCTAGAGAAGCTAGGTCCACCAGGCTTCAATGCATCACTGTTCAATCACTTCTTGGAGGCACACACCCTCAGCGAGCAGGAGAGCCAGGAGCTTGGTGCTGACGCGAGGCCCGGCACCATTCTTACATCCCAGGCGGCTTTTGGGTTTGATTTGCAGCCAGAAACCATTTCGGTCAAAGGCTACACCTTTCCAGGCCTCAAGACGCAAGTGAAGAGCCAAGGCTTCGGAAGTATCATCAATAAGTCCTTGATACCTCTCAAAGAGTCTATCGGGCCATTTCCCGCCTTCGACCTGGTGGATGGCTATATGGCAGCCACAGACGGGTATAGTCAGTTTGCCTTTTGGTCATTTGACTGTGCAGACAACACAAAGGCCCGGCTGAAACTCTACAGCGCCCACAACAGCGTCATTTGGTCCAAGATCCAGGAAATCTGGACGCTGGGAGGTCGTGTAGACACGCCTGTGGTACAGAAGGGGCTAGAGTATTTGCGTGAGCTCTGGCGACTGACTGGCATCAGCGAGGGTGATCGTGCCTTTACTGGTGGCTTTGACGATGGTAAGGATGCCACACCTACACCAATGGTGTGGAACTATGAAATGCGGGTTGGCGAGGCTATGCCCTTGACTAAGTTTTATTTTCCTGTCCACGGAGAGAATGATGAGCGTATCATTCGCGGATTAGCCAAGTTTCTGGCGCATATTGGCCTGGTATCAGATGGCAATAATCTGGAGAACGTGATTCAAGGCTTCTAGTATGTCCTTTTCTCCTATGGGCCTGATGTTTACTGACAATTATCAGCCCTAACCTTCAATTGAGCAAGACCTCTCGACTTATCTCGTGGATCTCATTCGCCTACACTGAGAAGACAGGTGTTTATTTAAGCGTGTATTATCATTCCTCGGAAGACTATCCATGGGCAGAGGAAGAGGCGAAGGCATAACCTTATGTATTATTAGATTATCTGCCTGGCAATTTGGCAGACTAAGGTAATGATTTTTATAAGGAGTGCGCTAGATAGCTCGACAAATTGTAGCAAAGCGCATGTTCTTGCTCAGGGAATCAACAATTCAAAGATTTAACACGATTTTCGTATGCTCAAGGTCCTTTCCCGTAACCCATTCTAAGAGCAATTGCATTAGTAATCATCTTAATGATTCATAATCAAAGAAAGGACCGTGATGCCATTCAGCTCCTCGTTTTCCTAATTATGAAAGTAAAAAAATGCAAAAACAAGTATTCGTATATCATGAATTCCTTTTTCTACTATTTTCTATCTTTAAATTGTTTGAATACTCAAGCCTGATGTCTTTAATGCCATTGACAAACACAACTAATCCAATAGGGACTAGATTCAAAAGAAGTTCAAGAGCTACCAGGAATGATAGTCGGGGTCCTTGAAGAGGATTCAAAGTACATAATCTGGTTTAGCCAACTCATAAAAATGACTATTTGAATCACCGCTACGGTTTCGGAGGCCAAGCTGTGTCTCCGATTCTGTTGTTGTAAGTGACCTAGTGGCCTAGAGAAAGTGATGTTCAGGGAAATGAAATTGACAATTTCCTTCCCCATAGCTATGGGCAATTTGGATCCATATGAATTAGAACAGCTGCCAGGGAAGTCATGTAGGCGAGCATATGCCAGTGGGTTGATGAGGTTTTCAATTTGGGAGGGATAGCAAGAAGGATTCGCTGTGTTTGAGGACCAATGGTCTTGAATGGGGACGCGAAGGGGAGTGAAGTGAACTGAGAACGGAGAGTCCCAGCGTTGCCTCAACCGTGAAAACATTTGCTCTTAACGCGTTCCCTTCTTTCTTTCTTTCTTTCTTTCTTTCTTTCTTCCTTCTTCAACACCCCCTCTCCTTACCCCGTTTTTGAGAACTCTTGAACGGTACAACCTCCATGTCGACCCTATTAGTTGAGCTAATCTCCTCTTATTCGACCGACTCTTAAGTTGACCTGCTCTATCCCCTGTCTCCCAGCTTCTGGGGGAGTTAGACGTCGACCTCTGAGGGATTATGGATTCGGTGGCCTTGCTGTGCTTGCCGGGATTTTCCTGAGGGCACGGATTTCCAGATTCTGAACCTTAAAATCGGGTATCAGTAGGCTTCTGGATTGAACTGTCTGTTGCAGTACAGACACGGTGAGGAAGGTATGACCCATGTTGTTAGCTGTGTACCTATCTAGCAATGGCGAAGATACGCATGTTTGGGCTTACAAAAGGATTTGCTGGGTGTTCAGCCATTCCTTCACCTTTCGGGGAGGACAATCTTTGACAACATCTTGGCCTCTTTGCTCTTTTTTTGCAAATGCCTCTGACGGGGACAGTCCCCCGTCATCAAACAGCGCTTTTTCACCGTCGATACTCTTCAAAACTGCTCGACATTCAACGACATTCAACGACACCAGACATCACTCTGCAACACCCTCGACAATCATCAATAATAATCGACTTTTAATGATACTCATCTACAGCTTCTCTTCTCAAATATCATCGACAATCCTCGACACTCAACAGCATTACCCTACGACACCCTCGACACTAAACGACAGCACTCTATGACACTCTACGATACCATTCTTTAATAACACTTCTCGACATCCATCGACTATGCTTCCACAACACTCTACGACAACCCTCAACTATACTTGACAGTACTCTTCGACGAATCAATTTTTTGACCAAGCCACCTAGGCCTCTTTGCTCTTTTTGACATTTTGACAAATACTTGCAAAGACGGGGAAAGTGCCCCGTCAAACACTCTTCTACAGTATTGCTTGACATTGCTTGGCATTTTTGGAGTTGGGGTCATGCTTCGGCAAGGATGAACGTGGGAGGAGTAGGGACAGTTTGGTGACAACAGGAACATGGAAATTGTGAAGTGGCAGGGTTAATCATACGTTTGTGGAACAGTGGGAAGAATATATCAGAACGAAATATGTATTACCGCAGTATATAGGATGAGTTTGGTCATTTCCGGCTCTTGATTGCGGTTATTGATTGAGCATATTGTGTTTTTCTCTCTCCCTCTCGACCAACAACTAGTTTCATCTGCCTCTGTTGCCTCCGATATGGGAGATTTCAATTAAGCCCTACCAGAAGTCAACAACTTGTTTGGCCCTCGGCTGAGTCTGATACACCTTTCACGAATCGGTCCTGTTCTTATCCTTTTGGCTCTTGAATGACGTTCATCCTTAGTACAAAGGTAGCCGATATCACTTTTGGTGCATTCGATCTGATTCAAATCAGCGCTGGCCATAACTGAGAAGCGCAATCACTGACATATGGTTCTTTCCTGTCACATTTGAGCTTTGCTACTCTACGTTGAGAGCAGGGTTGGTGAACTTGCGCACTCGAGACTCGGGTCTGCACGTCTCGTGGAATCCGTCATGATAAGAAGAGGAGGAGAGTGCATATAATGGTCAAGTCAGATTGCAACCTTGCTAGCCTGAGGTCCAAGGTTCGATGAGTTATTAAGTTCTGCTTAAATCTCCATCCCCTTGTCCAATCCCTGAACGTCAATGCCATTTCTAGGTGAAAACCAACTTCATTTGCGAGTAATTTATTCCAAAATTATCGCTGAAAGCAATACTGTGTAAAAAGACAATACTATGAAATAGCAGCCAGTGAAGTAAATCAATTAACCCACCGAAAGGCCGCTGTATGGAGCCCATAACTCCAATAAGACAAGAGAATGCACTCGTAAATCATATCTCGAACATTGAATCATTAAGAAGTGGGAATGAATAGACAAAGTCCCCCAGTGCAAAAGAAAGGACTGATTATATGGAAGGATTGGCCAAAATGCAAACGATCATGAGGGGAGAAACATGCTGGATGCCATTCTATCGACATCCGAAACAGCTGATGCGGCCGAGGCTGCCCGATCACGTACTCGCTTTGAGAGGTCCATGTCATTATCATCGCCAACAAATGTCCACTCCTCTATGTCGTCTATGTCATTATCGGCATTATCCGGTGAGGCTTGGGCAGACGGAGTGGGGGAGAATGGAGTGGCTGAGGCATTGGAGCGCTGCTTCGCAAGGGTCTTGGCGTATTCAAGATCACGATAAAGAGACTGGATGGCAGTGGTCACTCCATCCTCCTGTAGAGATGAAACACTGGTCAGCGAAATGAGCATTGAGAGAATAGGGGATACTCACGTTACGGATCTGGATACCCAAATTACGAGCCTTGACAATCATCCGCTCACTATGTGTGGCCTCCCAGATAGCTCGTGAGAAAACACTGACGTTGAGCTTCTTCATGCAGATCCCCACCCCGAGGTCCTCGACCCGGGAGCCAAAGAAGAACTGGTCACCAAAAAAAGGTTTGATGATGGTTGGTACACCTGCTCTAAGGCTCGCACCTGTAGTTCCTGCACCGCCATGATGGGCTGCAGCATCAATCTGCGAAAAAAGCCAATCGTGAGGTGCAGATTGGATCTGATGGATCTCTGGGGGCAGGGGGATTTCAATTTTGGCACTAGAAGGGTCACCCAGTCGATCTGACCACCCCTTTGAAAGAATGCATCGCACGTCCGCTTTCTGCACTGATTCGATGACAGTCCGAGTCAAGGCAGCAGGGTCAGAGACTACAATAGACCCAAATCCAATGTACACAAGCTTCTTCCCGTCAGCACGGGCACGATTAATGAAGTCTGTAAGCCCTGCTGGAGGAGTCCAATCCGAACCCTCTTTCAGGAACCAGTAGCCCGTGATTCGAATCCAATCTGGAAAATCAAGAGGCGGTGGCACCACCGAAGGCGAAAAGTTGTATAGGAATGGAACTTTATTTTGCTGCATGCGGTCCAAGTTGGTGGCTTTGAGCCCAAGCTCTTTGTTCCGCCAACGATTGACCTGGCCGGCGATTGCCTTCCAAAATATATTGTCAAACATAACGTATGTGAGGTGATTGTAGTAACCTCCCATGCGATTCTCCGGAACCGCAAATGCATGTGGGTATGCACGAGTTCTTGACCAGGGCATGGTAAATCCACGGAAGTATGGAATTCTGAGAGCCTCCGCAATATGAATTCCGGCCATTGCACTCGGCGATTCGATAAGAAGGTCACTGCCTTGGCAGCTGGACCAAGCAGACGATAATAAATCATCAATCCAGCCTCGGAATTTCGAAGACGCCTCCCGCAGGAAAGAATACGTGAACATGCCATTCTCCACGCAGATCCGCATCAGCTCTGCAGGGTCACCATCAACGGGAGCAAAGTCGATTCCGTGCTTCCGGATCCATGGCTCAAATTCAGCATGTGTCGCAATCTTTGGCTTGTGGCCTTCAGCAAGAAGCCCCTTACACAAGGCGATGTAGGGCTGTACATCACCCCGGGATCCAATGGTCAGACAAGTGATCTTTAGGGGCTCGGGAGGCTTAAAGTTGATGATGGAAGCACGAGGGTCGTCAAAGAATGGGTGTATCTCAGATGAGCCCTCATGGAGCGTCGGATGTGATTCATGTTCCTCAGGGTTGTCAATTCGAGCCTCCTGTAGCATTTGGTGCTCGGCCTTTGCTGCCTCGACTTCCTTGCGCTCCTCCTCTGCCAGTAGGCCTGACTCCATGAGGAACTTAACAGACTCCAGATTTTGGTGGAGTGTGACTGCGCAGTCATCCCTCGCATCGGAGGTATTGAATTCAAAGAAGAGCTCTTCGTGGCCGCGGATTATGACAACTAGTCCGTGGTAGCCAAATCGAAACCCGTTCTCTTTCTCCACGTTCTCAACGTCTTTCAGAGGCAAAATCATCTTGGTGCGAGTGCCGGGGATCAAACTGCGAAAGCAAAGTTTTCTCTCACTGACATAGATCTTGCCGTATAGTGGGAGCATTCGATGCAGATAGGCATAGTAAGTTGCTTGCAGTCGCTCGGTAGCTGGGAGGGCGAAATGAGCACGGAACCGGTCGCCATGACTAGCATTGGCTTGCTCCTCTTCAGGGTCGATGGTTTGGTCCCTTGGTATCACGCCTTCGGTTTCGCCATAATGCCTCTGTCCACCAATCCACATGCCAGATACCTTCTCGATATAGCCCATGGATTCAGCTGCTAGCAAGCTACTCATCTGCCGAGATCTGCTTTTCAGATACTCTGCAAAGCCGGCAGCACGTTGAAGTGGATACGCTCCGGCCTTGACAAGGTCATTCAGGGGAACATTCGCTGGTGGGCGTTGTGTCAACCGACTTGGTGTGTTTAATGTATCTCGATGCGCTGGGCCCAATCGCGCAGATGTAGAGCGAGCCGTATCATCAGATCGCCGCTGGAAAAGATCACCAGTGTCAGATGAGCGTCTTGGTAGGGACCGCATCGTTGGTGATTGGAAAACATCACTCCGGTTAAGAATTTGACTCGCGGACTCGGTCGTTTCTGTCATTGAATGTACGACATGCGATGAATCTGTTCCCTGGTCCGCCGAATGAGCAAACGAATCGCCAGAGCCTTGATGTTCGTTGCCGATACTTGGACTCGGGGCGCGTGACAACTGATCTTGCTTAAGAATCTGGCTATCTGACAATCCCCTGAGATCTGTGACTGTTGCATCGGGTCCAACCCTCCCAGACTTGGCATCCCGCGACTCTTCTGATGGATTTCTTGTAGGAGATGAGCTCACTAGACTCTTTAAATAATCAAAGGCCTCCTGGCCTGAGTTGAAGAAAGAGAAAAAATACTAGGCATCAAAGTCAGTATGCTTGAGGGGGTGTTCAATGTTAAAGGGGAAAAAACTTACTTCGTCAATGGCGAAATCCTCATTACTGTCTACGACTCGGATTTTGAAAGTCTCGGCGAATTCGGCCATGGGACTCTCCTCCAGGTCAATCACATTCTTGATGGGAAATGAGACTTTGACACTATCTCCCTCGTTGTGAGACCTGAAGATGACTTTCTGAAGTGCCTTAACCCACTCCTTTGCGCTTGTAGCACTATCTGCGCGAAAGTGAAAGGTACGCTGGTCGGTGCTGACTTGGAAGTCTTTCACCTCGGCGCCTTGGATCTTAGGCTCTGCGAGAGAAGCGGAGATCCCATAGCGAAGGTCCACATGGCCACTGGGGAAGTACAGGTTTGAAGGATCGACGAAGTATGACAGAACATCACCTCTCAGAACAAACCAGTAACGGTTGTACTTGGGATTTTTCCGACCGCGCTTCGACAAGTAGCCTGATTTGATAGCCACGGTAGATTTCTTCGGCAGGTACGCATAGAAGCAGATATGCCCTTCCGTCACATACATGTACCCTTGAAGAAGCATACTCTGCAGCAATGCACAAGCGTATTCGACCAAGACCTTTTCCGTTCGTTCAAATCCAAACATCTCCATTAGTCGCGAAGAGAGGGCAGAGCCTGAGGTTTGCGGTCGCTCCTCGCTTGGGGTTTCCGGCCTCGACGGAGGATTCTCAGGCACCGATGCGGTGTCGAATCGATTCTGTGCCTGTACCATCCGTGAAAGAACGGGGGCTGCCCGTGGCGTTACACTGCGGGTTTGCCTCAGCGGTAGCATGAGTACCGACCCGCTGGGCGTCGACATCTCCTTCTCTTCATCCTTTGAAGTCAAGGAAGGTAGCTTCCGCACCGCTTTGTTCTCCGATATTGTTCTGCGGTGGCGACGGCCTCGTTCGTCAGTTTCATCTGGTGAGTTTAAAGCGGGAGTCCCGCTAATGTTGTGATGTAATGATGAATCTCTATTTGCAACGTGCGACCGATCTTCTTTTCGTTTCTCGTCCGGTTCATCGTCACTCGAATCATCAAATCGAGCACGAAAGTCGGATCGAGACCCCACGGCGGCGATCATGGAAAACAATGACTGCTGCATGTAATGCATATTGCCATCTCGCGAGCTCATACCTTGTGGCGGGGCTGTGAAATCTACTTGGGCATCTGCTTCGTCCTTGAAGCGCTCGGGAAGCCGATCGGGAAATGGACGATGTACGGAAGGAACTCTCATGCTGGCACTCATTCTTTGATCTCCCCGCCGTTTGGCGTCATCTATTGAAGGTCCCATCTTAACGGATGATATGGTATAATCGATGGAAGTTGGAAGCTGGAAGCTGGGGCCGTTGGGGGAGGTTGACCGTTGGCAGATCGGGAGGGTCGGGGGGTCAAAAGTCCCAGGTGACAGTTGATAGGATGATCTGTGGCCACGTCAGGTGGACTTCGGTGTATAGTTGCCCAACGGCGGAGCTATCAACAGCATAGCATGTGAGGGGGATGAGATGGATTGATTGCACGAGGTTCTTAGTTCCCAAGTTCCCCCAACTGTCCAAAGCGATAAGGACTGATAAGGGGAAGCTCGGACCCACAAGGTACTTCACAGGTCCAGTGTTCAAGACATACGGAGTACACAGATCATATACTCCTTTGATACCCGTAGACTGCTCTTGCAAGATGACATGGTAGCCTTATTACCACTAGACTTAATCTTCAACCGTACTGAATGTACTGAGCACTTTTCACCTGAGATACTCAGTGTCATATGAAGTTATGTGATGCAGTCATGTGTTTTATTATGTAATCGGGTCACATTTCAGAGTCTTTTGACTAGCGATACCCAAAAATATCTGTTAGAGGATCGGTATTTGTACACATATATCATCTTGATACGCAGTAAGTTAGTGAGATTCTTTGTTTGTGTAGATTGTGGATTTGATGTGGACTCGAATGCGGGGAAGATCGACATTTGTTAAGCATCGTGGATCCCCCTATCACCGCTACATTTGAAACCGACCAGTTATTACTTGTAGCCCAAGGTTGGCTCATTCCCTATATCTTATTTTTGAACAGAATCAGAATAAAATCAGATCCTGGCTTGATCACCTCATCGTACCATTAAATGATAAATTGACTCGTCGAGCCAACCCGACTGCCATGACTCTACCCTATACTCCGTAGCCGACAACCGACCAGCGTTCAAGCCTCGTCCAGCCACAAATATGTGACCGAGTGTTATTCGGCCTGGTCCCGAACGCGAGTCCTAAATCCTTCCAGGTCAAAGCCTTTCATCAAACCATTCAGAACTCTCATTTTGACTCGCCTGTCGGCTCCATAACATCATCGTTCAACGCTAAGGCGTGCTCGTGCGTGCCAACGAGCCTACCAAGTCTAACTTTTCTCTATTCAGCAGACGTAATGAAATAGCACGCAAAGACACCCCTGTACCTGCTCACCATGACATGGTCCGAGCCACAAATCTATTTTATATCGCCGATGGCCTGCTTGTGTGGCCTTGGCTTGAAGATCGACTGTAGCAGCTTTTTAATAGTCGCCAATCAACATGGGGCTCTTTTCCTTCCCTGAACTGAATACCCGCTTGGGTACTTGGCGTGCCTATCACTTGGCCGGCATTGTCTTGTTAGTATTTTCGTTCTTTTTACACGAGTATGAGAATTCTGAACGATCCATAGTATTTCCTCTTTCCTATCCGGTTACGATGCAGGTATCGCTGGTGGTATCCTCACCTTCTCTTCCTTCGAAAGCGACTTTCGCTACTCTTCTGCACACGAGTCCAAGGTCTCTTCACTCACTGTTGGCTTGGAGCAGCTTGGCTCCTTCGTCGCCGCAGCTGTCGTTTATCCATTAACGAACAAGTTTGGAAGGAAATATGTGATCATCTCAGTTACGGGTATTTTCTGCCTAGGCGTCATTATACAAGTCATCAACACACACTCACTGGCAGCCTGGTATGTGGGCCGCATCGTCGCTGGTTTGGGCATGGGTGGACAGAGTGTGGTGATTCCCATGTACTCGGCAGAAATGACCCCTAAGGAGATTCGTGGTCGCTGCGGTTCTTTCTATCAATGGATGTATGCGTGGGGGGTTTTCCTTGCGTACTGGGTTGACTATGTAGGTCTGTTTCTCTCTTCATATCGATGGGCACTGACCCGTCATATCAGGGTGTGAAGCAGAGTGCCTCGATTTCCGGTACCACCCGCGAGTGGCAGATCCCCGTTGGCCTCCAGCTAGTTTCTGGAGGTGCCCTGTTCATATTGACCTTCACACTGCCAGAGTCAATCCGTTGGCTCTCAATCCAGAATCGCAACGAGGAGGCCTGGAAATCAATGGAGTGGATGAGAGGTGGTGACAACCAGAAGACTCGCGATGAGTTCGCAGAGACCCAATTGGGTCTGCAGGCGGAGCGCGCTGAGCGGGAGGGCTTCTCTTTCCGCGAGCTTCTCGAACCTGCGAACCGCCTTCGTTTCTTTGTTGGTCCGATGCTTTTCATCTTCCAGAATGCCACAGGAAGCAGTGCCCTCGCGGTCTTCGCGCCGCAGTACTTCAAGCTAGTTGCTGGTGGCAACTCGGATATGCTGCTCACTGCCTTGTTTGGTGCTGTCAAAGTTATCGCGTGCTCATTTTTCATTTTCTTCCTTTCGGAGCGTCTGACTCGTCGTTCATCTCTGATAGGCGGATCCCTGTTCATGGGAATCTGTATGCTGATCACAGCATTGGTCGTTGACAAAACCCACACAACCATTGACGGGAATACCACTGCTGCTGGACGTGCGACGGTCGCTATGCTTTATCTTGACATTATGGTTAGTTCGTCTCATATTTTCTCCGTGACTTCCTACTAATACCTCTAGATATACAATTGCTCTTGGGGTCCTATGCCGTGGGCCTATGTGCCTGAGATCTTCCCAACTCGCATCCGAGCTATGGGATTAGCTGTCAGTATGCTGGCGCACTGGGCAACGTCATTTTGCTTCTCTTTCGCTAGTCCTTACATGATCAAAAATGTGGGTGCGAACACCTTCTTGATCTTCATGGGCTTTGACTTCGTCTCTGCTGTCTTCTGTTGGTTCTTCGTGAAAGAGACTCGTGGAAAGAACTTAGAGAAGGCGGCTGGTACTGAATGGGAGGCTGTCGAGCGTAGCTCTGATGATGAGAAGGGTGGAGTGTTGAGTGCCAGTGGAAAGAGACTGCAACTTGTTAGTGTGCATGAGAACTTTCACACCAACCTTCATCATTCCAAGTAAGTTTGCGATGGGAACATACCTCGGCGTTGCTTGAACAATATTGCTTTGAGTGCATCAAATCCCAATACCGGGTTGTCGCTCACTTGATGTCACCTATTTCTGAATTATACCTTTTAATGTTAGAATTGGTATCGCCAATACAATTTGAAGATCATAACATTCAGGTGTAAATTGTACATTGAATTGTCCTGCATATCATGGAACGAAGATATCTTTTAGCTAAACAAGAAATAGATAAACCCTAACACCGAATCATGCCTTTGGCTTTTTGCGCTTCTTCTCCTCGGTATCCTTGTGTGACTTTTTCGATTTCTTATGACCCTGCTCCTCGTCTCCATTTTCCTGAGTATGCTTCCTTGACTTCTTCCGGCTGGGCAGACTAGTCGTCTGGGCAGCATCCGCATCAGTGTGGTGGTGCTTCCGCTTACGCTCTGTCTCTCCAGCAGGGACCTTGAATGAAGGCTCAGAATCGGAGTCCGAGCCCAAAGTCTCTGGCGGAGCGGGCAAACTGCCAACAGGCCGGAAACGCATCTTCAAGTTCTTCGGTTGGGGCCGAGCGGGCTTGACGGTATCCCGAAGCGCTTCCACCGCCGCCTTATCGGCTTCTGGTACACCCATCAATTCCTGGATGTGGTAACTGGGGATGTTGTCGGCTTGTTTGAAGTATGTCTGGCTTTTGTGGTCGAAGAGCAGCAGAGACTTGCCCTGCGCACCTTCTTCGCTGAGCGATTCGGTGGGAATACCGTAGTTTGCGCCGTCGAATGAAAGGATTGGCTGGCCCTCGGCGATCTTGGACATGGAGATCTCCTTGACCTTTGACAGTGGGAGAAAAGATGGAGCTGTGATGTGGATGACTTGCTTCCCGTTCAGGTTGGAGAGGATAGAGGACGAGGCCGAGGATGGCGGGGCTAGCTGTTTTGCGGACTTGAAGCCGGAAGGAGGCTTGTAGGGCTTGGGGGCGACAACATTGACCCTGAAGTGACGAATATTAGTTCGCATTCAATGCCGCGTAGATAAGCGCGATAATCCTAGAAGTTTGACTGACTTTTTGGCAGGTGACACTGCTTGGGGAGCATCGTCGCTGGTGTCCATGTCGCTGGAGCTTTCGTCATTGTCGGACTCGGAACCAGATGAACTTGATGAGTCTTCGGCTTCGTCCTTTGTCTTAGATACACTCTTGATAGTTTGCTTCTGCTTGTTGTCTGGCTCGGGAGAGGAGGAGCGGCTGGAGCTGCTGTCGCTCGAGGAGGAAGATGAGGCGGCCATGGCAATTATAGGCGTTTCTTGCGTCAGATGGCAACGACTTAGCTTGGATCTACCCCCACGAGATCTGATCGACAAAGACGAAATTGGCGATATGTGTCGAAACGATAGGTGGATTTGCAGAGCCAATTAATTGTATCGCAATAAGTCGCGACAGTTGAGAGAGCAAATGATCAAATGTTTCGGATCTTTTTTTTCTGCTCCGCGGGCGCACGGACCACTCGCCAACTTTTTTTCCTTATCAGCTTGAACCGGCATTATCACCTTTTGAAGCTCCCTTTCCACGTCATGATGAAACGCAAGGCTGAGAAACAACAGGTCGCAGGTACATAACATTTCCTTTACTCCGAGTTTATCTTTCTAATGGAATCTAGGCCCCGTCAGTGCGATTGCAGCTCGCAAAGCTCGGCAGCAACAAGCACAGAATGTGACGGCAACAAGAATCGAAGTGGTGGTTCAACCGGTCGCAGAACCACCTTCTAAGCGGCCCCGACGATCTCTCGATGGCACTCAAGTAACAAAGGCAAATGACACAGAGTCCAATGGTCGCCAGACAAGGTCATCCAAAAACCAAGAAGTCCCAGTCTCTTTAGACACCACAGGCCGGCCAAGGAAAGCAACTCGAGCCCATCAGTCGCTGTCTCAGGACAGGATCGCGAAAGTGGAGGTACAGGAGGAAGTCAAGGACGAAGACAAAGATGAAAATGAAGAATTGGACGAAACCTCAGTCAATGGCCCCGAGGAGATGACTGAGAATGAGGTCGCATCTGTAGCTGGTGATGCCGATGGCTACGAATCGCCTACGGAAACAGTTGAAATGCAAAACTTCCCCTTGTCTAAGGCTAGACTGAACAAAAACAGCATAGTTTATGCGGATGAGAACACTTTGTGTATTCGCATCAAAGAGAAAACGGTATGTATGTCGGTATGGACCGATTTGAACAGCGCTAACTAATATTTAGAACTTGGCTATTATCGGCCAATATGATCTTTGGGTGAAACGAGGAGTTGTCAGTCTTATGGGTGCCAAGTTACCTCCCTCTCCGCGGGTGTATAGGGTCTATGCTCCCTCGACCCACTCATTGCCTATTATCAAGTGCGTCTCCGGTGTAGAAGGCGAGGCAGAGGTGCAGATCAAATCCTGCAATACTGGTCTTTCCCGTCTTCGAGACGTGTCTCCGCTGTATCAGAAGGTCTGGAATGGACAGAACACCGCTGTGGATAAGGCTACTTTGAAAGGTGCTCACAAGAATTTGCGGCGGTCTTTTTCAGTGGTATGTCAGCCACAGTTTAGCATCCCTTGTGCTCAGTTTAGACCTATGAGTTAATACTTGGCAGCTTTATACATCGGCAGATGATCCCTTGAAGCGACACCTGCGACCTCTCCATCTTGATAAGAAATGGAGTGCGTCTATGAAAGCGCTCTCCGAGCGACAGGGACGCCTTCGAGTCCTGATATGTGGTCCAAAAGCGTCTGGAAAGTCTACTTTCAGCCGATATCTGCTGAACCATGTTCTCAGTCCTGCTCCTGAAACGGAAAATGGTTTTACCAATACCGATGGAGTTGCTTTCCTCGACTTAGACCCGGGGCAGCCAGAGTTTGCCCCCATGGGCCAGGTCTATCTAGCACATCTTCGGGCTCCATTCTTTGGCCCTCCATTCACCCACCCTTCACTCGACTCGCGGGATGGTCAAATATTGCGATCTCATCATATCGGGGCAACCTCCCCGAAAGAAGATTCCGACCATTATGCCCTGGCTACAATGGATCTCCTGGATGAGTACCACACATTATTGGCACAATATCCCCAGTGCCCTTTGATTGTCAACTACCCGGGCTGGATCTTTGGGCAGGGCTTAGAGGTGGCCACATGGCTAGTCAAATGCCTCGGTCTGTCTGATGTTGTTTATATGAGTGAGAAGGGTCCCCAGGAGGTTGTCGAACCTCTACGGTCTGCTGCAGATGAAGCTCGGGTCCCGATGACAATTTTACCGTCCCAGCCGACTGACTTTGTGAGCCGATCAAGCGCTCAATTACGCTCAATGCAGATTCAGTCTTACTTCCATTCATCTCATCCCACGGACATCAGTAATCCGCTTTGGTCGGAGATGCCTCTGTCGCGCACAAGGCCAATGACTGTGAATTATGCCGGACTGAGGCAGGGGATTTTGGGCATTATGGCTATGGGCTCACAGATCAGCCCCAACATGCTCCGTGAAGTTTTGGAAGGAGCTATTGTCGGCTTGGTAGCGATCGAATCTCCAAGTGCTATTATGGGCGCCTTTTCTTCAGATGGGGTGGCTGCCGCCAGTGCAGAGGAGAGTGGGTCTGCTGATGACCAAATGGACCTGGACTCGGAGAAGCATCAAACTAATGGCTCGACCTCCTTTTCCCCAACTGACAACATTGTCAGGACACCTGAAGGTCTGCCATATCTATTCACGGGATCTGGAAGCTGCACTCCCCTGAACCCCAAGGCCTCCAACTGCCTGGGGCTTGCACTGATCCGTTCTGTGGATGTCGATTCACAAAAAATCGAGCTTTCCACCCCTGTTCCGCCTTCGCGTGTTCGCGATGTCATCGAGCAAGGACATAGCCTCGTGTTGGTTCGCGGCCAATTGGATAGCCCTAACTGGGCTGTTAGCGAGGAATACCACGCTGCTCGAGCTGCAGAGCGACGCTACCAGCAGGTTGTCACCCGTGCTAAAAAGGGTGGAGAATCTGCTGCTGACCAAGCCCAACACACTGAAACACTTGCCCTCCTTCGAGACAGGATTCGGCGTGCAAGCAATGTACCCTGGATGAAGGTTGTGGAAGATAATAGTCGGCATCAGCGGGAGGTAACTGCGCGACGGGAGAAATCTCTCTGGAAGCTTAGGAAAAAGGCCTATCCAGGAAGTGAGAGTGAGGCTGATTATTAAAGTCAGACTTACATCACTCATAGTTTTATCATCAATTGAAGCTTTCCTAATTGGAAGTTGAAGAACAAATCAGTGATCCGTAATCGTTAAGGTTTCACCGCCTTCATGTGGGCGGTGTGATTGACTCTTTTTTTTTCTTATCGATTGGCACGGGTGCCCCTCTATAAAATCTTCAAATTCTTTTCCCCATTGCATTTGCCCCGGGGGAGCTTGTTCCTTAAACCATTACAAGATCTTGTTTGGATCAAAGGATCAAGGATTATCAACCTTTCATTTAACTTTATTTCAGGTGACTGAAACTTCACAATGTCCTCCGCAGTCATCCCCCACAACGCCTTCGACACCATTCTGGTGCTCGACAATGGCTCTCAATAGTATGCTTTTCTCCATTACACCAAGATTGAGCATTGATATGACTCGTTGTGATCTGATATACTAATACCCGTCGTTTTGCAGCACCCACCTTATCACCCGTCGCCTGCGTGAGATCAATGTCTACTGCGAGATGCTTCCTTGCACCCAGAAGCTGGCCGACCTTGCCTGGAAGCCCAAGGGTCTCATCCTGTCCGGTGGTCCCTACTCCGTTTACGAGAAGGACGCTCCTCACATTGACCCTGCCTTCTTCGACCTCGGTGTCCCCATTCTGGGAATCTGCTACGGTCTCCAGGAGATCGCCCACCGTCTCCACGCCGACAACGTTGTCGCTGGTACCGCTCGTGAGTACGGTCACGCTGATCTGAAGGCCACCCGCTTCGGTGGCCACGTCGACAAGCTGTTCGAGGGTCTCGAGGATGCCATGACTGTGTGGATGTCCCACGGCGACAAGCTCTGCAACCTGCCCGAGGGCTTCCACACCATCGGAACCACTCAGAACTCCGAGTACGCTGCCATTGCCCACAAGACCGACCCTGTTTACGGCATCCAGTTCCACCCCGAAGTTACCCGTGAGTTACTTCTACGATGATCCTTGATCGATCAAGGTACTAATTACCCAATTGATAGACACCCCCCAGGGTGGCCAGCTTCTGAAGAACTTCGCTGTCGGTATCTGTGGCGCCCAGCAGACATGGACCATGTCTGAGTTCATTGGTCAGGAAGTTCAGCGCATTCGGGAGCTTGTTGGCCCCAACGGCCAGGTTATCGGTGCTGTCAGCGGTGGTGTTGACTCCACTGTTGCTGCCAAGCTGATGACCGAGGCCATTGGTGACCGTTTCCACGCTGTCCTCGTTGACAACGGTTGCATGCGTCTCAACGAGTGCGCTCTCGTCAAGGAAGTGCTGCAGGAGCAGCTCGGTATTAACCTGACTGTCGTTGATGCCAGCGAAGAGTTCCTTGCTGGTCTTAAGGGTGAGAATGACCCCGAGAAGAAGCGCAAGTTCATTGGTGGCAAGTTCATCGATGTGTTCGAGGCTGAGGCCAGACGGATCGAGGCTGAGAGTGCCGGTAAGGTCGAGTGGTTCTTGCAGGGAACTCTCTACCCTGATGTTATTGAGAGTATCTCCTTCAAGGGTCCCTCGCAGACTATCAAGACCCACCACAACGTCGGTGGTATTGCTGAGCGCCTGATGGCTGGCCACGGTCTCAAGCTCATTGAGCCCCTGCGCGAGCTGTTCAAGGATGAGGTCCGTGAGCTCGGTCGTCAGATGAACATCTCTGCCGAGCTTGTTGGCCGCCACCCCTTCCCTGGTAAGTTGGATTTCTATGAATCCATATCTCCATTGAGTTATCTAATAATTTTCTAGGTCCCGGTCTCGCCATCCGTGTTCTGGGTGAGGTTACCAAGGAGAAGGTCGAGATGGCCCGTAAGGCCGATAACATCTTCATCTCCATGATCCGCGAGGCTGGTCTCTACGACGACATCGGCCAGGCCTACGCTGCCCTGGACCCATCGCGGGCCGTCGGTGTGATGGGTGACAAGCGTGTCTATGCTAACATCATCCTTCTCCGCGCCATCTCCACCCGTGACTTCATGACCGCCACCCCCTACCCCTTCAGCTACGAATTCCTGACCAAGGTCTCCACTCGCATCGTCAACGAGGTTGATGGCGTCTGCCGTGTCTGCTATGACTTCACGAGCAAGCCCCCGGGTACCATTGAGATGGAGTAAATATTCGCCATACCAAACTTTCATTTGTTTTTTTCCAGGTTTAGCTTTGGGTTGAGGGGTTATAGGATGTAATAGAAAAGCCTTCCCATGTCGATATAGGATTAGATTTATCGAGGTTATGATTCATGTGCATAGAAGAATTGAGTTTCTCCCATTCCATCCCCAGACCATGTAAAGTTTCAATGTGTCAGGATTGCTATTGTCGGGTGATCGTTTTGTCAAGTTACGCTAGATATGCTGAAGAATAGTCCTATGGTTTGGACAAGACAGAAGTATGTGGAGATACTAACCGGCTTAACAAGGGAAAGACTCAAGTGATAGTAGTTCCAGCTTGAATCTGGGCCGACTTGCAGACTCAGTCGATATCAACGGAGAAAATTAGAGCTCGGCTCTTCCGCTTGAAGAACCTTGGCCATCTCTCTCATCTATCTCTCTCTCCCACGACTGGACCATAAGTGCTGCCACATTTCTACCCATCAAAGCACTCGTCTCCATTGTTGAGATAAAGCTCTCAATACCGCTAGTGTACCAGACACTAGGCGCCAAAAGAGCCTCCTCGAATGTCACACGAGGGTACATAAGAGGATACGGATGCCATACCTTTTCGTGGAACCAGCTAACCTCGCTCTTGGGGAGATCCTCGATGGTTGAGTTCTTGAGAAATGTGATATCCGAGTCAAAAGCGCGGTGATATTCAATGCCGAATAGTTTGGCAATGAAGTCAGCGGTTGGTCGCTCTGGAGAGAAGATCTTGTAGACGAAGTGATTCTCTAGCTGCTCCTGGCCGTCTTTCATGATAATTCGAGGTACCTCTTGGAGCGTACTAACACTCCAGAACCCGGAAGGCCCGACACCCTTCGGGTTTGTCCCAAGGTCAAGTCCCTCGGGAAGTGTCGTTAAAATAGTCTCCGGGGGCTGGAAGTTCTTATCGTCGAGGCCGAAGAATTGAGATGAGATCCGGTGCGGCGAAGCAAGAAGGGTGACGTGAAGCTGAACATATGGTATTTTATCCGGTGTATGCTCCAGGGGTGGAGAGATCGAGATACCGGAGTATTGCAGCGGTCCAGCGATTACAACTTCATCGAATTCCGATTCATCTGACTGTGCAGATTCGAGATCAGAAGTCGACTTAGAGGTAATTCGCACAGTACCTTCATTGCTCCTCGCAATCTTAGTAACTGTCGTGTTCAATCGGACCTCAGTTTTAGCAGCCTTCAATACCCCATCAAATATCCTCCAGTTCCCACCATGAACAGATACCGCGCCATCCGTTGCCATGCAGACCATGGATTCCAGCCCGTGGATCAGCGCTATATTCTGGCCATAGTTCACTCGCGTGCTTGCTTGAATAATCTCCCGGGCAAATAACTCTGAGATTGAGTTTGCATCCAGGAAGTTGCTGCCCGGGGAAGCGGTCACATTGACTAGATCGACTGCTGCTGCTGCCTCCGACAAAGATCGGAACGGAAACAGTGGCTCCTCATATAGCCTCAGAAACCTGCCGACAATGTCCTTCATCAGATTCTGAGTACGTAACGGGGCCAGTCCGTATCGCCAGAGTAACTTGGCAATATTCCACCAGCCAGAGGAATCCTTCATTGTGAATACAAACTGGGAGCCATCCCAGATTCCTATAGAGTCGGCAGTCTGTTTAGGTCTGGCATGATCTGCGCCGAGGACGAAGAGACCAAGGTCGTATGAGGCATTCATGAGGATTTGATTGACCTCTACAAAAATTGAAGCGCCCAGTTCGATTGGATATGCGGGGTCATCGAAAGCATCGACCGTTGTCGAACGACCACCGACATACGAAGCACGCTCAAATACAGTCACATTGACAGGAATACCTGAGGCGTCGGCGAGTTTGCGCAATTCATGTGCGGCAAATGAGCCTCCAGCTCCTGCTCCTGTATGGGGATTAGCAGGTCTGGTCTGCTATGGTATTTGGATCTATCTGGGGCTATTGGTGGAGCCTACCGATGACAGCCACCCGTTTCGGGGCGGCATCTAGGACGGTCTGTAATGGCTGTTGAGTTGCGCTGCTAGATATATAGAACAAATTTAGGGCATAGAGAGCCCAAAGAGATATCCTGATGCCCATGATTGACAATGAATAGTAGTAAGCCCCTTGAGGGAGGTTTGAGGTGGATAGAAGCAAACCAATGACGAGAGGAAGTTAAGTGGGGACGGACGATCGGTATCGCTTATCGTTTATCCATTTTTTTCCTTGAACGGCGGGGTTTTAAGACTTTAACATATCCCAATTCACCATGGATCCCTACGACAGTGACTCCAGTATTGACGAAGATTTCACCGATACTGGTGTCCTTCTTGGTTATGCCGCTGAAGAAGTCATCGAAGACACAGTCAGCCATCTAGGCGGTTGGCCGGTATGCATAGTAGTCCCAACCCTCATGAAGCCAAACTAAATGGAAAACAGAAATGGCTCGCGGATAATACCCCTCCACCGGGTGAATTTGCCAACTGCAAGGTCTGCAATAGTCCTATGCTGCTCCTACTTGAGTTGCACGGTGACTTGCCCGATCATTTCCCCACCGATGAGCGCCGCCTATACATATTCGGCTGTCCTAGAAAACCATGCAACCGCAAACCAGGCAGTGTCCGAGCGTATCGCGCAACTCGCAAGGTCAACTTGAACGCTACAAAGGAGTACGAAGAAGAAGGTACCAAGGAAATTGAAAAGAAAGCGGCCGCACCAGCCCCACCCCCACCCCAGAAGCCCAAAGATCTAGGAGCCAGCCTGTTCGGAGCAACCTCGTTGACAAGCAGCGTGTCTGCCAATGCCAACCCTTTCTCCTCCAACCCGGGCTCGTCTGCTGGTTTTGTCAATCCCTTTGCGATGCCCAAGCCCTCCATAATTCTTGCTTCTGCTTCAGCTCCAACTCCCGCTCCAACCCCAGCCCAATCTTCCACCAATGCGCTCGCCGAATCCTTCGCTGACAAGGTCCGGATCTCGTCTCCAGAGCCATCAGCTAGTAATCCCACTATCACTGCCTTCAAGCCCACCCCGGAATCGCAAGGCGCCCTCGCCCCATGGCCAGAACAGTCCGCCTTCCCGGCCCCATACCAGAACTACTTCCTAGATGCCGAATACGAGACCCTCTCGCGGCCATCAACGCCCACCGTCCCGGATAACGTGCAAATGGAACCAATGGAGGAAGACGGTGGCGCCGGCGACGTTGATCTGAAGGACACATTCGAGTCCGATCTCGACAAGGCATTTATGAAATTCTCTACTCGCCTCTCTCACAATCCTGAACAGGTCCTGCGCTATGAGTACCGCGGTAGTCCACTGCTGTACTCGTACGCGGACGAGGTGGGCAAGCGCTTACATCCTGAGCACTCGGCTGGACGGGTGGCTACCATTGGAGGTGGACATATGCCGCGTTGTGAGTACTGCGGTGCACAGCGTGTCTTTGAGGTGCAGCTTGTGCCGCATGCTATCAGCATTCTTGAGGATGGACGCCCGGGTGTTGGACTCGGGAAAGATGATGCAGGCATGGAGTGGGGGACGATTGTTATGGGTGTTTGTGCCAAGGATTGTGCTCCCGAGGCTCTTTGGCAGACTGGCTGGAGAGAAGAGTGGGCTGGTGTGCAATGGGAAGAGATCAAATAGATTATACCACATCCATGAACCTCGGATATATGAAAAATAGATTTCAGTTGAACTTGCTTTACTTTTCTCAAGCACTTGTCTCATTTACGTATTCATCTTGGTCGGTATGTCTTATATTTTGAGCCAGATGAATTGGCTCGGCATAGGTATGATATGAACAGGCATCTCTTGCAACAATCCTTCATCCGCTCGTTTCAAGCATAAAACACATTCCAATAGGAGAAAAGAAACGCCGGATGCGCCAAATCCCGACTCATCTCCGAGCCTCCTCCATGCGAAATCTATCACCGTCTCACGGATCAGGGGATTCATGAACTCATGTCTTTTTTATTCTTCTCGAACTCCTTTGCAGGTTCAAGGAGTGAAGGGACGGAAGATGAAAAAGAAACAAAGAAAGGAAAACTAATAATGGGTAATGAAATCGCTTATGCGGGCTGCTCAAAGCCACGGCGAATGACACGGCCGAACATGTCGACGCCGACACGCTCGCTCTTGACCTCACTGCGGGCCTCGTTCTCTTTGTTGGTAGGAACGGAGACAAGGGCGCCCTCGACCTTCCAGACGCAGACTTCAGTGACGAACTTCTCAAGAGCCTCACGGTTGCGCAGGTCGAGCCACTGCTCCAGAGACTCGGTGGTCACGGAGCGGAAAGACTTGCCAACCTCAACGGCAATGCGGATGCGGATCAGCTCTTCGAAGCCGGCGACATCGGCGATCAGATCGGCGTACAGGTCGTCGGAGTTCAGGTCAGACCAGAACTGAGCGTACTGGGCGGACTCGAGGAGAGTTGACAGGCGAGAGAGCTTCTGTACGGACTCGATAAAGTCGGAGGTCTGGGAGGCAGCCTGGGCCTCTTGGGTGGTGGGGAAAGGCTGAGTGTGGGCAGGGAGCAGAGCGAGACAGAGCGAGAAGGCAGGGGAAGGGAACACGGTCAGGGCCTTGACGAGGACGTTGGTGACGGTGTCAGGCTGGAGGAGGTGAGGATTGAACTGGTAACTAATTTTCAAAAAGTGCGCGAGTCAGTAAGTAAAGGTGCGATCTTGATATGTTTGAAAGATGCGAACAGCTAAAGGCTGGCGCTACCATGCAGTGCTATTGCGAGGTAGATTCAGACTCGAAATTCTCAACAACCCCATACGCGACGGGTCAGGTTAATAGGAAACGTGAATTGGAAAATTTGTTCATCATATAAACACCAGGGAATTCATGGACAGTGTCCAAAAAGAGGTACTGGAACATGGGCGACTCACAGCTTCAACAAAGCCAGGTTGGCATAGCAGTCGAATGTCCGGTCCTCACACTGCTGCACAACATAGTCCTGGAAGACGGTGGTGGTCTCGGGGTTGTACCGATCGAGGCCATTGAGAATGGCGTCGATATGGACCGGTCGGGTTTCACACTTATCGAAGGCGACCATCTTGTTGGGTTGACGAGGGGGTTAAATGGCGGGTCTTTGTGAGGTTCTTTTTGGTGGGATTTTTGATTGTGGCCCTGGGTGGGTGCGGAATAACCGGATTGGGTTTGTTTCTCCGATCGAACTATACACCAATGTTGGAAATCACTATGTACTTGATCTAGGAATGAACTTGCGTCTTATCTGATGTTTAAACCTTCAATTGTTGGAAAGCCAGGAGTAGTCAGCATTGAGTATATGTGCATCAGGAAATTAGAAGCCAGCTAAGCTCTACCATGTGTGACTAATTATAACGAATTGATTTTGCATATCCCCATTCCAATTCCAAGGTTAGATGGGTCTATGAATAGCTATTCAAAGTCTCAATTGTTGATATGTCCAGGTGATTCAAGTGTTACCTTCCACATGCACGTGCAATTCCACATGTGCAATTCCACATGTGAATTCGAATTATTCGAAGGTTTTGAATTCAATGTTGACCGGGTCCCACGCTCACTACATAATATATATCCATACCTGCCTAAGATTATTATAGGATAGTGGCACATAAAACACCAATGGAGAACTCTGTTAATTTATATTTGATCATAAATTATCTCATAACTAATACAAAGATATTAAAAGTATGCAGATGACAGCTGAAATCGCTGTCATGGTCGTGGTCGATAATACATAGAATACATATTTCTCTAATGCTCGTTGCATCATCCGGTTCGCAATCAAACAACTCCCCCGAACCCACGAGGGCCCTTGGCCGGTGAAACGAACATGGATTCAAGTGAGGAAAGAGATGATGAAAGTAAGAAAAGAAAAACGATAAACCGAAATTACCCGAAATTAACTCCGATCCTTGTCTGCGAGACGCCATAGTCTATGCCCCGTAACATGCAGAGACCTCAAAATTGGAAAAAAAACGGATGTGGTCACATCGCTGGGAACCGGCAAAGCAGCGCATAATAAAAAAGCAAAGGGAAAAGCCTGGAAAGAAAACAAGCAGGCGGGGTATCTTAAAAGAGTAGATGTCAGGGAAAGAAAACAGATAGGAACCTCACTCTAGGCCACGACCGACCGGCGAGTGTTAATGGGAATAGGCTTGGGCCCAGAGATATCCAGCTTAGCCATGTCGAGGTTATTGCCGTCGTATTTGGTGGCTGTAGAATTGCGCTTTGAGCGATTGGCGGTGGACACGAGGACTGGCTGTGCAGTGCCGGTGGTTTCTTCGCCCACGGTGCTGCAGACAAAGCGTTCATCCGACAGGGGAACACCACCAAACATCGAACCCAGCTGTTGCAGAAGCGCAACAAAATGAGCGTGTATCTCGGTAAAAATGTACTCATTTCCGACAATCTCGGCTAAATTGCGCGCACGGATCTGACCAAGGCGGCGTGGCTGTCCGGCCGGGTCGGTAGCTCGACCGGTGAGGAAGGAGGAGACTGGTGTGAACTGACGACCACCAGGGTTGCCTCCGGGGTTGGTTTGCTCTTCTCGCTTCTTCTCTTCTTCCTGGAAGCGTTCTGCGGCACTGACAATGCCGGTTGCGATACGGCCGAATGCTCGCCAGATGACGGGGCAAGCCCGGAATGCTCTTCCGGCATCTTTTCCGGCGAGGGCCACTAGAGCATAGCTGCGTCGTTTGCCCCGGGCCATGGGGTCGGGTAGACGGAAAATGTAGGCAATGGTGTAGCCAGCGACAGAGTCGCCAAAGCATATTGGACCGGAGGAGAGACCGCGAGGGAGAAGTTCACAGCTCAGAGTGCGGATGGAGGACCGGCGCAAAAGGGCATAATCTGTGGGGTTAGGTGGGCCCCGGAGAGAAAGGTAGGTGAGAATATGTGAGTGGCAGGAAGTGTCAGAAGCGCCCGAGGAGGAATGAAGAGAATCGGGTGGAGATGCATGCGCGTGAGGGTCGGGTGTGTGATCATCCACTTCAGAGTGATTGTTACCACAAGAGTAGACAACTTCACGGGAGCGCAAGACTGGGCTACCATTGTTGGATTTACCATCACGGCTTTGTGAAGGCAGTTGCTTGCTCACACCCTCGGGGAGAGACAAGCTGCAGCTGGCGCAAGTATCGCCATCCACGCCACTCACACGGGTGGGGCGTTCTTCGGGCGAGGCTGGTTGCGGTCGCATGAAATACGGGTGATCTTCGATCTTGTCGACCTTTGAGGAATTGTAATCACTGGAAGAGGTTTGTGGGGATCTAGGACGAGGCGAGTTGGAAGGGCTGTTGTCGGGGGAATGATCCGCATCCGGATGGCATTGTGAGCATGCGAACGGAGTGACCTGAGAGCAGATAATTGAGGTAGGACCATGCACTTCACAGAAGTGCGTCAAAGAGAGCTGAATGCCATTAGCCATGGTAATGCGCCTGGAGAGAGACTGGAGCTCACAATAAAATCCATGGTGGATGTGGACCTTTATGGATCGGAAGCAAATCAAGGCATCATTGCGGGCATGCCTGGAATGCGCCGGGGAAGTATCCACAAACCAGGTTCCCGGGAAAAGGGGGGGGGGGAAGGGGAGAGATATGAAAAGATAAAGTGACAAAAGGCGAAGGAAGGAGTTGAATAATGCAAGGGAAGGGGGGCAGTAGAGAGTCCTTTTGCCACGGACCAAAGTTACATTTGGATTTCCGCCGTGTTTGGCTTCGGTCGAAGACCGAGTGGACCCAAAGAACCAACGAAAAAGGACCAAAAAAGATCAAAATGACCACAGAATGGAAGGTCGATGGAAGAAAAGAACAATTCTCCACTTGGATCCACTAACTTCCCGATTGCTCCGGTTAAGTATGTGTTTAGTTAACTACGGAGTATAGTAGTTGTATGTATGTAATGATTTTCCCATGCAGCTAATAGCATAACTTATATCTCTTGATTTTGCTATTGATAAAGCCTTCTACGTAGTTTTTCCTCTTCATCTACCTCACATTCCTTGTCTCCTTACCGAGGGAATGATATATCCCTACCCCCAAGTTCCGTGTTCCCCGTGAGATTCTATATCATAAATTAATTAAATTGATTTGATTTGGCATGTGAACTAGTTACACTCTCGTCGGCCCGACTGCAGATGAATTGACTACCCAACGTGTTCCCGTGTTCTAGTCCCGTTTGGAGAGAACCGAGGGCCGCGTCAAGTGGAGAATGTGGCTACCGACACCGCTATTGTTTGGGAAATTTGTCCTTCTGATCTATCAAAGGCCGATCACTGGAAAACGAAATTGATTCAACTCGGAGGATTTATCTCCGTGTAATTTGGTAAAGGGCTGATTCCCAATCCTCCGATTTGCTACGTTACTCCCGAACTTCAACTCAAATCAACCCATAACAACATTTAGATAATTAGATATTTTATACTTTCTTCAACGTACTGTATTCCTAGGTTTCCTACGGCCCCCCTTCGGTTCAGGATGATCTGTTGATCCTTGCTACTTTGGGGATCCGAACTTCCAGAACATTTTAGATCCCAAGATCCCAGAACTCTTTCGGGTAGGTGGACACTGGTGCCGGCTTTAGGGCTGGTAACAGGGGAGATCCTGAACGTTGACTTGCTTCTTAAATGAAGATGCTCGTATTCTGCTAGACTAACGTCGTTAATTTATGCATTGTCATCTTCTCAACGTCATCACTTTTATGCTTCCCTTCTCCCCGACTCCTGTTTACTTCTAACAAAGTTACTCACTACCTGGGCGTCCAGCCAGAACCAGGGTTACAAACTCTCTACTCCGTAGAATCCAGTGGCAATATATGCGGATACCCCTCAATTGTCCAGAGAATCCAATGGCGGCTAAGAGAAGTGGGGAAACCGAAGGATCATCACTCTGCCGAGCAGTCGAGCCGTTGCCGTATCCCCGAGGTATATTAGTCAAGCTTTCGTCTACACTATTATTGGTTGCCAATGTCACTTCCACCTCAAAGGGGTATATATTGTAGTTGAGATCCAAATTTTATCTAATGGGGTGATGGCGCAATGGTAACGCGTCTGATTCCAGCCATATGGTGTCTCCAGAAGATTGGGAGTTCGATTCTCTCTCGCCTCACTTTTTTTTTCTTTTTTTTCTTTCTTTCATTGGTTTTTGCTTACAAATGACTCACACAATGCTTAATGAAATGAGTTACCACTACTATTGTACAATCTAATACTGAGTACGGAGTACTCTGTACTCTGTAGTGTCTTTTTTTTGCCAATATTTAGGTTTCATTCACTCTTGTACTTTGTAATAAACTTCTCTGACCTTTCGTACATAATGAGATCAGGCAAATTACCCAACCTCCTTAGTTTCCCCCGCCAACTCCGAAATCGCTTTCCCCACACGGAATGAGGGATTTAAGTCGAAAGCAAATCGAAGTCTCTCTTCTGCAGATACAAGCCACCCATGGATCCGGCCATTGCCTAGCGTACCGCTGTTCGTCCAATTGAACCCGCTCCGTGGAGCCATGGAGTCGGGCTCCAGTCTTCCTACATCAACTCCGTACATTTTACATTTTCCCCTTAGCCGCGTATCCACTCGTCTTTCGCTTTCGCTTTTGCTTGCTCTACTTTCGTCCCGCGGAGTTAGAGACGGGACGGATTGGCACTTTAACGGGTTGGGGCAGATGGGGACTAACGTTTACTATGGGGGGGGAGGGATCGGGGACTACGGAGCATGAACTACCAATTACCCAATTGGAACAACAGCAGGAGGTGACCTGCCGTATTCTGTTGGTTCTAGACGCCACTTTCATTCAATTACTAATTCACTCCAGTGTCGGGATGATTTGCAACCGTAACCTTGTACTCCGTTAATACATGTATGTTGTGCATAATACAGTCCAGATGTCGGTGATTCCGATAATGATTAAATCAGATTAGTCCCACGTGGTCAGTTTCGGATGTTTCACTGAGACGCACATGACATATAATATCTGCATCTTCTAAGGTAGAGCAATGGCATTGGCTTCGATAGATGACAACTTGGTAAATCAACATGGCCGCTGGTCAGTCAGTTCTACAGTAACTGTAAATAAAATTTTCATGTGGATCGGGGGTCTGCGCGATTATCGTGAGGTGGGGTCGATGGGGATCGAAGAAAGTCTAAGAGCGTTATTTGACCTACTGCTCTAGGCACACCGGGCGTGGATATTCCCGGACCATACATATCATCGATTATGCTTGTGCGGGTTTCCGTTGCGGGTTTCCGTGAAATGGGATCATTGCTTAACATTCCGAAGAACCGTGGAAATACAAACTAGGTTGGTAACTGTATTTATTTTTGTATCCATTGGCTGAATGAGCCCCAAACCCTCGGAATGGTCGTGAATGGCACTCTAGGAAAACTGTTGATCCGTGATGTTTTGTTTTGGAGCCTCAACTCTAGCAACTCTAGGATTATCTTGCGGCCTGCGGGACCAGACCAATCAAATCCCGATCAGTTATGTCATAGCCCGTAGAACGGGCAACTAATGTCTCATAACCTGTAGGTTTCAGGAATTGTTGGCGAAATTACATATGGGCAATTCCGGAGCAGAAGTGGACTTGATTTTGTTCACAACGGACTCATTCCGTTAACTCTAGAGACAATTAGCTCCGGTCGTCTTTGGGCATATTCAGCCCCATCATGGCAAGTAGATTCCCTGCGGGGCCCGCAGTACCAGCCTGGCCCTGAAGACTCTCCAGGATATTCTTGGCGAGGTTGATATTGACATTCTCATCATCCTCGGCATCCTCGGCTTCGGCATCCTTTCCATTAATAGAACCATCACCAGATGACAGCTTTTTCTGTTTTCCGTTCAGATCCAAGACACCCGTCTTTTTCAGCTCGGCCTCCATTTGTCGAGAGAGTTCTTGGATCTGCTCCAGTTCATCGTCTTCCTCATCCTCTGCCTCAAGCTCTTTGATTCGGTTGCGTAATGGTGTTGAGAGATCCGGGCCTTGACCCGATCCGGAAGGCATACCCATCATCTCTTTCATCATTCGTGCAAATTCCTCCTCGTTAAATGAAGCATCTTTGTCCTCTCCGTCACTGCTAAGCTCGTCGTCATCATCATCATCATCAACGTCAGAATCAGTCTCGAATTCGTCGAATTCGGCTCCGTCAAAGCCGGCCGAGGTGTCATTCAGGAATTCGTCGAAGCGAGCGACAATTCGTTGTAGGTTCTCTTGTGCACTTGCATCACCAAAGTTCCCGCCCTGGCTATTGCCTTTGCCCTTGCCCTTGCCTTTCAGCTCTCGGTCTAGATCCTCAAAGTTGATGTCCAGCCATTTTTCATCGTCCTCTTGCTTATCCCATGTCTTCTCGATCTCTTCATTTGTTGGGAGCTGTTCGTCACCGGTCTCAACATCCTCCAAGAGGAGCTTCATCTCTCTGACAGCTGCCTTGTCCTGGTGGTGCGGATCGTAGAGTAACATTTCAAACCCACACGCAAGCTTCATTCCAGTTTCCGCGCGAGCATATGCTTTGTCCTCGTCTACTGGTGGCAATTTACCCGCCCATGTGCTTGGAATGGGGAATTCTTGACTTTTCACCTGAGCATACCCAACGCGCGTGAATCGAACACTCACTGTAACCATGTCATCAGGCTTGAAGGTGAGACCGGATGCATCTTCGGCACGAAGGGGGCGCAGGGCAATTGGATCCCGGATGTAGAATGCTTCCACGGCAGGTGATATATATCCTGGCTTTTGACGGAGGAGGTATGCGACTTTGCGGGGAATTGTTACTATTGCCGAGTGCAAGTTTTCGGAAATTTGTTTGGGGTAATTGCGTAACCTGTAAAAGGCCTCTTCTTGTATCATGGTGGACTTGATGAAGCGATCCGGTTCTCCTTGGATGATCTTTCGGGCTTGCGGAAGGGAGAGTTTCTCGGTGACTTTCTTCCCAGTATCTTGCTTGGGTTTGATGATTTTGAGACCTCCTTGATTAATCCAGACCTTCGAGAGAAAGTTTTGGATTAGCTTTCTATATTTTCTGTATGCTGGTCATCCAAGCTTACCCTGTTGTCTGCGACTTCCGGCTCGAGCCAGGCAGGAAGAGTCCCCGCAGCTTCGACAAGGAGGAACTCTCCATCGCCATCCCGTACTTGAACCCAGATATCCTTGTGTCGTTTGGTTAATTCACGTAAAAGATAGACCACAACCCATTCGTCTTCGATCGAGTCTCCATAGTTGGTGCGGCCGCTAAGATATGTAATCCCTGCAATCGATGATCGACATTAGTTAAATGAGCAGATAAGTGAAGAATGATTTCATACCATCATCCTTAGCAGTTTCAAGGCGAAAACCTTCTCGTTGCCAGATGTAGTCTTTGAGTAGATCTTTGCTCAATTCTGCAGCAGTGCGCTGCACCTCTAGCAATCGGGCCCTAGTCTCGGCAGCTTCGTCGATAACGGCGGGGGCGGGGGAAGGCAAATGAAAAATGAAGTATTCGACCGAGTCATCGGGGAGCTCTGGCTTAGGAATAGGATGAAATGTGGATTTAAACCACGCAATATCCTCTTCAGTTGCCATCTTTACAATCTCCAAAATGGTGTTTCAATGACCTCATGGGGAATTCTTCAAAAAAGCAAAAAAGGTAGAAAGTCCAATGACCCACTTTTGAACACACGCTAAACTATATCCGGCTAGACATCAACAGTCTCCGACTTGCAAACATTAAACAACAACACGTTCGGGTGGTTCAGATATTCATGCCCAATTGTCCTTCCCCAAGAACCTGTTGTGAAGGGTGGTTGCATGAACGAGACTGACACGTTCCTTCACTTTGTTCCGCCACAATGGCGTTCCCTTATATCGACACACCGCGTACGGAAATCGACGGGAACGCGACGTATCTCACCAACGGCTTTCGCAGCGTCGGAAGAACACATCTATCTGCCCTGGACTCAGTGGAAAACTCATTTCATACTCCATCCAAGGATAACGATGTGATCAAGGGGTTTGACAACGGAAGGAGACGCGTCTCCGATAGCAACAAACTCGGCACCCCACGCGCCAACAATTCCAAGTCAACAAGAAGCGCGTTAAGACACCTTCCTGCAGCTGGACCAGCCAAAGGAGAGTTCACACCTCTGATGAAAAGCGCGACAAAGAACAATTACCTCAAAAATATCGGTACTCGAGGGGACGGTCTCAAGACTCCCGGCTATATGCGAGAGACTAGTCGCATGGCCCATACCCACGGACTGCCACCTATTGATGGGTCCGGTATCTACGAGGAGGACAATACAGTTGATGAAGCGACGCCGCTTCCTCAAGCAGCCAGCAGCAGTGTGCAGAGTACCCCTCTTCCGGGGCTGGGTCGTGGCAGCGGTGGTGTCCTAGGTGATGGTCAAAATATGACTTTGAAAGAACAAGAGAGGGTTTGTTCTTCTGACTCCCCTTATCTGGAAGCGCACGCTGACTTTTTCAGATCATCGACAGACTTGACAAGGACAATTGGAATTTAAAGCTGAAAATCCACTACCTCGAGGAGCAACTGTCGAAAGCCGGCCCGGAATATAACAGCACAGCCCTTAAAGAGAACACCGAGCTCAAAGTTTTGAAGTTGACAATGCAGCGCGATATCTCTCGATACAAGAAAAGCCTACTACTAGCAGAACGCGATTTGGAAGATTACCGTCAACAAATCGAAGATTTGAGAGAGAAAGCCCGACGAGGACAAACCGACGAGGAGGTACAACAGGAAATGGATCTGATGCGTGAGGAGGTCGATAGCCGGGATAAAGAGATCAGAGAGCTACGCGAAGAATTGAGATTGGTCAAGGACAGCCAATCCCAGGAGGTCGAGAAACTCCGAGATGATGTTGAGGATTTGGAAGCGGCGGTCCGAGAAAAAGATCGGGTCATCGAAGAGCGTGACGAACAACTGGAGGAATTGAGAGAGAGCGCCAACGAGAACGACGCAGCTACGGAACTCCAAGTCGAGCTTGACCGGGCGAAGGAGCATCTCCAAGACCTTCAAGACAGTCTTGAGAAGGCAAAATTAGACGCAGAAGAAGCGGCCCACACTGCACGACAGGCAGTGGACGAAAAGGATCGTGCCGAAGACGACCTCCGAGAATTACAAGACGAGATGTCAAACAAGTCCTTCACAACAAAGGGGCTTAACCGGCAACTCGAAGAGAGGGCTCAGAATCTCGAAGTGGAGATGCATGACCTGCAGCGAGAGAATGAAGCCCTCAAGACTGAACTTGAGAACAAAACTAGATCCGTAGCTCAGCTTGAGGAGCGCTACCATACCATCCAGCAAGACCTGAAGAGCAATGCCGGAAAGCTCGGCCAAGACCTGGAGGCGGCTAGGCGCGAACGAGACTCGGCGGTCAGGGATCGTGAACAGACAGCGTTGCGACTACAAGAAGCCCTCGAGGATGCTCAACGCCGGACGGAAGAGAAGGAACTCCTGCAGACTCGACACCGCGCCTTGACTGATGAGTCTGGGGGTCTTCAAGGCGAATTGACCCGAGCACAGTCCAGGATCCGCGAACTTCAACAAGCAGTCGAGGAGGCCACCAATCGCGCACAAGACAACCAGAACATGCGCTGGCAACACAAGGTGGAGCTCGAACGACTCCAGGATGAAATCGAAGCTCTTCAGCATGAGATCGAGGACAAAGAAGGTGTTTTTGCCCTCGAGCAAGACCGTTGGGACAGCACCAAGCGCGCATTGCAGTCTCAGAAGGAGCGGGCGGAAGAGCAAGCAGCAAACTACAAGCGCACGGTTGAGAGACTCCAGGCAGCCGAACACTCTCTTTCAGGGAAGGAATACAAGCTCCAGGACGCCATCGACAGTGAGAAGCAGCGCCACACTCAAGAAGAAGCGGTGCTCACCCGCCAAATCAAAGAACTGGGTGACGATCTGGCACAGAAGAGACAGATTATCGATGAACAACGCAACGACCTTCTTACCGTACGAGAAGAGCTTCGTATCTCCCGGCGTGAGGAGCACTCCCTCAAGGAGAAGGTTCAAGCCTTGGAAGACGAAGTGGTTGTTCTACAGTCAAGCCTAGCAGATGAGCAACAATATGCCAAGGGCCGATCTCAGAAGGGCTCAGCCGATGTGGAATTACAATTGCAGAAGGCTATTGCAGATAGACAAACTCTCCGTGACCAGCTTGCCAATGCTCATGTTGAGCTGCACGATTTGCGGACTTCCATTGTTGAGTTGGAGACTGAGCGGGACGAATTCCAGGCCCAGGTTGAACGTGCCCAGAATGGTGATGAAACAACCCGGCTTGACCGTGAGAAGCTCGAACTCCGGAAGACTGGCACTCGACTAGAGATCGAACTGAAACGACTTCGGGACGACAAGGCTGCCCTGATGGAAGCCAAGGAAACCCTCGAGAAACAGCTTGGCTCCGAGATTGAACGTGCAGCAGCAGAGGAGAACCGTCTTTCCGCTGAGATCGATCGTCTTCAGGACAAGCTGCTCGCTGGCTCCGGAAACCGGGACAGAGAGCTGACAACGGCGAAGACAAAGGTGCAACGATTTGAACGACGAATTCAGGAGCTGGAGACGCTTCTTGCGCAACAACAGCCAGCCGATCACGAACAGTCAACGGCGAATGGCGACCTGTCTGTTCTTCGGCATAGCCTGGATGAGGCCCGCAAGCGCGAGAAGGTTCTCCTAAAGCGTGACGCAGAACACAAAGCCTATGCGCGCACCTTGAAATCGCGAGCTTCAGATCTGGAAAGAGATCTTCACGATGCCCTCATGAACAAATTCGATTCCCGCTCTCTGCAGGACTCACCCTCTAACAAGCTCAACGAAGAGTTGCGTGGTCTACGCAAGCAGCTCGCGGATGCACACCGATCTCTCAAGGAGGTCAAATCCAAAAACCGTGATCTGGAACGTGCCGCCATGAAGGAGGAGGACCAAAAGGATCTCCATGAGCTGCTCAAGTCGTCGACCATCGAAGCAGAGGCCCTGGCCCTGAAGGTTTCAGAGAAAGACGCTCGATTGAATGAGTTGAAGGCCCTGGTTCGCCGCATCCGTGAAGAGCGATCCTTTTGCGTTCGCAAGGCTGAAACAGCCCTGAAGGACTTGGAGACACTACAGCAACGCTACGACGAAGTTCTAGAAAAGCTATCTCAAGGCAGGTCGACCAACAAGATCCGACACGAAAAGGAGATGCGTGGTCTAGGCAAGGAAATCATCTGGCTTCGTGCCCGTCTGCAGCGGGAGGAGAAGTTCCGCCGTGATCTGGCCTGGAGTAAGGGTCTGATGGAACTCGGTGAACGTGTTCGCGTAGCATGGTTCGTTAACTCCCCCTTTCAGCACACTCAACGTTTCTCTTACTAACACAACGTGAACTACAGTAACGAAGCCGACCTCCGCATGATCTCCGAAATGGGTGTTTCAGCTCGGGATCGTAATACCGCGCGATCTCCACGGGGCAAGTTCCGCTCTGCCATCTCTTTGGTTGTCGCGACCGTTCGCATGAAAAAGATGGGTCAGGAGTGGAGGCGGACCAAGAAGCTAGGCGAGGGCTTGAAGCGGGCTAAGAGTGAGATGCTCAAACGCCGGGAGAGCTCTAGTAAGAGCATGCTTGGCTAGTAGATTTATTGATTTGTCTTGTTCATTTTGGCTGCTTTGTTTTGTTCGTTTTTCCAGCGTCATCAACCCTTCTACGAGAGATTCCCCGACATGTCATGCTAGTATGCAATGTTTTCCTGTTCTTGTGTGCTTTTGTATCTGTGTTGCTTCACTCGGCGTTTTGGGACCTTGTTCGGATCTGAGCAATGCACTGTTGTTTATGTATTGGAAAACCTTCCTGTATGGTCATTCTCGCGTGGTTCGTATCGTGTACTCTGTACCCGGTACCGTGTGATAGAAATTGAGCCTTCGGCACTCATTTATTCAACGGTCAAAGCTATAGGAAATCGAAAGACAGGAATTGGCGCTTATCTACTGGATCGTCAATACATAGCTGGGCCCGTTCAGTCTCAGACCCTGTATAAATCGAGGTACTGTATTTGTATAGATCACAGCCTTTGCAAGCCTTTGAACAGATCCCCCAGAATAAAAACACATGGATATTTGCTCGTTAAACGCCTCGCCATTGCCAAAAGTACTCGACGCAGATAGGAACAGAAAAAGATAGAAGGTGATACATTCCCTGCACACCATATTGTGGAAAGCAAGCCCCCACCGAAGCCACAGAAACCTGAAGGTATAGCCAGGATGCGAGATAAGAGATTCAGAATGGGCTATGCAGAGTTGGCCTCAGGAAAAAGGGCATTGGGATCCAATCGAAATTTAGAGACGATGTACAAGTCGACTAATTGATCATGCACCCTCGCTACCGAACTCTTTCGTCCATTCTGAGTTCCGGGTGAGATCTTCATGGCTGACTGTAGGGCGAGAGTTCCGAACTGCTTTAATAAAGTCTTTCAGGACGAGTGGTGGCTCCAGAAGTTGCTCTGCTTCTATGCTGAGCCAAGTCATCTCCGCTGCACCTGCATCGCCTGGTGAACAGGGAGTGAGTTTCTCCACTCCATCGACGGTAACCTATTAGTAAAGTTAGCAAATGATGTAATCGTTCAAGGTTCGAAGGACATTTGACTGACCTTTTTATAATGTGTCGCTGTTTGAATCTTGCGAATTGGCTGCATCAGGGCATCCTGCACAGCAATACTGATATCACTACCGGAATAGCCTTCGCTCATCTCGGCCAATGATCGGTAGTCAGCCTGGGTCAATTGACACGGCGTGGAGCCCACTGCCAACATGAACATCTTCATCCGTGCATTGAGATCGGGCAAGCTGATATGGACTCGGCGTTGGAATCGTCTCCGAATAGCGGCATCTAACTGCCAGGGGATGTTGGTTGCGCCTAGGATCAGAACGCCTTTTGAATCCTTGCCGACACCATCCATCTGCACAAGGAGTTCGGTCTTGATACGCCGGGATGCTTCGGATTCGCCTTCACCGCGTGGTCCGCACAACGCGTCGACCTCATCAATGAAGATGATTGCGGGTTTGTTTTCACGGGCCATATTGAATAATTGCTTAACAAGTCTAGGGCCGGTCAGCCTGAAATTCTACGGACCAACTGTGCGCGGCTGGATTGGATGCTTACCTTTCACTCTCTCCCATCCACTTTGATACCAAATCACTGCTGCTGACACTGAAGAATGTGCTGTTCGCTTCCGTGGCGACAGCCTTAGCTAGATGTGATTTACCTGTACCTGGAGGACCGTAGAGCAGAATTCCCTTCCACGGTTGTCGCTTGCCGGTGAACAGGTGCGGGAACTTGATAGGAAGGATGACGGCCTCCTTCAAGGCCTCCTTCGCGTTCTCCAGACCAGCAACATCCTCCCACTTCACGTTCGGCTTGTCAGACAGAATAGCACCTTGCAGGGCCGATCGAAGCTTTTTCGCGTCCGCATCTTCACCATTATCGTCATCTTCTTTTCTGTTCCAGTACGATTCGTCAGTATTCAGCACAAACAAGGTCTATAGCTGGCCCTCGAAAGGTATTCATCCACAGGACAACACCTAGTGATGATGCAAGACAAGATTGAAGCAGTCATATCTTACCCTTTACCACTTCCCTGCGCAACCTTTCCATTCGCGCCCACTGCGCTTGGTTTCTGTTTACCCTCACCCGAAGCCAAATGATTCTTGAGCTTCTCTGCACGGTCCATATATTCTCCCGTCTTCGCACGGATCATCTCCTTGGATCTTGGGTTTTTCTCCCACTTTAACGCCAGCATGAATAACTCCAATGCCGCGTAGTAGAGCTGATAAGCCTGCTCGTACTCGCCCTCATTGTCGTTCTCGATCGCCTTCTTCACCGTGTCAATCGCTCGCCCCAAGAAATCTGTGTTGCTCATTATGGCGATTTCTCTATCCTGGCTTGTTTGTCAAGTCTTCGGGGGTATGTGGCAAGTCAACCGCGGAGCGATAAAGCGGGGAGGTGGAGAGGGGAAGGGTGTCGTTTGATCTAGGCAGCGGCTTTAAGACGATGACCGGAAGCTGAATGATAGGAGATCGACTGAATGGTAGAGTAAATTGAAAGACTTTAAAGAGGAAACAAGTTTGGATGTGGGTGGAGAAGGATTGGATGGGAGTTGAGGGGGAAGGGAGGTTGTTGACGGGCGGGCAGACGTTAATCGGTTTTCCCTTCTCCCACTCTCCCCGCCAACCGTCATGGACGCCCAAAAACAGCTCCAGGCTCTCTCAGATGAGTTCCAGCAGATGCAAACCGGTAATTATATTGAAACTGCGTTGTCTTATCATGGTAGCTAATTGTTCATTTCCTGATTAGATCTCGAAGTTCTTGTCGATGCCCGCCAGAAGCTCGAGTCGCAACAGCAGGAGAACCAAGGTGTGCAGAGCGAATTCGCCCAGTTAGATGATGAATCAAACATCTTCAAGATGGTTGGTCCGGTCTTGTTGAAGCAAGACAAGACCGAGGCTGTTATGGCCGTCAATGGCCGACTGGAGTTTATTGAGAAGGAGATGTCAGTGCCTCGCATCTTGATCCATGACCATCACTGATTTATGTCATGCAGTAAGCGAATTGAGAAAGAGATTGAGGCGAAGCAGGATGAGGCCGAGAAGAAGCGCACAGAGGTAAATGATTAGAAATTTGGTTTTTCAGTGATCACATACTGACGGTTTACGGATAGATTGTGCAATTCCAATCCCAGGTCCAACAGCAGCAGGCTGCTTCCGCATAAGAAAGATCTGTCAACCTGGAATTGTACGGCAGCCAAGTGTACGCTCGACGATGTATGAACCTGGCGAAAGCTTGACAGAAAAAAGAATTATACCCAATGAAATTTTGTACAAATTAGAAAGAAGCTCATGTCGATTCGTTTAAACACTACTTACATCTATATGTGGACTAGTCTAGTACTATCTAGTCATTTACAAGAGTATGTCCCCTTCACTGTCTATTCTCGTTCTTCATGAGTTCAGCCTGAGCCCACTGTACAGCTCGTCCCAGTCTTGGTTCTTGAACACCCTTGAGGGCAAGGATAAGTTGGATCATACTGCCACAAGAAGTAAGGATCCGTCTCATTAGTAAGAACGCCAGCAATCAGTCGTGATGAATAGGGAAGGTCGAAGGAGGCTTCAAAGACATCCACAGATGCAATACGGATCTGTCCCCAGCCTTTCTCAATGAGCTTTGCAATCGATGTTCCGTAAATATACTCGCGGAAGCCGGCCCACCGAATGGCAGATGCACACTAATCAATGAAGTCAGTGCTAGTCTCAAACACGGGGCAGATCAAAGCTAACCATTGGACAACTCTCGGCGTTAGTATAAAGAGATAGATCAGCAAATGCTGCTTGTGCCTCGCTAGCAGAAAGACGGAATTTGCCATGAGGATCAGTTAGAATACTAGTGCAGTTGGCAATCGCCGCAATTTCTCCTATATCAATTGATATTAGCCAAGTCTCAAGTAATATATCGAAGACTCTTACCATGCAACGAGGGATTCCCTGTTTTCCCATTCTCATTCACACCCATACAGATAAGCTCGCCCGTGTCGGAGTTTGTGTGGTTTACTATCACAGTTCCAAAGGCTGCAAAAGGACAGGGTGATCCGCTTATATCTCCTAATGCCTGGTTTGCTAGACGCATCCAGTGAGCTCGGGTTTCGAATTCCACTCCATTGATCATTAGGCTGGGATCGGCTAGTGGCATCTGTGTAGCTGCTAGTACCGTCAAAGATGCGGTGAGTGGGAGAACATGATGGAATCGCATTTTGATATTCTCTGGACGAACTATTCAAATTTTATATTATCGTCGAAGACATATAGGACGCATTCGTCCCTTTTTAAATGTTTGTGTGACGGGAAACCCCGATGATGTTGTGATAGATCGGCATTCCAGTTCGGCCGCAAGTCGGCCGAGCAGATGTAACTCTATGATTGGAGATAGGGAAAGGCCTACTAATCAACTAGAATCATTTGTTGACAACATTCCCCTTACTTTGTTGCAGCGGTCTCTACAAGTGTAGTATGATAATCACCATAAGTGGCTGTATTGATTCTGAGCTGAGTAGCCAAAAAGAAGCCCACACGCCAGATGTTGAACTTTTGGTCCCCTGAAAATCAGTTCTTCTCAAAGTTGAAGCGAGAAAACTATGTAGTGGTTCGTCTCATGCATAAAGTAAAGGAAAAAAGGAGAAAATAAATGTAGAAATTACCGATGTCCCTAAGGTTGAAAAAAGCAGACCTGTATATAAACCCCATAAAACGCACCGTGGATATTTCGATCTCCCAACGCTTTCATAGTTGATGTTGAAACGCGCGAGATCTCAGAGATTTAAATCTCTCTTCGTAACTTTCATATCTTATAATATTTCACTCCCCGATTGGCATTGTTGGAAGCCAATTTAAACGGGCAGGGGGAAGGTGCTGGCCCAAGCGGAAATCTCCTTGCGGAGCTCCAGGATCTCAGGGATGGTGTCAGAGGCAACCTTGGCCTTGAAGTCCTTGAGCTTGTTGGCCTCCTTGGGAAGGTCACCCTGGATCTTCTTGCAGAGGTTGATGGTGGTGTCAATGTAGCGGGCAATGCGCTTGAAGTCCTCCTCACCCATTCCACGGGTGGACATGGCGGGGGCACCGATACGGATACCGCAGGGGGTCAGGGCGGACTTGTCGCCAGGGATGGAGTTCTTGTTGCAGGCAATGTTGATCTGCTCAAGGACAGCCTCAACACGGGCACCGTCCAGGTTCTTGGCGCGCAGGTCCAGGAGGACCATGTGGCTGTCAGTGCCGTCGGAGACGAGCTTGTGACCGAGGGCCTTGAACTCCTCCTCGAGGGCCTTGGCGTTCTTGATGACCTGGGTCTGGTACTGCTTGAACTCGGGGGTGTCAACCTGCTTCAAGGCAACGGCCAGAGCGGTGATGGTGTGGTTGTGGGGGCCACCCTGGTGACCGGGGAACACGGAGAAGTTGATGGGGTTCTCCAGGTCGTAGAGGACCTCCTTGCCGGCCTTGTCGGTGCTGCGGACACCGCGACGGAAGAAGATCATGGCACCACGGGGACCACGCAGAGACTTGTGGGTGGTGGTGGTGACAACGTCGGCGTACTCGAAGGGAGAGGGAATGACACCGGCGGCAATCAGACCGGAGATGTGAGCCATGTCGACAATGAGGTAGGCACCGACCTTGTCAGCGATCTGGCGCATACGCTTGTAGTCGATCAGACGGCAGTAGGCGGAGGTACCGGCAACCAGACACTTGGGGCGGTACATCTCGGCGTTCTTCTCGAGGGTGTCGTAGTCGATGATACCGGTCTCAAGGTCGACACGGTAGGGGAAGGTCTCGAAGTAGGTGGAGACAGCAGAAATCCTAGCAGACTGGTTAGAATGACGTTGCTCCGGGATGAGGTGACAGAATCCATCGAGACTCACTTGCGAGCAGGGGTCTGGTAACCGTGAGACAAGTGACCACCGTGGGGGAGATCAAGACCCATGAGGCGGTCGTGAGGGCGCATCAGAGCCTGGTAGACCTGCAGGTTGGCGGGGGAGCCAGACAGACACTGGACGTTGACACCCCACTTGGCGGGGTCGAGGTTGAAGGCCTTGAGAGCACGGTTCTGGCAAGTGATCTCAATGGCATCAATGTGCTGGTTACCACCGTAGTAACGGGCACCAGGGTAACCCTCGGAGTACTTGTTGGACATGGGGGTGCCCAGGGCCTCGAAGACAGCGTGGGAGGTGAAGTTCTCGGAGGCGATCAGAACGACCGACTCACGCTGACGCTGGATTTCACGCTCCTATTGACAATGTCTGTTAACAGTTGGTCTTGTGAATAGGAAAACAGGTTGTGATTGTAGCAATCAATCCCTAAATCAATTCAAACGTACCATGATGGCAGCGATTTCAGGGTCGCTCTCCTTGAGACCATCGTGCATTTGCTATAAAGTCATGAGTCACCAATCTTCATAAGATCTCAATTCAATGCCCAGGGAGGCACTTACAGCCCGGTGGGCGTCAGACAAAGCGTAAGTGGACATTTTGAGTGAAAATGAAATAAAAGTGGGAAATAGAAGGAGGAAGGAGAGAAGGAAAAGAAGAAGGTTTAAAAGAAAAAAAAAGCTGGTGGGGGATTGGAGGGGGATCTACATGCCTCAGGCAGAGAAATACACGACGATATCGGAGAGTTTCGCCGAATCGGGGGGGAAGTTATAACATTCGGATTTTTATATACAAAGCAAGTACAAGATGATCTAAAACACCTGGCAACAATTGATTAGAAGCTGTAAATCGTGGTTTCCTTTGCTTCTGCATCTGCTTTTGCTTGTGCCTTCCCTGCGTTGAAGCTCAATCACGAAAATTCTCCAATATCAAAATATGAGAAAACAAAAATTAAAAAATAAAAAAAATAAAAAACCATTGGGTATATTCCTTTCCATAAACACCACAGAATATGAACAAATAATAAAGCAAATTAATATGCATATCAGCCGGGATCACTGGTCTTAAGGCCTGTTTATTCCTGTGTCTTGGCTGCACGGCTTCCAAAGTCTGCAATGACAGATTGAAGACGAGCCACACGGTCCTCAAGCTCTGCAATCTCGTTCTGCTGCTCTTCCACAGATCGGTGGACATCTGGTAGTCCCTCCACTACCGCCCTTGCCTTTTGAATTCGAATCTTCACAGAGCTGGTCTGGATGGGAAGATCTTTCACATCAAGTGGTGGGTGGGCATTTGGATCGAGGGTAGGGACTTCGGGGACAGCTTGTGATGTTGAACCATTATTACTGGGTGTTTGTTGACCTGGGCCGCCTGGAGCTTCTCCAGGGGCACCACGTCCACTTGGACCCTTCTGAGATAACAAGCGAAGAAGAATACCGTGGAGAGGTGGGATGATTTCAAAAGTCTGGGGTGATGGGAAAGGCACGGTTTGAGGAGATTCGGTCGCGTCTTTGGAGGGACTTTCGGGCGCAACGGAGGACTTCGGCAGCGGAGTAGCTGCTGTCGGGGATCTAGCAGCCATTTGTGGATATCCAGGACAGGATCGGAAGTCGGGTTATTGAAGTATGAAAACCACGTTGAGCCGAGAAGTCTAGGGAATTGTCGGAACGGGAGGAGCTAGGCCATGGTAGATGTGACGTCGCGGGAACCACATGCGACGTATGGTCCACCGTAGCCCCTCCTTCCCCTTCACCGGCCAACACTTTTGTCTTTCCCCTATAACACATTTTATCCTCTTTCACCATTTGAAAAGGTAAAGCAGACCTGGTTATTCATCAAGGTGGATGAACTTTGGGTACAGAGAACAGCGATTGACCTGCTTTTATAGGTGATTACGGGACAATACAACTCCACCCCCACCATGGCCGACCAAAAAGTCGCTTTAAGTATGACAGTCCTTCCACCCAGGTCCCCAAAATGTTCTCAGACTAATGCGATGCAGTTGTCATTGATGGCTGGGGTATCTCGAACCCCAATGCCCCGCCTGAGGGTGATGCCATCGCCGCCGCCGAGACTCCGTTCATGTCTGGCTTCGCCGAGGCCAACTCCAAGACCGCCCAGGGTTACACCGAACTCGAGGCCTCCTCGCTTGCAGTCGGTTTGCCCGAGGGCCTCATGGGCAACAGTGAGGTCGGTCACCTGAACATCGGTGCCGGTCGTGTTGTCTGGCAGGACAGTGTTCGCATTGATCAGACCTTGAAGAAGGGCGAGTTGAACAAGGTTGACAGCGTTGTCAAGGCCTTCACTCGTGCCAAGGGGGGCAATGGTCGTTTGCACCTGTGCGGTCTGGTTTCGGATGGTGGTGTCCACTCCAATATCACCCACTTGTTTGCCTTGCTCGAGGTCGCCAAGGAGTTCCAGATCCCCAAGGTCTACATTCACTTCTTCGGTGATGGCCGTGATACCGACCCCAAGAGCGCAACCATCTACATGGAGCAGCTCCTGGCCAAGACCAAAGAGCTCGGCGTCGGTGAGATTGCCACCGTTGTCGGCCGTTACTACATCATGGACCGCGACAAGCGCTGGGAGCGTGTCGAGGTCGGTCTGAAGGGTCTGGTTACCGGCGAGGGCGAGGACAGCGAGGACCCTCTCCAGACCATCAAGGAACGCTATGAGAAGAAGGAGAATGACGAATTCCTGAAGCCCATCATTGTTGGTGGCAAGGAGCGCCGCATCCAAGGTTTGTCCAAAGAGAAAGGGATCCAAATGTACATGGGAATTGACTAACTTGGTACCAGATGACGATACCGTCTTCTTCTTCAACTACCGCTCGGATCGGGTTCGTGAGATTACCCAGCTGCTGGGTGACTACGATCGCTCACCGCGTCCCGATTTCCCTTACCCCAAGAACATCTCCCTCACCACCATGACCCAGTACAAGACCGACTACACTTTCCCCGTTGCTTTCCCCCCTCAGCACATGGGCAATGTCCTCTCCGAATGGCTGGGCAAGAAGAACCTCCAGCAGTGCCACATTGCCGAGACTGAGAAGTACGCGCATGTTACTTTCTTCTTCAACGGTGGTGTTGAAAAGCAGTTCCCTGGTGAGGTTCGTGACATGATCCCTTCGCCCCGAGTGGCCACCTACGACCTTGACCCCAAGATGAGCGCCGCCGCTGTCGGTGCCAAGATGGCTGAACGTCTTGGCGAGGGCAAGTTTGATCTCGTCATGAACAACTTCGCCCCGCCTGACATGGTTGGACACACTGGAGTGTACGAGGCTGCCATCCAGGGTGTTGCTGCCACTGACAAGGCCATTGGTGAGATCTACGAGGCCTGCAAGAAGAACAACTACATTCTTTTCATCACCGCTGATCACGGGTAAGTGTGCCTCAAATCAAACGACTGCGCTCCAAGCTGACAATTTATTCTACAGTAATGCCGAGGAGATGCTCAACGAGAAGGGTACTCCCAAGACCTCGCACACTCTTAACAAGGTTCCCTTCGTTATGGCCAACGCCCCGGCTGGCTGGAGCCTTGCGAAGGAGGGTGGTGTTCTGGGTGATGTTGCTCCCACTGTGCTTGCTGCCATGGGTGTCGAGCAACCAGCCGAGATGACTGGTAAGAACCTGCTTGTCAAGTCATAGATTAGAGATTTGCACAGATAAGCATCTCCTAGTAGTAGTTATGAAAACGAATCAATGAATAGATAATGGAAGAGATATATGTCAGAAGAACTAGCCTACATAACTATGAATATGTAAACAAAAGTGCATGAGAATCCATACCTCACTTGTCACCCTGAGTACCCTTGACCTCATCCGTCGGCCCCGCCCCCAACCTGCTCCAGGTTGATCCACCGATAAGCCTGCCCCTCTCTCTTATCGTGGAACTACATGGAGTTCCAACTCTCACTCAACCAGTACAGTACTGCATTTCACTCCAGTGAAAAATGGCCAATACAGCACAGTGCTACTACTGCTTCGAAAGCCTATCCTCCTCCTTCGATAATCATGACCTAATCAAACTTTCAACCGTAGAAGCCCTCTGGGAACAGCATGAGCAAACCAAGAAGCTTTCAAGCCTCGGATCCCGAGCCCAAGGAACGGACTCGGACAACGAAGAGGCCGAAGAATCAGGTCCGCCACTGTCTGTAAATGACGAGTTCCAGACAAGTAACCAGCGCAGTCTGAAGCCGCCCGCCGTCAGCCGCCTACAGAGTCAAGTATCCGACTCCTCTACTCCCTCCAGCGCCTCCAACACCTCATCCAACTCGCTCATGTCTAGCTCGACTGCCGCTACAACCCCGGGTGCCCCGGTGCGCTCCACATCTCAGAAGTACCCGTTGTTCGTGACGTGGAATACGCTGTCGCGCAGCGGAAGCAAGTCGTTACGTGGGTGCATAGGCACATTCGAACCACAGAATCTTGACACAGGACTAAAGACCTACGCTATGACTTCGTATGTCGTTCCTCAAAACCCCTAGGAAAACCAAACTAATACGGCTGAATAGGGCTTTCGATGATAATCGCTTCTCTCCAATAACTAAATCCATTCTCCCTGCTTTATCATGCTCACTGACCCTCCTGGGCTCATTCGAGCCCTGTGACGACGCCATGGATTGGACTTTAGGCATACACGGGCTCCGGATCTCGTTCATCAACCACCACCGACGCTATGGTGCCACCTATCTGCCCGATGTCGCTGTTGAACAAGGGTGGTCGAAGGAAGAGACTGTCGAGAGTCTGATGCGGAAGGCTGGCTGGGATGGCGGTGGCAGTGTTGCTCGACGATTGCTTCGGGCTGCGGATTCTGGCAACCCTTGGGACCAGGTTTCGGAGTTCAAAGCTACCAGGTATCAGGGGCTCAAGGCGAGTGCATCGTATAAGGAGTGGCAGGAGTGGAGAAGTTGGGTGCTTTCTTTAGATGATGGCCGTCCTCTTTTGGGCTTAGCTTGATTGTCTTTGTTAGATGGTGCATGGTTGTGTGACTTATGACCCGAGATTTCATGAGAACTCCGCATTAATGAAATCCACTTACACATTTGGAAATGTCATTAATCGTTGCATTTAGACCGAATATGTACTGCTATCACGATGTAGTCCCGAAAACAAGCATAGAAACATTGTCAAGTATCCCAAACAAATAGATCGTTCGAGTTTCATCCCAACATGCCTGTTCAATCAAGCCACTCACTTTCAAAGGTTTCGATTCCATAATCCGGCCATAGTCTCCTTAAGTCTCCGTTCCTGCTCCCGAATCTGTATCTCCGACTGCCCACGCGCATTCCCTCGACTATCGAACTGCATAGAACCGCCTCCACCGTTTTGTACAGGGGCAGCATGGTTCTCTTCAACAATCTCTGCCCCGTTCACTCGCTCGGGCTTCGGGTCAATACTCATCACCCCATCCATCATGAACCCACCACCCTCGCGCAGCTTGTTAATCGCACGCACAGTATCGATGGCCCGGTGCAGCGTGCGTCGTGCATTGAAGTTCTTCTTTACCGTCGGCAGCAGGTCCTCGCCGGAGCCAGTCCGCGAAGTATCGTATGGTGGGCTGATCCAAGGATGTTGCAGGGCTTCATGCGCTGTCATGCGCTTTCTGGGATCAATGGTTAGGCAACGGTTGATGAAGTCGCGGGCTTCTTGAGAGACGCCACGCCAGTATTCCAATGGAGTGAAGGCATAGTCTGCTGCTAGGATGGCTTGCATTTCCTCTAGGTTGGAGTCCCGGTCGAAGGGGGTATAACCGCATAGAAGGAAGTAGGTGATTACACCAATGGCCCAGATATCACTGTATCGCTTTGTTAGGGACCAACTACCAGAATATTCGGGTTTCAACTTACACTGGCTTGCCATGCCCGCTCTTTTTGAAAATCTCCGGCGCCATGTATCCCGGTGTTCCGCAAGTTGTTGTCAATACGTGGAACTGCTCCTCATCCATGATCCTGGACAAGCCAAAATCAGCGAGAAGGAGATCTGCATTATCCTCCGGGGTACGGAACAGTAGGTTCTCAGGCTTCAGGTCTCGGTGTACGATTCCATGGTCATGCAAGTAAGCCACGGCCGATAGGACAGCGCGGATTAAACTTGCGGCGTCACTCTCGTAGTAGCTACCTTTCCGGCAGATGCGGTCGAATAGCTCTCCACCCAAGGCAAGGTCAGTGACCAGGTACACTAGACAGGACTGACGATTAGCTTATGGCCGTATGTCACATTAGGCAGCCATATATATGCTAGCTGCAGTAGGGAGGTCGCGCACAATTGTTCATCGTTTCAAAGTAGTCAACCAGCGTGAGAATGTTCTGATGGCCCATGGACACTTTTTTCAGCACGGCGATTTCATTGCGAACCTACCCCCAGGGTTTGTTAATATCGCTGCCCAATCCCCAAACCACGACGATCAACCGTGGGTGTGTATGGTCTTACCATGTGCTCGCGCCCAGCCATCAGGCGTTTATTGATTACTTTCGCGGCATAGTAACGACCGGTATCGATATGAACGCATTCTTTAACAACGGAGTATGAGCCGGCGCCAAGGGTCTTGCCGGTCTTATAGCGACATGGCTGAACTTGTGGTTTCGGAGGCTGTGCCATAGGGACGGAGGGGGAGGTGCTCAAGTAGTTTGGATCGGTTCAGACGGAGAGTTTGAACTCTATATATATGTGCGTGAGGATAGGGATGTTTGTTTCGTATGTTCCTATGATCATGGGAGCAGTCAGCCTCATGCGCGATGTTCCACGGAACTTGACAGGCGCGCGGTTCAGCCCCGCCAAACCAGACTCACTGTATTCCTTATTATTCCCTGCGGTCACTGTGTTCAGGGATTGGCGCTAATATTAAAATTCCGACCGAGAGGGAATCGTTGTTGAAAGATAAAAGTGGGTGAAGATAGGTGGGAAAGAGTTGGAAAAGGGTGAAGGGAGATCGACGTTGATCACCAACGGCTTCCACTATTTACATTGGCCTAACACCGATGCCATGCAGGAAAAAAAAAACAATAAACATAAACACAACCATCCCCACCAAGACTCCAGAATTTGAAAAACGCCTTGAGAAAACATGGAAAGTATCACAGCGACCAAAATAATAATTAAGTGATCACATCCGGGTCAACACACTGTCAACCACGTTCTCTAACAACTGCAGATTGTGAAATTTGGCTGCACTTTGTAACACTTCCAACTTCCTCTTCGTCTCTTTGAGATCAATAGTTGGTTCCCAGATACCACTACAAGAGCAGTGTTCCATGAATTCACTGATCTGTACATTGTGGCACTTGGAGCACTTGAGATCCTGTGTCTGCCATTCCACCACAAGACCCTGTACCTGTCCAATAAGCATTTCCTCCTGTGCAAGACGGTCATACTCCGTCTGACAGAAGGGGCAACGCCATGGTTTGGGGGTCTTGTTATCGGTTTCTGGGTCGGGCAGCACGTCTTCGTCGCGGCACAGGTCCAGGTCACGGATGAGACAGCAGGCGTTACATGTTAATTCCGTCAGTTTCAGGTTGGTGCTGGGGTTCTCAAATCGGCCTTCCTTGCTGAATTCGCGCACCTCGAAGAGTGCCAGCAACTCGCGACGCAACAGTCGAGATTCGAGTGTGGTAATCTTCGACAGACTCAGAACCTGCATCAGCAGCTTCACCAGCTCTAGTGAAGGATTGCGTTTGTCATTGGCGGGATCGACTAGAACACCCGGGAGAATTGGGAAGGCATAGTCGGATGCTAATTCGGGGTGTAGCATTTCATCACGCTGGCGGCGAATCAGGCCGGAGATCTGCTTCTTCAGAGGCTTGGAGAATCGTTCCGCGAGGATAGCAGTGATCTCTTCACTCTCTTTGTCGCTGGGTTGGCCGATGGGGATTTGGGTCATGCGTGGTGTAGAGGACATATTGCCATCCTGGAGATCGGGGCGTTTGAAGGAATGCATCAACTCGATGTACTCCACAACCCAGTCGTGGAAGATGGTCTGCATGGGCGCCGGCAGGAATCGATTGAGTTGCCAGTGCATGACAGTCTCAAGGTCTTGGTTCTCGGCCTCAACTACTTCACGACAGCCCTTGCCACCGTAGTTATACTCATCATACCACAGAAGATAGTCCCAGTACTCCCGGATCTCGAGATCAATGAAATGGAATGAAGGATTCGCCCGAATCGATTTCAAAACATACTGACTGTATGCGTAGGCATTGCCTACCTCGGTCTTGGTGGTCTGAAGTAAGAGTCGTGTGGAGCTGGCAAAGACAACATTGGAGCCAACCCGTCGGAACTCCGCCATCAACCTCTGGAACGATTTGCGTGAGAGCATCCGAACATAGTTGTGCAAAGATCGATCATAAAGGCATGAGATTGGACTCTCAACCCATCGAATCAAGTGTTGAACCATAATGTCGGCCATGCTATTTCCGGCACAAGCCTCAGTCCACCAGTGTTTGACCATGTCTCGCAGAACATGTGCACCGGCAGATGCAAAAGCCTTTTCGGAGTACAGCACACCGGTATCCTCTCCATTGCCGGAAGCTAATAGAGTATCGCTTCCATCCATCTCGCTAACGATCGAGGAAGTGAGAATTGTGTTGATGGCGAGGTTGCGAACGTCTAATTCAATGCATACTGTCCCATAGGCATTTGGCACATTCACAGAAGGCATGTTCACAACTTCCAACGAACCTGTTACGTCGTCTTTTTCATATCCGGCATGATCTGGTCGCGGGGACGTTGACCACCACAGGACAACATTGTTTTGCTGGAGCCGTCTGGCATACGAGATATCAATGAGGTACCGAGGGTCATCAGTCTCCAAATTGCAGAGAGGGACATCGCCGTACCGAGCCAGCAGAGTCAAGTGCTGAACCCAAGCAGAAAGATACAAATAATGGGTCACAAGACGCCTAGCAATGAATGACTGCCAGCCAAGTGGCGGCATTTCCATATCTGACGCTTCGGGCTTCACAGATAGTGTTGGGTACTCTTTCAGTATAGGAATATCGTGGCACAAGCGGTCCTTCTGCTGAGACTGGATGACCAGGATGGCCGGTTGGCTCTCGTCGCTCCGAAGCTTTCTTACCAAATCGCCGATCTCCAGATGGGCCTTTCTCCGGGTCATCACCTGTGTGGTTTTGAAGTGGATCTTGTCCTGGTACTGGAAGGCGTTTTGCGACTCATCACTAGATTCTTGTAGCTTGCGAGAAAGCAGCTCGGAGTAGATCTTGTCAACGTTCGGCATACCTTGCACATCCCTTGTCCGGTTCAGGATGACAATATGCGCCTCATTCGTCGCTGTCGAGAACAGAGCAAATACTTGTCTATCTCCGGAGGCAACATGGTAAAGATAATGGTACGCCAAATGTGATTTCATGAGGTAGGGTTGGTCCGAGGTAGTATGCAGTAATGTGGCAAGATCAAAGCCCTTCTCTAGACCCTCACCCAAAACGCCACGCTGCTCTTCATCGAAAGTGCAATGACTTCCCAGTTTGAGGACCGCTCGGATACTCGGCGAAACATTCCGCTCGTATACACCTTCGATACTTGAATGCTGGAAAAGGGCGTCCATTTTGTCTGCCTCCTCGAGGAAAGTGTCTTCGGACAAGGACACCTTGAAGAGGTGGACCGAGGGGTGCCCATTGGGCAATGTGTGATTGACCTTCTCGACCTCACAGTCGGGCACTTCAATGTCGGGTAATGAATCTCGCTTCAGGTTCACATAAAACTGTCGCGGAACCTTGACATTAAGTGCATGAATTTTCTGATCGATTAGCACAAAAGCTCGCACAATTCCTGGGCGACCAGTTTCGCACAACTGCAGGACCTGCCAGGTGCTGATGTAGAGCATCTGTGCTTGGTTGCGGAAGAAGCCACCCAGGGAGTCTGAAGCGACGGTCGTCCGGTCACCAAACAATTGGCGGCGCCGAATTCGTGCCTGCTTCTGGATCTTCCACTTTTGCTTTTGGTATCGGAGGAAGCCCTCATAATCGTCTGTGATTGATGGCATGACTGCAGGAAGGCTAGCAAAGGGATCTAGTGCTATTTTAGAAAGACCTTCGGAGTGTTTCCTCTTCTGAGACACCTTGGTCTCGGGCGACTGGACTTTCTGTGTTGAATTTGCCAGTGCTTCGTCCAAGTCACCGACATGTTGAACACGATGTTCCAGTATATTGGCTGATATCGATGAGAGGGGCACTTTCTCCGATTTCGTGAACAGATCAGTCATCTTCTTCTGCTTGAACTTGTCATCCTTCTGATTGATACGTCGCTGTAGCCAATCGGGATGAGCAACCCGAGGAACAGGATTCCGAATCTTCTGCAGAGCAGCGGGAATTGTGATAAGCTTTTGCACAACCGATCCCAGACGCTCGAGATAGTAGTCCCAATCAATAACATTGCGGGGGTCCATGTCGCCAGGGTCTCCTTTGAGCCATTTTCGCAGGAAGTATCGTTTGACGTTCTCTTCGGCAGAGAAGATGGCCACAGGAATGGCTCTTTCGGTGACAGGGGTGTTTCTTGGTCTTGAGGAGATAATATACTTGCAGTTCAAGCCTTTGTCCTTGACCATTTGCTCACCGAGGAACTCTGCCAGACGCTTCGCTGTGGTGATAGGTGAAGACTTCTGGTTTCCATATTCCTCCAGCGTCTTTGACATGCTTCGGTTTTCCGAAATGAGGTCGATGAGTTCTTCGTCAGCCAATGTAGCTCCGTGCTCATAAAGAACATCCAACCACCGATCAGCAACTCGTGCGACAGCAGCATATGTCTCCCCGAGGTTGGTGCCTTCCAAGAAAAACTTGAAGATTTGCGTCTGGAAGATTTTAATCAACTTCAGCTCTCCTCTCCGCTTGACTTCGAAACCCTTCAACTCAGCCAATGACCCATCGTGATTGAACACAGCGTATCGTTTCTTCAAATTTTTGTCTTCCTCCTTTGAGGTTGGCAGGATCATGGCTCGGTATGGTCCATCGACCTCGAAGAAGATAGAGTTCTCGCTGTAGGTCTCATACTTGAAGGTGGACGGGTCGGTAAGCGACTGGTATTGGTGGTTGGTATACTTGCCGTGAACCAGATGATTAAGCATGACACATGGGTACGAGATCCCTAACTTCTTTCCATTCTTGAGGGTAAAAGAGAAGTTTTCAGGGAATGTTCCCGGAAGCATACACCAAATACCATCAGTGTCGAGTTCCAAGGGTCGGCCAATACGTTCAACAAGCTCTCGCGCCATTTGAATAATATGAGCACCCGTGAGACAAGTCACACCGGCCATCTCCAAGGAATACCATCGAGATCCCTTTCGCATCACATAACCGTAGAAACTGTTCAGAATAACCTTGTGTGCAAGTTGCAGTGAATCGAATAGGACAATCATCTTCTTGGCCTCGTCAATCTCAGCAGCAGACGCACCCGATGACTGCAATGACTCTGTTTTGTTTTTCCAGACCTTTTGTTTTCCCTTGAAATCATATCGACGGTCACGGAAGCTTCGCACAGTGTCAACATAAAAGGGGTTTTCTCTTTGGCAGATGATTGCCTCTCGTACAATGGTTTTACTATCGTGAATCTTGTGGTAGATCTTCTTGCTGTAATCTTGCAGTCGTTTTCTGATCACACCAGCCTGTTCCTCGATGCTCAGCTCGCCAAATGCCCTCGTCGGAGCATTCTTATGTCGTCCAGGAAAACGCTCGTTTGTAGTGGCCCTCCGAATCATGTTGTATTCGTCCCGCTTAGCAGGCAAGAATTCACCACGCCAGGCCCACGGCATTCGCCTATCGCAAGTCTTGCCGGGCCGGTTGAAGTCGCACGCGGCACAATTCGACTCATCAATCATTGAATCGGGCTGTAATCGATTGGTGATCATGATGTTGGGATACATGGAAGCAACATCCAAGTGATAGATGAAAGGTACCTCATTGCGACTTGGGTTATTCTTCAGATCCAGTAAACGTTCCATGATCTGGGCTTTGACTTCATCGTAGTTTGTGACATCATCCATCGACTTCTTCTCCTCGACCTCAATACTGAACTTGAGCGCATGGTCAAGGTCGCGGATGAGTTCTTCAATTGCAGTAGGATCAACTTTGAACGTGACCGGGATGTCACTTCGGAAAACACCAGCTTCGATACTTTCGACGTGACCACCAACATAGGTTTCAGAATCCAGGAGGTGACCATCGTAAAATGCCTCGGCAGCATCCTTATGTTTGTTGGGAAGAACAATATCATGCTGATAAGCTTGTACCATGAGAAGCATCTCACACAAAGTTCCGGTTCCTTTTCGCAATGTGTCGTCTGGGTTGAGCGGAATGACGGTACACAAGGAGAAGATAAAAGGATGCACGTATTTCATGTACAAGTAGTATGTCGCAACAGCATCGGAAACAGAGTATTCGGCCAGTGTTTGAGGCCGTTCACTTGCGTAAGGAGTCATCAACTCGGGATCGAGCTCATCAGGATCGTATCCAAGCTTTGCGACGGTCACGGCTTTCAAACCACGGCTTCCCTGCGGAAGGTAACTATCACGGTTCACCCATGCAAAGCAATCCATGTGAACACAATTATCGGCTTGGTAGATGTCTTCGCTGTTCTTTCTAAAACCGATTTCCGTGTACATGTCAATTCCCTGGACGCTCGCTCTCGTCTCGACGAACGGCCAATCGAAAAAGTCACCGTTGTATGTTGCAATGACAGTCGGTTTAACAATCTTTATGTGTTCGAAGAATCGCTCTAGAACCGCTCGCTCGTTCGGTTCATTGAAAATCACAAAAGGTCCGCTGTATTCCGGTCTGGGAGTGTACTCGAAATCGTTGATGTCTGCTGAAACAATCTCTCTGTTCGTGATGAGGAATCCTTGGCCGTCGATCATGTACGAGATCATCATAATCTGGTCAATGACAGCGTCAGGGAACTTGAGGGGGAGTTTTGTGGTCTCAATGTCAAAAGCGAGGACGACAGGATCAGCACGTGTGAGTCGGTCTTCAAGGCATTTCAAAGATATCACGCCTTGTCTTGACTCCACGTTGTACCACTTTCCAATCCGAATATCTAATCAAGTCTTAGCCCAGGTTTCACCGTTTTCCCAAAGAGAGAGTACAAACCCTTATCGATGCATACTCGGACATGGTACGGAACATCGTACTCTCGAATATCAACAATAAAATCACTCGCTTGCATGTTGCCATTATGTCGTTGCTCATTAATTATCTCGTCATCAAAAAGGTCGAAACCCGTGGGTGCACTTGAGAGACTCAATCAGTAAACGGTAAGGTTTCCAGATTTTTGGACCATCACTTACCCGGACATTTCAGCATATGCGTCCATATCCGTCGCGTTTTTTTTGTTTTTCTCGGCCAGAGGCAGAAGTTCCCGCCGAACCTCGAGGAGGTTGCTCACATTAGCAAAATTTAGCTTGACAAACGTCCTCCGGTGTCCAAGGAGGTGATTTGGGAGATCTAAGTCTTCCTTCTCCACCCTCTTGAAGTTCTTGATCAGACCTTCAAAATTCCGTCTGCACCATTCCTCTACTTCCATCTCATGGCCTTTTTTAACCGCAAGGAGAAAGTATGGATCATACTCGACGGTTGCCTTGAAGCTGCCTCCGTCGTCTTGGAGGAAATAATAATCAACACCGGCGCGCCCACCTGGCACTGTTGTGTCTTCTATTGTGGTGCTGCGCATGTTGATAAGCCAACCAGCCCTGGTCTCGCCGGACTCGAAGCGTGGAAATCCCAGCGATTCATCGATACTGTTTGCCAGCCGAATGGCCTCGAATTTCTCATCCTGAGAGGTTGCTTCGGTGGAGCGGAGAGAGGAGAACTCGACGGTCTTGGCTCGACGTGGATTTGAAGATGCTGCGCCGGATCTGAATTTGTTGTTTCCATACTTGCTGGGTTTGCGCGAAGGCATGGCGAATTTTGGGCCCCAGCCGGGCTGCTCAGAATCCTTTTCACAGGTTGAGTCGCGTTAGATGAACATTAAAATATTATTGTTGGAATGAGCAGAATAGAGTCAACAAGTTCGGGTGAAAGAAACGCGGGGATAAAAAAGAGGAACAGTGAGGTGAGAGTACCTTGAACCAATGTCTGTAAAAAGGTACAGTCCTAGTTGGGCTGCTCTAATCCGTAATCTGCTTGACGCGTTCGCGTTCCATTTACGCGTGTGAAAGTATCTTAGTCATCTTATCCCGGAATAATTATCCGAGTACAGCCGATGACGGATAATATATAGCCCGCGATATTGATATGGATCGGCTCCTCTTTTACGGATCGCGAGAACTACAGTCAATTGTCAGAAGGCTCACCCACATTACGACATCATGGCCGAAGATTCTCGAGATTCCGCCTCTGTCCAGGAGGCTGGCAGTCATCTTCCCGCAAGCACCCCCAATACCGATCCCACGAAACCCAAACACGATTTCCCTCAGTCGCAAGTTGGCAAGCTATGGGATGCATTCGGCAACCCCGAAGAACCGGTAAACATGCTCGCCAATGCGTCCTATAAGCCTCGTGGAAAGAACCCCAAAGATGTGTCATACTCGGAAGTGGTGGGGGATGTATCCATGAGCGAAATCTCATCATTTTACAAAGCTCCATGCGCGCGGGAGTCGTTATTAACTGGCATTGGCGCCGGCTTTGGTATTGGTGGTATCCGTGGTGTATTCGGAGGTACATTTCAACACTCTGCTTATTGATTTTCTTGATGTCTGGGACAAAGATGAATAGCTAACCCTACGTCCAGGAATGCGCTCATTGTGGTCTGCCGGAAATTGGGCCGTTGGAGCATTCGCAATCACCTCTTTGGCAGCATACGAGTTCTGTCGCCGTCAACGAATCGAAGAAATGCACGGAATGAAGCAAGCGGTTGAGTTAATGAAGGAATTGAAGGACAAGAAACAACGGGATAAAGAAAAAGCCATGGAAGCCGCCGCCCAACGGGCAGAGGAGGAACGGCAAAAGAAGAGTTGGACCAACCCTTCAAACTACAAGTTCTGGTAGCGTTGCTCAGATATGGGCTGGAGTCACGGTATTTGTGGGATTTTATTCAAAACTGTATATTGCGATCCCATGCAAGGATGTGGGCATCATGTCATTAAGTCATCTGTGTATCATAGCTTTCTCAATTCCCCAAGTCCAAATTGCTGGTTAAACCAATCCAAAAGAGCATTCATTATCTGCTCTTGGACGTGCAGGCTTCTCACCTGACATTATATGTCGAAAAAGTACTTTGTACTATGGCGGGGATAGATCCCTGCTGGATGTTTCGGCTGAAACATCAAATTTCACACGCTTCGGAACGGAACCTTGTTGGATACTGTGGATTCTTTCCAGGCCTCCGCTCTCATGTCGTCGTTCTCTTCGCTTCCCCCGAGCTTCCCGTGCTTCACGGTTCTTCCATTCGGTCACTTGTTTCTGTCGCTTTTGAGACCGTGCCCACGCAATCGCCGCAGTAGGCCTGAAGCCTATACCGTTGATTCCATAGCCATCATCTGTGGGATCTGTGGGATCATGTCCCGTTATCTCATAATCGTGCCAGGTGAAAGGGTCTTCCTTTGAAGTTTCAGAAGGAGGGGGCGACATTCGTTGCTTGCGGGTTTTGGAGGGGGATCTAGGTTGAAGCTGTTTGCGCGGTTGCGTGGATCTTCTTCTGGAGGGAGACACAGCCGCGGTGGGGGTATCGTTTGAAGTTGGGGGCAGTTCAAGTGCCGGCTGATAGCCAGGCATATTTTTGGGTTTTCCAGCGGCACCTAGCCGTTGTTCTGGCGGTCTAGTTGGCTCGGGCTGCAGAGCTGCATTTTGCCGCCCCAGGGTTGTGAGACGTTCACCTCGAATCGCAAGTTCTCCAAATCGACCCGCCACGGCGGCTCGAGGGCTGTGGCGTCCAACCTCCTCCTCCCGAAACCTAGTTTCCTGCGGACTCCCGATAGAGACTACTGACGTCGGGGATGGTGATGGGCTGTAGTAGTCGGACTCAGAGGGTTCTCGTTTGCGTTTGGGCGAGAAGTACGGCGGGAGATCTGTCGTCATCGTGGGGAAGAGGAATATGCAGGAAAATTAAGGGATCCAGAATTGCTTGATCATGAGATTAAATGAGACGCCCCATTTATTAAGGGCTAGAGGGGTAAACCCATCATGCAGTGAAACTCATACCATAAGGTGCGGAGATCAGGATTAAGTGAGGGGTCGCCTACGGTGGACCAGGTGTTCCAATCATTAATGTTATCGCGGTGAATATATTATCCGTTCAGGCTGTACTCGGATAGATAATCCTGGATAGGATAACTCATGATGTGATCACGTGACTTGTTCAAGGTCCTGTGGGCCTCACGCGTGTCATGATTGTCATCTAAGTCAGCACCTCAATAAGACCCATTATTAGATCCCAACAATAAGTAAATTAAGTATTTCCCCACTGACCACTAACATTAATTCATTTTCCCCAATCACAAAATTTGAACTCTCGCTTCCTGCACTCCCACGAATATCAGGCTCTTAAGATATCTCGATCTACCTTATACTACCCATAAAGCACTACGACATCCGCAACTGCTGAAATCCTGTGGTTTACGGGGAACGAAGCTAACATTGACTATTAAATTAAGCCGCCTCTCACGCTATCCGGCCAGACTTGGGTTATCCTTGAAATTATTCGAAAGATCCCAGCATCTGACCAAAGAACGAGTTGCCAATAAAAAATGCCTTCCGTTCGCAGCAGCCAAGTATCTCTGTCACCTTAAGCAGATCCCAGAAAGCAGACTTTTATGCGCATCTACTTGCAATCACCCTTAATCGTGCTGGCAATCAGCATCGGAGTGCGCCGTTCCGCAAACAGCAGACCTCCAAACTGCCGTCAAATGATGAGTTAAGCCGCCAACATCAACAGACTGGCCTAAGATTGATCCTGCAGCGTGGATATGGTAAATAGCAAAGATCTAAGTTATCAATACTCGTACTCTACGAAGAGAATATACATCAGCAGATCTTTTATGTGTTCATACGAAGCTACTAGTACATAAACATTCCATCACTATATCAGTACCACACAACGTACCTACTGAATAGGTAGCCAATATGTGCTTTCACTTTTTGACACAGAGAATTGAGACTAATCATTATACTATATACTAAACCTTTGGAAATCATGCAAAATGCAATTCAGAAGCACAGACACACAGGAAAGAGCAAATCTTATTGCCAATGATGGCCTAAATCGAATAATTTACAGATGCCCGAGCCCATCGAGTCGTGATCAAGATTGAACAGATATGAAAAGATAAGAAAAGAAATCCCAACGCCGTGACAAAGACTCCCAGTTCCAAGGAAAAAGCGCTTTTATGCCTTCTGCTTCTTCTTCGAAGGCTCAGCATCAGTGTCGTGCTTGCGCTTCTTCTTCTTCTCAGGCTCGGCCTCGGCCACATCGGACTTGCGCTTCTTCTTCTTGTCGCTCTTGTCGCTCTTCTCCTTCTTTTCCTTCTTCTCCTTCTTCTCCTTCTTGGGGGAAACATCCTCCATCTCCACATCGCTGCCATTCACATCATCCATACCAGCCAGAACGGCATCCATGGCGTTTTTCTGTGGCAGAATTGTTAGCAAAGACCTATCAATAACGTGGAGACGTAATGAACATACCATAGCAACTTCGTTCTTGGTAGGGGCAGCGCCGGTGGCGTAGAACTCCAGGCGCTCCTCAACCTGGTGCTTCAGGGCCTCACCGAACTTGGTGTTGGGCTCATCAGAGAAGTTATCGATACGGGACGCGATGGAGCACTTGTTGGCAAGGAAACGCGAGATGCGACCCTTGTTCTTGGGACCAGCGCGGCCAATGAAGGAAGAGTGGTACAGCAGACCGTACTTGGGGGTGTTACCCTTGGTCTTCAGGGCACGGAAAAGAGCCTTCTCGGCACCCAGAATCTGGACGGTCGAGGCGGGGTACTTGGACAGGTTGGTCAAGCTACCGGCGTGGGAGATCAAGCGAGCAGCAACAACCTCTCCGATCAGGGCAGCAAGGTTGGGGGCAACGACACTCATCTTGGAGACGAGGTACTGGTAGAGAGACTTGCGGTACTTAGCAAGGCTGACAACGCGGCCGGCGAAGGAAGTGACGTTCTCCATGTCGGAGTCAGCGATATCCTGACCCATACTGTGCTTAGCGGCATCAATGATGTTCTGGGCAACATCCTTATCGTCCTCCACGAGGGCAGCGATGTCGTGTAGGCGTTCATCGCTCAGGTTCTTCTTGTCCTGGACAAAGAGTGCAATTTCGGCGTAGCGCTGGTTGTCAGAGACAATCTTGGCCAGCTCGGGGAAGTGCCACGAGTACCATTCGCGAACACGCATGGAGAAAGTGTTGATGGCCTTATCAAGCTGATCGAGGATAGCAATAGCCTGGATGATGTGGTTGTCGTCACGCTGAACGGAGAACTTAACCTTGGCACGCGAGTAAGCGTGACCGAGACCGAGCTGGGCGGTGTCCATATCACCCTCACGGAGCTGCTGAACCAGCTTGCTGAAGTGCTGGCGAATACCACGGAGAAGATCCTGCACAACCTCGCTAGTGTCACCGGTCTCGCATTCGACAAAATCGAAGGCAGATTTGATGCTTCCAGCAAGACCCTTGTCGCAAAGACCCAGCACAACCTTCTTCTTCTTACTCGGCTTGGGGAGGTTCAATTCGAGGAAAGAAACAAGGGTCTCGGAGGCGACACCCTCAGAGACATCGTTGATTTCACCAAGAGCCTGCTTGTTGTTTCTGCGATGGGTTAGCAAAGAATCCCACGAGGGATAAAATTTGCAGGTTGAGATCCCACACTCGAAACTTACTCGAAGGGAAGGAAACTGGCGAGGTCAATCATCTTTCCGAACTTGGCAAGATCATTGACACCCTCCTGGACTTCCTTCAGGCGGTTGCCAACAGCATCACCCTGGAGGGCGACCTTGAAAAGCGAGTAGCCAATGGGGCTCTCGAAGAGAAGGTAGTCGGCCATGTCTTATTTTTGTAAATTCTGGTCCGATTAGGCGTTATATGACCAAAATATTGATTGCAACAACCGGGGCCCACAAACGACTTGAGGGTTCGACACGATGGGGTTGTTGGTGCGGTCGTTTTCTAGAGAGCGGAAGAGAAGTCGAAAATCGAGCTTTTTTTCGGCGCTAACCAAATCTAGTGCTGTGGGCAAAAACTATCCTTCTCACCGCCTGGGGCAGTGACACGTGACTAATCAACGCTTGCCCACTCCTGTCCACGGGTTGCACGAGCTCCCCTCCTATTTTCAGTATTGCTTTGTTGTTTGAGCTGAGCTCTTGTTCATTCATTTATTATAGCAGAGATGTCTGCTACTCAACTACTTAACCCGAAGGCGGAGTCCCGGGTATGCAATTCTCACATATTTGACCCCTCCGTGGCCCGCACTAACATTTCATCTAGCGGAGAGGAGAGGCCCTGAAGGTCAACATCGGTGCTGGAGAGGGTCTCCAAGATGTCCTGAAGTCCAATCTGGGTCCCTCAGGCACCCTGAAGATGTAAGATTCAATTTTCATGCGGGTACAAGCCTTGATATAGCTGACATAATTTCTAGGCTGGTGGACGGTTCTGGCGGAGTATGCAACACCTCCCTTTCATATTGAATGCTACAGATCGAGATACCTAATGTGGCGGTATGACAACAGATCAAATTGACAAAGGATGGAAATGTTTTGCTTCGTGAAATGGTTGGTCCTTCCCCTAATGATTAGCATGCTGCAGACAGATGCTAACACTCAGCAGCAAATTCAAAACCCCACGGCTGTAAGACAATATTTACGCGAACGAACATTCGACTCTCGCTGATAATGATGGAAGGTTATGATTGCTCGCGCAGCCACCGCACAAGATGATATCACTGGTGATGGAACAACATCTGTCGTGCTCTCCGTAGGAGAGCTCCTGAAGCAGGCGGACCGCTTCATTTCGGAGGGTCTGCACCCCCGAGTGATCACCGATGGTTACGAGATTGCGAAGACAGAGGCTTTGAAGGTATTCTACCGAAATATTTGATTGGCCATAACAAATTTCGAGTCTGACGTGATGCACAGTACCTTGAAGAATTCAAGCTCGAGCGCAGCATTGACCGCGAGCTGCTCCTTTCCGTCGCCCGCACCTCTCTTTCCACCAAGCTGAACAATGCCCTCGCCGAGAAGCTGACCCCTGACATTGTCGATGCCGTGCTTGCCATCCACCGCGCCCCCGAGAAGCCCGACTTGCACATGATTGAGATCATGACCATGCAACACCGCACATCCTCTGACACTCAGCTTATCCGCGGTCTGGCTTTGGACCACGGTGCTCGTCACCCCGACATGCCCAAGCGGGTGGAGAACGCCTTCATCCTGACCCTGAACGTCAGCCTGGAGTACGAGAAGTCTGAGATCAACTCCGGCTTCTACTACTCTACCGCTGAGCAGCGAGACAAGTTGGTGGAGAGTGAGCGCAAGTTTGTCGATGCGAAGCTGCAGAAGATTGTGGATCTCAAGAAGCAGGTCTGCGGCAACGACCCGAAGAAAGGATTCGTTATCATCAACCAGAAGGGTATCGATCCTCTTAGCTTGGACATCCTGGTCAAGAATGGTATCATGGCTCTTCGCCGCGCCAAGCGGAGAAACATGGAGCGTCTGCAGTTGGTTTGCGGAGGTGTTGCCCAGAACAGCGTGGAGGACATGACCCCCGATGTCCTCGGTTGGGCCGGTCTGGTCTACGAGCACCAGCTCGGCGAGGAGAAGTTCACTTTCGTTGAGGAGGTCAAGGACCCTAAGTCTGTGACCATTCTTATCAAGGGTCCCAACCCACACACTATCGCTCAGGTTAAGGATGCCGTTCGTGACGGTCTTCGCTCCGTCTACAATACCATTGTTGACCAGTGTGTCATTCCCGGAGCCGGTGCCTTCCAAGTTGCATGTGCTACCCGTCTCAAGTCGGATGCCTTCCGGAAGACTGTGAAGGGCAAGGCCAGGTATGGTGTTGATGCCTTTGCCGATGCTCTCCTGATCATTCCCAAGACTCTTGCTGCCAACTCTGGACATGACATCCAGGATTCCCTGGCTGCTCTGCAGGGTGAGTGTGATGAGGGTAACATTGTTGGTCTAGACTTGAACACTGGCGAGCCAATGGACCCTGTCCAGGAGGGTGTCTTTGACTCGTACCGTGTTTTGCGGAACTGCATTGCCTCTAGCACTGGAATTGCTGCCAACCTCCTTCTCTGTGACGAGCTGTTGAAGGCCCGGCAAATGAGCAAGCCAAGTGGACCTGGTGGTATGGAGGAGTAATGTGCCATTGATTGACGATGCGTGGCATCTCATGTAAAGAATTTGATGGAGCTAGGGCTTGATGCTTGAACAGTACAGTCTACTAGCAAAAATGAAAAAAAGAATGAACGCTAGAGTTACAAGCTGCCAACTTTACAACGTACGATGATAAAATAAGTACTAGTAGGTTCTCAGAGGCCATAACTGTAATATTTCAATGAAGTTCAGGCTGTGACCGCCGAGTTTCTTTCAGGTAGCATGGTCCTTATGGAAGTAATTATCATTATTATCATACAGGATTTAAACCAATGTTTTACAGGACTGGGGTCAGATCACTCAGACAGACTGTCGTCGTCATTCTCAGATCTACCCGTGGACTGCAATTTCCTCACGAAGCCCTCTTCTTTCACAGGATCGTCTAGTGAAAGATGATTTGTCTTGGCCCAATTCCAGACGTCCGACTTACGGATCATCATCTTCGGGCCCTGTTCAGCTTCATTCTCTCCCATAAGCCGGCTCATTTTGCGCTTCTTCTCGGGTTGAGCAACACCCATACTTTTGACTGCAGTAATAACATCCTCTGTCAACATTCCAGTGGCAAGTCCGATCTCTTCGACGGTCATGGTTTCACGCTGGGGTTTCTTGCGTTTCGACGGGGTGCTTGGCTTGTGTGGAATTACTTCAGCATCTTCTCCATGCTTACCACGTAGGAAATATCTCGCGATTCGCTCTGACCAAAATCGATTGTAGCTCTTTTGGCCCAGATCACTCAGTGGTTTCTCTGGACCACCGATATATCCACCAGGCGACTCCCAGCCACTCAGTTTATAACTCACCCCCATCAAGAGTTTTCCCAACTGCCTGTGTTGGTAAGGTGGGAAGACACAGATACAGGCGAGATTGTTCGCGTCCCAGGAGAGCTTTTCTTGGGAGTAAAAGCCGAGCACATGGTAGTTCTCAGCATTATCGGGGTCGGTATAGGTGAGTATATAGTAGAGGAACGTTGCGACATCAAAAAAGACGGTCTTATGGTCGAGGAATAGCTTCGCGAATAATGACAGGTTCTGGCCAAAGAGCTTATGTTCCTCCCCGTCAACCTCCCATACCGCGTATCCACCGTGTTCGTACACTTTCGTGCCGGGTGGTGTTATATGATGCTCGCAAACTTGAGTATGTGCCGCAAAAGTCTCCGCGTCACACGAATATCGAAAGCACCAGCGACAAACATATAGGCGATCGGCGTCTTTGGCGACCAAGTCTTCCGGGTAGATAGACTGGTACCATGGCTTGAAAAGGAGGTCTCCTAGTACGACATTCTTCAGATTGCGGTCGCCCGGACTTTGTAGTCGTGAAGCGGATGTACTAGTCGCCATTGATAGGTCCGAAGTTCGGAAGGGAGGGTGTTTTAACGAATGGATGTCGCGCGGTAGCTAGGGTTCAAGGAGTGCGTCCACTTGAGTAGCCATTGGCATCAGCGTACCAACCAGATTTTTTGGATACGCAAAGGCAACTCAGTCGGACCAACATTGGACAACAAGTCAAGCCGTAAGGAACTCCTCAGTAGACGAAACAGCGAAAGTTCCTCATTTTGGGGAATTTCCAAATCGAAAATCATGGAGCTGAGTCAGCACAGGTCAGGTGGGGAACAGCTTTTATCTTATCCGCTGTTGCCTGCTGAAATGTACAAGTGAAATCATCCTGAATTTCATCCTTTTCATCTACATTAGCCCCTGCTTTGGCTATCATAGGCAGCAAGAATCAAACTTCCCCCATGGTTTCTATCGTGACTTCAAGTTCCTTTTAATCTTGTGAATTTTCACGCACCTTCGCCTCCTGGTGATATCCCGTGTCTATCCTTCCCGTTACTTCCCCACACTTGAGCTAGAACTACGGTATCACGCGTTCCTCAAAATGTTGAAACCCTTCCAGATCAGAGACCAACAAGGGTCTCCATCTTCAAGTCCAGTGCAGTCTTCTGGCCCTCGAGGGGTTCGAATCTCAGCCTCTGATTATGATGACCTCGCCTCAAATCATCCTCGGGCGAGGTTAACCTACCTGGATGACGATGATGGCGATCAGATTACGGTAGGCTCCACACCAGATTTTCCTCTCTTCCAACAGGTAACTAACTCTACCTCTATAGGTTGGGTCTTCTCTGGAACTGGCCCAACGTCTAGATGAGCCCCTGGAGATTGGGCCTATGCAATTCTCCCAAGATGAACCAGAGCCGATGCATCTATTTGATATCCGTCGATCAAATTCGGTAACGGAGCTGTGGAAAAGATTTGAGAATCAATCCATCGGGGGTCCTCAGATTCCTGAAACAAAGAACGATGGACCTGCATCGGCTCGCGAGGAACCCCCCTTGCAACTCAGTGCCACTGCTGTCCCTGACTCTCAGCCCTTGCTAGCAGCATTTGAGGCTGAGTTGGCCAATATTCTTGGCTCATCAGAGGACCCTGCTGAGAGAGCACCTCAAGCTGAACCGTCGCCTACGACTGAGTCCTCGACAAATGCCAATCCTCAAACAGTGCCCCATATTGCCGAGGCTATTGCGGCGCAGATATTACATCACTTGGCTAATGGCGCCAATCTGGTTCAATCTGAGCTCAGGACAAGACTGCCGGATTTGCAGCGTCAAGTTCGTGATGCCCAGATACATCTGCCCGAGAACATTGGCGCATCGCTGCAAGCTCTGCTTAGTACACTCGAAGCCCATATGAGAACTGCTTTCAACAATTTACCGGATAACGGAAGACAGTGGGCGGACAATGGGAGACATTGGGCAGAAGAAGCAATTCATGCAGGGCGGCCTGTGGCTGAAAATGCCGCCGAAAGCGTTCGAATGATGGCCTCCGAGTTCAACGAAGTTGGCCGCACTTTGTTTGCTGCTTTTGAACATGAATTTGGGCGCCCTACGCCACAGGGAACGAACGCCCCGCATGATGGGTCGAATACTGCCTCTGCCGCTTTCGTGAACGGTTCAAGCAATGTCTCCGCCGCGTCGGCCAATCCTCCGGCTGAGTCTCGCCCCGCGGATTCTAACTCTGAGGCAAAGACTAGTAGGGGAGATGACCACACACCAGCGGCAGAACCTGCAACTAGCAGCCATGCAACGCCCCCGATTAATTCTTACAGTCAAGCTGCACGACGCTTCTCTCCTCCTTTCGGTGCTCCTATTGTATCGAGCTTTCCATACCATGTACCTCAGCCCGCGGTGTGTCCCCCGGCCTATCACCCACCCTATCCCATGCCCCCATCCTACCAGATACCCTACTCAAGCTCTGGTGGCTACCACGCCCACCCTCCCCATTCCTCCAACTCAGTAAGCGCTGAGGTACGCCCATCCTACACTAATCCTTACGGCCCAGGCTCCCCTCCTTGGGTTAAACGTTTGCCTACATATTCGACCCACCGACATGGGCCTCTACCAGTGCTATCCGGAGAAATTTCGTCGAGTACTGTGGACAAACAAACGGAAGAGCCTGAAAATAAAACCCTGTTCATTGGAAACATTGGGTTCAACGTAACTGAAAGAACTATCCAAGATGTTTTTGCCTCAAAAGGGTACATTGTCACGGTGGATCTTCCATTGGATGCCGTGTCAGGCAAACATGCAGGCTTTGGCTACCTGCATTTCCCCTCGATCCACCCAGCCATATCCGCTATGGGTTCGTTGCAGGGTACTCACATTGACGGCCATGCGATCAACCTGGAATTCAGTGACTTTGTGCCCACCCAAGATGTCAGTACCCAGGGTGTGACCAATCCTACCGATCAGCATCAGCCACTTAAATCAAAATCAGGTCCGAAGACTCCTGATGCCTTCGGTGTGGAGCAAAATCAGAACACCCCAATCAAACGCCGGAAATCAGTCACTTTTCAAGTATCAGATCAGTCCTCCAAAGACACCGCACATCAGTCTAGCGATGCAGTAAAAGCAGTTACCCCATCAGCAAAGGAAGCATCATCCCCTCTTATCGATTTGTCTATTGACGAGTCTGCCTCTGAATCACGGATTCGGCATGACGTGCCTGTCAACTTGGATTCGGAATTAGAGATGAGTCGATTTCCACCTGTTTCCCAGCTGGATGCCCATCATTTGGCGACTCAACGTCAACGTGGAATGGCTTCCAACAGTCAGGCTGTCAAACATAGTGACTCCACTCCTGCATTCACAGCAGATCTTCCCCGAAGATCGCGTACCATTGCCCATCCTCAAGGTCAAGGTAATCGTAGCGATGCCGGGCCTGGCCTTCGTCGTGCGAGCACTATTACGTCTTCAGCGGGACAAGAGAATTCCAACGCGGTAGATCTACGAGCTCTTGACGAAGTCATGGGTTGGCCTAGTATGCGACGTCGAGCCAGTGAGCGTCAAGCACTTGACACAGTTGCCCGTCCCGCCCGCGGTCTAGATACGTGGGCGCGATTGGACAGAAGGGAGCGCGAGCGGTCCAGATCGTCTCAACACAGTATTCCTGGGAGCTTTCCTGCCGAAGTACCCCAATCCAGTTCACTCGAGGTCCGTGACATGGAAGATGCTATTGAAAGCTGTGTCTCTTCGCTCATTAAAATGGGGTATGGAAGTGCTGAAGATGGTGGTCGGGCCCGGATGGAGATATATGCTGCCGCATCCAATGGCAGTCTATTGGATGCCATCGAGATGATTGAAGATGAGCGGAAGGCTTATGCTCGCCATGCTCAGAAGTAAGATTCGTCCAGGTATTTGAAGGGGTTACTTTTTAGCTCTATGTTGTTTTATTCTATTTTCCCAGATTTCTGTTGCATGAATAACAAATTCCCCTCTTTAATTTTATGATATTCTGTCAGAGCCGGTGAATTCTATCAATGGATGCTGCTTTCTAATTCACTTCAAATTTTCCAACATTCAAATCTACAGCGCCGTGGCCAGAATATATATACACATGAATTTGATATCTGGTTTGACACGGCCAAAACAATAATATACGTCAACTTTTAACCTCTTGTTGATGAATAGAAATGAAATGACTCTTCTGTCATGACGATGTCCAGTTCTAAAGAGAAAACAGATATTTAAAAACATCAAATGATTACCTACTGATAGGTATCCAGTGGCCGGAGCACAGTTGAAACTCCACCTGTCGGGAAGCCGGTCGGAACATGGGCAGCTCCGTAGTTTTTCCAGTCCGCGCAACTTCTGACCACAACGCGCCTCAACTACAGCCATGCAATGGCGAGCCTTCACAACGTCTGTCGCCAGACTCAATCATAGCGCGACAGCCAAACCATCTGCAGTACTGCGATGTGCCCAGATCCTTCAATCTGGCCGGCAAGATGGGCCCTGCCGCTTTGAAGACCAGGAGATTAAGGTTAATGGCTTCATTCGTTCCATTCGCAAACAAAAGAAAATTGCTTTTGCCGGGGTCTCGGATGGCTCTACAGTTGAATTATTACAGGTTCTTCTAAAACCAGAGCATGCAGCCGAGTAAGATTTCTCATGAAGCTTGTGTCTAGTCATATCTAATCGACCATTTTCACTTTAGTCTATCCGCAGGTTCTGCAGTCACAATGACCGGAATATGGAAAGCTTCCCCACCAGGCAAATCGCAGACCCATGAGCTACAAGTAACTGATGTGGAAATGGCTGGCGCAATGGACCCAGAGGTTGGCAGATCTCCTTCTGTAGTCCATGGGAAGAAACCACGAGCTGATAGTTCAATCTTAATCGCAGACATATCCCATCCAAGCGAAATACCAAACCCCCGATTTCTTGCGCCAGATTCCTCATCTCCGCCTTCGAACGCCGCTAAACTCGATGCTTGCCCGCTTCCGTTCCGAATGTCTATTCCAGCTGGGGAACGTCTTTCATTCCTACCCCAATGGAAGCTTTGCACAAGTGCAACCGCCGATAATTACCTCCTCTGACTGTGAAGGAGCGGGCGAAACATTCACCTTGATTCCGCGTGGTGCCACCGCTGATACCGAGGCCGACCACTTCTTCCGGTCACCAAAGTACCTCACGGTGTCGTCTCAACTACATCTCGAGGCCTATGCCGCAGAGCTTGGGAATGTCTGGACATTGACACCTGTGTTCCGGGCGGAAAAGAGTGATACACCTCGCCACCTGAGTGAATTCTATATGCTAGAGGCGGAAGCCAACTTCATGTCGGATTTGGATGCGCTCACCGAGCAGGTGGAGTATCTGCTTCGTGATTTGACACGCAGGCTGTACGATACCACTGCTGGTCAAGATGTCTTGTCCTTTAACCGATCTGTTGATGGGAAAAGATCCGACCCCGAGGCAGAGGTGAATCTACGCCAACGGTGGTCCGCCTTGATGGACGGCCCTAAATGGCACCGTGTTACGTATACCAAAGCTATAGAAATGCTCCAACGGGCAGTCACCGAAGATGGTGCCTCATTCGAACACCCTGCCACTTGGGATGGGGGCCTTCAGCTTGAACATGAAAAGTATATTGTGGAGGTTCTGTTCCAAGGCACTCCTGTCTTCGTCACCGATTATCCGAAAGCCGTCAAACCATTCTACACGGCTCCTTCAACTGGCAATGGAAACGGGGAGGTTAGCGCTCCAGGAGAGACTGTTGCGTGTTTCGATCTACTGTTCCCGGAGGTCAGTGAGGTCGCTGGTGGCTCTCTGCGTGAGCACCGCCTGCCCAACCTTATTGAGAACATGCGCCGTCATGGTCTGATTAAACCTCGAGTTATTGATCCCGAGAATGTGCCCACAGAGCCACTCTACCCCTACCTCTCTACGACCGAGGACCTCAGCCATCTTCAGTGGTATGCGGATCTTCGACGATGGGGCTCGGTGCCTCATGGAGGCTTCGGCCTTGGCTTTGATCGGTTCTTGGGCTACTTATCGGGTGTTTCTAGCGTCCGAGATACTGTAGCATTCCCACGGTACTTTGGCCGGGCCGACTGCTAAATCTGGACCAAAATGGATTGTGTATACTACTGAAGCAATGTACGATAGACGAGAGGACCTACAATGTTCAATCTCTCAACTTCAAACTGAAATCACCCAAAGCCCGCTCATCTAAAGCCAGCTTTCTGACTACCACGGACTCTCTCGGCTGCTAGGCAAAATCATATCTACCCTGTCGAAACTAACAATAGATCGGGTTTCAGCCTTCCCGATCAACACATGCATGAACCCAATTTAGAATCTCAGGTCCCCTCTTACAGCCCCTAGCATATGCACAATGTATGGAGTATACTGTACAGCTCGAAGCTCCCAGCCACCCGCGGGTTCATCCTTCACCCGGGATGGTTGGGGGGAGATTAATCCTCCGACAGCCAGAATAAGGCAAAGAGCAAATCCTTCGCCCCTAAGAGCGGAACAGAATGTCAGCACATTGGGGCCAAATCGAAAAGATCGAACGGGAATAGTGGGTACAATGACAAGCTTGATCAGTTCAACAAGGTTAATAGATGGATATATGTGACTGAGCTAACCATTATTCTAGCCATCTGAGCACGGATACTATCTAGGTCGATCCTAGGAAAATCGCGCAATGTGAGTGGATCTACTGTACAATCAGTCTCGTTTCCCGTACATGACTGGTTGCACTACATTTAGCTACGCAAGGCTTACCATCTACGGTAAGCTTAAGCAAGTTTATGGGGCATAAGTTCAAGCCCCCAAATCTATCAAAAGGCCAAGCACTCTAGCGTAAGAGGCGCCCGCAGCCAAACATAAAAAATTGGGGCAGAGCCGATTCCATGACCATACGAGCGAGCAAATGAGGGGGTCGCGGAGTGGTCCGTGGTCCCGGTTTAATTTCGGATTTAACTTGTTATATCCTTTTACAAAGTACTCTAAATCCCCTTTGGTTCATTGCGGAGCTCGCTTACAGATGCCGAGGAAATTGTGGTTGAACCGCCTATGGTCCGGTCTCGGCAGAGTTAATTAATCCGTAATCATTGGTAATATTATTTATCATACGCATCTCGGATGGTCTAGCCCCGAAGGAGAAAGAGTTGGAACGGCATACCTCCAGGGTGCTAGAGGGATTTTGATATGCTTGCGACAGCCTCGCGCGATCGGAATGTCAGAGTCAGAGGGCTAGGTTCTAGAGCCAGGGATTACATTTTTAAAGCAACATTTGAAAACAGGGTACAGAGGACATATTTTTTCCTCAATTTAATAGACTTTACCAAAGCATCGACCCCCATGCCAATCAGGCGGCCAGGATCGGCGGACCAAGGGGACCCAACCTTACCGGGGTTAAGCATAAGCAGGAGATGTTCGGGCTTTGTCCGCTTATAAACGAGTCATGCACTAGCCGGGACTATCCCTGCCTGACGTATCACATTGTCCATGCGTTACAATTCCAGATTTTCCTAACTAGTTAACTACTGTACGTACCGCCTCCTCAGCTGTACTATATTTTTTTCAGAATCCCCCAGCCCCAGTCGTAATATCTTCGTATTCGGCTGAATAAACTCCCCGATGCATAAAGTCAAAAAAAGAAACCGTGCGCCACATGGATTATGTTTGATTCATGTTTAAGACACTGGTCGGCTCATGGCGCCATTTTGGGGAAGGTTCTATGGTTGAGACAACATAAAGTGTGAGACTAAGAGATGATTCCCTCCACTTTCCCTTTTTCTTCCCATGGTTCTGAGGATGGAAACTGGCTTTTAGACTTGCGGGTGACAGTTGCCACCAGAACTAGGGCCTAGAGAAGGGTTGAACCTTTTTCCAAAATTGGAAGGGGTCTTGATAGAAGGTTAGATTCCTTGATTTCTCAAGGCAAGGTAACTAGATAGGAGTAGCAATGCGGCCAAGGTATTGAAGCAGATCTATCCGACTAATCATATATATAAAGATGACGATGTAAAAAGGAAAAAAATGGGGTTTTCAGCTATGCCTGCTACCTAGATAGAACATACGCCAAACAAGAAATACTACGGAGTACTCCGTAAAGGATCCAGCACATTCCCAAAATCATGGACAGTAATTATGCTAGTGGAGATAAGCTCGTGCGACGTTTCACGGAATCAAATCTTGGCAACCTTTAATTCCAAGGTTGCAATCATACATGACAATACAGTACATGTCACAATCGTATCTCAAGTAAAGTTGATGAGTAATGGGACCCATGCAAGGGCACGTCATCGCCCCAGGGGCCGAGGCAATAAAGATAAATTACAAGATCGTAAACTCGAGTGAAAAGGTCAGCTAGCCACAGTGATCAGCAAGTCTGAGGTTATTGATAGGTGCAGGTAATATTGAAGTATTATACTGTAATCCTGTCCGGAGGACTCCGTACATTTAAGGGGACAACCGCACGGGCAATCCTAGACAATATGCGCCATACGCTGTTGCGCAGTGCACCTGAACACTACACAGTTATGTACGGACATAAAAAACTCCCTCAAAAAAACAAGAATTGTAATGCCGATACTCTGTAGTATATTATCGGATGCACGTACGCGCCCTACGGGACTCAAAATCTATATGGAATCCACCTATGATCCGTAATCAGAAAGCCAGGAGGCCTCATGAACCACGGTCGGCAAACCTGTCGGGTTGGCCCGCAAGGGCCTAATCAGCGGTTACGAGCAATATGCTTAGCGAGCTGTGGATCCATGACCCACTTTAATGGAAAAGGAGTTGTTTTTCTCGGATGATCGGATAAGGCCTGGCGGTCCGAGAACTCCGAGTCAATATAATGTCTTGTTTTTATGCTCTAAGCGTACGCAATACAAGCCTATCTCGATAATCTCATTTGGTGAGTTTGACGAGTTCTCGGAGGACTCCATTATGTTAGGTCTAGACTCCGGCAGCCTTGCGGTAGAACCTCGGGCCCCAAAAATAATCCATACTCTGTAAGTATCCGGATTTAGTAAAAGGAGCGACGGATGTATCAAGCGGGAATTCGGGCGATCCAAGGGGTTGTCTGCATACCGAGCTTCACAGCTCGACAGCTTGACAGATCTCGCACATGGTACATCAAGCAAGGGTGTAACATGTGGTCATTTGCAGAATCGGTCACAGTAGAGAATGGCCTCGAATTAGTTGTAAACATTTTTGAACTGAACATTCCAACATTTGAACTCGATCGATCGGCTTTGGACCCTGAGCAGCCGATAAAAGGTTATGTTTAATTAACGGTTTATCCGTGGTGGTACCATACTAGTTAATTACTTGTTCTATTTTTTTTTTTTTTTTAATTTAAATTTTACTATCTTTCCATTTATCTTTCCTTTATCTTTATCTCCTAAATTATTCAAACAAAAATTTATATAATCATCTCGGCTGCATATGCCTTGTCCTGTTCCCATTCCATCAGTGGGAAACTAGAAATTCGGTGCGACATCCCCATTTCCACCCAGGTCAACGGAAGTTCAGGTCGCCATGGTGATGTTGAAATTACACTAGTCGCCACGTGAGACATCTAATGCAGGCCATGGTTGAACGATTTTAACATAGGATTAGAGGTGGCCAAGCCCGAACACACGGACGGTAAGATGGTGATGCGAATAGAATCAGCTGGTCAGATCGTTCAGCCTCCGAAGCCTATTAGAGTGAATTGTGGCAGTTGTGCAACCGGTCTCCGTTGGCGATACGCTTTAACTGGGCATCTAGGACCGGCCCGTGCGTAAGGTTATCCCGGAATCACCAGGAGAATAAGAGGCCACAGTAAGCTAAGGCTAAGCTGATGGACTAGCGCTCGAGAGCGGGCGCTTCGGCTATCCGACTCCACTATTGGATGACTTTTATTGCCAAAACAATATATAACTACCTCATACTAACTAGTTATGTGCCCGGAAGATCACGGATAAAAACCAAGTATAACCTTGTGAATGCTATGCAAATCAAGTGAGTCTCGACTTGGGACGATTACATGCGAAACAGAGTTTAAGTCGTACATCCGACGTTAGCTCATTCGACTAGCTCTACACGACTATTGCCGATGTAAGGATCGCGGAGAAAGTACGAAGATCATTACGTGGCACTTTCGTGAATCAAAACAATAAGCATGGATAATCCCTATCTAACAATTATGCCTCATGTGCAATATGTTTTAAGAACATATCTCAAGCTTTCCAGCTCTGAATGTTCAAGCTTAGTACAAAGAACAGTTAAATTCCAAACCGCGGCCGCGTCATGATACGATTACGAGTCACGAGATCTGGCCACAGTGGCTTTTTGTTTTCGCATTTTTCCGCCCCGAATCCCGATATACTTTGTCTGGTAAACTGTACTCCGGGTTTCTAGCCGTTTGAGTTCCAGGAGGCTGATGCTGATGCCGAGACACCCGCAGAATACGCTAATCCGGAATCGGCGGAGTACTTTCCTTGGTCGCATTCGTGCTAAATATCAATAGGCAAGTGGATTCAGTCTTAAATTTTTATCCTGGATATCGCTCTTCTCCGTATCCGAAGTCCGAGCTCCGTGTAAAACCAAGAAATACCAAGAAATTCAGATCCAAAGAAAGCCGGCAGAGATAAAGGTGAAGGGTCGCCCCACGTAGAAAAATGCATAATTCTAAAGCAATATAAAAGAAATCAAGTGTTGCCTCAGTAGGACTAGATCAAATGCCAAGCATTGGAAATCCAAATCAGGTGAGAATGAACTTTGGGTGGAGACAGTCACTCTAAGCGAGCATAAAGTTCAGCGGCCTCGTGTCGGATTAAGCTTAAGCTTCAATCAGCGCGCACTAACCTTCCCTCTTACGATCAGAGCGCCACCTTGAGAATGCATCTGACACAGATCCTGTTACGATGGGACTGGTCTTATTATTTATTTGTTTTTATTTTCTTTATTCACATGTATTATATTTATCCATCTTATGTTTTATATCCATTCATCTTATGGATTAATTTATCTAAATTAATTCAAATATTTTCTTCAAATTAGACTTTAGGCTAATTATTTTCTGACTTGTGTTCAACATGGAATGGAGCTGCCTTGCGAAGGGGTGAAGCCAAGGCTCAGAATTAACCTTACTGGTCTTTGCCCCCACCATGTCCATCCTTGTCAAGCCACCGTAAGCTTAGCCAAGGCTAAAGCCAAGAGCTTCCAATAGTATTAGAATGACGAATCAGAACACTAATCTTTACACTAAAGCCCTTTTTACATTTTCATGCTGAGCCACGGCCCCCTACGGGACTTATTTACTAAAATACTTGGAAATGATCTGGATTTTTCTTTCCATTCGTATCCGTATACTTCATATACTCCGTATCGTCATTGTATCATGGCCAACCATGTGCCACACCAGCCACAACTCATTTTGACTCATTAAGAACCAAGGTTCCCATGCACAACACGGTCGGGCGATAAAGTGCCCGTGGATTTCAAATTCTACAATGTGCATAGTAGTTTCTTTTTTTTTTTTTTTTTTTGTTTTTCCTTTTTTTCCCCTGTGCCTATCACATCGTGGATCGTCATTTGCTCCATCTTTCAACCTTAGTTACCTTGTCTCCACTTAACTCTGTTTTTCCCAAGCTATTGTATTACACAGAAATAGATTTTTTCATTATTTTTCTTTTTTCCTTCTCCTTTTTCCTGGGCCCCATAAAATCTTGATTGATAGTAATATATTACATGTAACCTAAATACAGGAACTCTCGGCGTTTAGCAACTTCCGATTTCTGAGTTTTTCTGGGTCTTTGTCTGGTTTCCCTTATTTTTAACCTTCTTTTGATGATTCCTTATTGTTTCTTCCCCCTACAATCCTATAATCCTTCTTCTCCCCCTGGTTCATGTACTTCATATTCTTGTTGTTCACTAGATTCTTTCCCTTATTGAATCTACTATACGAGGTCCTAAAGTGAGTCCCCCCCCCCCCCCCCCCCGGACTCCGTTTCTTTGAATCTCTTTTTCCCCCCTTGTGTTCCTGTCGGCATTCTTTACGCTTCCTTACCCACTTGCCCCACATCCAATCTCTGCAGGTTGGCGTGCTGTTTCCTATTTTATTTTATTTACCCTTTTTGGTTTCAAAGAAAAAAAAAATAAAAAAAAATGAAAACAAAAAAGAATTGAAACTAAATTACAAAGCCACTAAACCTGTTCCGTGACGTAAAAAAGCTCGGTCTTTACCCACTACTCAGCCTACCCCATACCCGATCATCATTGACTCGGATCCTGATTCCTTTTATATCTTGGACCGCCTCTCCACTGAAACTTTGCTCTTGCTCTTACTCTTTTTCCCTACCCACTCAACCTGATCGGGGAACAGGATCTAAAATCGAACAGATCTGTCTGCTCCACATCGAGATAAGGAAGATCAAATCCAACTTGATCCCCATACTTAACTATCAACTTAAAAAAAAAAACCAACTCAAATCACTCTGGCCATCAAAGTTACTAACCCATCTGGGTCGTCGGATGAGTTAAGAGGCTGGATGGAGACTTACTACGGACACGTTCGCACCCCAGCGGACGCTATCATCTTATTCGAGGCCTGTCGCATTGGTCTGCTGCCACGAGTACAACGCCGTCTTTCGGAGAAGGAGCGACAGTCGATCAGATCCGGATCAGTATTTGTCTGGGATGAGCGGGAAGCGGGTATGCGCCGATGGACGGACGGCAAATCATGGAGCGCCAGTAGAGTGTCCGGCAGCTTTCTCACATATCGAGAGATGGAAGGGAAGCGGGGTGGTGGCAGTGTATCACAGGGTTCCATGCCCAGAACAGGCAAGACACCGGAAAGCAGAGGAAGCGACGAGGAGCGAGGTGACGGCACAGACGAAGGTCCTGATGGATACCGGTATAAGCCTGATGGCTTAATGAAACAGTCATTCAGTATCACGACCTCGACGGGCCAGCACCTTCACCTGATCAGCTACTATGCTCGCGCGCACTCGTCTGCCATGTCTCTACAACAACCCACTACAGATCCCGCACTGCGCCATGTCCGCCCCCAGAAGGGTCTGTATCCGGAGTCAACTGTCAACGATCAACAAAACTTGCCTGTGGTCACTCGTGGACCTATGCCTGGAGCTGCGTACCCCATCACTCCTCATCCCATCGGCCCATATCCTCGCGCCACCCATGCGCCTTCATACCAACAGCCCTCGTACGCATGGCCTCCAACACCCTTAGCCACACCACCGACAGTGTCGGTCCATTACGGTCCAGGCTATCCCCAACTTGTGCCTGGTAACGGTCCACCATATGGCCACCCGCAACATCCACACACACATCATGCGCTCCCACCACCTCCCCATGGGCCGGTCTACGACCGTTCACACCCAGAAGCAAACCTCCCTCCCGGCCCACCACCAGGCTACCCTGGTCGATCACCTCGCACCATCCACGAGCCTGCCCAAGGAAGCCCGCGAGGCTACGGACAACCCATGGCCGATCCCCGCCTCGCCTCTCCCCGCGTCGTTGCCGCACCTGGTGCACCGTCAAACGGTATCGCGCAAAGTCCACACATGTTGAAGCAACATCTTGGGCCCATCGGCACTCCACCAAAATCCGATCCAGCCGGTCCCCCAGGTGCCGTTCCTAGTATTGGAAACCTTATGGCCAGTGCATCTCTAGCCCCAATCTCCTCTGGTGGTCCTCCGGGACCGGGAAGTCCCAATTCCGCTCGTCCCGGTCCCATGGGCGAAGGTCCCCGCGACATTCCAAACGAGAAGATCGGATTTGGAGGTGAAGATATGAGAGCCTTGCGCCAATTAGACCGTGTGTTCACCGCATGAACCAGAGCCGATGTTGAACCCAATTTCGGCAATCCAAAATTCTCTCTAGACTGTTTCCCAGTCAATTTCTTGAATGTCGTTTCTGGCTTGCTTGATTTATTGTTTTTACGGTGCAACGGAGTTCTTACTCATGTGATATCCATTATGTTTGTGTTGCTTATTATTTAGCATTCTTTGCATGGGTCGGGGGATATTGCATTTTGTCTCATGTATGATCAGGTCATGGTTATGGTTCACGGACCTATCATATTTATGCATTGGGATCGGTCTACACGGATGGGATCTGGTTCTGTTATCCGGTTATAGTCAATGGACTAGCTTGTGTTCGTTAATTCTACATTTTGTAAATTTTAGCCAACTCGCCTCGAAGTGGTCGAATTTGTGTATTGCTGATCTACTGCTGTATTGATCTGTGTGTCTGCAAAGATATTTCAGCGATGTTGCCGATGTCACTTTTTTTTTTTTGAGAATCTCTTGTTTACCAACCGTTTTGCTTGAATCTCCTGTTTGAGCACCCAGGTACTTGATAATTACATACTGGTTTGATAACAAGTCCGAAGGTTTGTGCATAGTTGGAGTGCCATGACTTGGCTGGCTACGGTTTATCCAAGGAGTGTGAGATACATCGCAGGAACGATAACACAGTACCGAATATTTTGAGACCAGTGGGGTTTACTCTTTTGATCTTGACTTATCTGCTTTCGTTTCTTCCATTCGTCTATCCTTATCTTGATCTTGTCGCGGATCGAAATGTTTTACAGATTGTCTCATCATATTAAATATTCACTAACTGTAGGAAACGATCAATAGTAAGTAGCTATGACATGACAAAGTCTGCGCAATTTATATTTCTACTTCAATGACAAAACGGTGGATGGAGAGAGCAGAAGACCATTCCGTAGAATATCAAACAAGTATAGCACTGCTGCTTTCCAGAGCTTTTCCAGCTAAGCGATCAAGTAAAGCCAAAAAGTCGATTCGTCACAATAATCCATAGTTTGACTTTTCAGTTCTCCTGATCGCTTGCAGATGGAAGCTCAAGTTCAACGAGCCACGGTGGTTGTGTCGGAAACTCCCCCGCGCCTTCGATGGAAGCATTGACGAACAATGTTTGAGAACCTGGTTGAAGCTGGTTTTTGTCCCCAAAGCAATGACTTGTAGCTGAAAAGCTTTTGACGGTATTTAATGTAGAAAGTTTATCGATAACTGTAGATCTTCAGTTATCAATATCGGTCAAATAGAAGGCTTCACATTAGTCTTGTGGCGCCAAGTAACCAGTTTTGCACCCCAACCCTCGTGAATGTGACCAAAACAATGCAGACGAGGTCGCGCTCGGCTAACTGCCTCAAAAAGATATGGACAATCGGCTCGCTCACCGGCATAAGTGTAATCCATGACGCCCTTTGGTGGACCGTGTGTCATAGCAACATCAACATTGTGAATTGAAAAGTCATGACCACGATCTGGATGATACTGAAAACCCCACTCTCCGAGTGTTGGTGTGTATGGGCTGGCGTAAACCTTTAAGAATGCACCATTTTGGAGACGGAAAGAGTAAGTTCCCTCGTCGAGAAAAGTAATACCAGCGGCGTCTTCAAGCATACGTCTTGCATCCCCGTAGCAGCCATATACCTGCTTGGGTCTAGGGACGGCTGAGTTTCTGCCAATCTTTTCTGAAATACTGGAATGTCCAGGGTGAAGTCATGATTGCCGGCTATCACGAGCTTAAGGGGGGCATTCACAGCCTGCAGGAGTCGGATGGAGGCCTGATACTCATCAATATTGGACTCCGCGGTAAGGTCGCCGCAGTGAATCGCAACATCGACATATTGACTCGATACAGGGTCGGGTAAACTGTCCAGCCCATGTGTATCTGAAACGATTAGAAACCGGGTCTTGATATTGGCTGGAGTAGTGCTTGTCATCTTTGAGGTTTGTACGATCTTGAAATATCTTGAGAGTCAGGCCGTAAGTATGTGGCTTGGGAATGAGAATGTTTGTGCCCGGCAAAGAGATGTCTGATGCAGAGGTTTTGATATAAGGTTAACTAACTAGTTAGGCTAGTTAGACTTTAAGGCTTACTCATTGAGGATTAGTCCAATAAAATTTCGTCCTTGGCTGTAATAGTGAAGTCATGAACCTTGGTATCTTGGTATTGGAAGACATTCCGGCGGAACAGTCCACTGTCGAAATATTCATGGAGTATAAACATATGGGATTTCACTTAGAGAAAGACAGACTTGTCTTTCTTTTGATTGGAAGTCATAACTCCTTCATCTTGATCTCAAATATAGAAAAGAGGAATCATTGTGAGGATATCCATCAGCTCACTTCAGACATTTAGTGATTCCTTGACTTCCATAACGGATAAATATTAGTACCAAATGATACTAAGATTTATAGACTTTCTAGTATAATTCAGCAAAAAATTGGTAAAAGCGGTAAACTCTAGTTATACGATAAATTGATCTGACCACATGGCCGCTACTCGCCCCTATAGACGGGTCCTAGCCCTGAGTCTCCGTAGGTTTGGTCATAAGAACATCAGTAACAATTCTGGAAATCTTCTGGGTTTATTATCAAGATATGATATAATCAATAGTCACAGCTGGAGGAGTTCAGAATTTCTTCTCCTTTGTTTCACATTAAAGTACCCCTCGTGCTCTAACCTAGCAGGAAATGGAATGAGGAGTTTTGGGATTAGTGGACTCTGTTGGAGGACCAAAGGTAGTGGGATTTTCTTTCCTCCTTATTTAGAGATGAATGGGAGAATCATTCGCTTCATTTTGAGGTTCTTGAAATTACGTCAGTATTCACAGGTGGGTGGAATTGGATGCAGTAGAATAATAGGCAGGAGCGACCTTAGAAGTGAGAAAAGTAGGCTTTCGGTATTTTTGCACGTGTAGCAATGAGATCTCGTAAACAAACATCTCTGTTAACCCAAAAGTTGTATAATTATGTAAGTTTGAATCCTTCAATGTGATCAATACTTGAAGCTGACAGCGAAGAAGACTTCAAGTATAATTATCTCGTCTTCTCTTCATTCAATAGTGAGCTTGAACCTCCCTGTCTAATACTTGAAGTGAGTACTTACTGACTTGAAGTTGAAGCAAGCGATCCGGTCTCCTTGGACCCTCCAAGCTTCCTGCGGATACACCCACTCTTTTTCTTGTAAACTCAAGGTCTTGTAAACTCAAGGGCTACGAGTGATAGAATGGACCATGTGTCGCAGATGGGGCTGCACTGACGAGAAATAGCAACTCCGGCCCCTCCTCTTCGCTTCTTACCTCTGAGACATGCCGAAGTCCACCCCCGTTCCTGCACCACTTCGGAGTGCTCTCCTCGAGTGCTTCCGAGCCCCCACCCGCCTAGTCCGTCCAGAACTTCGCCGACAACTAATCCTCGTTGGTGGCGCCGCCAGCATTGCCCACAATTCCGTATACAGCACGGAGGATGTGGATGTTACAGCGCCAAAGGATGTCATAATCGACATCTTCAAAAATGTTATGGACGGCGCTCTTAACTTTTCTCTCCAGCCCGACGGCAATATCCAGTTCGATTGCTCCCAAGGATCCAGCGTTCAAGTCGAATTCCTTCAAATCGGAGATGTAATCAAACGGATACACGCGGTAGAGCCTTTCTTTGAAGGCTTTGTTGCGTCCATGTCGACTTGCTGAGAATGAGGGCCGAGACGGTGGTTAATCGTGGGAGCGACGGGGATTTGTTGGACTTCAAATGGCTGTCGTCAGAGGTGGCGAAGAGGGGGGAAATAATTCCGGAGCTGAATGAAGCTCAATCACACACTAATCCCGAGTCTGGAGGATTATGGTCGTTATCTGAGTCCGAAAACTCATGTCCTCGGAGAAGCTTATATTATTAATTCGTGGGGGTGGACTATTTTTCATCGCGTGTATTTGTATTTGTTCATCCTCGCAAGACCAGTCATGAGAGAACTTCAAGGTGCGGTGTGTACTGACGAATTGATTGATTCAAATCTATGTCCCAATTGTCCGGGCTCTGAAATGAAGTCACCAGGCTCAGTATAGGCAAATTTGACAAAGACGCTCTCAATGGACCCGAACGTCACATGTATTTTTTGTACAGACTGACGAAGCTGGTCACTTTGATGGGTCATTTTCAATTTTGGATACTAGCAACTTCACGGAAATCAACGTTACATCGACAAGATGTGATAGATAAAGTGTAAGGAATATTGTCATACAGATGTTGGTATCGGCATCACTAAGAGCACCATTTCATCTTTGAGGGCGTCTAATCGAGAACCCTACTTGGCTGAACCAAGAGTCATTCACCATTGACCCCAGGATATGCTGCAAGGGGTCTGTGGATTGATGTACTGTGTTCCATTCGCCTACATTCGACCGGCTGGTTCCCATATATGCAGGCATATGTCACATAATTGTCAAGTTTCCTTCTCTGTTGGCGGCCTTGCTCCTCACTTGGACACCCCCAACAATAGACTTGGGGCAATGGCGGAATTGAGTAAGTGGAGGGTAGAATGTTCGTTTTCAGAGGGAGGAAATAATACAATCTACTTCTCGATGACATGAGTAGATTGGGTGAATTCGTCAGCCGGAGAAAACATCGCGTATTAGACACAACTCATCACACGAGGCCACGAATAGCATGAGCGCATGCAGCCATCGTTCCCGATTAAGAATCTGGGGGAGATGGCCTATATTTTGCCCATGGTCAGGCAGAATTATCTATTCAGTTATGATACAAACCTAGGAGGCTTGGAGATATGACAGAACCAACTCTAGCCTTTTCGCCCCGATTGGTCCCATCAGTTGCTTCCCAAGATTGGAGACCCCGAGAATTGACCAAACTTTGGGACTGGAGATTATTACGACAGATTGCAGGGCTAAATCGTGGGGGTTCAGCTCATGGAACAACAAGAAGTGATCGATCTAAAGAACCTTGTTCAGGCCAATGCGAGCGTCCAACAGAATCCGACCGCGGAAATAGAACCAAACTCTTCGCCCCGCCATTGGCACTACTGAAGCAGTTCGCCGAACGATTCCAAGGTTAGAGGTAATATGGAGACATAAGTTTTCCCCCCAAAAGCAATGCAAACTATTGCCCAATCGTGCAAGCAAGAAGAACCTTGAAAGTGGAAGGATTCTGGATTCAGTCATAATTATTCAATCAGCAAAGGTCGGTATGGCCGAATGGAAGAAAACCCCTTGCCACGCGTTACGGTTATTACGATTCGACACGCTAATACTTTCCTAGTCCAGTTTCCTCGGGCGTAGAACACGAATGTTTGCACCGCGAACCAAATGCCGGTGGCTTCAAAAATGGCGCAAACGGGGCAAATAACTTAATTACAAGGCTATCTGCCCCGTCGCGAGAGATAGCTAGTCTCCGATACTTGTAGTTCGAGCTAAGGAGGTATGATCGGACGGAGCCGACGATGTGGCACTAGTTGCATACGCGGCATATACCGATATACAGTGATTTTCCTTTCCCCTGGGCTAGTTTTTTGAGTTTGAATGATGACGGACATGATTCAGGTTCTGAAGTGGTGAATCTCTCCGCGGCTGATCCTGACTATTATCCGGCTTATTATTGGGTAGTTCGGAGGTGATCCGTGTGGGAAGTGTTGAGTAACTGACCCGGGTATTAATTCAATAATATATGCATCAAATGTGTAACCCTTTGTATTTGTCGGGAGATTTCCGAGTTTCCGGGTTGTCAGCCGTGTTCGGATAGCATTGTTGGGACAGACACATCTATGGAGTATTGTTATCATTTAACCGTTTAAATTTGAATTGACGATCGTTTTACTCTGTAGTCGACTCTAGAATCTGGAGATCTATTCATATTAAATTTATTATTCGGAGGAACCAACCGATGAATGAATGAAGCTTATGCAGTGGAAGGTTGATATAATGCGAACTATTATAGGGTGGCTTGGTCAGATGTGGGCGTCAAGCCTCTCTTGACAGAATGGAATACGTAGGATCCTCGACCGTTCTGGCCCGGAACTCACCAGGCCCACGGGCAGGACGATGAGCAAATCTCGCTTGAATGGAAGGCTTATTGGTTGATGAGAGAAGGTCAAAGATCTCAGCCTCTGCAGCTCCATCCAATCCCGTGGATGATCATCAAATTCTCGGCAAACCTACTGATCCTGTACACGAGGTCAGGCGGATCGCTTTTTCCAGCATTTCGGCCTTTTTAAATCCACACGAAGCGCTACTGGAGAAAAAAGAAATGAGATGGTTAACAAGTAATCCCACCTCGTACACAAACATGTTGTAGTCAGTTCCCACTTAAAACATGGGAACGGGAAGAACCGAGACCCGCTGAGACCCATGGCACAACATGGAGCGGAAATCAAGTATTGTTCCTTTGTATGCTTGGAACACATCCGAATGGAAAACTCTGTCATAATAGCCTGATTGGCCACAGTTCCTTCGCAGATCCCCTCGGAACAGAGATTGCCTTAATTTGAATCAGCTCCATCGGATTGCATTAAGTCGTTTGACCAAGTGGAGATTGCCCAAACTGGTACCTGGGCTAGGCAACTAGCAAGGATCGTTCCGGCCTGAAACGCGACTTTCCTTTGGACTCTCAGCTGATGCGTTAAGTAAGTTTAAATGGTGAAAAGGCCCGAGCTGTCCGGGACCCCTTACGGTAGGAATTAAAAGGGAAAGAGGGGAAAAAAAAAGAGGAAAAAGAGGGGCTTTAGTATGACAGTCTTACCGCGTTAGTCCGCCGGCAGGTACTAAGACCTTCTTGCTGCAAGTGCTATAAGCCGGATTAGGCAGAGAATCCACATTTTCACTTCCACTTTTTCCACATTTTCCCCCCTTGTCACAAGAAATATTAGTTATCCGTCCCAAGGAATTGTTTTGAGGTATAAAAAGTAACCAAAAAAACCCCCCCACCAAACTAGCAATCCATTAATCCAAACCAAAATTATTCAATAACGATCAGACTCAGAGGAAGACGAGCCCCGTGGACGTGTAGAACCTGGGCCATTCCCTGCAGGCGGATGTCTGTGCTGGTCAATCCAGACGATCTGGCCCACTACCCCAGATTGTCGGGCGTACAAAGGGGGAAAATTGCGTAACCAGTTTCAATGTCGACCAAATCTGTACCTTGAAAAAGCAAAAAAAAGCACAATTCCCTGCACTTAGATCCGACCAAATCCGTGGAGATTGGGATTGTCCCGCCTTTACGGAGTAAAATGGTAATAATATAATGTACCAAAGCTAAGCTGTTAACCGGCTTACCATGATCTTTTATTCCATCTATTCTTCTAATTTCTTCTAGCCTCTTCTTTGGCCCCCATAGCTCGTCTATTAAACTCCATCGGTAGCTGGGGGATGTATGCTTTTTCTGTCCCATTCGACAAGTCCTTTATAATCCTAACGTACAAAGAGTAAAGGCCAAGACTCAAACTAAATGAGGATGGTCCACAATTTCATTCAAAGAGTAATACAGTTCCTCTCTGCCTCAACAACACAACTTGTACACTCCTACCTAGAAAGGAATATCCTTGATTATCCATAAATAATGGAATAATATTGCTTTTTTTCTCCCTGTCTCGGAGTGCAAATCAGGGCAACAGAACATGCTTGGCAGCCTCCCCCGCAATGCAAAGTTTAACCTTTCTATAGCCCAAACTCGTATGACCTCAAGGTTTGTAGTTTCTATTACATATTTGATTCACTTATAATAATAATATTCCTTTGACTTTTTGCCCCTCTTTTTCGGATCTCCCATTCCGATCTGCCGCCAAAAAATACTTTGAAAAACCTTCCTGTTTATAGCTGTCACTCGTTTCCTATTTCTTCCTCTTCCCCCCACCCCATTGATATACGCGGCTTCCTTTCCACCACCCCCCCCTCTGCTTTGAACTAAAGCCACCCCATCCACCCCCGACAAATCATAACCCTTTTCTTTTTTTCTTGGCTTTCGCCGGTGCTTTTACTTCTCTGGACAACCCATGGTCAATGTTGTCCATGCAGAACTCCCCATATAACCTACACCCTTGGAACGCAGGGCTACAGGCTGAAAGTTGCTCCGGAAGCCGCTCGGACATCCCCACCTCCCGGATCGACACACTCCGAGAAAGTATCTCCAGTGCCAGCACCAGTGGCAGTCCCGATGATACCTCAACCGACTCGCCAGACTGGAATGGGAATGGGGGACAATCGCCACCAGACTCGGATATACTGAACAGATTGCATTCTGATGTATTATCGAGTCGAATGAGCGACGACATTCCACCAAAGGTGGAGGAGGTGGATGACGATGATATCCACACTGTGAAACCGTCCGAAGTGGATGAAAGCTCGGGTGCACCCGCGACCGTTCCACGGAAACGTGGGCGTCCACGCAAACATCCGCTTCCTACCCCCGGCGGTCAGGCCAAAGTGACCAAGGGTCGGTCCAAGACCGGTTGTATAACCTGTCGACGCCGGAAGAAGAAATGCGACGAAACCAAGCCTGCGTGAGTGAACTTCCGAGAGCCGGATAAACCCATTTCCCCTGAATCCCCTGTGGTACGAGACTAATGCGATGTGTTACTAGCTGTCTTAACTGCCAGAAAAATGCCGTCGTATGTGAAGGATATCCCCCGAAGGAGATTTGGAAAAGTGGAAGGCAAAGAGTTGCGGATGGTCCGTATTGAGATCTGGACTTGCGCAGGCGCAAAAAATCTTGAAGCTCGGACTGACCAGACCCGTCATTTAGCTGTCAGAACCCAGTCCCTTGTCACCGTGCCTCGGAACCTTCCCTTCCTCATCGATGGCATCGAAACTGAAATCGACCGTCGCTTCCTCGATCACTTTGTGTATGGGTTTAGTCGGGTCTTGACCCTCATCAACGATGACTCGAATCCGTTCAAGGAGATTTTGCTTCCCATGGCAACTCAACACCGGGGGTTGATGCATTCGCTTATGTGCCTGTCGGGATCGCACCTGTCGGGGCTGGACCCAGAGCCGAAGCTGAGAGAGCGCAAGTACTATCATTTCCATCGTGCGATCCAGGATCTGAAGGAGAACATCACCGCCTCGTCGGCCGCTACGCCTCAGTCGGAAGAGGACCAGCAACTATTGGTGGAAGACCCCATCATAGCATCTACCATCGCATTGAGTTTGAATACAATTTGTGAAGGTGAAACCAGTGGTGAATACCGACCGCACATGGATGCTGCCCGGTACCTCCTTGTATCGCAACAGCCACGCAACGAAAAGTTCCGACAGTTTATCGTGGAATTCTTCCAGTACCACGACATTTCAAACGCCCTTACCTCCCTGGACCGGCGGCCTGCTCTTCTCCAAGGTGATAAGCGAATGCCGGATTTCGTGCCGGGCGCTTCGGCAGGTATGTTCTTGGGGGTGTTCGATGGACTTTTCAACTACATTTCCCAGGTCACCCAGCTCCGAGACCGGATTCGACAGCGATTCAACGAAGGATACGAGCCTGCAGTGGACTACCAGACTCTCAGCGAAGCTGTCCAAGTCGATACCGCCATCCGGAACTGGAAGACATCCCACGAAGAAGACTCCTCTAACTGGTGCTTGGCCCAACTCTACCGGCAGTCAACTTGGGTATACCTCTTCCGCACTATCCGACCTTCGCGCCCTAGCGACAAGATCGCCCAGGTGGTTGATGACGGCCTTGCTTACCTAGACCGCCTGCCTCAAGATGCAGGTGCCTACAGTATCGTCCTCATGCCCCTGTTCCTACTGGGCTGCTCGGCCTTCCTCACCGAGCAACGAGAACGGATCAAAAAGGGCTTTGAGTCCCTCAAGGCCTACTCTAATCTCCGCAACATCGAACCGGCCTTCAAGGTTGTTTCGCGCGTATGGGAGATAATGGATACCAAGATGGAAGACAGCTGGGACTGGGAGAGGATCATCAGCGACATGAATATGGATTTCCTCATCACCTGAAATTTCTTTTCCTACCCCATTTTCGATACCCGCTTTTACCCACTTCTTCCCCTCAGGGGCCTATTGTCTTCCTTTCTATACCTGATGACCGACAAGCATGATGATCCTTGCTTCTTGGCAACTGTACGCGGCGTTCTTTGTTTTGGACATGCATCTGCATTCGGTGGGGAGGGCTCACTTCGTGCTTTTGTTTTTAGTTGGCAGACGGTGTCATGCAGTAAGGGGCAACGAGGTAAATCATAACCCCGCCTGGGAAGGGGGCATAATGTACATTTTGACCTACCGCACGAGGCGGTTTCAAATTGAGGAAAAAGGTGTTTTAAAGGTTTTTTGGTGGTTGACCAGATCAGGGAAATGATAACGACAGAACCGATCGGCGTTTGATGTGGATGATCTTCTTGGACATTTTTGATCTGCTGTATATATCCATTTGCTTGTATGTATTGACAATTCGATCCTTAAGGACTACTCTGTATGATATGTGAAGTTTGAATGAACGGTACATAGGTATTCACTGTAAACGACTTCTACACCAGGTCAGTCAGGGACACTATTTAGAAGCCTTGAAGGTGAAGATGATCAGTCACCAGGTAAGTTCAGATCCATTAAAAACTTTAGACTGAGCCTGAGAATTGAGGTCGATCAAAATACTTTGGGCCACTTGTCGAAGTGTCAACCTGTTTTTCAGAGAATGAACTCGAGTTCAGTCAATATTGAACTAGATTTGTTGCGTGGGGGATGATCCTCAGAGCTAGTAACTTTAAGTACCGATAGCGCGACCGTTAAGATAGCTGGAGCTTTTTCTCCAGGTCCACGGATATAAATGAAATCTGTTTGCCGCTGAGGGGGTTTATGTTATGGGATCAACCGTTGGATAAGTGCAGATGGAATTTCTATGCCAACCTCGGGTCCTTCAAATAGGGAAGTAGATATTCATAAATTGAATATGTTATATATATTTAACAGCTTGTCCCGTGAAACAAGATTTCTTTTTAGTAACCATCCCGAGCACCACCAGAGACGTTCTCTCCATTGGCGGTCTTCAGCTCATTCAGCATTCCAGTACGGAACACACCAACATCAGTGTTGACAGAGATCATATCAAAGCCCTGCTGCGCACGAGCGCGCGCATCATTACCATCAGTACCTATACCGACACGTTAGAAACTAGACAAATTGACCCAGGGTGCCCAAAAAAACATACAGAAGATAGCAGCCTTCTTCCCAGACGCATGAGCAGCAGTCAAGATCCGCTGAATAGCACTCTCATGCTCCTCACCGCAGCGGGTCACACCCATCTGCTTAGCCAGATCAAAAGGTCCAATGAAAAGCACATCGATACCAGGAACAGCGGCGATTTTCTCCACGTTCTCAACGCCAGACCGGGACTCGATCTGGACGGCCACAGTGATAGCGTCATTGGCACCGTTATCATGTTCAGGTCCGGGGTTCAAGCCGGGGACAGAGTGTGGGGCGAACATGGGTCCGTATCCTCGTGTGCCGAGGGGAGGGTACTTGGCGTACTTGACAATTTTGGCGGCGTCCTCCTACAGCATTGCGAATTAGTTCTGACCTGGAGTATTTCAACGTCCTGGATTGCCCTACCTCAGAGTGGCACATGGGAGTCATGATACCGTGTGCGCCAGCGTCGAGGGCCCGCTTGATCATCCAGTCCTCTGCGAAGGGAACACGGATAATGGGACTAGCACCTTCGGAGCCGATGGCATTGTTGAGCTTGCTACAGTCAGTATGTCTGAAATAGTGCAAGACGAGAAGCTAGAGCTTCGCGGCCCGAGACATACCTCATAGTAATGGTGATCAGAAATCAATCCATGCTCGGCATCAACCAAAACCCAGCTAAACTTTGTCGAAGACCCAGAAGCTCCATGTAAAACAGTCTTTGCAACTCCGGCACTGGGAAGTCTACAGACAAAATGACAATCAGTTAGTCAGAAGTCCATGATCTTGGCTGAATTGAGACCATACGTGAGCCAGAATCCAAATGCGACATCGGGCCCCTCGAGGGTAGATTTGATAGCTGTGGTGAATGACATTTTCAATGTTAAGAGAGAATCAAAGTGTTAAAGTGTAGCAATCGGAAAGATTTACGAGGAAGTTACGCGGGGGTTAGTCCACGGGTTACGCGGGGGGCCCTCGGGTACAATTATCCCGATGTGCGGGATGTCGGGGTAACTCCGAATACACTTTTCCCTTTCCCCAAGACAAGATCTAGCTGTCAACAGAAGACAGCCCATTCCACCATGTCCCCTTGACACTACTATGTGCATATTTATTCAATGTTTGACCCGTCTTGCTGTCGGTCTGATAAAAGAGTTCATTTCCACTATTCGACCGAATAGCCAACGATGCATACCCTCTGGCATTTGCGGTACATTTTCAATAGCAAGTACTAGACTAAGAGGAAACAATTTTGAACCCAACATACATGTACTAACTCACAAACCCGTACATAGTAAATCCCAAAGAGATTCAAAGGGGCTTACAGTTTGGTAATTTTCCAACTTCCCTTACCACTCTCAATATCAAGCTCGTAACATGTGCCTGAATTGAATGACATCAATTTATCCGACGAGTCGCAAGAATCCCCTGAGTATGCCGCGATCGAGAAAACGGATTCGTCAAAGAGAGGGTAGACAGCGGAGCCGCCGGACGTTACCCAGGCGATACAGCCAACATCACTTGTGCTTCCTTCATCGTCGGTGAGATAGCTCCCGCAAGTACTATCCGAGTACATATTTAGCTCGTAGTAGTCGGAAGTTGGGGGAGTATTGGCCTCAATTGTGGCGCTGCTAGATGAGCTGCTCGAGGTACTTATACTTTGGTCATCCGTGCTGGCGGAAGAAGTGCTGGTGGAGGAAATGCTAGTGGAGGAAATGCTGGTGGAGGAAGTGCCAGTGGAGGAGCTACTAGTACTGGAGCCAGTTGCTGTTGCCGATCCCCAGCGCGTGGCATCCATAGCGTTCCGCCGGCTCACAATGCCGCTCGCGATCGAAGCTAGCAGTGATGAATCTTCAACAGGCTCAGAAACATACATGAAGCTATTGGTCTCGGTTAAGTAGGTTCCTGTGGTGGTTATGGTCGATGTTGTAGTGGATGGAGTGGCTGAACATCCTTCAGTCGGGCCACAATATGTCTAAACAAAAAAGTAAAGATGTCAGTCAAGCCTTCACATTAGATACAAGTTGGACTGGCTCTTGAACTTACGGAGGAGCTAACAGTTGCAGAAGTCATTCTACTTGTCGAAATTATCTGCACAAGGACTGTACAAATGGTTGCTGTGACCATGGAAGTGCAATCCTCATCCTCGGATACCTTAGGTATGTCTTCAGTTGTGCCACCACCGCCACCCTCCACTAGATACGATAAATGAGTCAGGAATTCGCCGTGCACTAATGGTATGTTAATTAAGCTCTTACCTGTTGAGCCGCAGCCAGGGCCACAAAATTCTAGTCCGTAGCCACCACCACACCACTACAGTCCACATCCCCTATCACACCCGAATAATCCGCACTCCCTATCGCAGCCCCAGATATCACAATCCAGTGTCCTATATCCCTCATATTCACTGCTACTTGTATTATCGGTGTCATCTGTATTATCATCGTCATCGCCGGTGTCATCGTTATCTCCCGTGTTATCGTTATCTCCTGTGTCCTCAGACTCAGTCTTATCTGTTTTTTCACTTTTGACCTTTATGGGAGGAATTTTGCTTTGGGGGGTGATTTCTGTATATGTGGCGCCCGGTCGAATAGTGATAGTGTGGGAGGTAGAACCCTATGATATAATAGTCTTAGAGTCATCGTCCGTGCTGCTTGTCGTATCATCATCACCACTAACTACTGTGGCCGATGATGAAGCCTGGTCATTATTTGCAATACAATAGTAGTAGTCTAGCCAGACACCACTAGCGCAGTCTGTTCCCATATCAGGGTTCTAGGTGTCGAAGTCAGAAGCATCAATGCCGTAGGACTCCTTAATACTCTAGCAGGAGTCGCTACTTTGAACCTGATAGAACTCTGTGTAGCCACTTTCCATATTTGTAGGGTAAGGAGTAGGCGTAGTTATCACGGCTGCAACTGCGGTCGTTGTGCTAGGGGCGCTGGGGATGGTCGCGGTGTTTTCCATATTTACGGTAATCGTTCTAACGCCGATGTTTGAATAGTTAGTCGATATTATTGGACCCAACGCTATGTTCGGAGGAAAAACTAAAGTGATAGCTGGGGGTGCAATGCTCTGCTCGGCGGTCATCATGCCGGTCGTGTTACTTAGGACAGTAATAGGCTAGAAAGGAAGCCCAGTCACGACGAAGTCCGGAACCGAGATGATTGTCTTACTTGTGGAAGTAGTTCCATCTGCACTGATAATCACCGGAGTGGTAACGGATGGCCAAGTCACAGTTTGCGTTTTATTTAAAGGAAATGGTGGCAAAATGAACGTGTAAGGAGGCTGACAGGAGACCTTAGGGGAATCGCTGTCCCAGATTTTAGGGAGGACGTATACCTTGCTATCTCCTTCAGCAGAAAATACGTCAGTCGAGTTGGAGATAGCCTCTGCTAATGAATGTTAGCTAAATTATAAAGGCTGTGTGAGGAGAACAAAACAAATACCTGACAGATCGCCCGCATTATCTTCGTCGACAGCCTATGTAAAGACTCTAATTTTAGAGATAAGATTAGCTATAAACTACCTGAGGTAGGCTGGTAGAATAAAAAAACACAGTACGATCACTCACTCTCCCATACATCTCTCGTTAGCAAAATCCATTTTCATTTGAATGGTCTCATCATTATCGTAGGCTACCCACTGGTCTTCATTATAGATAGCAATCTTCACAGCCGTAGTAGAGTCAAGCCAGACAGTGGGGTTTCGAAAGGAGTCGTTGACAATATTCATGATCTCAGTATAAGAAAGTATACCCTCGGTCTTAGTGCATGGTCTAGTATTGCCTTCAACACCGGCGTTAGTTATTTTGAGATAGTTCGGATAAAATATCGAGAATCTATGTTAGCATACCTCCAGTACTAAATGGATATCCAGCATTAATATAGGATGTATCGTTTAGGGTATAGCCTGTGGAGATCAGCAGAGTAACCTTATAATATTTCAATAAATAATGAAATCAGACTGGGGTGACATACTGCGGCCGTAAAATCTAAGTCCAAGGTTTACCTGACTAGGTTCAATGTCGTTATGCCAGAGAAGTTGTAATCTAGAATTGATTATTATGAGATTGGTGCTGGCATAGATATAGGATCCGATAGATGCAATCGTGCTGTCCTACGTACTATAGATATCATAGGACATGAAATTGAACTATAAATTATCTCTATCAGTGGAAACATTTTAGACTGATATATTAGGGCACAAACTTACCCAATTAATTGTAGTTGAAATGTTCGCAATGTTAAAGTTTTGAAGGTACCAATAGGAGCTTGGGAGTGTGATTAAAAGTCCGTAATCATTATCTAATGAAGAACGAATGTTTTGAAGGATAGTGACGTAGTTGTTATAATCAGCATCCGTGCCATATCTATCGGAAGCTCTAGGGTATTCCCTAAAAATTGTCAATATATGCATGTTTGTATTAGAATATAGCTACTAAGCATGTTGATGTCTATAATACTGACCAATCAATGTCCACACTATTAAAGCTATACTCTACTAAGAACGCTTTGAGAGACGTAATGAAAGAATCTTGTGCTGTGGTAGAGCCGGCGAGGGTTGTGAAAACGCTTGAGTAGATACCTGGATTATTCATAGCCTAGCCACCAATGGAGATCTATACCTCGACGCTATAGTCCTTCAGGGCTGCAAATCGTGAATAGAGATCCGTTTGGTTAGACTCTATGGGAGCTAGCTCATAAGTATCCGGATCGATATAAATGAATGAAAATACCAGATAGGTATATCCACCGATAGGTATCTAGAGGAGACTCATAAGTATATATAAAATTCAATTTTTCGTACAAGGATCCGTCTCATACCTCTTCCGGGGTCATTACTATATGAGACCTTTAGTAAAAACATCTTTGAAAATAACTGCTGCTCTAAGAAGGCTCAAGCTCACTATCGCAAGCGTGATTAAGGTTCCATCCTTCGTAGTATCCAATTCGGCGGGTAGAGGCCGAGGTTCCTGAGTACTCGGGTGAACTCCATGTCGTATTACCACAGAAGCTGCTTGAGGTGCCACCTATAGAGTAATTGGATTAGCATATGCTCCTAAGAAACGACGATTCACTGGGGCTACTTACAGTATCCGTACTCGCTACAACAAACGTCCAATAGGTATTTCTTAGCGGAAGCATAATCGGATCCTATACCGATTTATTAGTATTATAAAGTATTGATAGAGATATCGCGCTCAAACTTAAGAAAGGAAGTAGGTACCCTATATATCTCTATAGCCTGGATATACTCCAGGGTCATACTTAGATAAATGTGAATAGGTGCTATTGTAACTAGCCTCTTCAATATAGCTGCTGCCACAATAGTTCGGACCATAGCTGCAAACATTTGATGTGCTTGAACAGCAGCCCTCCGTGCAAGGATTGTCTGCTGAATAAGCATTATTATCAGCAAAGACTTTGTATAATAGCAGCAGTAGCCGAAAGGCCGTTGCTAGCGCCCAACTCCGTCGCATTGTATGCCCTAGATGTGAAAGGTGATCCAAGCAAAAGTAAAAGAAATTAATCGCTAACCGAGGCTTTTAAAGTACAAGGGAAAGCCCGCCATAATCTTCTTTGGCCAAATTTAAACTGGATTTTTGTAAGAAATTCATTCCGTCGGCTTTCGTGCGAAGCTAGTAAGAATGTTTTCATCTGGAAAGTGGGCTATATACAAGAACACCCCGCTTTCATAGATGATATTTCTAATTCTCAACCTAAGTGATGCTATCAAAAATGCCGGTATATCAACATCCTCCAGAAATACTAACACCTTAATCCAAAGCGAGCAAATGCTAATTAATTTATGACTGTTTGTAGACTCGTGGACCTATTATATCACCGGTGAGTAGATCATTTTCATCCTCTGTTACCTCTACTAACAGGTACAGCCCTTACTTTCCAGAAGAATGATTAGTCGACCGGTGTCTCCTATAATCCTTTGATGAACTACAAAATGAATCATCAGGGGCTCGTCAATGGGTAATGCTGCTGGAATGTTGTGTCTTGTTTGCCGACGTCCACCATAGTCAGATATTGGATTATGATGCTTTACGGCTCATAGAAGTCCTTTGCTAGCATGTGGACTTGGATGCTTGGGTATCACTATATTTAGAGAAGTTATGAGCCTTTAAGATGCACATGTGTCACAGGATAACTATTAGAATATTTGCATCACACATTCAGCGCATAGACTATGTAATTCACTTAATGTTATCCAGGTTTGGAGCGAAGGACGGGTACATGGTGAAATTGTCGGAATAGAGATCTATTGGACCAACAAAAGTGGCTCAATCGCTGGGTCGTATCGTGTAATGTTCAAAAACACATTATGGGAGCTCTTGCAGACAGTTCGAAGCCAGTCGATGATATGTCCGAGGTTTTCGTATTCATTCTGAGCACGCTCGGCGAACTCGGCGTACCACTGTTTTTGACCAATTGAACTACTCTTCCAAAACCAAATACTCGTATATTTGGTTATTTGCAGATCTCCATCATAATCCTCACCCATACATTTTACTGCATTGAGCCAGACACTGCTTACTAGACCTCCAAACGACCTCTGGACACGTGTTGTTCTGGTGAATGGAATCATTAGCGAAAGGATTGAGAAGAGTAGTGAAAGATTGCCATACTGAAGCAGGTTCTGATATGCGTATTCAAATGAACGAAGGTCACGATTTGAGACATAGAAACTTGTAATCTCTAGGTTATCCGGGAGTCGTAGGCTTGGACCTGGGATTTGCATGTATGATAAATCTTCAATTATCCCTCTGCATGCATTTTCGAAATCGTGAATGAGTTGGTGGAAGTATTCTTTATCCTCCATTGATGCATTCTTCATGTCACCGAGGCCTATTTGGTGCTTGGTGAGTAAAGTGTATGAACAGTATTAGAGCCAAATACGGACCAGCTAGTAAGAACATTCGAGTGGGATCATTATGATCAGAGGCTCGGTAGACGCCAGGCTTATGTCGGAGCTTCCAAATGGCAACGCGAAGTTCTGCAAATAGATTATCGAAATTTGGAGTTTGGTGCAAGAGGCGGAAAGAGATCACTTCAAGTACAGTGGCTGATTGACGAGTTCGTTGAGTATGCATCGAAGGTAGTTCGTACTGTGTCATCGACCCCATTTGGAACCAATTACCAGCCGGACTGGAAACCTCTCGGTTGTTACCAGCCGTGTATGCCTGTCTCATTGATTCTATGTGTACCACGTCTTCGAAGTCAAGACGAACCGAGTCCTCTAGATCGCATCGGCGAATCACTGGTGTATTCAGCAGCGGATAATCCCAAGCTGGTTGATCGGAAAGAGGAGCACAGGCCGTCTTTTGCGATGAATTATTTGATCCTTCGTAGCGCATTTGTTCTGTCATAGAGATAACCAAGCCATTTGCCTCTTTTGCTAGAATAGCAAATTGATCGGCAATTTTGGAGGGGATCTCCAAATCAATACCAGTCTTCCAGAGGATAAGACCAGAAAAGTAATGGTTCTCAACCTTGAAGTCTTCTGTTATCGTGGAAGGAACATCGAACCTCTTCTCATAACTTCGGAAATCCGCTTCCACCCATTCTCCACGAGCATATATCAGGTCATTCATCGCGTTGAGCCGAAATAATGAATTCCATCGCTCTTTGAATTTGTATTGTCGTTCGTCGGGCGTGTTTTCAGAGGCCGGGAAGTCATAGGAGAATAGCTCCAGGCGAAAGGTAGCACTGGAAATATGAGCAGGAAGAGCTAGCTGCGTACAGCGGTTGGTGACATGCTCCAGGTAGCCTAATAGCATACTGAAGCCCAATGAGCATTGGAATCGACTCCAGGCTGGACCATTTTCCCATTGAATCAAGACCATCACTGTGCTTTGGTTGACTGGCGCCCAAAAGAGTCCTTGGAAGCCCTGGGTTGTAGACACAGGACTGAGACTGTTGAATGATCCTCTAGATTGACTTCTGATAAAAACTTCAATTGTAGGATACTGAGAATAGGAGTCTCAGGCAACTGTTCCCAATCCGAAGCGTCAAAACATATGCCTCGCAGGGAGGGTTTCATAATAGACTTTGGCATTTTGTTGCGATTTGGAGAGACAATACTGGTATTAACGCTCACTGTGGGATCAGATAGTACTCAATCAATTGAAAGTAGATACAAATGAGGGGTTGATCACATTGTAGTAGATATGAGCATGGTAGCTGTCACTGTGTAACCGTGTACTTAATTCCCGTACGGGAACTGAACCGTCCGATCTGTCCGAACTTGTTGACGGGCCACTGCCCAGAAAAATCTGCCAAGTGGATCTGAAAGTCGACCTAGGCCGGCAAGATGCCGCAGCCAATAATACCTAGCCACGTCAGGACCGCGTATGGTATTACAGGTATGTGTGTTTCAGGTGCTTTACAGGAAGACCCTCATTCAGGGTTTGCTCCCCAGGGGTTCAGGGGTCCAGGGTCCAGGGTCATGAGCGAGACCAAGGTTTGATCGACAATTTCTGACTTATATGACACCCGCAATCTTACGTAGATCACCTATGACAGGCTGATTTCTATACGGGATTATGGTAAGGAAAGAAGCGAGTGTGCGAATACACAAGATGTGGTATGGAGGAGGGAAAGACTATCCCAAAGAAAGTGGGGCTATCTCCCGCCCAGTCATCCACAGACGAACTAACTATTCCATTCTTCAAGCCTTTCCCAAGCATTTCTAGCGCGGCTTAACGAGTATTGCACGCTGCCCAATTCTGCTGGCCGAGAAATACGCAGCCACGCCTACTCTTGAGAGCTATTTCTGAAGCTGTGAAGAAAAAGGGGAGAACGCGCATTTTTGTCTTCATGCAGCTTTTATGGTGACTAACATAGCCTGGTAGCAACTGAGAGCAATCTATTCTCTTAGAAATCAAATACCCAGGGGAGGAAGGGTAGGATGTCCGTTCTAGGAATCCGGCTATTGAGCTATTGAATGGTAAATTGGCGGCAGCTGGATGCTGCTGTCGGTCAGGGAAAGGGAGTGATACATCGCGGTAACCGGGAAACGGACGAAATGGATTAAAGAATCTGGATTTCGAGAGGTCGGGAAGGGAGAGAAAGAAAGACAGAGAGATCTAGCTAAGACTTGCCTATGTGCACGCGCTGGAGCAAACGGAGGGGGTCGCCTGATCTCACACTCCAATATAGATCAATTTGGATGGGTCAATCCTGTACTGTTCTCAAGATGGAAGATGTATGTCCTAATTTGTATCTAATTTGTACAGACTTCCGTCGAATAGAGAACTCGTTTATACGATGTTATATAGTATGTCAAGAACAAGAATGTTGTTAGTTTTTGTTATAATATCTACTCCTCTGTTAAATATTGGTTTCGCCGCGGACTTATTGGATTTCCGTTCGAAACCCAACCCCGACTTTTCTTTCCTCCTTCCCTCCTTCCACTTTTCTGTTTCTGTTCTTTTTCTTTTCTTTTCTTTTTTCTTCTTTCAATTCCGCTACCTGAATTTGGAGAGCCCTTTGACTATTTAACTAATCCGATAGTGAAGAAGGTAGAACACTGGATAAGATACAGAGTGGGAGACTGAGTGGGAGACTGAGTAGGCGGCTGAGCAGGAGGCTGAGTAGGAGGCTGGATAGGAGAATAAGTAAGAGGAGTTATAGAATAAGTAATAGTTGTTCTACCTGGCGCCGCACATTTCGCGCGGCGGAAAGCCTCTAGTATGGACATGATAACCGTACCATGTACCTGTGGACATAATTTTCGTATGAGAGTTGAACCATCCGAACCTTTTGACGGGCCACAACTCAGAAAACTCTGCAAAGTGGACTTGGAAGTCGGGGCTCTACTGAATATAAAAACAAATGTTCATGTGATATAGCAAATTTGATTATCTAAGAAGGGTGCGGTGTACGTGACAAATAGATATGATGATCCGTGCCTTCCTAATCGGGCCATCGTCGTCCCTCGCTTAAAGTAAGGCAGCACGTGTGATGACTAATCGATGGAGATGACCAATCAAAACAGCACTAGAACGGATCCAGTGTATAGTCCGGTTCAATCGGGGCTAACGACTGAAAGAGTCCGAGCCATGTCATAAACGCAGATGCAAGTGATCGAACAGTCTCCTTTTATTATCCCTGGGGCATCGCTATTTAGTGTTCTTGTGTCACATCATTTTGCCGTTCAAGCTCGCATGCCATCACATCGATTCATTCGCCGCGAATCATCTGGTACTCGTTTCATTGGCTGAATGCTACAGGAACTCGCTTTAATACTGTATCTGGCTGAGACATAGTACATGATGGAGAAGGATGTGATTGTCGATGTTGACGTCCATAAAAAAGATCCGGGCCCCAATGAAACCCTTCAAGATGCGGTTTATAATTTGGGTCTCCGCGCAGTGAACCCTGTAGATGTCAGCGTCAACATCCTCTCACTTGACCTTGACACAGCACCCCCACTATGGGAAACATCACCTTCGCAACTGTGGTGTCGCGTGCGCGGTCAGAAACCCGAAGGCGCGTCGAAAAGGGTGTTAGATGGAGTCAGTGCAGAGATGACAAGCGGGAGCTTGACAGCTATCATTGGCAGCAGTGGTTCGGGAAAAACCTCTCTACTCAACCTCATGGCCAGTCGAATGTCCCTTTCCAAGGCCAAGGTGTCGGGATCGACCACATTCAATGGCAACGCCAATATCGACAGCATTCGCAGCGCCTATGTCATGCAGGAGGATGTCCTTATTCCGACTTTGACAGTTCGCGAAACCTTGCGCTACTCAGCTGATCTCCGCTTACCGCCACCAACAACTCAAGAAGAACGACATGCCATCGTGGAGCAGGTTATTCTGGAACTGGGGCTCAAGGAGTGTGCCGATACAAGAATCGGAACAACTGCACACAAGGGCTGCAGTGGTGGAGAGAAGCGACGTACCAGCATTGGTGTGCAATTGCTGGCTAACCCATCCGTCCTATTCTGCGATGAGCCGACCACTGGCTTGGATGCGACCAGTGCGTTTCAGATCATCCGCACACTAAAGCGACTCGCGCGGGACGGGCGAACCATCCTTGTCTCCATACACGCACCCCGATCTGAGATATGGAGTCTTGTCGACAATGTCATTCTTTTGGCTCGGGGATCTGCTCTATACAGTGGTTCTGTGAGCGAGTCACTGGTGCACTTCGCAAAATGTGGCCATATCATTCCACCTTTCGTGAATCCCGCAGAATTTTTAGTCGACCTGGCTGCGATTGATAACCGAACTGAAGCCTCGGAAGCTGCGTCATATGTCCGTGTTGATTCCCTTCGAGACACGTGGCGGGAACTACGAGGAAGATGCGTGCCCGAGGATAAGAAGCAGGGACCGGTGCCAGTTCTTGATGGCGTGGATACTGGAGCCACGAGGAAGGTATCATTCCGACGACAACTGCGCGTCCTTTCTTCCCGCACCTTCGTCACCACCCTCCGAGACCCTATGGGTGTTGCCGGTAGTCTACTTGAAGCTGTTGCTATGGGTATTATCAACGGTTGGATATTCTGGCAGCTTGATGAGAGTCTAGCCGGAATTCGCTCACGGGAAGGTAGTCTGTATACGGCTAGCAGCCTGAATGGTTATCTCATATTGCTCTATGAGACTTATCGGTTGACAATTGATATACGACTGTTTGACCGTGAGCGAAATGAAGGCGTGGTCAGTGTGCCAGCTTTCTTGTTCAGCCGACGGATTGCCCGATTTCCGCTTGAAGATCTACCTGTCCCACTTCTGTTTTCCATCATCTTTTACTTCATGGTTGGCTATCGTCCTGATGTGGGTCAGTTCTTTATTTTCTTCCTCATCACCCTTCTCACGCATTACATCGCCGTCACATTTGCAGCGGTGGCAGTCGGTCTGGTAAGAAATTTGCCTGGCGCTACCCTGGTTGCCAACTTATCTTACACCGTGCAATCGTTTGCCTGTGGGTACTTTGTCCAGTCGAACCAGATACCAGTGTATGTGAGATGGCTCAAGTGGTGTGCATACACCTTTTACATATTCGGAGCGCAGTGTGCAAACGAATTCATCGGCTTCGATGGTTCTGAGCTGGGTCGGTTCTATGACTGCCCTTATTCAAAGGACCCGCTTGATCCAGCGTGCGAGGAGTATACCGGGCGATACATCATGGACAGTCTGGGAATGCCATCGAACTGGATATGGCGGCCAATAGTGGTGCTCGTTGCATTTGTGATGGCCCACTATCTGGTGGCTGGCTTATTGCTGCAGTATAATCGTTTCGCGATTGATATTGCTCAAGCTCGCAAGACGGAGGTAGATCCCTCAGCCAGGAAATCAAAACTAGCCATTCGCCCAGCCGAGGAAGCCCGTAGACTGACCATTTCACTGGATCGGTATGCCTTGGAAATTCGAAAACGCGGACGTCCCTGGCAAGAAGCCCAAGTCCTGCACGTCTTGAAGCCTATCACTGCGGAGTTTCATCCAGGAGAGTTGAATATCATCATGGGACCATCAGGGAGTGGCAAGACATCTTTACTAAATTCAATTGCTTCCCGATTGCAGGGTTCTATGGGAACCCAATACCGTGTTCATGGCCAAATGCTATACAACGGGGCCATACCATCAGAGACTGTGATCCGATCTGTGACCTCCTTCGTCACGCAAGACGACGATGCATTGATGCCATCCTTGACCGTTCGAGAAAGCTTGAGGTTTTCAGCAGGGCTGCGATTGCCAAGTTGGATGTCACGAGAGGAAAAGAACCGGCGAGCCGAGGAAATTTTGTTCAAGATGGGGCTTAAAGAATGTGCCGACAATCTAATTGGCGGCGAGCTGATCAAAGGTATCAGTGGAGGAGAGAAGCGGCGTGTGACGATTGCTATCCAAATCCTCACGGACCCCAAGGTGCTGCTTCTGGACGAACCAACGTCAGGTCTCGATGCCTTCACGGCCATGTCCATTATTGAGGTCTTGCATGGCCTCGCAGCCGAAGGTCGCACATTGATCATGACTATCCACCAATCACGTTCCGATCTGGTCAGTCATTTCGCCCAGGTCTTGCTTCTCGCGAGAGGCGGATATCCGGTGTACGCTGGACCGGGGCAACAGATGCTTTCACACTTTGCAGGACTCGGCTACGACTGCCCGCAGACGACCAACCCGGCGGACTTTGTCTTGGATCTCATCACGGTTGATCTTCAACAAGCGGACCGGGAGGCTATAACTCGCGAGCGCGTTCAGAATCTGATTTCTTGTTGGTCTGAAGCGGCTCTGGTGCCTGGCTGTACATCTCAGATTGCAACTCCAGCCGAGCTTGGTAGTTTCCGTCGCAAGATGCTTCCATTTCGAATTACGTTCCCATTAGTGCTGCGGCGATCATTCATCAATTTCCGACGCCAACCTGCGCTGGTAATGGCCCGTTCGATGCAGATTCTGGGAATTGCCATTGTCATGGCCTTGTTTTTTGCACCACTCAAGAATGACTACGCCGCTGTACAGTCACGCATGGGATTTGTTCAGGAGGTTTCGGCGTTATACTTTGTTGGTAAGTAGAAAATGCGGGTACTTACTACTGGCGCCTCTTGCTGACACCAATAGGGATGCTCCAAAACATCGCCGTCTACCCGAATGAGCGCGATGTCTTTTATCGCGAGGAAGCCGACAACTGCTACTCCGCGGAGACATTTATCCTTTCCTACACGACGATCGAAGTCCCTTTTGAGATCGTCTCCTCCCTCGTCTTCGGCGCCCTCGCGGCCTATGCCGATAACATGAGCCGTAACGTGAAGATGTTTCTCATCGCCGCCTTTAATTGCTTCTGCATGACCAGCTGCGGCGAATCCCTGGGAATCATGTTCTGCACCCTATTCTCGCATGTCGGCTTCGCTGTTAACGTGATCTCCACCCTCTTATCCATCTCGTGCACCCTCGGCGGCGTCATGAGCCTGAATGTCAACAAGGTGCTACAAGGATTCAACTATCTCTCACCGGTCAAATATTGCATCGCCAACCTGGCACCGTATTCCCTCCAAGGACAGCATTTCGACTGCTCGGCTGCCGAGAGACTTGCAAACGGTAGCTGCCCCATTACTACCGGAGAGCAGGTCCTAAACCTCTACAACCTGGACAAGAATGGTCCGATGAATATTATGGCGCTGGGTGTCTGCACCATCATCTACCGATTTATCGCATATGCACTATTGAAAGCAATCCGTTCCAACAGCATGATGGAGCGGTGGCGCGAGTGGCGCCTCTCTCTCGAGCATTCCCAGAGCAGATAATTTTTTTCTGATTACAGATACCCACTACTTTTTCATGAACGGCCAGGTAAATGATTCCAATGTTTGAATTCATCCTGCATGTATAATATCCAATTACATTCCTTCCGCTTTTGGCGAATATGCAGCTCGGAAGCCATCGGATGCTTCAGAATCCACAGCGTAATGACCACGACAGGTTCACATTGAAAATCTGACAAGCATCAGTGAATGAGTTCGGTCAGGGCAATTGCAGACAATGGTATAACAGATTCAAGAAAATAACGTAGCAAAAGCGAGGTTGTTGCCTCAGGCACCCAGGTCGAGATCAGGTCAATCTGCCAGCTCCCACCGCTATTCCCACATTTGCCACAAATCACTCACGGGTTTTCACCGAGACTGAGCAAGGAAAGTCCAAGATGGCATGTCTCAGAATCGACAAGATCAGCGACCAATAATTCGAGATTCCTCATTACTGAGTTTACGCCTAAAAACTGCACAAACTGCATCCAGTCAACCAGGTTGTCGGGACAGTTTGAGACGGCAAAATCCTTTTCAATTCTCAAATCCTGAGTTTTAATCCTCTTGGGTTGAACCGTTCAACTGAATCAACGGTATCCTGCAATTGAAGTGTGATTGGATGAACCGATTAGGCTTGGCAGGCTCAACCATAGTTCGCATGCCAGGAACAGTGTTGAAAGTGGCCAACACTGCCTTCCCAATGGATAATTCGGCATATTGAGTTTAGTACCTTTTCTTTGATTTTGCCTTTGCCTTGGTCATTCTTCTGGGTCAAACTCTGGCAAATCTCAGTAGACGAATCAGTCTTAATGGCGAATCCGGAGTTCCACCGAGATGCCATGGGTATGTCATCGGGCAACAGGAACAGTAGACCCTTCATTCGCCCCTCCAGTGGGGCTCGTTATACTTACTAGAATCAGGGTCTAAGGGTCTCGGCTCTAGATCTGACTGGCGGAGGATCGACAAGCGGGTCTAATAGAATCGTGAGAACATTCGAAGTGGAGGATTGTGGATCTGTGGCTGTTCTTTGCCTTCAAAAGAAAGGCGAATTGCCGCAGGGTTCCTATCTTTTTGTTCTAGATCTAATAGATTTTGCATTCCCAATTGAGCCTTTTCAGACTCTACGCAGGGCCGTTTTCAGGGTCTGGGAAGTTCTGCTGTTTGTACTCGTACTTTTGTATACCGTTTCAAACGTCAAACTTTTCTTGTTATTCAACCTCATCTACAGTCTATCACATAACTTCCCCGTGAAACCCCGGAGTTCCCGTGATCTCGAGGGTATTTAACAAAAACATCAAGAAATCAAATCTTGTGACATTCTACCCTAGCGGAATCAACCGTATTGGGAAAGTCATGTCGACTCAACCGAACAGGTAGAAAAGAAAGTCCAAAAACAAGTCCAATCAAATAAATCATCAATAACGTAAAGACATAAGATCAAAGAAAGTCAGACCCTTGAAAGAGTGCTCGGGTCAACCGGCAAGGCAAGAGAAATTGACAGTCAAATCATAACGAAGGCATTTACTGGCCAATGTTCAAAGCCAGGCCGGTATCAAGAGGGCATCCGTGAGTTGCGTGATCATCCGTAGGCTGGAGGTAGGCAGCAGAACAGGCACTATCGCCAGCCTGGCAAACGGCAGAAGGGCAAGAACCCGAGTTTCCACTGTCCGAGGGCAGGACGGAGAAACCGTACTGGGTGAACTCGGAGTTGGCCTCCATGTTGATGCAGGAGAGATCCCAGTAGATGGTATCAGTGCTCTGGGTGTACTCGAATTGAAGCACATCGGACTGATTGGGGCTCGTGGAGAGCTTGATGGAAATACCACCGCCATCGGGGTTGGTGCGCCAGGCCTCGCTGTAGGTACCACCATTGGCTGTGAGGGTCTGCATGGGACCGACGTCGTTGGAGACGGACCAAGCGTAGATATCCTGGCTCAAGTTGTTGGTGATCAGGACGGATCCGCTGGCAGGCGCAGTTTCGTTACGCTTGACCATGCTGGAAGGAAGGGCAGTAGCCAGAGTAGCGAAGGCAGCAGCTAGGCCGAAAGTCTTGGTGAACATCATATTGATGAGTTTGGTAAAAAGACTGACAAGATGGTTGGATATAGATCAAAGATTGGGTCTGATCGACAGACTAAAGGAAAGTGACGAGAATGAATCTCAAAAAGAAAGTGGGTTTGGAAAGAGAATGACTGTCTTCAAAGAGTGAGAGACTGGTTGGGATGAGGGATTTACATGGGAGTAAGAGGACGTTTATATACCTTTCGAATCATTCATACTGACCCCGGATGCTTTCCAGACCATGGAACCATCGGTAAAAAGCCATGCAGCAAGAACCATGGATCAGAGTGGATCCTAAAAAAAAAAGGCGAATTAAGAGGTAAATGTACTTGTTACGGTGTATTTATTATGCGGCTTTATATCTGTAAGAGTTAATCAATGTTAATTGAGATCGACTCGTCTCTACAGTATGCGGTGTGATCTTGAACAGATCCAGTACTCAAGTTCAAATGTTCACGATTGGACGTGTTCATATGAGTTCCTTAGTATCATTAACTCCAAGTGCGTGTGGTTTGCCTCCCGTACCGGAGTTTCAGCCGTGGCAATAGGCCCCAACGTCATCCCCGCCCACCTCCGTCCTTCTCACGATCAAAAATGAAGCGAAAAGTTTGACGGAAGATCGCTGTTCCCCTGGACCATGAAGTAACCATCCTTCGACCAATAATCTGCCCTAAAAATCGATTTCTATTTTTTTCTTTTTTTCTTTTTCTTCTTTACTTCTTCACCGGTTCAACGTGTCCCACCTGTCAGACTCGCCTGAAATGTCACCTTCTGTTCCTGATCCTTCTCTTGTCAGATCCACAGCCACCTCTGACGTCGCTAAATGTCTTGGGGTACCTGTCGATCGAGTCTGGATTTCTTGGTAGTAGAGCGCCAACGCCCTGTGGCAAGTATGCTCATAGTGGGATTTGCCTGAAACCCTGATACTTGATGACACACGTTGTAAACTGCCAAGTACCCAAACAGATTTTCCTTGTTACACGACTTTCCAAGATATAATCTACTTGTATCTTCATATTAGCCCTTAGTCTTGGGCTAGCCCCGCGTCCATACTTTGTCAAAGTGGGCCGAGTAAAGAGGGGCCAGGGCGTCGATCCTTTTTAAGAGAATGATTGATTGTTCTAGACTGATCTGTTCTATCTGAACTAACTTACTTAGCGATTAGTTAACTTGGTTAGCAATTCGTGAATTTGAAGCCTGAAATATCAGGCACGCGTATGTCTCCAGCCTAGCTAATTAGGCAACACAACCTAATGTCAGAGCACATGATGCAGCTATGCAATTATGCAATGCATTTCTTCACTTTCAATTCCCTTGTGAAGTAGAGAGGCGACATGTGCATGACTCAAGGTTGATCGCAAAAATTATTCATTTTCTGTACAATGTTTCTACTGAGACCATCATCTTTCAGGATCACCAAGCGATTGGCCGTTGGGTAGAGCAGCACAGAAGATAGCAGGCCGCGGTAGGCATTTCAAATTCAACCATGTGGTTCTATGGACAGTACTCCACATCCCCAGTGCTTCCATGCCATTCAAAATGCACCACGTCGACAATCTTCTGCAATGTTATAGGGTTGAGAAGAGTTCGCATGCTATCCGCCAGCCAGGCCATATGAGTCTGGGATGAAGTTCGATATAGATGATATCGCATGTCCATTCAGCTCTTCGAATCGTCACACGCGGGCCATTATCACCCAACGTGCCGTAGTCGGCTAACGACTCGGGGAGAATTTGATAAAAATAATCAGATGCAGAGACATATTTACAGGTCGTGGAATCCTCTCGTTCCTGGACGCCATGGAGCAGCTCGTATGCTTTGTGCTAGATCCCATGAGCATCCAGTTACTTATCCCATGACCACGAGAGCACTGACGCGGCTAGATCGGATGGCGTTGGCTGATAAGCGCAGACAGGACGATATCAAGCCATCCATATGCTCGCAAAAGTTGCCTCGGATGCCCCTGAGAATGACATTCTCCCTCACCTTCCGCATTGTGTCACTTCGGAAGTCAATCAGATCGTTAATGAAACAGCATGCCTCGACGAGGAGTTCATATTGGTCCCTGGTGATTTCCTCCCCAGTGCCAAGAGACGCTACCATGACACCAATATAGATGGCAAGGTCAATATGACGAGGTGCGAGTAAGCTTGTCATGCGACTCCCGTATACGCCACTGGGTAAGAGTGGGCGAGAGTGACCACGATAGTACCCAAGAGTGCGAAATTGAATAATGATAGCCACGGTATTGTTAAACTGCCAATCAGTAACAACGCCGGCGAGGTGACACAGCTTCAGGAATGCCGTAGCCGCCCCGCCCACTTGCTGTAGCCGTTTCAGAGAGCTCGGGTCTGCTGCCTCACAATAATCGGCAATCAGAATATCATTCGCTGCTTCAGCTACCGCCCTAGCCCGTCCCTCGTCACAGAGACCTCCACCACACGCGATGGCGAAGAAGTATTTTACATCCGCGAAGATCTTTATTTGCTCACTTGTTGGATAAAGCTGATGATAAACAGACAACTCTGTGTCGCATACTGAGCTTGGCCGACGATCAGGCGCTTGTATCTTAGCGATTGATGACAGGTCTCCAAGACAAGTATCAGGTCGAGGATATTCATCTGCGCTAGCAAGGACAAGTTCAGAGATTGCATTCCGCAGATCTTCGGCAGAAAACAGACAGCGTGGATTCCATTCATCTTCTCTTTCTGTCACAATTTCGGCAATTTTGACCATAGCTTTGATTTTTTCACAGTCGCCTTGTTGTATTATTGATTCAACAGTAAATCCCGGAGGGGCAAGGTAAACTCCTGAACAAGAGCACTCCACCTAAGGTTTGTAGCTCTGGCTCAAAATATTGGTCTCATCACATGAAGGAGGAACACTACCCCCAAGAAGAATTTCTTGAGCATTCACCATGTGCCGGAATGAGGTAACAACCTGTGCCAATTTTCCGGAATCTAGTAAATTGTTGAGGTTTTGTTCTTGGAAGAGATTGATCATCTCCTCCAGTGACATGATGGGCATTCCATCTTCGCATAAGACATCCGAGGAAGTTGAAAGCAATGTGTTCACTCAAGCCAGGTACAAATGGAGTCGGAGGCTGTTTGTAGGTGGCATTATGTACTTTTGCTCATGCACGAAAAGAAGTCAAAATGCAGGGCAGATTTACCGTGCGTGAGAGTGGGGGGAGGGGCATCGGTAAATAATCACCAATTTACGGTGCATAATGGCCACTGACGCCGTCAAAATTTATCTCTGAAGAATCTGGATAGATATCCAATCAGTCGAGTATAGCGCACGCGACTAGTCAAGATCGGTCTTGATCTAATCGCCGTACTGAGCTGAATCACGGATGTTACTGTAATAGGCAATAATTTGTGGAACTATCCTGACCCACTCTTGTTAGCGTAGAAATTACTCGATGAATAGGCGGCAAGCAGGTTTGGCATCTGTAGAAAGGACATGCAAAAATGCCAATCACTTGGGGATGAAATAATCCGATGTAAATGCTGAAAAACTAGTCTGGTATACTACAGAAAACGGTTTTCTCCGATATCTCAGGGCTCTGCTGATGGTTCCCTGCAACCCATAGGATCTACTGATCAGCTAACGAGTTACCTTCCTCATCTGATGTGGAAATCCTTGTGATTTCGTGAGGAGTGGAGTACATGCAGCCTAAAGGAGGCCGGTGTTAATGGGTGTGGATTTGGCGAGTTAAGAAGCCGACTCGAGGGCGCTGTCCAAGTCTCACCATTACCAATAGGGTGCTCGCATGGCAGACAAACTAGCCAATGCACCCTCACTAGTAGATTCCTCCTTCTTGCGGTGACCGGCAAGCTCTAGATTAATTTGTCGGTGAGCATGCACCAGCCAATCCACGTAGCTTTGGGCTTCATTGTTGCGGTCCTCCAGCAGCAGTCTGGCGAATTCGTACTCGGCTCCATCCATGCCTTGCCGGGCCAACTGGATAGCCATGCTCTTCGACCCACGCACCGTGGAAAAGTAGTGTAGTAGATTGCGGACCTGGGCGTTCAAATGTGTCTCCAATACGGGGAGGGAGGAGATGTTAGAGTTGAGTTCCTGGAGGGAGTGTTGCCCGGGCCCGAAGAGGTCCTCTAAGAGATTAGGCGAGACCTGTGCATGTAGCCACAACAGAACTGTCTGGCCATTGTCGACAAGGTAGGCACCACCCTCCTCGATTTTTGAGAAGCTGGCACGCAGTGTTGGTGGGATTTGAAGTTGACCATGCTCGTTTGGGAACCCATCTAGAGGCTGCAAGTTGTGGATGGCAACGATACGAGGGTAGAGGTAAAGGGAAAGTTCCGTACAACCGAATGACCGTAGCATTCGTTGATCGTGAACCCGGCGGTCTGAGGATTCATTGCCACCTAGAATACTAGTCAGAACGGGTTTGCAATCAATGAGTCAATAATGGACAGCCTCACCTTTGAATGCTCTTGATTTGACCAAGCTAAGCATGTACATCGTGAATTCCTTCAAATTCTCCGGCAAGATCATCTGACCCGGAGGATTAGATCCTGAGAAGATCCTGCGATAGCCGCTCAAGATATCAACTGTCTTCTCCAAAATGTTGGCACGAATATCCTTCAGAGATTTGTCAAGTGTCTTAGATGCAGCTGGAAGAAAATTTAGTGTCAGGCGAGAAGATGCGGGTCATAGGTCAACTTACCCTCCTTGGCGATGATCGCAACGACGGCGTCCTGATCAACATACTTCATAGTCTCAATACCACCGTCGTTGACCGCTGCTACAATGTTAATGCACCGGACCCGTCGTTGCCCGTCTGCAGAGGTGTACAGTAATGCAGCCTGGAAGTGGGCGTCCAGCTTAGGATCTAGTTTACCATCGTAGCTGAAAATCACACCCATGGCTTTGTCGGCATCAATGCTACCGAGTTCGAGGTCGGCACCAAGAGTATTTTGCACAAAGTTTCCGTGGTATGAAGACACCTGAAGACCGTTGGAACAGCGCACCTTCATTAATGCTTGGTAACCAGTCTCTCTTTTGACGGTATGGGCAATCTCTTGCCGCACCTTCAAGCAATCACGAGGTGCATGGAAGTTGGGATAGAAGAAGGTCTCACCTCCCGTAGTGGCCGAGACGTGTCCTATAGGGGTTAGTCTTAACAATTTCAAGTTCGTTTGGATGCGTAGGTCAACATACCGATAGTTGCCACGTCGAGGTACGCGCCACCAAGGGACGCAAGGAAGAAATCAACACCAACACCAGCCTCGGCCAGCTTGCTTGCAGTTTTTTTCCATGCGGGGTTTTCTGTACTGAATAATTTACGTTCTGCATCGGTGCCGTGCACTTTAGGATCCTCTCGCATTTCCAGGTGCCCGGGGCCGGTCGTAGGCAAGCTACCTAACGAGCAGACAATCTTTCCACCCGTCGATTGCAACGCTGAGTATGCTGCATTCAGTGCGGGGAGTAATGCCGGCTCGGGGTTTTTGATATGCGCGAAGAGACCGGGTATCCGGCTCAAAAGCGATGTGATTACGGACCTGGTTGTACGGTTAGCTCTGATCCGACACTCAACATTTGGAATTGGCTTGGGCATACTTAGATTCGTACGGATCCACAAAGAGACCCTCACTCAGTGGCAAGAACGGCTCTTCCAAGTCAGTCATAACCATCATCTGCGCCTGATCGAATGTTGCCTAGATCTCGTTCAGTGAAAATTTATTCGAAGTAAACAGAATCACCTACCGTTAGGTTGTAAAAGTGCACCTCACTGTCAAATGTGACAATGCCAACCGTCGAGCCAGTCGGGAGCTTGGGTGCGGTCTCCTCGCCGTCTTTCGGATCAATGCCATACAGGGCTTCCACAATTCCTTCGCAAACAGCCTTCAAGTAACCGCGCTGAATTGACTCGCGGCTCACGTCAATCAAGAAGAGTGTCTGCAGTCCCACAGGTTCCTTGTTCCAGTATTCCTTCGGCACAAGGAACTCCACGGTGCCTAACATCAATTCAGGGCGTTGCATGCGATCCACACGCGCCCCGGATGGGTCCAAAGGCGCAAAGTATTCGGTCGGAGTATCGTTGGGAAAGGTGCACATATTGCAAATGAACTTGCTGCCGCCAGATCGGAAGGTCATGAAGGGATTGATGTAAGTCCTACATCTCCTACAGCGAGGAGGACCACCCTGCTGATCCCCAAAATTCAGTACTGGAATTTCTGTATCTGGTTTTGCTAGGGGTTGTAGGATAAGGCCAAGGGGTAGGGCGGTCTGGCTTAAGAACTCGGAGGTAGCGGGGATGCTATTTAGCGTAAGGCGAGCGAACTGAGGCGCTGAGTTTCCTTGATCTTGTGAGACGACTGGCACACAAGCGGGTGGAGGTAACCGTCTGTCGAGGGTGGGATAAACGTGATTGCTATAGTAATCCGAATAGATCTGGCGTAGTTTTGGAATAGAAGGAATGTCATCAGAATTGACGCCGCGTTGTGTGCTCACGGAGCTCGCTCCAGCTTGTTGCGAGGGCTGTCCAGGCTGGAGTCCTGCGGCTGGTGACAACGGTCGAGTGTTGAGGAGTTGCGCGCCCTCCGCGCCCATGGCGTGGTTTGAGGCCGATGCTCCAGCTATGTCATGGTGGGCATGGCGATGCTTCTTTCGTGTCCTGGCTCCTGGAACTTGTCCTGGAGCTTCTGCGATCCCAAGATTGCCCATCTGATTCGATAGGTCGTCGGTGCTTTGTCCTGAATACGGCTGTTGTGGTTGGGAGGCATATGCGTCCCACTGACCAGGCGGGACATTGGGGTTATGATAGGAAGGATTGGCCATTGCGAATAATGGAAAGGAGAATCAGCAAACGAGCATGTCGAGAAAAAGGCCAGACCCCGCGATGTGTGATGTTGACGATCTCCCTATTCAATTGAACACGTAACCTTATGTAATCATTCACGTGGTCCGCCCGCTTCCCGAGGTGGACCCAAGCCTAAATTGTGTATTTCTGTTCCTGTATTTTTATTTACTAGTGCTCGTACTAGCACATTATGATTACGGGGATAGCAAGACAATACAACCAACACCTATAGGATATCTGGATGAGTTACCAGTAAACGTCCGAACTACGTATTACCTGTGTTGAATCAGGCAGCGACGTTCTCCCCAGTATCTAACTGTTTTTCTCCTACTTACTAGTAGTCTTCATTCATGCCGGTCACTTTAGCAGTCATAAGTAAATTTGGCAACTTCTCCGCGTGCTTTCCATATTGCCGGTCAAATTTCATACCCTCCGAACCGTTTATAGGATAATTTCTATGGCTTAGAATCGGTGCTGCCTTACAATATCAATCTTTCGAATTTTGGTTTTTTGCTCCGCATTTTCTACAACCATATATATGTTTGATTTAATTTTATAGTGCAGTGTAGCTGAAAGGGCAGGTTGTGGAGTAATTGTGAGTAACTATAGGTATAACAATGGGCTTAGGGGGCGGTGACTTTCATCTTCCAGACTGTGCTACTAGTAACAAACAGGGCCAATAGAGGTTCGTACTAAGTATGCTCAACATTGATTGGTAGCTATGGTGACCAGCCTGAGGATCTCATATTATCAATCAGCCTACCGCCTGGCCGTATTTAAACTGCTATTTTCTTGTTTTGAATTAGCCTCCGCAGTCCTTGTGAAAAATAATGACTACCTTTTCAAATCGTACGAGTCAAATCGAGTATATCGATCCCACGAGCTAAAGTCACATGGGAAGATCCTTGCGGATACTATCAAGGCAAGCCCGCCACTTCTTAGCGATATCTGTCACCCTCACGGTCTGATCGTCGATAAGAACGAGTATTTTCCTCAATATTATTCCCTCCACAGCGGAGAGCTCTGCTCTGAGACTCGTTTGGTTGGACTGCTTCTCACCTATATCGAGAATAAAGTCACTTCGAGGGGTTTGGAGCCTTGGTCCGACTGCACAGGCGAGGATTGGCTTCGTTAGTCTACGCAAATAAAAGACTACATCAGATATTTGCATGAAGGGCGATGCCTGAAACACTGATTTTGGTGGTAGTTATACCCGGGGCTGGTTTGACGAGAATATATAGGAAACTGTGGAAGGATATATATAGGTTATGCAAAGGATTGATAATTGGCTCCACCAACATGCCCGCAGGCCTGTTACTCGTATCAATTGAGCCATGAGGGGGGAGCGGTGAGGGATTACCTACCAGGCTTGATATATGTAGTATAATCAAGGAGCATCCCAATGATAATACCACATCTTGGTATTGATACCATATGTATAGTATACTACTAGTTGTAAACTTGTAGTACGGTATTATTCTAGGATACCGTAATAAAACTCTCTGATACTGTATTCTGATAGTATTAAGTTCATCGAACCAAAGTCTAGTCCAATTTAGTCAATCTAGTCCCCTGCAGAGCTAAAGCGTAAGTCGTAAGTCCCTTCGCTTATCCATTACCTGGTCAATTCGTTCCCGAATCGGCGCCGACGTGCATCACGAATCAATTGAGTCGCGCTTATCGGATTGTCTCTTGCCTATACATGAAACTCCACAATCGGAGTTAGCTTGTCTTCTCACCGTCTGTCTTCTTCCCGCATCGGACCCTAACCCCTCCATCTGGCGTCACCAACGCCAACTAGATATAGCCCGTGAGTGTCCTTTATTGAACCCCCCCTCCCCGTGGTCCTTTTTTTTGGCTTTTTTTTATCCTACACTAAATGATCTACCCCCTCATAAGGTGCAGTTCTGATTATGGACCAGATTGCAAAATCCTCAGACGTGAAGTACGGGGATCAAACACCCACCCTACCGGGGTCCACAATGGCGACTATACAAGATGATGATGAGCTTCTGCTGGCGAGAATTGGTTACACACAGGTAATCGCGCCCGGACATTGGCATATTTGCCTTTGGCTTATTTTGGAACTTGATGACAGGAATTACGACGAGAGTTCTCCAGATGGTCGACTGTTTCGTACGCAATTAGCATCCTGGGCGTTCTGGGTTCCGTTCCTGCTACCTTTGGCTCGCCCTTATCAGCAGGTGGCCCTGCGACATCTGTATGGTGTTGGCTAATTGGGTCCTGCATGGCTATGTGTATCGGTGCGTGCGCATTGTCTTCCTGCAACTCCCGCTTCAACAATAGTCTTGACTATTCATTCAAGGTAGTTCCGTGGCCGAGCTTGTGTCGGCATATCCAACTGCAGGCGGCATGTATTTCGTTGGAAAACATGTGGTCCCTCCAGAACAGGTCAGCATGTTCTCATGGATTCAGGGATGGTGCAATTTGCTGGGTCAGACTGCCGGAGTGAGCAGTGTAGCCTACTCTGTCAGTCAGATGATGTTGGCTGCGGTCAGCATGAACTCGAATCTCCTTGATGGAGAGTATTCATATTCACCAACGGCCCTTCAAACGGTATTGGTTTCAATTGGAATCTTATGTGTTCTCGGTGTCATCTGCTCGTTGACGACGAAGTCCTTACATCGGATTATTCTTTGGTTTGCTCCGATCAATAGTAAGATATACGCTTCCCTCCTGGAAAAGTCAGCTCTAATGCCAGACATTTGAACAGTCCTGGCGACTATCGGTATTTGTATCGCACTGATATATCTTACCCCGAACAAAATGCCCGCTGAATGGGTTTTTACCCACTTCACTGATGGATCGGGGTGGGGCTCCAAGACCTTTTCATTCTTTCTAGGCTTCTTATCAGTTGCATGGACTATGACCGATTACGATGGGACCACTCATATGTCGGAAGAGACTCATGATGCGGCCGTTCAAGGACCGATTGCCATTAGGACCGCCGTCTTTGTTAGTGGAATCTTTGGGTGGTTGTTGACCGTCTGCATGTGTTTCTGCCTGACAGACTTTGAGGGTATCCTTCATACGCCCACCGGCTTGCCTGCTGCGCAAATAATTTTCAATGCCGGAGGGAGAACAGGCGGCACGGTCATGTGGTCATTCGCCATACTGGTACAATTTTTCACTGGCTGCTCAGCCATGCTGGCTGATACCAGGATGGCATACGCATTTGCCAGAGATAATGCTCTGCCATTTTCAAAGTTTTTTGCTAAGGTCAATCCACAAACTCATACCCCGGTCAATGCGGTTTGGTTCGTGGTCATTTTCAGCATTGCTCTGAATTGTATTGCTATTGGCTCTACTGAAACAGCGACGGCGATCTTCAGTGTCACAGCGCCTGCGCTTGATCTCTCTTACGTTTCGGTGATTCTAGCTCACCAGATCTACAAGTCTAGAGTCAAATTTGTGGAGGGACCCTTCACTCTTGGTAGATGGGGAGCTCCTATCAACTATGTTTCCGTCATCTGGGTCTTGTTTATCAGCACCATTCTATTTTTCCCGACTCAGATTCCTGTCACCAGGGCCAACATGTGAGGTATTCCTTTCTGATTCAAATCGAAATCTACTAATCGAAGTCTAGGAATTACGCCATTTGCGTGGCTGCTTTCATTGCCATATTTGCATTAGCATGGTGGTGGGTTGATGCTAGAGGGTAAGCTTTTTATATTCCACAATGCGAATTGCTAGCTAACAAATTACTGCAGCAAATACACTGGGCCTCAGACTAATGACACGATTCACGAAATCCCAACCGAAGATTACTGCTACGAGAACGATCAAGAAGTCAGTGTGTAGGATATGCTGGAATTTCATGACCTTCCAAGGTTAAGTAGATACTTCTCTTAATAATTAACGATCAATTTAGAATATACATAGAGTGCAAAGAATTGCGCGTTTACGCATGTTTGGACACATTTTTGTATCTAGAAACGTTGTGGCTTCAAGTAATCTTGAGATATCATGCGAACTGCCAGTGTTGATGTTCGTGAATGCTTTGTCTGAAGTAATACATAAAGTGTAAAAATACATATCATTCGTTTAATTTCCTGCCACAACTGCAAGGCCTTCATAGATCTTCCTTTTGACTGCGAGGAAGCTCCCCTCGCCTCGACCCATAGCGGCCTGATTTGCAGCGGACAGTGCGGAAGCCTCGATCTCGATCCTGCCAGTGCCCGATTTACGGACAGCCACGGATTTGTCAATAAGAAGAGTTCCCTCACCTCGGAATTCGGCGGTGTGACCGGCAGCTTGCATGAGTTTGCGCAGATCCGCGAGACGTAAATCACCGACGTGTAATGGCCGAGCCACAGATCTAGTGCCTGCGGCCATGCTGACAGGTAGGGTATCAAGGAGCGGGAAAGCGTCCGACTTGTCAGCAATTCTTGCGACAATATCCGTGGTCGGAAGGGCTGAAGAAGATGCTCCATCTTCGACCAGCTTCATTTTCTTATTAGCTGCCTCGTCGGTATCACCTCCCTCCATGGGAAGTTCAGGTCCTCGCAGCTGGGCAGTCAAAGCAACGACGCCAAGACTGCGAACGTGTTGCCAGTTCAAGCGGCGGACGAGGTTATTGCTCAGCTTGACCATCCAGGCATTCGTGTCAACACTTGCGTCAATGACTTCACCATTGGCAGGTGTGAAAATTATCGCGATCGCGTCAGCTGCAGAAGCAGAGACATCAACGCCAGACTTGGCGGCCAGAAGTTTCTTGCATTCAGCTGCCAATGCTGCGGTCTGTTCCTTGATTCCACCCACCAGAATCAGTTTCTGTGGCTGAATGAGAGGGATCAGCATCTCCAAGCTGCGCTTATCGTGCAAGCCCATGCAATCGACAAAGGCTATCCTGGCATTAATGGTTACTGTCTCTTTGGTATACACAGCCTTGGAAGGGCCTTCGAAAGGCTGGGCATCTGCCTCATCTTCGGAAGACGCCGCATCATCGCCGACGTCGCCATCAGATACAAGACTGAAATCATCGCCTGCACCTGCATCCTTGGACAAATGCTGGCGCTTGCGGCCTGCTAAACTACCGGATAGTCTTCGTCCAGTCCCTGTGGCCTCGTCCCACCGTCGCTTCTGGCCAAGCTTTGTTTCTGCGTCTGATCGCCGTTGCTGCATGTCGATCTCTTCGCGTTCCTCCGCACGGAGATACTCCTCGGGGCGAATAAACTCTCCATACTCGTCACCCTTCTTTCTCGGCGCCACATACGGGAACATCCGCTCCCGCCCCTTTTTACCACGCACGTCGTAGTCGTAGACATGTTTCCGCCGTAAAAGAATGTTGATACCCAGGTCTTCGTCACTGACAGCCAGCTTGTTTCGATTCGAGTGGGCGAGGGAGGTCGAGAAATTGAGGACACGACCTTGTTGTTCTGAGTCTGAGTCTTCTGAAGAGGTGGAGCTAGATCCATCATCTAAAGCATCCGCTGCATTTTCGAGAGTTTCCTGGCCGCCTCGGACTTGAGATGTATCCTGCAGCTGCCGTTTAGTGGCAAGATATTGCTGGTAAAGCAATTGGTCGCTAGCATCTAGAGGTACTCGTTGCACCTCGGTCCACGCCAGCTCCCGCCCACCACTATGAACTTGTTCGAGCAACTCGCCATCGGAACTCTTTTCGAGCGCCACACCGTCGCGCCGTTCCTCGTACCACTGCCAAATAATACTGCCCAGGGAAATAGTACATGGTGACCCCAGCGTGTCTTCATACGCCATTTTGCGGTATGACTCTGTCAATAGCAGCAGATTGTTGGGGTCTTCCGCGACTCGACGGAGAGACTCCTTTGAGAAGCCCCAGGCTAATGAGGTGTCAGATGCAAGGATAACCTTAGGACCCTTTTCTGACAGGAGTTTTTCAAGACTCTTCTTGCGCTCCACGGTCTTAAGGTACTTGAAATTAAACGGCCCAACTCCTTTGGCACTTTTCTCCTGTCCCTGACCACTAGGCCGCTGACCAGTCGCTCCGTCTGCGCCTTCCGCAGCTTCAAACTCGCGGATAATACTCTCATCCATCCACTCGAGCATGCTTCGAGCTAAGCGCATCGTGGTATTGACTTTCCGGCCTGCCAAATACAGACCGGCACCTTGCAATACGTCATCCTTTTCACCCGCTGCTGCGTCACGCCAAGAGTGCTCCAGCGCGTATGCAAGCTCGAGCACTCGAGCACTAGTGTCCGTCGGAATAAGAACAGTGCCGCCCTTTGCAAGACTACTCCGAATCATGTCGAGAAGGCGATCATCTCTCTTTTTCCTACCACCAGACAGAGCGAACTTATCACCACCCTGGGTACTGCAAATCAAGGCTGTTGGTTTGCGCAATTGCTCAATGACTTCCGTCCCACTCGCGCCAGAACCACCAAACCACGCCGCACCGGCCACGACACCTTCGCGCGCCTGGTTCCAGTCCATTGCATATACGATCGACTCCATTCCATGTTGGATGTGCCATATTGTTCCACCAACAGTATGTCCGGCATTATAGGCAGTAAGGGTAAGGCCATCCAGGGGCGGCGAGAAGGGAGAAGGAAGAGGTTGATGTGGTTGCGAGTATTTGAGAGGTGTAATGAGGGAGAAGTAGCGGGCGATCTCTTCGGCAGTCGGCGGCGGGAGAAGGATTCGTCCTGTGCTGCCTGCAGCTTCAGCATTCTCACGCTCGGCTACCGCAGACGCTGCCGAGGAGGCACCGGGTTCAGAGACCGATGCTTTGGGGAGGAAGGTAGGAGCGAGAGGCGCGGATGCGTAGAGATCTTGTAGACTAGTGCGACCGAGAGCGATGACCGGGCTTGTCGCGTAGATAGGGATTTTGGTGAAAAGAGGGAATGTTTGGCAGCAGTGTACGAAAGCGCCGATGTGTGACGGGGTCGCATGGGTCAGGAGAATCAGCGAGAGGGTGGGAATATGTCTGTAATAAAACAAGTTAGTACAGCGACACGAGCACAAAGAGCAGGGAGCTTGGAACCGACTTTTCGAGCTCCGCCAAATCGCGGGTGTCAAAGGTGTCATCCCAACCAACATCTACTAAGATCTTGATTCCCCCGTCAAACTCCAAAATCGACTGTGAGGCTCTGGAAGAGGACGACTGTGCGCCCAAGAGCGGAGTAAAGGTAAACATGATCGCGGGCCGTCAGCAAAGCGTCCGCTACGTCTGATGCAGCGTGTCGCGACGCCGTAGAACACGTCAATCGAAAGATCTGGGGTTTCTTTCAAATCAAGGATGAATCATTGTGTAAACTAATTGCGTGCCGAATGAAGGCAAACGAGAAAAGACTTGGATTTGCGAAAGAGCTCTCAATGTCGCCGTGTCCGTGCCTTTGTCGGGGCAGATGACATGAGCAGGTCACGTGTTATCGACGCCAAGGACACACTACGGGTCAAGGTCACGTGGGCACTCCTCCTCCCTATAGTACTCTTTTTGGACACGCGTTCGAAACCCTATTCTTCCAATTCTTTTCTTCAGATACAAATCGATTGAAACTAGACGCGTTGTAACCTCTACTTACAGAATCTCTTGAAGTCCCAGATCACCCCATCGTGGATCCAGATCAGTTCCGCGGAGTTGAAGCACAGGTCCGCGATCTAACAAATGGACAAAAGAGTGCTTCGTAGGTTTCCACGAAATTCCCAAATTTTGTATTTCGTTTATCATACTTTTACACCTTTTTCAGCATATAATTGAAAGCCTAGTTGTCAAGGGCGATAAATTCCCCGGCCACAAGTCTACGTGCTGGAACTTCTTGGACTCTATTCCACCATAGTCCTCTTCATCACAGCAATAGTATCCTCCAGATTTGTCACGTAAGCAATTTGAAGAAGCAACAAATCAAGCTGGTTCCATCCGTAGGAACTTACATCAGCAGTAGTGATTATGACGCCTCCCCCCAAACGGGCCGCACTTAATGAGTACACAGTTCTTGAGTTCACTAGGCCGATCCGATATCCCCAGCTAACTTCGGGGGCCCAATCAGTCTCATAGTCAAGCTCATCTGGGTTTGTCGACCTTCCTCCTGGAAGACTGAAAAGTTATATTACTATCTATTACCTAGAATATTGTGATCGTCTGTATGGGATCAAATTAACAGACTTCATCTTCAGTAGTGGTCATGGTCTGTAAGCTTTGAGTGGAAAACCCCTTCATGTATGTAAAAGTCTGCGTAAGTGGAAAGTTGATGTTGAATCGCTGATGATCCATGAAGAATTGACAATATGTACAAGTCCTAGATAAGCTTTGTATGTAGGTACTGTTACTGTTGTGGCGTTTCAAATCCCTGTTAAGGCGCTAGACTTGGTACGGAGTACGGAGTACCGTAATCATACTGTAGTCTGGACATTCTTAGACGTTGAGATCGTCGTTGATTTTGCCTTTTATGGAATTGGAAGATATCTTCAATTCTGTGCAATATTTGGTTGAGATTCGAACATTTGCATCATTCTTTATTGCGCCACACAGGATACACACACACATCTTAAGTACTAGTATATCTTATGTCCCAATTCGATGCTAGCAGTCCCTCTAAACAAATTTGGCAAATCTGACCGGGCGGCTCAAATATCCGTCCAATAGGACCAATGAGACCCACACCTTGTGGCTTAGGCGCCATAGTTAACTAGTACATATATCATCTTAGTAGATAATAAAATCAACATCTTCATTTGAAATTATCAATAATTGTCATTGAAATGATTTTCAAAGTACCTGATTTTCATGACCCAAATCCCTATGCTTATGTGATGCAAATATCTATTCCATGTTTGATTGGTTCAAAAACCTGATTTGGGCCGAGTCCACGGGTGGTGGTTCTTAGCTTAAGACTAATCACCGGCCATCAGACCCATCCTCACTTCCCATGAAGTTTGTGCATATTCTTCCCTCGGTAGCACATATTCATAAAACTCCGCGATCCAGTTTCTAGGAAATGTTCAGCCAGGATGGCGCATATTATAAATCACCAAGTCGCGGGATGCAGTTTTGACACTACCAGCAGGTCCGTGCCATTGCCAAAGCGCTCCCGGATAAAAATGCTAATTGTTTTCCAGATATTCCTCGCTCCGGCTCGTTGGAGTTGGAACATATGGACAAGTGTGGTATGTATGTCACAAACCCATCATTGTGCCCAGACTAACATTATTTCCAGCTCTGCTACCGATAATTTGACCCACCAAGCCGTGGCCATCAAAAAGATCGCCGAACCTTTTCAGTCATTGGAAGCAGCGAAGCGAAGTTTCAGAGAAGTCAAATTGCTTCGACATCTCCGACATGGAAATGTAAGCCGGTCTACATTTTCATTGATAATCACTGACCATGGTTTCTGACAGATCATTTCTGTCCAAGATATATTCGTCTCTCCTTTCGATGATTTGTAAGCAATCAATACAATCTAATATACTCATATAGTATGTACTAACTTGCATAGGTATCTGGTAACAGACCTGCTGAGCACTGATCTTGCTCGTGTGATTCGCTCCAGACCTTTGGAGGACAAATATATCCAATACTTCTTTTATCAAATTATGGTAAGTAGATATGAACTGCCAACTCTGCATCTTGTTACTGACTGCCCACAGCGTGGCTTGAAATACATCCATTCCGCGGGAGTTGTGCATCGTGATCTAAAGCCTAGCAACATCTTGATCGATGAGAACTGTGACCTGAAGATCTGTGACTTTGGCCTTGCCCGAACACTCAAACTGGCAATGACTGGCTACGTGACGACAAGATACTACAGAGCACCTGAGACCATGCTGACTTGGCAAAACTATGGTGTCGAGGTGGACATGTGGAGTTCAGGCTGTATCCTGGCCGAAATGATTGAAGGGAAACCTCTTTTCCCTGGTAAGGATCATGCGCACCAATTTCTAATAATTTCTGAACTCCTCGGCTCAATACCACCCGAGATTCTCCCCAATATTTGTGCCAAGGGTGTAAGTTCGCCCATGTCGTCTGTCGTGATATCTGTCCCGCTAAAACATATTTTCAGACAATGGAACGCATTCAGGCCCTTCCACGACGAGAGAAGCTGTCATTTAGAAAGATATTCAAAGATGCATCGTTTCAGGGTATGTTTTGCTCAACTTGAACCCGTTGTGTATCTGCTGACTTGGCATAGCCATCGATATTCTGGAACGTGTGCTCGTGTGGGACCCAAGTCAACGCATCAGTGCTGCCAACGCTCTTGTCCATCCATACATGAGCGTTTACCATGACCCAGAGGATGAACCGGTGGCAGCTGCGCCTTTCAACTGGGCTTTGGTCACCGCTGAGTATTCAGTAGATTCGTGGAAATATATGATGTTTGTAACCTGATCTATCCTGCCTTGAATGACAGCTAACGATGGCAGATATTCGGAAATCATGAATCATCTTGCACCCTCGTCGTCATAGATGATATGCTTCGTTTTGCTCTTTTCTTCTTCTTTACGCGGCTGCTGGCAGCTCATGCAGATATGAGGGCACAGGGATGATTGAAACTCCCATGAATCAAAAGTAATAATTATGAGACGAGATGGGGGAAGGGAGTCTGGCAGATTGAGCGAATAACGAATAGTGTGTTTTCAATTGTAAACCTTGCATGATACCAGCGGCTAGTTCATCTATAATAACATTGAACAATCCAAAGAAATTGATACTTTAACAACTAAAGTTCCCAGTCTCCACCGAAGTCAAACATTGCGCACCTAATCTGCCTCGATCTTTCTCTTCTTTCCAGGATTTGTTGGCCTAGAGAATATTGCCTTAGATTGACTTGATTCCAGTTAGCTCCACTCCAAGTAAGACCATCTCAAAGCATCTCACCAATTTTTTGATGGAGAAAAAGGTCTCTCCGATGCAGCATTCGAAGGCAAATCCCACTCCCGCGCTTGGGAAGCTGTAATGGAGGATCCAGCCCACGTTCGCACTCTGTGCACTGATCTAGGCACAGGAAAGTATCGGTAACGCTCCAAGCGATCCTCACAGATCGCTTTGCATTTGTTGTAATAAGCTTTGCTCACATCAACATAGCCGCTTAGCATTATCCTGTCCTGATGAGTAGGGCGAATCGAGGATGAACTCTTCCCTGTTACGAGTCCAAAATTCACTTCAACTTCTTTCTCTACAACTTCTCCTTTTGACTGCGGCTCTTCAATTTTGTCTGGTCCTTGCTGTCAGCTAGAAAATCAAATGTGAACTCTCAAATCAGGGGAAAGACAAGTAGTTGAACTCACCAATCGGGCCATCTTTGCCTTCATGTCCAACCCCAGCACCCGTTATCAACCCTTTGCTATAATATGTCGTGTTATTAAGTCCAGGTGCCGGTGGGTCTGGTGCTGAATCCACAGGATCCAGTGAATGACTCGTCACACCTGGGGGACTCAATGTCCCTCTCAAGTGACGGCGCATCCTGGTAACCAAAAAGTCCATATTGGATCGTCCTCTCTTCCCGGGCCTAACAGCCATACTAGGACGCCAATATCGATTGCCAAAAAAAGTCTTAATTTCTCCAGATATGGGCGCAGGTATCTTCGGCCACCTCGCAACGCCAGCTTCAGGTCCAAAGTGCGTCACTGCTGGCGGCGATGGGAGAGGTGACAATGGATCTTCCACGTGAGCAATCGCCGGCAGGTTGGCACGTCTTAGCACTTCGCGGATCTGGTGTCGGCTCGTATAATCGTTCAAAGCGTCCTCGAGACACTTGTATGCATATTCGTACAGCTGCTCTCCCGATAGCCCACCCCATCCGGCTGCTGGGCCTGGTTCAAATTCCCAGTGAAGAGCCCCAAGACCAATAGTCGGATCATTGGATTTGGGTTTGCTATCGTGGTTGAGGCCTCGAATAACCGTTCTGTTTTGATGCGTTCGAATCAAGTCTAACTGAAGGTCTTTGCCCAATGGGAGGTCTGGCTTATGTAGCCACAGCCGCCATCGAGGCAAAGGTCCCTGTTGACCGAGTGAGATTACGGGCCAGTTGCCTTCGCCTAGGCTCTTTGATGCATGAAATTGATATACATTTGGGGTCGGATCCGCTGCACTCGGGGTTTTGATCATTTCCCTTCTGGGTGGTGGAGGCTCCTTCTTAGTGTTCTCTTGAAGATTCGAAAACCCCGTAGTCTCTCTACGCTTTGGATAAAGACACGCTCCTGAAGATATCCCCGGATCTGAATGTTTCTTTGGGCCCTGAGGCCTGGTGGCTGGAGGAAGCCATGGTGGTCCTTGAAGCTTTGCGACATAGTTTATGGCCACGGAACCATTTGATCTAGCATCCAGTGGTCTGGCTGGGGGCGCAAAGGTAGTCTGAGAAAGTATGACCGGAGTCGTAATAAACGAAGACGAGCCTGCGGAGTGAGCAGGAAGTCGGACTGAAGATGGGGAGAGCTGTTGAAGATGAGATGGAACCGGAGTTTTATATTTAGGGCGAATTGAAGATTGAGTCTTTTTGAGCGGGCCTTTATTTCCAGAATTTTGACTCAGACGAGCCGCTGGTAAAGGAGGTGGGCCCATGGATGAAGTCCCTGGGCGAGGACTGCGAGGGCTAGTCTTAGTCTTCTTTGGGGCTGTTTTAACGCGCTTGGTCTGCAGGTCATCGGTGGATCTTCCCGCCTCGGACTCTGGATGTTTACGCTTGGCTGGATTGTCTATCATCCTGTTGGGTTGAATTGTGCTATTCTATTCACATTTCATCTTCAGTTTGAATATTTCCAACCATTGAAATAGAACCCCATAACAGATTGGATTTACTTACTGTATCTGATGGATAAAAATCGATGGTAATGGATATTGAGGTTGGAATCAATTCCAATATGGGGACATTCTTATGTATATATGATCAGGTGGGCAGCCACATGGCTTCAAGTGCTCTTTGTAATTGTACCAGAAAATCGGTCCAAATGCATATGTATCTTTCGTTCGAGGATATTGTGTTGGTAACTACAAAGAAAATAGCCAAGTATGATATTTCCTTTGTGTTCACAAGTGCAGTTTGCATCGGCGGCTTTCTCTCTTCTGAAGTCAAAGAGATGGGTTCAGATCGACAGACCGTGGGAATAGGCGGAGTCAAGAATGCGGGTCTATTGGAGCCGTATGGCGGGGTTGAACAGACTTTGACGAACATTCCAAAATTAGAAAGAACACGTCGATGCAGGTGCATCCATCAAAAATATAATGGCCCTGCTAAAGCTTCAATGTTGAGGTTGATTCTCTTACCCCAAAAAGACCTAAGAAAGAATCTATTTCGAATCCTCAACCTTGAATCCTATAGAATTTGAGTTTCTTAATTTCGGGGCATTATGACCTCGGTGGTCAGTTCTCCAATGATAAACAAGCGGAGCGGAGAATCGCCGAGGGACAATGCATTAGGCTTTAGGTCCGAGTAATGGAAGAATACTACTCTCGGAAAATATGTTATTGACATTGTTGTCTACATTGGTTGGATTTTATGACACTTGAGCTGTCAAAGAATTAAATTACATTGGCCGAAGGGGTTCTTTGTGAGCCGTCAAATTGGAGGCACATAGGTGCAGCGTTAACTTTCAATAAAAATGAAGGTCAGAAGCAAAGGTCAAGAAAACTACCTAAATAGAAACAACTACAAAGTAATCGGACTTTGAATAGAACACATCGACTAGTCCTCGGCATTTACATGTCAAGTCAAACACGTGGGGGAGATCAAGTCACGGAAACATTTAGAATTTAAGCTTAAACCTTACTAATACTAGTAAACTCGAATTCTTGGGCAGGAAACTACCTTTGGATCTGAACTCGAAATATTTCTCAAAGTACACTGGTGTACAGGATACCTCCATTCTCCATCAGAAGCATACATAACCTCTAAAAAACATAAACATGACAAAGGAAATATGAAAAAGCGAGAAATACCCCTTGCCACACCACGAAACGCCATGCCATGTCTTCAGAAACACATAACTGTAGGGGGTACTCGCGAGAATGGAAAGAAACCCAAGGAAAAAAATCCACAAATCTTGCAGGATATCCAAATTCAAATCCAATCCAGACAGGGCAATGACACAAGGAAATATAGAACATGACAAAACGCAAATAGTTCCTGCTGCTTGCTCACATCGAGATCAAAGAATAAAATGAAAAGCGCCACGCTGGAAGGGGTATATCGGTCACGCTCGTAGGCCCTGCTACAAGGAACTGTGAATTATACAATACAAGACGCCTCCGGGGCAGTAGACAATGAGATCGAGATTAGTTGTAAGGGAAAAAAGTCATGCAAACAAAGGAAAGGGGTTTGGGGGATATAGGAGATATTATGATGAGAATAGCTCCAGCGTATTAACCGTTGACCATGTCGTCTAGGGCCATTTTACGGCGTTTGACTGGTCGTTGTTCAGGGTCGGGGTCGGATTCTGTCGTCGATGGGGCGGTCCGGACTCCAAGGAGCGGGGAATGGGCCATTTGAACAGGGCTTGAGAGGTCAATTGGACCGAGGTGCCGTGGGATGGGATCTCGGGGTCCTGTAGTGGATGAGGAGGAGCGTTGGTGGCCATGGTGGGGCGAGTGGGCAAACATGGAGCCCATGGGTCTTTGTGCCGGTGGGCCTCGTGGATCCATTCGACTCTCTTCTCGGCCGGTACTCCAGAGTCCGGGGTAGGGATCACTGAGTCTGTGTGCGTGATGAGGCATCCCTGGTGGGGGTCCTGGGCGTCCTGGCGTTGGACCGGGGCTTGCAGTAGCCTGGTGAATCGGAGGTAGTCGGACAGGAGATTCTAGGTACGGCTCGCGAGGTCCTGGTGGGATTCTGGAATCCGGTATCGTATGGTGAAGGGAGCTGGGGGATACGGCGTAAAAGGGTACTCCTGGGTGATGGTGTTGTTGAGGAGATGTCGTTGGAGGTAGCGCCGGGCCGTATGGTTGATAGCGTCTGTCCAAGCCCGGAGGTATAGTTGCGGTTTGAATCACTGGATTGAACACACAAGTCATCGGAATGAATGCAGGGTGTACTAATGATGGATCTGACGGCGCACCAGATGAAGAGAATGGCCTGCGAACACCTTGATGAATGATTGTAGCCGCTGGGTCCATCGGCCGAGTAAGTGGAAAGACAGATGCCGACCAGCGCTGCTGTTGACCACTTGGGGCTCTCATTCCGGCCGTGGCACCGGGAGAGTCTGTGGCGTGTAGATCGGTCATCGGTCTAAGTTCCCTGGAAGATGTTGGTCGGTGCAATGTGCTTCGGTGTGCTGGGACTGATTGGGACTCGGCCGGAATCGCTGGATGATCCGCAGGTGTCGTATATGGGCGAATAGAAGAGTCTTCTGCTTTGAGTGGGGGTCTTCCCCGTTTCTTGTGAGTAACATCCACACAGGAAGCCTTAGGCTATTGTCAGCTGCATCTTCACGAATTGATAAATGAGCAATATCCAACAAATACTCACAGCCTTGCCCGCAAGAACACATCTTCGACAAGGACGTGCTGGGTCACAGCCCAGATGTTTCTTCTTACAGTTCACACACGCTGATGCCACATGTGCCTTTGTCCGTCGTGTGGACTTTGGTGCTAAAGAACGATTTGGCGGCCCAGGAAGGGACGTTTCCAAGGCTGATAATGGATACGGAGGTGCCACCACCCCTGGTGGAAGTCGTGGGGAGCCAGTAAAGACAGATGGCTGGTCTCCATATCGTGACCGAATCGATGCTGGAAAAGGATCATGAGCCGCTGGGGGTAGCTGAGATGGGCCAGTAGTGAGGGTTTCTCCCAAAGTTGATGTCACCGGTGAGGAAGCCGGTGGGTATCGAGACCGAGACTCTTCAGATGTCACCACGGGCTCTTCACGAGACGAGCCAGACATAGGTTGACGAGGGAGAGCAGCCCGGGGGCTACAGCCTCGAGCATTGGTCGACCAAGGTCGATTCAACGGAAACCCCTCTGGGCCCGAGTTGAACCGGGGCTGTCCAAACTGGGCGGTAGTGAGGCTCGGTGGAGGAAGCACGAGTGGTTGCATCGGGTGTCAGACAAGACCGAGGATAGATCCACGGGAAAGTCCTATACCTTGATCCTTTCCCTTCTTTCCTGGTCTTCTTGATCTTCTTGATCTTAATCTTCTTGCCACTCCCGATCCCGATCCTGTACCTGATACTCTCTTTCCTCGGCCTCGGTCTCTATTGGCGTGGTCTTGTTCACAAAAGGGGACCACTGACTCTCAGTGTACTTTGGGCCAGCATATCTGACGAACGAATCCCTGGAGGCCTGGACTAGGAAGGGGGAAATCCAGGTCAGCGGTGTAGGGGTTGGGCAAGAAGGTTCAATATCCGTCATCCAGCACCTCCGAGGACCACCCGAGCTTATAATCGATTACTAGAGAGATCCGCTATTGGAGGAGTCAGAAAATAGACTGCATCGATCAGCGGGAGATTTCCAGATCATGACAGCAGGGTTACTCATAGCCGCGCATGTCTTTCCCCTCCCAGGGCGATTTATTGCAGGATGGCGGTCGATCATTGAGCTAGGATCAAGGTGCAGGAAGTAACGCCCATTGTCAATGCTCCAATGAATTTCGCCCCTCTCTTGACCCCCAGTTCTCCTACTGGTTTGGTATTTTTCCTTTTTTTTTTTCTTTTGGTATTTTCTTTTCTTTCTTTTTTCCTTCTTTCTCTTTTCACGGGGAGCCAAATATTGATTTGCTTGGTATTTGTATTTTCTTTTTTTTTTTCCTCTTCCCAACCAATACCTTACCTTCTTGCATCGGGGTCCACGTTCAGTGCAGGATGGCAGTATGAAGCCCAAAAGAGTAAAAAGGGAGAAAAAAGATATCTTCAAACTCACATAAGAATCCCCTGATCACTTGTATCCCCAGAAATGGAAGATATGTATTGCAGAACTCCTTTCCTCCTTAATACCGTAGGGATAGGATAGCAAGGTGAACAAGAAATGGAGAAATCGATTGTTTTACCCTAAGTTAGAGCAACACACCCGACCTGCGGGCCTTCAGGGCTTATACCAACAAGTCAGCGGGTCCTAGGTACACGGTAGGAAAGCAGTGGTCTGTGCAGAAAGACACTAGTAGCTGATAGACTTGATCTCCTTTTCATGGTAGATCTTTTCAGGTGTGCCCAACGGTACGGTCACTGGTGGAGTAGACAAGGGCGGAGTATTTCTTGGAGGGGTTGATTCTATAGATTGGGTTGCCCCCCCCTTTCTCCTCTCTCCTTATGCCCGGCAAAAGAAAGCCAAATCTAAAATTGACACCGAATGGTATAATATACATAGATACCAGACAACCCATGAAAGTTCTCCAGATGGTGTATAGGGGTTCTTTGGCTAAAGTGGCTTGCATTAGATGGGGGAAGTGACAGTGACACCTCTTCCCACTGTAAAAGGGATCAGATTCCCCGCTAGAATGGAAAGGGTAAGTCTAGGATGATTAACAATTATGATACGGAGGAATAATGAGCAATTTTTAAATCATTTTATTGTTTTTTTTTCTCCTCAAGAGGGGCATTATTTGGGGTTATACCAATCAGACACAGGACGCAAGGTGAGGGATTGACGGATCGACGTCGGCGCCCGCAGCCATTGCCAATAGTCGGACTCGGCAATGAAATGCACATTCCGTTTGACATGCACAAAGTACTTGGCATGAGAATTCACATCGATGAGCCGGTGAGACTAAATTTCGAGATTCTAGAATCTATATAGATTCTAAAATCGAGATCCTGATCACTCGGTAAATACTCCGTAGACAAGATTCCCTAAAGACAGGTAAAGATCCAGAAAAGTCGTAACAAGAATCACGGTATCTTGTTCCGTGACCAGACGAAAATTCAGTGATCAGGTGGTTCCTCGTGTATAGTAAAAAATACCAATACCTATACCGAACACCTGCCGTATTCCCCGTCGAGTCCATTTATGCTCCGTTGTACAAGGGGTTACTGTTACAGTCGAGCCCAACACTGCAGATCGTCTCACTCAACCCATGAGTCGGACAGCTGCAGGGGAGGGAAAACTTTGGTCCTGTTAGATCGACGGTTCGTGAGATACCGATGACGAAAGCTTGGTTCAATAATCTATTTCCCTGTCGTGGTACGTAGTGGTAACACCCCCCCCCCCCCCCCCCTAATACACCATTCCATCTCCTATGTGACCCAAGAAGGAATCAGGGTCCTTGTACACCGGTTCATCCCAGGTTTTATTTTCCGGTAGCCAGCAGGTGTGGCGACATTATCCTTGAATTCTATCCTTGAATCACAAACTGAATCACAGCGCGTGCGCATTGCTCATCCCTGGCGTTGGAACTGCAGGGAAAATCCCCAACGTCATTGACAGCTGAAGAGGGGAACCAATCATAATAGATAACCGGGAACTACCGAGGGAATACGGTAGCGGCTCTCCTGAAAGGGGGGAGGGGGGATAGCTATGTGGAACATGCGGCACGCGGAGCAGCAAGGGGTCTGTCACCCAGTTCATGCACGATGTGGGATGTGGGAATCAATAGTGCGAACTATTGGGCTTAGTCACTTTTTTGTCTTTTCCCTTTCCCCCCTCAGACACCCCTCAGGCCCCCCTCAGGTCACCCCTGAGTGGTATGACACGGGAGAAATTCCTGTCACTTGTGGATCACACTTTTTAAGAAGAAATTCGCCGGTGAACTATTCCTTAATAGCGGAGATTATTCGGGGCTATTGCTATTGCCAGACTTTAACCCGAGGAGGTCGCATGTGTCTGTTAACGGTGATTCCATGTTGATCCGACTAGGGACTTTGATTGGTCCGGGAGAAATCTTAGTCAAAAGCACGAGAGGATCTATTTGGATCCAGACTCAAATACCTACAGACTATCTACCTACTAATAATCGTAGAAATCATGATTAAGAAATCAAGAAAAAAACATGAATTTTGTACTATCGTGGTATCTCTATTCAAAGACATGAAAGTTATACAAGACGATCACCGCTTCTTCTTCGACGGCCGTCCATTCTTGTCACGACGCTTCTGTTGCAGATTGCGTGCCTTGCGGATATCATCGGTCGAGCGAATCTCACTCTTGCCACCCGCTCCCGCTCCTTGTCTCTCGCGGGCTGCCTCGTTCTTCTTCTTCATCTTATCGTAGTCGCCACGGAGAGGATCAGCGCGCTTGGGCGCCCGTTGCTGCGTGTGTCGGAATCGACCACCACCACGAGCACCTCCGCCACCACCCCCGCGGCCAGCAGGTCCATTGAAGACATTTCCAAGTCCAGGAGTCTCGGCTTCGCCCACTCGAGGCATGTTGCCCATCCGCTTGCCCTTCTTCCAGTTCTGGAATCGACCACTGCGGAAACTGGCCGCGATCTTGGCTCCACTTTCTCCGCGCACCAGCTTCGTGCCCTTGGATCCATCCTCGTCGTTCTGCCGAGCCACGTACTTTTTGTGTCGCTTGTCCCAGCGCATGGTCGACCGGTTCTCGCCCAAGCCGCGCGCACCTTCGTCGCCGTTGAGGTCCATGGTCGCACTGCGGGAGGCCTGGGTAAAGTTCTGATTCGTACCGGAGTGAACACCGTAGGCCCGATCCTCTGCCATGTCGGTGTGGTTGGGCGTGTAACCCATGAAGTAGTCAGGATTCTGGAACGAAGTCGCCAGCTTTTCATGGGATTTGTCGGAGTTTTTGTTCTTGGGTTGAGAGTAGGCGGAGAAAGTGACCTCCAAATCAGACTCGTCTGCCTCGGACATGTTGTCGCCAGCGACCTCGGGAACATCCTCGTCGGCGGATTCCATCTCCTGGTCTGCCCCAAGGCCAAGTTCATTCAAGTCTGATTGCTCCTTGGCCTGGGCGCGCGCCTTCTTCTTGTCCACCGTTGTGCGGAGACGCTTGATCGTTTCCATTGCTGGGTTCTCCTCGGTCTTGCCACCACGTCGGTTCTGAACCTCGAAGATAGTCTCATTAGGCCGGAAACCACCAATTTTGGCCAAGAGCTTCTCCCGCTCGGCTTCCAGGTCACTGGTCTGGTCATTGAAGAGCGGATGAATGGTAGACCACTCTTCCGTTGCTGTGACCTGCTTGGCTCGCTTCGCGCTCTCGAGTGATGCAGCATTTCGGGTACGCATGTAGAGTTTCTCACCACGCGTTGCCACCTGGCGCTGCAATTGAATATCGTGCATCTCCGACAAAACCTTGTTGACCCACTCGCAATTGCGAGAAAGTGCGTCTCTGGGGAGCGATCCAACAACAACATCATCGGCGTAATTGACTGACCCGGAGTTACGGCCTAGCACGAGCGGTCGTCCAAGGAAAAGTTGAAGATCCAACATGTAGGGCGCATCGGAATCCCGGACAAGACTGAAACTCCATCCCTTTTGACCGGCACGCGCGGTACGACCAACGCGGTGGACAAAAATCTTAGGCTGCGAGGGGAAATCGTAGTTAATGACATTGGCGAGAACCGGGATATCGATACCACGGGCAGCAACATCGGTGACAACTAAGATGTTGGAAATGCCCTTGCGGAAATTTAGAACCTGGATCTTGCGGGCAAGCTGATCCAATGAACCATAGGCGTATGAGGTAGCAAAACCGGCTTCACAAAGAAGTGAGTAGAGGTAGTCGACGTGATGCTTCGTAGCAGCGAAAATGATGGTGGAGTGTTCGGTCGGCGATTCCTTGTGCGGTCGTTTTCCATCATCTCTCTTTCGCTTGTTCGAAAACTTCGACGGCGGGCCTTCCTCTTTGAATCGCTTGGTGACCTCGGTATCGCCAGTAGGCATCTTAATGATATCGTGCAGAATATGCAATAATGCTCCTTCTTTATCCGATGACTTGACAGAGAAAAAGGCATTCTGTAGATCTGGAGAGATTTTACCTTCAGTATCCAAACGAACCAGGGTTGGCTCTTGGAGACCAGCACGTGCGAATTCCACAAGGGACTTGGGCAGTGTGGCGGAGAAAAGAAGAGTCTGTCGGGTTGAGGGCAGGCCGTGCAAAATCTCGGTTAATTGGGCAGCGAAACCCATCTCGAAAAGTCGATCAGCCTCGTCAAAGACCACATAGCGGATACTCGAGAGGTCCAAATTCATCTCCACCTGAAGATGCAAGAATCGACCGGGTGTTGCGATGACGATATCGGGGTTGCCAGCCATCAGTCCGAACTGTTCCTCCATACTATCACCACCAACCAGCAATACGGATCTTAAGTCTGTTCCACGTCCCATCTCCTTCACCACCTTCAATGTCTGCAGGGCCAACTCACGAGATGGCGACAGAATCAGTCCGCGGGCTCCAAACTTCGTGCTGTGGGCCTTCAGTTTCTCAATCATGGGAATGACAAAGGCAGCCGTCTTTCCGGAACCAGTACGAGCCATACCAACCACATCCTGGTCCTCCATGATCACGGGGATAGTCTTGCGCTGAATCGGAGTTGGGACAGAAAATCCTTTGCGGGTGATGGCCTTGAGCAGCTTGCTATTCAGGCCCATTGCTTGAAAGCCACCACCTTTCTTGACGGTCCGACCTTTAAGATTGGATCCTTTGCGGTTCGCAGAGGCTTGCTTTGAGGCAATGAAAGCCTCATCACCATCGTCCTCGGCACCGAGGAAATCGAGATCCCCTGTCGGCGCTGGCTTCTTCTTCTTGGGCTTCGGAATGCCCGCATCGGAGTCGGAATCGTTGTCATTTTGAAATAGTGCACTTGTAATATCGAATTCGTTCTCCGACATGGCCGGAGAAGCTTCGCGTCCAGGCATGGTTGCGGGTTTGGAGGTCAGACCCTCAAGTGATGCCGATCCGGCGAAAACGAAATAGATGAACGATACAGATAGTAGGTGACAAGAAAATGGAAAGACAATAGATAAACACAGAGAAAATACTGTGCTGATAAAACCTGGAACGATTGGCAAAAAAAAAATTGAAATGCCAGGCGGTATCAGATAAGGCGGTGAGGGGTTCCAACAAACAGTGCAAACTAGTCCCCGCGACGGACGCGTCCCAATTGACGCGCCTCGGGGTAAAATAATTTCAATGCAACACGCTTAACACACTCAACATTATGGGTTGGTCATTCTCCTCGCTTTCATTGATAGTAAGCTAACCGATTTGATAGACAGTGGATACAGCAAAAATTACAACCCCTATGGTGGTGCAGGTGGAGCTGGCGGAGCTGGCGGCGGCGGCGGCTTCATGGCCGGCGGCGAGACCAACAGTCCTTCAGGAGGCAAGGTGAATAAATGACCCTGATTCGGCGTGTATGATCACTGCTGACACTGAGGTATCTCAGACTGGTGGTGATAACAAGACACTCCGCCCTGTCACAATCAAGCAGATCAACGACGCAACCTGCCCATACCCCGAGGCTCCTTTCCAAATCGACTTCGCAGACGTCAACAATGTGCTCTTCATAGGCCGAGTCCGCAATGTCAGCAAGCAGAGCACAAACATTACATATATTGTCGACGATTATTCAGGCAGAGTGGAAGTCAAGAAGTGGGTTGACGCGGCATACATGGACATCGATGAGACGAAGGGCGATATCCAGAATCGTGTTTATGTCCGCGTACTCGGCGCAATCAAGTCTTTCGGCAATAAGCGATACATTGCTGCCCACAGCATCCAACCAGTAACCGACGTCAATCAGTTCTATTGCTCCATGCTCGACGCTACGGCCGCGCACTTGTTCTTCACTCGTGGCCCCCCGGGTGGTGGCAGTGCCGGCAGTGCTGATGGTGCGGCAGCGCAAGGAGGACAGGACTCCAATGGACAGGACAGGATCCTTGCTGGAGTGAGTCCCTTCGCGAGGGATATGTACAATCTGCTGAAGGCGGAATCATCCCAGGATGCCAATGGTCTTCATTTGCAGACAATTGCAGCGAAGCTGGGGCTTCCTGCTATGGATGTTGGCAAGGCTGGTGATGAGCTTCTCAACGCAGGTTTGATTTTCTCTACGCTGGATGAGCACACATGGGCCATCCTCGATTATTAGTCTTACCTGGTAACGGCTTTTGTCATCTCCATTCGATAAAAGACTTTCAAATGATATCATGATTCATCTCTTTCAAAACAGCTGTAGCCTGTTCTTACTTATATCCGATATAATCTACCATAAACATCATAGTCATTTGTACTCATCAGAAAGACGATCTTGTCTATCACGTTCCGCCCGACACACCAATCGCATGAATGTCTCTGTTCGGAACTTTTCGCCAACGCCAACTCAAAGAGCACAATATACAGCACAAGTTCCTCCTGGTATAAATGAGCAGCCAATGACCACATGTATGAAAAGCCTAGGTTAGCTCATTCCGCAGTTGAGCCTCTTCAACTGAATGCTCCCAGCTGATGCGAGTAATAAAAATGGCTTCAATCGCAGACACAAGCAAGAGAGCCAACGCTACACCGGTCCAGAGACCCATGACCCCCCAGTCCAGCCAAAAGGTTGTCCCCATACTGATGGGCATAGCGATCGCGTAGTAACAGACAAGTTGAATATATCCGCCAATCTCCTGGCGGCCCAGCCCACGAAGGATACCATTACAGTTGGCAGCCAGTGCATCAAAGAGCTGGAACGCCGCGCACAGAGGAAGAACCTGCGCCACTAGTTCGACGACCTCGTCGTCAGAACTAAAAAGCCTGGGGATATAGGAGCGTAAACTGGAGAGCAGAACCATATTGAATAGGCCAACGATAGTAGCTCCACAGAAGCTCACCTTGGCCGTTGTCTTCGCAGGACCGACCAGCGAGGCACCGATCAGGTTTGCAATCCGCGTACTACCGGCGATAGAGAGGGGGAAGGGAATCTGCCATGTAATACTCGAAATGGTGGACAAGATGGACTGTGCTGCCAACTCGGTAGTGCCGAGGTAGCTTGATGCCAAGGTGAGGACCTCAAAGGCAAGACACTCGGCTTCCACCATGATCAAACCCGGTAGAGCGAGACGGATCATAGGGCCCCAATTTTGAAAGGCTCGTTTTGTGAAGCCGCACCAACACTCGCTGCCAACCGCGAAATAAGCGTAAATGAACAGGCCAATAGGGAGGAGAGTCTCTGTGATAGCGACTGCAATCGGCGCACCGATAAAACCCCATTGTAATTTCTGTAAACTTGTTAGCCCTGCTTGTTGCGGCTGAAATAGTAATCCACTTACCCAAACAAAGAACCAGTTCATAAAAGCATTTAAAGGCGCGCAAACAATCAGCACATAAAGAGAAGCCGAGAAGACACCCTGGGCCTGCAGGTATCGCTTTCCGCTCTCAAAACAAGCGTATCCAGGCGTACCGAGAAGTGCAATCTTCAAATACAGACCAGCCATCTTGGCAACTTCTGGCTCTGGGACAATCTTCGCAAGAATATGCTCCGAAAAGTACCAAAGCACGGCAATTGGGATGGTTATAACCCACAAGAAATACACCATTCGCATCATCTGCAGACCCACCAACTTCCGCTTGCCAGATCCATACGCCTGGGCACAGAGGGTATCCAAGCTTGTTGCGAGCCCAGAAAATACCGCATTTCCAGTGATGCTTACCGTCATACTCGCCAGACTGACAGCACCCAACTCTTCCTTGCCCAGATGACCAATCGTGAAGATACTGGCGACTGTCAATGAATATTGCAGTAAGAAGGTGACCATCAGCGGCAGGGAGTATCGGGCGATGACTTCCGTTTCCCGTTTCCACGTGGTGTTTATTAGACCTGCCATCACTGCTTCCTCCCACTTCCGATCAATCTCCTCCGGTCCCATCTCATTTTCCCCAGAGGATCCCAACAAGGCGGTGGCCTCGGTAGGATCCTGCGCTGCACTCGTGTCTCCACGTGCCGATGTGATCCGAACGGAGCCATATGGATTAGATGAACTTGTGTGTATTTGCCCCGGAGAGGTGGAGAAAAGACTGCTCAGTTTATGCGACAGCCGACGCTTCTGCGCGATCGGAATTACATTGTTGTCGCCTAATAAGGCGTGTTCCTCCTGAATGGCCTGCTCACGTTCGCTTTGGGTCAAGGGCTGGTAATCGCCTTGGGCCGGAATGGTTGTGGTGTGATTGACGGTAGTGAAATAACTCGGCCGGCGATAAGACCCGGCCAGCGAGTGCGGATTTGTCCCGGCATGACTACTAGATGGGCGCACGGTTGAGGATCCTGAGGTATCGGTGGCAAAGGAATCATCTTCGTAATAGTTTGCAAGATCTCGGGAGATTGCAGCTTCTGCCACGGGCGAAGTTCCATCTGGAGAGATTGTTAGCCCTGAAATTGCTTCCGAGGTCTCAAAACGATGACTAACAGGACAATCTGGAGCTGAAAGAACGGCCGAATTGATGCTCCGCGGATTCCGCGGAAAGTATATTGCGCGCCGGCATGATACAGAATTGAAGGCGAGAATTTACTTCTTTACAGATCGTTCAACATGATCTATAGGCAAGCTCTACCACTCCAGCCAAAAACAAAGGAAGAAAAGAATGGGAAGCTTGAAAAGATTAGGAATGAAACCTTGGAAACGCAAAGTGGGGGGAGAACCACTTTTGACCGTTTTAGTGCAGGTCTTAGCGTGAGGATCGGATAAGACGATAGGATGATAGAATGATTGGTTCATTGTGTCAATTACTGATTTGCTAAAGCTCAAATAGGGAGGTCTAAGCAGAAAAGGTTAAAACGAGGCGTTCATGTCAGTCCTAGAGTGACTCAAATTCATCGGGGTCCTAAATCGGAGGACTCTTGGGGCTCCACGCGGCAATTGGAAGACCCACAGTGGTAAGGTGCATTGTTCACTCTCTCACGTTTTCCTATCTCGAGGACTTTATTTCCATGTTGTGTTTCTTTCGATTCCTTATATGTGAATCTGGGAAGATGTTAGATCTAGATGTGGTGTCACTGGTTAAAAGCGGTCTAGCTGTTACCTGTCACCTGATGCAGGTCTGACCTCCACGACTCTTCTTACTTTTCCCCACTTCATCTCGAAATCATCTGCGAAATGGTACGATCGGTGGATGGTAATGCAGCTTTAAGCCTGCGAAGACCATATAACCCGATTATTAACCCAACACATTCTCGACCGGCGTTAGTGGAAGAGTAAGTCATATCTCCCATGGGCTAGCTCCATAAACTTTCCACTGTCTGATCATTGGACTGGGTTCTTGTTACAAGACTGCTATCGATAGACATTTTTGATTTCTCCATATTGATTGAATGCAGACACGTCGAAGATCAACACCATATCCTCTGTTCAGCGCCTCTCTTCGGCCCACTCCTCTTCGAAAATACCTCATCGGACGCCCGTGACCACTGTGCCAATGAACGCACATTTTTATCATGGCTGCGCCTATCCATGTATCTGGCAGTGGTCTCACTAGCAATCATCATCTCCTTTCACTTTCGGGCGCAACCCTCAGTCTTGGAAAGGCGTATGGCTTTACCTCTCGGCATCGTCTTTTGGCTCTTGAGTATAACCTGTCTGGCCAACGGGTTCGCCAACTACGCGCGCACGGTCATGAAGTACAGTCGCAAGGCTGCATTGGTCCAAAGCGGGTGGAAGACTCAGGTGGTTTTTACGGTGGTTGGGACTGTGATTCTGGGGAGTTGTATCTTATTCCTATCCACGGATCAGACGGGCTAGCTTAATTGGCGGGGTTAAATTTTGCCTTTTCTGACTGTCATTCAGCGTGCATTTGCGTATATCCAGATTCGTTACTGACAATTTTACGGTACAAGTTTGAACTGATGATACGGGCAGTATAAATTATGTTGAACATTTCCTGTTCTTCCGAAATGGAGGACTTGAATTAAGATGGTATGTGCCGAAATGCTGCAATGTGCAGGTGAAAAGAAAACAAAAGGTATCAGGCCAATGCATCATGAAAACTTATAGAGAGACGAGTGCCAGCACAAGATGTCACGGCCAAGCTCACATCCGGCGAATCTCCTTCTCGCCCTTGTACTTCTCCAGGGCCGGGGTACCCAGGTGGCTCCACCACTCAAACAACATCGAGTTGCAAATCAACTTGAACCAGGGAGTGAAAGTCAGGTCAGTCTGCTTGAACATATCCTTCAATTCATCAGCTGAGACGTAGCGAGTGTCCCGCACTTCATTCGGACTTGGCTCTAGGTCAACGTCCGCCTGGATAAAGAGAATATAGTCGACTAGAATTCTTGTTAGACCAGAAACTTCCACGTCATAAAATGCAGACATACCTTCATGCTCTCCCCATTTTCCATCGCTGGGGGCTTTGTAGTGAATTCGGGTGAAGTACTCGAATTTTTCCAATGGCACCTGTTCGGCCTTGATACCCAACTCGTGGCCGAGCTTGCGCTGGGCAGCGCGCTTCACTCCCATCACTGCGGCATCAAGCTCCGCACCAGTCTCGCCGGGAATTCCAAGAGGGTGGGAACAGCAGGTGTTAGTCCACATATCCGGGAAGGTGATCTTCTCGGTGGCGCGCTGTTGGAGCAGGAGGCGGTTTTTGGAGTCAAATAGGAAAACGGAGAAGGCGCGGTGAAGGAGTCCCTTGTCGATGTTGGTCATCAAGTGGCCTATGGAGGAAAGAGCAAAGTCAGTATTGGTTCTTCAACCTCAATTGTATGTGGTTACCCCTCCTTGGGTGTCCGAAGGCGGGGTTTGTGATGACTGACAGATCTTCTTGCTGGCGCTGCCGATAGGTCGGTCATTGTTATCCAATACAATGCACACCTCATCCATCAAGCGGATCTGCTCCTCATCATATCCCTCTAACTCAGTGCCTTCGCGTGCGTTGTTGCCATTCGCGGTGGGTAGGACATCCCGAGCCAGCGAGGTGTCAACTTCGGGGAACAGGGTAGCCACATTTTCGGCGGTGATCTCCGGTGTAGTCATTGTCATAGTGGCACTCATATTTGCAATTGAATGGACAAGTTAAGGAGACGAGTAGGGTTCGAGATAAAAAACAAAATGCAGGCGGTAGCACGGGGCCATGTTCCCAAGGCGGTAATGATCTGCCCATCGTTCTCCATTCTGTAGGAACATCACAACACGGGTGGAGTAGCAACTTCAATACACTCCACCTAGCAATACTAGTCAAAGCCATATCCTACCCACCTCAAGTAAGCTGATGATCGGAAATGCTAGGGGGCATGGACACTGGGAGTTCTGCTCTAGCGTGCATCACCCTGCATAACTCCTTACATGGGCGATGAAGAAAGCCAGGGCCCAGGGGGTTTCTCTGGCTTAAGTACCTCGACGGCTGGGTACTCATGTCGAGTGTCTCTTTGTCCCCTGCATCATGTGAACGTTTTTGGTCCCAATCAACTGCAGGTGATCACATCTGCTTGACTTCAGCGCGATACTTGGGGTCTGCGACCCATATTAAAACTCTTGGTACAATGTTCTAGCCTGGATGGATCATACCGAAGCTCATGGTCTACTTCGTCTAATACACACGACTTTGTTGGGATTTGGGAATTGGAAAACCATATTTCTTGATCACATTCCAAGTCTTGTCTTCACAATACTCCTAGAACGCGAGAGATTTCGATGCGCCACAATTGGGAAGGATTACAACGAGATTCTCACCGGAGCTCTAATTTCTTCAGGCTCGCCAGCTCCGCGATCTCCTCGGGTCCCAATAGACCCAACGCCTCTCTCCGAGTGGGGGCATTGCTATCGAAAAATGGCTTTTCTGCTAAGGAGGTAACCCGAGTGCCATGACGAGGCTCCGAACCCTCATAGTCCCAACTCGCGCTGTGGATGGTGATTCTGTTGGATCGTCAATGAAGAGAAATTAGACCAAAACAGGGAAACAAACCGATTATCCCAGAGAGCGCTTGTTCGTGGAGTCCACTTGAACCGAACCTGGATATCCTGGTTCTTCTCGAAGACATCATTCAGATATCTCAAAATAACATCACTCTCGGCCTTGTCTAGTCCGACAATTCGGTCGGTCATCGCCCTGTTGACCCAAAGCGCCTTCCATCCCGTCGCTGGATGAACACGGACCAAGGGATGCTCACGCTCTACGTACTTGGGCCCTGCTTCGGGGCTGCTGCGCTCAAGGTACGGATGAGCAGATCGATAGATGGCAGTCTTGCCATCAATGAACTTGCGAAACTCGGGCGAGAGCTTCTCGTATGCAGCGTATCCGCTTGCCCAGAGTGTATCTCCCCCTACGGTTGGAACAGTGTCATTGTGAAGGTGAGTTACCCCAGCTGGCTGTCTTTCGTGTACCAAGTCGGTGTGCCATTGGGATGAACCGCCTGGTCGACGGAAGCTAGCTGGTCTCTCGGTGGCCTGCAGTGCGGGCCAAATCACGGATACGCCGGGGATGCCCGGGACCTGAGGTACTTGTGGCTTTATGAACAGGTGAGCTTCTGCAGACTTTCATTCTCGGCTATGGAACATACGTGGATTTCAATTTCCCCGAAATGTTCACCCAGTTCTTTCTGTTGCTGTGGTGAGATGTCTTGATCTCGAAGGAAAACAACACTGCGCTCGGCAATGAGCAGTCCCAGCTCATCCTTCTGTTGGTCCGTAAGGTCCTTTAGCTGTAGGCCGACAAGTTCCGTGCCGATATTTCTCGTGAGATGAATCACTTCTTTGGCTGCAGACAGAAGAGCCTTCTTTTCGGGATCGGCGCGGCTTCCAGGGTCTACATGCTCGCGGTCATAGTTTCGCACGTTGTAAACATCATCCAAATAAAGAGGACGCGAAGGTCGATATGGGTATCCGTTGCTGAGATCAACCCCGGACTTCTCCAATCGCTCTCTAGCAGGTGCCGGTAGACCGAGGGTATCTTTTCTCGGTGGTGCAACGTCTACAATGCGAGGATCGATGGGGACAGGAGCCATGTTGATAATTTGGAACTTGTTCAAAACTAATAATTATTATTTCCGGTGGTCAATTACCACATTTATGTATGTCTGTCAGTTAGAAGCTATTGACTCTTTTTCATAGTCTTGATCATGCATTGTTGGATGACACAGGCCGCGAGCACATCATCGTCGCAATCCATTACGCCTTCTGTCAAACCCAAATCATCGTTGACCTCGTTGGCTGCAAAAGAATCCCATCAAGCCAGGATTTGTTTTACCCCTCATCTACTCACAGATAGGAATGAATTTATTTTGGTACCATGACCTAGCCCAGGCATCCATGCGACATCCCACGTTGAAACCTCATGGCACAATCCCGCACAAAATGTGCTTATCATTCCACTGCCGCCTGATCCGAGATATACTAGATAAATCTTGAATTGTAATCAAATGTCAATTGAGGGGAAGTACTATTGTCCATGTCTAGCTTCGATTGCGAAATCTTGGGTCAGAATAGTCCACAATGACCAATAGTGGAGATAAGATCGATAATCTGGCGTTTAATAATGTATATCCCACCCTGAAGATGAAACTTTCACTCTAGTCACTACATTCAATATGACTGAAAATGCTATCCAACGTGTGGCTGTCATTGGAGCAGGCATTTCGGGGGTTGTCAGTGCCGCCCATCTATTGGCAGCTGGTAAAGAGGTGACTGTCTTCGAAAGAAATCACGCAGCAGGCGGAAACTGGTGAGACCCTTTTTTGCCATTGAAGCTATGAAGCCAACCTTTACTCAGGCTCTATGACAAACGAGTGCCGATCGAAGCTCACTATCCATCAATTAAACCACTTGATGTGGAGCGATACGTTCAGGATGGCCGTGAAGGGAAGGAGCGACAGACTTTACTACATGCACCACCAGGGTATGAAAATTTCAACTGAGTCTGAAAATTTTACTGATCATCATAGTCCCTGTTATGAAGGTTTGACCAATAACGTATCAACGCCACTGCTACGAACCACGTTGAATTCCTGGCCGGAGGGAACTCCGCATTATGTCAACCATAATGTGCTGAAAAATTACATCCAAGATACTTCCAAGGAAACGGGGGTCAATGATGTGACCATTTACGGGGCTTTAGTTACCGAAATCTACAAGCAGGATGAACAGTGGCATGTTCACTGGACTATCTTGGAAGAAGACATTCATAACGGGGAACTTGTCGAAAGTCACCAATCACTGGTAAGTATCTTTCCCTACATTACAAAGCTACCTGCCAACTCAAAGTAGAAATTTGATGCCGTTGTCATTGCATCCGGCCATTACCACACTCCACTTGTCCCTGATATCCCAGGTCTTGCCCAGGCGAAAGAAAAATGGCCATCGAAGATTACTCATTCCAAGTCTTTCAGAAATTCCGAAGGATTCGAAGGAAAGGTCAGCTGAACAGCACAAAATCTATCAACCCCCTTTACTGACATCAACACAGAATGTACTTCTGATAGGCGGCGGTGTGTCTGCAATGGATATCGCTCGAGAAATCAGCCCAGTTTCCCAAACAATTTATCAAAGCACCAGAGGTGGCGCATTTGACGTCCCCGCGGCGGCACTCCCTGCAAATGCCACGAGAATCGAGCAGGTCTCAAAATTTGAAATTCATGAAGCAGATGATCAAAACCAGCATCTACCAATAACTGTCCGTTTGAAGTCAGGTGAAACCCTGCACGATATCGATCGAGTTGTGCTCTGCACGGGCTACCTGATGACATTGCCGTTCTTCCCCCAATACAACAACAACTCTGTGTCTGTTACTGAGGCGGATAATTCGACACTAGTCACAGACGGAACGCAGGTCCACAATTTGCACCGAGATATTTTCTACATTCCCGATCCGACCTTGGCGTTTGTGGGTATTCCCTTCTATACTGCGACGTTCACATTGTTTGAATTCCAAGCTATCGCTGTCGTGGAGTTTTTTTCCGGAAATGTGCATCTACCATCAGAGACGGAAATGAGAGAAGAGTTATTGGAAAAGGTCCGTATCAAGGGTTATAGGCGAAGCTTTCATTCGCTCAAGGGGGAAGAAGAAATTTATGTGAATCATCTTCTTGCTTGGGTGAATAGCGAGAGAGACCAACGAGGTCTGTCACCGATTGAGGGACATACTGGCCCCTGGTATGAGGCAAAGGCGCAGCAGGTTGAGAGATTCAATCAGCTCTTTGGACTGTCTCTCAAGGTTTCCAACCCCAAAGTTGGCAGCCAGGTGGAAGTTTCAGCATAGATCAATGTACTCTTCACGTTTAATAATATCCAGATTTGAATATTCAGAGAGGAGTTCGGGAATAGCAAATTGCCGAAAATATAGAATCGAGAGTCTGCATATATATAAAATCACTTATAAAATATTACTTGAAAATGAGAATCAGCCTTTCAGATGTTCGCTCATTCAAACATTGAAGCACTTCCTGAGTACTCGTGTCTTTCGCCATACACACCACTCCGTACAACTGAGACAAAGGTCATCTTATGGAGACAAGTGGACCGAAATTATCGAGTCTCATCGCTGGAAGAAGAGAGTTGTTCCTTCACTCTTCCTTTGGTCTCGCCCTTATCCGACAGATGAGTCGGTGGTTACTGGCTATAGTCCCCCTTCTCCTTGGGCTTGGGATGATTGAGCACGTTGTATGTTTTCATGCTGGTCGGTAGTTTTGTAAGTATATCCAACCTCGAACATTTCTTCCTTCCATTTCCCCTTCGAGGTTTTGATAACAGTATGGGACCTGCCGGTCTTTGGGCCTTGGCTTTGAAAAAATAAAGCATTCTTCGGATATTCGCTGCAGTACCCAGCTCGCGGAATAGATCTCTCGTGGCTTTTTGTATTCTTCCGGGCAAAACCGGTGATTTGGGATAGGCGTGGACGCTACATTTGCAGCATCATTTATCCTGGGTACATTGGCCGGAATATGAGGAGGCGCTTTATGAAGACCTCTCTCAACATTGATGAGCAAAATCATCTCATGATTGTAGGCCATTCTGTTGGACGTGGAAGTGTCCGCGGCGTGGGTTTGATAGTTCTGCACAGATAGAGCTTAGTAGAGATACCTAAACAGACTTTGCACTAACACTGTACATAACTGACCACTTGTATTTGCGGATTGGGTGCTCGGTCAAGCTGATCCTTAGATTTGGAAGAGCTAAAGAGGCCCATGATGGAAGAATACTTGATGTCTCGTGAGAAAATAATTGTGAATATGGATATCACTTAAGAATAAACCAGCATACTAATACGTACAAAATAATCTTCCGCTTGCAGATAGCAGCACTTGAGGTGGCAACTGATAAGCCATAGTCGAACGATGTTCAACATCCGAAAATAGAAGAGTCTTGTGTGCATCCTATGAGTGATTAGCCCTGAATTTCATGAAACACTTCCTAAGTCAGGCTGCAGCGCCAGCCAATAGTTTTATACTTGCATTTGTAGACCTTAGATGATCTTCGACTTATCATAGCTGAATTAAAAAATTTCATATGTTCCCCTAGGCGCTAAGTCTCGACTCTCGATTGAAGTGGGGATATTTATTAGAAATCAGACTTCGATTATTTCCTCCTTCGAACTGATCTTCAAATTAATCAAAAGCAAGAATATATCGCGCTCGCTTAATGTGTAGATTTGGGTTGTGCCTCAGTCAGCTGGTCCCTCGACTGTTCCCCGGCCTAGCAGATCTTGATAAAATTGATCTACTGCAAGTGTTTGAATAGACTCGGAGTAACCAACAATTAAAAGAATCATATCTTGATCTAAAGTTCCAAAATTACGATTTTCATCAAACATGCACTCGGGTTTCGACCAGGAACCCGTCCCGAACGGCGAGTATGAGTACGCTTGCACCACCACATTCAGCGGGGTATCAGTCTTCAACATTCTACAAGAATTCATCCAACCCAGCAGTGGGACATCTCTTGATTTCTTGGTCTGGGGGATCCTCGGCGTTGTTCCAGATGCAACTTTGTCCACAGAGGTGTATGTTGTCGGCGAGATCATCTTAGAGATCGCCGGGCCGATCCCAAATTACTATCCTTCGTAAATCAAGCTCATGCATGTAATGAAGCGTCTCATGAACTCATCCAAATTCCCGACTGCACTGAGTGCGAGTTGATTCAGTGTTGAAGACTCATCCCCAGATACTAATGTTAGATAATAATTGATGGATAGTGAGGGTGCTCGCATGGTCAGCGATTCAAAGAGATGCTCATAGACATTTAGAAGATTGTGTTGACACTGGGCCCCTTCCTCATTCCAATGTTTTTTAATCGTAGATTGAAGTGCGAACCGGCACATATCCTTGAGAGTGGCCAAATACCTGCACATGCATGCCACTCCTACCATCAGCCCTTGGCCCATGGTACCGCTCAAGTGATGAGAATGCTGCAACTGGTGCTCGACAAGAGATTACTGCCACGTGAAAGACCAGCTAAGGGCGAACAAGATCAGCGGATCATTGGGCAGCTCAGTTCATTTTTTGGGATGGCCAAGAACTGTTCCAGCGTGTTCTTGCCCCGTTTATATTTTGATGACGATGAGCCAGGATTGAAGTCAATACTGAGGCATTGTGGGCGGGACGGCTTCAAGGAAGTCTTAGAGGAGAGTGTGTTGACGGAGAATTTAGAAAGATTGCTCGAACGCGGCGGGGTTGATGGATGCAATCGAAGAGTGGATGAAATTCTAGGATATCAAGAGGTCAGATAATAGGAATTACATACCGGGTTGGGTTTCTTTGTTCGATTTTATCTCTAGTTCAGGCTCCGTATCTGTCACCTTTCTTTGTAAAAATGGCGATCATCATCGACGCCCGAGGCTAACAGACTAGCTGTGCGAAGAGAGCACGGAGATCTCCGCTATCAGGAGCGTGTCTGAATAAAAAATATGCGTGGGGATTGAGGCGCTGCAAGCAGACAATCCGTATCTTTGTCGCATGTAACACGCCAAAAGATGCCAAATCGAGTTAGAAAGCAAGCTAGGGTGTGACAACAGGGAAAAGTTGCATTTCTCCTTGAATGTGGCAGAACCTGTTGACAATAAGTACACGCAGTCAATAAATATGTCCTTCTCCTTTATACCCAATACTTTATACAGTTCGGTATGTATATATATCAAAACCATCAATCAGGATTCATTAGTCTAACGGTTTCTTCTATCCGTGAGTCAAAGCTCACTACCAACCCGCCGATCATAATGCATGCAGTGGTCGTCTTTGAGTGGCGGGAAATGACCAATGGATATTCGAGATCATCTTGACTGAACATGCAGGTAGTCTCCAAATTGGGGTTACAGTGGCCCCACTGTGTCATATCTGATTGACTGAATGGAAGATGCCATTTTTCACCAAATCCCGCAGCCAGAGAGGTCACAAACGGAACGATTTAAATATGCCTGGACATCATTATGATGAAAAATGCCTCATTTCCTGAGAATATAACTCCGTGTCAGAGGAAAGAGCTCGGACCAAGCGCTTGTGGAGGAGATAATCTCCCGGACACTAGGAAAAGTTCCCCTCCTTAGCGGTTTGGTGACTTTGGAGAAATTCAATTTAGATTGCCCCGCTGATCGATCCGGAATGACCCGTCTTAGCGAGTGATTGGGCGTTCAGGTGGAATCTAGCAGCCGATACAAAAATAGATCCAGGGGCTCTCGAGTTGACTGATTTTTGGAATTGACAAGGCATAGCTAATATTGGATTAAAGGGCTTTATTTGCTTGTTCCTGCGACACGTTCAATATATTCCTTTCTCCCTGGGAGTTTCACCGAATCTTGACTTAATCAAATGACCGTTTGCCAGTTCTACTATACTTTCCCGCTGTACACCAGGTTTGAAGTCTTGATTGAACGGAAGGAAGTTTGTGGGCCCACTAGGCCGTGAGATCCAGTTACTCCTTTAACTCGCCCCAGATCGATTCAGAATTAAAATCACAACGTTGAAAGTGTTCAATTCAACGAGGGAATACAGAAAAAATTGCTTTGTTAGCTAATCCATGTTTTGAATCATAATCGCCATGTCAAGATGCTTGAAAATTACACAAAAAGCCATCCGAAACGCTATAAAATCGAAAATCTCGGAGAGTCTTGTCGGATGCTAAAATTAAATACATCAACACAGGTCCAGAATGGTTCTCTCCACTCTATGGTCAAAGCCCCCACAGTGACTATTGGCAGACCAACTCGAGGGAAACCAATCGCTAGATTACCTGTAACCAGAGAATTGGCGCAGTGGAGGCTGTGATCGAGGAGGGACTAACCAGCCATTCTCGGCTTGTTGAGGGGCGCGCATCTCTCCTTTGGTGGAGCTGATGGTGCATTTCTCGCACTCACTCGAATGTCTGAGATGAAAAATTTGTTAGCAAGTAGATGCTAAATCGAAATTTTTCGTTTTCACCTTATCAACGTGTCCAGTCGTGTAAAGCGAAGGTGACACCCATTACAAGCGTGTTTGCGAATACCGCGGTGGACCTGAATCTTCATCAGCATCAACGCGCAGGAGAGCTCTCGTTCTGCTCACGTTGTTGATATGCCTCTTGAGATCGGCATTCCGTCCGAATGATTTATTACATTCATCACACGGGTGGGATCGCTTAAAATTGGGATCGTGTCTCTTTTCGTGCTCCACGCAATTCGATCGCCGAGTGAAAGTGTTCCCGCAGATACGGCAAGGGTATCCGGGGCGCATTCTTCTCTTGAAGTTGGAAAGCATAGCCGCGTTAGGAGCTTGGGTAGACCTGTCCAAAGTGGAAGTAGATCGATAGTCGTTAAGACTCGCGGAATAAAGGCTGTTTGCATAGTCCGGCACATTTGCTGCAGGGTGGTAGTATGTAGGAGCGACCGGTAAAGCGTCAAGCGTCAATGTCGGGGCGTTGATAGTAGCGCACCCCGAGAGCCATTGCGTATTCCAAAGACCTCCCGCGCAACTAGCAGCAAATGGCACGAAATCAGGTGGTGTTGTCGGCCCCGAGCACGCGGATGCCCAGTAGCCTGGCATGCTACCAGGTAATGTTGTGGGGGGGGAACCCATTTCAACGGGAGAATAGTAGCCTGGGGAAGCGCTCATGGCATGCGCCTCATAGCGTGTTGGGGATATGGCTTTTGGTAAGCCGTAGCCGCCGTAGCAGAATGGGACTTGACCAGAATAGTCCATGGTCTCGAACTGAGGGTCCAAGCCGCATCCTGTGATGCCCAAGCCAATCGATGTGGGGAATCTGGGTACGTGAGATGGTGTTATGGGAGCGGGTGACAAGTATGGGAATGTTGATTCCAGGGCGTGGGCATCCCCTGGCAAAGAAGGTACCATAGAAGTGCGACGAACCGATTCTGGAGTCTGATCCATGATAGTGACAAAGAGGACAAAAAAGAAGATAGGGTATCAAAACTTCTAGCCAGCCAATGCAAAGCGATATTAAAAGATCAATAAAGGTAGTGACAGTGTCAAGTATAAGTAAGAATAGGTTCAACAGCTAGGCTGTTGCACCTCAATAGCATACATGAGACTGTGGCTGAGGAACTACCAGCTTAATCGACACCGACTCCTGGGTGAAGATTCCAGACGTGAACAAGGCGGATTCCAAGAAGAAGAGGTTCCAAAATGCGGTGGGTACTGGCGGGAGAAAAATTAACGGCTGGGGGGTAAGAGGGGAGTGTCCAGACACAATCGATGGCAGCGCAAGTTAGCGCCGGAGGAAATGCAGATCAAGTTGATGTAGTGAAGATGTCATCCCCTTTCAGCCCTTTTTCGGACTAATCCTCCATAGGGCAGAATCATGCAACGCCCGGTCAAGGGTAGAGGTATTGAAAGAGAGATGAGTTCAGGCAAGTGACGAAACAAACCCCCGATTTCCTTATGAATAAACACGGCTTCAACTGCGGGTTGGGAAACGCTACCAATTTTTTGGGCTCGTCCGCCCAGTCGAATCACGTACCATCATTCAGGGTGACCAGTAATAACCACGCAAATGCAGCGCAAGAGCCCGGTATTCTGGTTCTAGGCTTGGCAATATGCAATGAAGACGGTGCATGATGGCCAATGATTTTCACAGCCCACCTTCGACACAGCCGCTTTTTGCTTTCTTGGATGGGAAAAAAGCGGAAGGAGAGATTTGATCTTTTTCAATTTCACAGACGTGACCATCACACTATGCGATACTGGCAGCTGAACGGCGGTGTGGGGCTGAAGTCGAGGAATTTGCAAGTTGAACATGTTTAGCTTGCAGATCTTGAAACTGCTGGGGGCGAAAAACCCCTGCCTGCGATTGGTGCATTAATGATAGGTGACTTCCTATTTCCATGAGATTTGTAATGTGACCACGAGAGTGTCAAATGGCCTCAGATCGTGCAATTCTTGTCAAGTATGTGGTCTTGCAAGCACAAGGATAGCTCTGACTGCGAAGCGATGACCGTCATTCGAGATCTTAATGCCTGAGGCATATTTTGTTTGCGACCCAAATAGGTCTAGCTCATCGCTATCCATAGTAACTTCAGGTATTCATTACTATCCTCCAATAGTTACCTCTTCATAATATACCTCACTGCACGGTGTAAAGAGAAATTACTTCCATTTTTCCTTTTCTCTTTCCGTTTCTCCTTCCTATATACCATATGGGTGACCCTCGTGGGCTACTTAACCATTTATCGCCTTCATCCCCGATCACATATACTTCACTTACCATCCTTCAGGTTATCATCATAGAGCCCAGTATCTTACTGAGATTCTGCCCGCGCATACGATCAGAGCACTTGAGAGTTATATGAGCCCGTGATTTTCATATAAGTTAGAGGACTCTCAACAAACCATCGACTTGCTTTTGAATGATTTCAATGAGCTCAACTAGGTAGTTATCACTCCCCCTCTGCTCTTGTACGGTGTGAATGCTCCGGGAATTCCAGCGCTGAGCAGTGCGGCTATCTGTTTCCTTCTCTCTTCGATCCTCTCTCTTTCCTTACCGCTCTATTCATACCTTTCCCCTGGATGCTGATTGGAATCCGGATATAGTCTGAATCAATTCGTTGACCGACCATACAGCCACGACATGAATTGAAACCCAAAATAGCAGGACTGGAGTGAAAGACTCACAGCTTGTTGTTCACACCATGGATAACCTCTCCTCAATAGAGGTGCTCCACTCTGGGATCAGTGGTGGAAAGGCCGGCGAGGTATTTGAAGCACGAGCTGCGCTTGAGGGTTCATCAGGAAGTATGGTTATCCATCTTTTCATGCTTCTTATCCAGGTTACACATACCATGACCCTCCGACAGGTATTCACTCCCCCCCCCCCTAAATTAAGTGACTTGTATTCATTGCGCTAGTACTTCCAACCCCTACGCCTCCTTCAGACTTTAACCTTTTCCACCCCCAAGCATATCCTAATGTCGGAAATAGGGCTTTACAGTAGGGTATCACCATGAAACACAAAAACTTTCTCTCTTTTTCGCCCACATAAAGAGTCTTATTTCGTCTATCTCAAGTCCTCTGCTAGACTCACCTCCACATACACAGTCTCCTTTCGTCTGCTTCAAATCTTTCGAGATATCACCTCAGTTCCTAGTCAAACTCGAAGTCAGAAGAGGACTAAAGAGCAGAAGGATGATCCAAAGAAACAAAAAAGTCCACGTAAACGGGCTGATCGCAAGGCAGAAGAGTAGATGGAGAGACAGTAATTTTAGATCAAGTAGCCTTCAAAAGCGATAAAAATCAGCTTGTAACGTTCAATATATCAAATTGTTATATATAGTAGTTAAAATCTCCGCGGACTTCAGCGTTCAGCGGGGAGAGGAAGATGTGCATTATGTGATGTCGAAGGAGCGTCAAAAGAAATACAATCACTTTATTTTGGGTGGGGAGTAAAATTTAAAAAAAAACCGGGATTGAATTTAGTAGTCCCCTTAGTAACTTGGACAATTCAACCAGAGCGGCTAGAGCTGTAGCTAATGTCAATAGGGGCAAGCAATATTATTTCATGCGAAAGAGCAACTGTGTCAGAGACAACCAAGGCACCAAAAGTGTCAAAGCATCTTTTACTCCACCCGGGTCTCCGTGGTCCGTTTCTCTGCTACACTTTCAGTCTGGATATCCGCCAGCTTCTCCGACTGAAACGCACCCGACTCCAGCTGACGAACATGCTGGAACTGGACATTGGTCTTCCAAGGACGCATTCCCGGGGTGGTGAACATGCTTTCTACTTCTTCCAGGGTCTTTCCTGCAGTCTCGGGGAAGCAGAAAAACACATGAACCGTCATCGCAAAGCAGAACACTCCAAACACCAGGTATACCTTCCATTTAATGTTCTCAAACGCCGGGGGCACGAAGTAGGACAGCGCAAAGTTGAAGATCCAGTTGGAGGCTGTGGTGAGGGCAACCGCCTTACCACGCAGACGCAATGGGAAGAGCTCAGGCGGATAGATCCAGCTGACGGGACCCCAGGTGGGGGCATAACTGGCAACAAACAGGTAGGTACAGGCAATGACTCCCTTTGCTGCGCCATGGGCGTCAGATAGATCCCAGGACTCCTCGGAGACATTTCCCACTCCACCGGGGGGTGCAGGCTTTCCGTAAGACGCCATAATTCCGGCGTTGGCAAACATGAAGGTCATCATCAGGGTCGATCCCACCAGAAGGGGAGTGCGACGACCCCAACGGTCAATGAAGAGCAAGGCCAAAATTGTCATGACGACGTTAATCACGTATTGAATGGAGGAAGCGACCAAGTTGGCATTTCCCGAGAGACCAGCCATACCAAAGACGTAGGTGATGTAGAGCATCATGACATTCATGCCCGTCAGCTGGGACCAGATCTGGGTGAACATGCCGATATGGGTGCGATAGACCATGTGGCCCTTGAAGAGCTCCAGGTAAGAAGCATCAACGTTCTGGCGCTCAAATTCCACCATGTCACGGATCTCCTGCAGCTCAGTCAAGACAAAAGGAGCGCTTGTATCCCCTTTGGCGTGAACCAACGCAAGCACCTGATGAGCTTCTTCCCAACGGTCATGCTTGGCCAGCCAGCGAGGGCTCTCAGGCAGGATGAAAAACATGAAGAAAAGAAAGACGGCAGGAACCATCTGGAGACCCCAGGGAAGCCGCCAGGCAGCAGGGCCTGTGAGGAAGCTGCTTCCATAAGAGATGTAGAACATGATCAGAATACCCCAGGTGATGGCCCATTGCTGAGCTCCCACAACCTGGCCACGCTTGCTGGGCTGAGCCAGCTCGGCGACGTAGACGGGAACCTGGGCACTGAGAATTCCGACCGACAGACCGTTGATAAATCGACCGGCAACGAGTTGACCGATACTGAAAGAAGAGCAGACGATGGCACTTCCAATACACCAGATGACGGAGCCGCTCTGGATGGCTCGTTTCCGACCCAGATAATCCGTGACGAATCCGGAGATCAGAGCACCAACAAAGGAGCCACCTGGCATGGCTGCGGAGATACCACCCTGGGTGGACGAGGTTGGGCCACCACAGTCTCCAGCACTATTGCGACCGGTCTGGTTGAAGAAGCATTTGTACTGTTGAGTGCCAAGACTGTGGATTCAAAAATTGACTGGGTCAGTGGAGATGATCTAATGTGGAGTCTGGAAGCTCTGGGGATTGTAGATGATCCGAGGAACGTATGTGGAGTCGAACAACTTACATTGCTGACATGGAAGCAATATCAAAACCGAATAGTGCACCGCCAATGACGGCCACCGCGGTGATAAGGTAGATATTTCCGACCACGTACCCCATGATGGGTTATTGAGAGGGATCTGGCCAGATAGAGTGTGTGTCAAGGGGAAAGTGTTAAAAGCGATAGAGAATAGAAAAGGGAAGGAACAAAGGAGACATAAAAGGAACCGGCAAATACCAGCATTTAAGAAAACATGGGGTACATGCGGGGGAAGACTGGAGAAATCTAGTGAACTAGTCAATAGGGTCCAATTACACTGACTTTACTGAATTAAAGTCAATCAATTCCCTATCTCGGTCTTAGCGTATGCAACTCCACGACCCTGTCAGCGCCACATGGTTTCATTCAATCCTACCTTTGGTGACTTTGTCCATACCCAACCATTTGAAGTTTTCTCTTTCTTTGACTTCAGCTTTGAAGTTTGAACTTCTCCTGTTCTGCTGCTCAACGGTCCTCCCCAAATAGGTCACACAAAGTATTTGCTGGGTTCCCCGGAATTGACATCTTGGCAACATTCTTTTTCCCTTACCAACGCGGGAAGGGCTTGGACCATCCGAAACCCCCAGGTTGCCAAGCCGGTGAGTTTTCAATCTTGCTTGGACGTGCGCTCGGCTCCCCGACATCTCTCCTTTTGGTTGGAAAATATGTTGACCCGTCTACTCGACCCCCCGAATCTGTATGTGATCGACAAGAAAGAGAGTTTCACCACAACCTCGTCACCAAGCCTCCCGTTCCACTGGTGATCGCGTGGAGCTCGTATGGTATGACCCGAGCTGCAACTCAGCACGAGACGGCTGTTTACAGATCGATGGATCCTATCAGTGGCGCCGGACGCCACCACATCCTTCCTTGCTTTTATGGTACTGACCAGCAGCTCATCAATCCATCTCTTCAATATACCCTCGGGGTGGGATTCATTTACCCATTTCGCCCCTTTTCTCTGGGGGACCCAAATATTACGCTCAGGCGGTCCTGGGTCTGACCCATGGAATCAACGTTCGTAGCGTGAAACAAAGGTCAGATGTAGAGCGAAAGCCGGTGCCATGATTGATAGAATTACAACCATAACTTCCGTTCATTCCGAACACCGCCAATCAGGGCCAAGAACTTGGTCCGGTCCAGAAACAGTTGCGGCTCAGACCGTCTTTCTCGGGTGTAAGCATACCGAGTTGACGCTTTGTCTTCTTTTCCCCTTCTTTGTTATTTCCCATTTGGTCGATTTCGACGGAGATCAAGGCAGAAAGACCGGAAATTATAGCACTAGACAGGATCGATGCACTTGAACCTCGTACTCGGAATATTTATCTGTCCCGCTCTTTATTACTCTGTTCGTAAGGGTCTTCTTGACTCGCCAATATTCCCAGGGTGTCCCTTGGAAATGAGTTGCGAAGGTGCAGATGAGATTAGCCGGTAGCCGAGTAGTAATCATGATTGAATTGGAAATTTATCGGCTGGTGCGCTGCACCAGATGCCTTTCAATTTATTTATTATTCTTGGCAGCTGGCCTGCCATCCAGGGAAAGAAAGGGCTACATGGTAGCGTAGAAACAGAGGAAAGGGACAAGATATTCTTTCCGAGAGGGATAGAGGAGAGAGAGAGAGAGAGAGAGAGAGAGAGATCTACATGGCCAAGACATGCACGCGCGGGCAAACGGAGGGGGTCAGCTGACCACATACTCCTATATTGAGATCTACTATTTTTACTATAAATATATGCTAGGACACGTATACAGAAAACAATGAGTATTTCTTATTAATAATGCAACTAATCGTCCTATTATTTATCCAGGCTCAAATGCGTCCTTCGACTTTCGACAAACGGAAGAACAAACGGAAGAAAGATATCGAGCTCACTTGGACCGGTCGTGTTCAGAAGGCGCGATAGCGAGGCGGGCATACCATACTGAGGAGCCTGCTTGAGCTACGAGGATGGATCCTGTTCCTGAATTGGTGTTCCTTCTTCCTCTCCGATATAGTCCCTCAACTGCGCTATAGGAAAGTGAATCTCACCAGACTCGTGAATATAAGTCAATGGATTCTCTGCGTTCGTTGCCCCATTAACGGACTAAGATGACAAAACTGTGTCAACAAAATCTCGAGCTAATGTCTTAACACGTATCATATCTACGAACCCGTCTTGTGATCTGAGATCAGGAACACATTTCATCGCACGCGAGCAACGAAGGACGGCGTTGGTCAGGTCTGTGCTCGGAGCTGTCGAGCGACAATGCTGGATGCGCGATAGATTGTAACGGGGATCTTGTAGGTGGAGCTGACAGTCTCTAGCAGGACTTCACTGACCCATTTGGAGACAAGATAACCACTGCTGCAAGTCTCTGGCGTAAGAGTCCGGATAGATGCCGAGGGGAAGTCCCTCATCCCCGGAAGATGAGCAGGGGCCACAGTGGAAATATAGTTGTCGGCAGCTGATCTGCTGTCCAGGGGAAGAAAGGGCTACATAGTAGCGTGGAAACAGACGAAAGGGACAAGATCTGTATTTCGAGAGGTATGGAGGAGAGAAAGAGAAAGAGAGAGTGTGAGATCTAGCTAAAGACATGCAAGCGCTGATAAACGGAGGGGGTCAGCTGACCCGACCCCATATACTCCAATAATAGTGGATAGAAATTCGGTGAATGATGGCCCGAGAGGCCAATTGACGAGTTGATAGGACATTTGTAGAGCGAAGAGCCGCATAGTCCTTGGCGTAGGAGACATCCGCTTCGCAGTGGATACTTGCGTTGCATGTAGAGACCCATTTTAGCAGAGAGGTTCTGTCCAAGCCGAGCCCTGGTTCTCTAAGATCTCCTGCACGTATGAAAACCTTGTCTAATGAGGAAACTTGGCGCTTGGGCGATTGCGGACTGCAACGCAGTGATGTCTCTATATTAGAGCTTCTGATGGGATGGCGCAGGATTTCATTTCCTAGAAAGCCGGTGGCACCCGTGAGCATGACGATCATCGGTGCTGCAACTTCCTTCACGCAGTGTGTCTCCTGGGGTTGTATTGAATTGAAACCATTCAAATCTGCGTTCAAGCAGCTTCGACTACCCAGTTCACTTCTGATATGACTGAAGAATCCCGCAGGTCTTGACAGATGTCCTCGAGGCTGCGATTCTGTATCAAGTCCGATGCCCTGATAGACATGCCTACAGCCTTAGCTGCTGTTACAGTCGTCATGGCTGTGATCGAGTCGCCACCCAAATCAACTAATCCGTCTTCTGCGCCACTTTCAGACGCTTAGTGCGAAGAGTTCTGGCCCAAGTTTCTGGAACACGGCGTGCATAATCACTCGTTACTGGTCTCTTTGCACGAGAGGCCACTAGGTCAATCGAGACTTGCTCTCTCGACAATGCAGATACTAGTAACTTGAGACGACGTTTGTCGATTTTATCGGACATCGTCGTCGGGAAGCTATGAACGTGAAAAAGACATAGGGAATCACGAAATTTGGCAAGACCTTACACAGGCGCTCACGGGCCGTGCGAACGGCATCCCTCCAGGATGGCTGGCGGTTGACAAGTGCAGAACTTGATGTGTGCTCATTGCCCTCCAGTTTGATCCACGTGACAAGTTGGGGTTCCATTTGTCCCTCAACCAGGCTAATCACGCCTACAACGGCATCGGCAGCATCTGAGATTAAATTGCGGACATGGTGCTCCACCTCACCCAGCTCAATGCTTTGCCCGCGCAATTTGACCTGTAGGTCCTTGCGACCAACATATTGCAGTGAGCCTTGAGGAGTGAACGATATCACCCGTTTTGTACACGCGACTGGGAGTTGGATGAACCAAGTTTTGGCGAAACGCACGTAGCCATGCCGGTGGTTCAATGAATGATTGTGCAGTTCGTATGGTCGCATTCAAATAGCCGCGGCCTACGACCGGTCCGATGTTTTTGCGTGGGGCGCAGAGGAACAACAAGGCAGCGCAAGGAGTTGCTGCGTGCCGTGTCTTTCATTGCCCTGAAAATCTCTATCCCAGAAGAAGGCATTTTAATGCGAGATGATGTTGGGTTGGGATCTCGTGGAGTCGTACTGAGATATCGACGAATTAGATGGTTGAGATAAGAGAAACTTGCAAGGAATGGATGGATACTTTCACAGAAAGCAATAACTCACTCGGGGTCATATTTCCGCTGCCAATATGAGGAAGAAACTACAGATGTGCATGAACTTAGTGAAGCTCATTTTACGCCTTTGTTGATCTTACACAGTTACCGTCTTTTTGTCATCCAAACACGGTAGTGGATCGAGTATCCTGTGGTCTTTCAGCTGCAAGCTCTGTCTATATGTAATGCAAAATTGAAATCTTGCGCTCTATGATATCAGCGGGCCTGAAGATCTGACCTGTCCACGATGTATCGGTGAATAGATCTGCTATTCACTTGTATTATGATTTGTGCTTTTTTTCGGAATTGACTGAGACATCGGGTTATATGAGAAGTGGCTGGGTGAACATTTGAAAGTATTAGTGTTCAGCTGCGTCAAGTTCGTCGTGCCTTAATCAAACATTTGAAATAGCAATTGCTAGAGAGGCGGTATTATGCTGTATCACCTAGCATTAAATCTACTACTTGGAACATACTGTGAAAAAGTACGGAGGACCAGAAAAGCTAATCTGGCACTACGTAGTATGCATCATGCATAACACCTCATGTGGTCAGGCGGTGTTCCAGGGTTCTGCACGCTAGGGATCCTGCCAGTATCTACAGGACAGGGCAGTCTGACCGGATGACTCGTTTTCTCTAAAGCGCGATAGAATGAAATCGCGGCACGTCCGTTGCCCGGCCGTAGAACTTTTCCAACTTGACCAAAAAAATTTCCGTCCCTGGCCCTTGGTGGTAAAGTGCGCGATGGAGCCAAGGGACAGAATCAACAAATCAACAGCACTTGTTGGCTGCGTCATCCCCGCCAAGGCTGCTTCAAGTTCCAACGCAGATTCGAGCGTCCAAATCACATTATCCACGGATTAACTTTATATTTGATACCGTCAGATTCTCTATTATTTCAATCATGCGGCGCTTATGCAAGGACCCACATAATATAGGCAGGGAGCGTGGGGCGATCAATCATGCAGATGACAGAATCAGATCTCCTTACATCGTTCTACTGCGTACACATCACTTCAGCTGGCCCATAATGCAGCCCGTGGTGGGGCAACGAAGCATGCTGAGATTCACCCTGCTCCATCGACCTCGGTGAACCATCGCTTGAGGCTGAGTGGCGGGAATCCAGGCTCTTCCCGGCACACGACCGAGTGGGTTGCATGCTACAAGCGACTGTGAGTGCTGTTGCACAATATATATTGATGTCCCCGAGGCACTAGCCATTTAAAACAGCACTATTTTACACTATTCAAGGATCACAATGCCTTCAGTCGCGATGTTTGAAACAGTATCCGCGCAGCTGAAGAATCTTTCTGGACTTGAAACCTCAATCCCGCACTTGGCCTGGGCACTCACGCTCTATCTGTTCACCAGCGAAAAAAAATGTTCAATTTCAACTATACTCGCAAGGGTCTGTTCGAGCACTCGATATCCCAATTGATACCGAGAAGATCGCATCGGAGGCCCTGGTAGAGATCCGAAGCCTCCTTAAAACTGCCTGTGTCGATTGTGACCCGGTTGCGAGGTCGAGCGACTGGAAGTCCAGGAGTCTTTTAGATTTGACGATTACGAGGCCCTCTGAACAGGACGGAACTGGGGCGACAGGCCCAGATTTGGTGTCCCCGATGATATTAAGATGCAACTTAGCAGAGAATTCGACTGAAATTGGCGTCATTGTCGGCACTAGAGGACCCTCTTCATGGCAGGCACAGCGAATGATGTACCAATTCAGCCACCTTATGAAACAGCTTCAATGTTTCCCAGAGAGATATATTGTGGCCTTACTCAGTCTGTGTCCCGAAGATCATTCCTGGATTGATATTCGAAATGGACCAATGCATCCATTGAGTCGAATCGAGATATGCATTCATGATCTGATCTCATCCCATGTTGCGGCACAGCCTGAGAGCGAAGCCATTTGCGCCTGGGATATCAAAATGACATATAGTGAGCTTGAGGCACAAGCAAGGGCACTCAGCCTTCGTTTGGTCCAGGCTGGGGCGGGTCCAGAAGTCGTGGTGCCAGTGCTCTTCGAGAGGTCTGGTTGGACACCAGTCGCGATGCTTGCTGTTCTCTATTCTGGCGCTGCGTTTGCCCTCTTCGATCCATCATTCCCCGATGGGCGGCTGAAGACGATGTGCAGTGATATTGGTGCCATGGTCGGGGTTTGCTCTCCTCAATATGCCTATCGCGGTAAATCCATTGGGCTGCAGCAAGTTATCACTCCAAGGATCACTGTTTCGAAAGCCTCAGATATCATTCTGCCCCGAACTGTTCGTCCGGGTAACATGGCAATTCTTGCCTTTACATCTGGCTCTACAGGCAAGCCGAAGGCCACTGTGATCGAACATGCTGCGTTTAGCACAAGTTTAATAGCAATTGCAAAGAAAATGAATTATCTCCCCACCTCACGCGTCCTGCAATTTGCATCATATGGGTTTGATACCAGCATTTCGGAGACTCTCGGGGTGTTGATCGGAGGCGGGTGTGTTTGTGTACCATCGGAACAAGAACGCCAGCAGGATCTAGGGGGCGTCACGCGACGTCTCAATGTCAATACAACCTTTATGACACCTGCGGTCTTACGAACATTCAACCCTGATGATTTTCCAACCATATCAACGGTAGTCTGTGGAGGCGAAAAGATTGCCATGAATGACATCCAGTCATGGGCCGAGAAAAAGACCGTTGCCAATATCTACGGCCCTTCCGAATGTAGCATTGGCTCATCATTTGCGTCGAGCCTTTCCTTCACACCAGATACGGCGAATATAGGGTACCCAACCGAGTGTTGTCACTTCTGGGTTGTGGATCAGGATGACACCAACCGGCTAGTACCTGTCGGTGCTGTCGGAGAATTGATCATTGAAGGTCCCAATGTCGGCCGTGAATACTTCAACAGACCCGAGCAGACTGCGCAAGCGTTTTTTCGAAATACACCCTGGATTCGTCCGTTTCGTACGTCGCAGTGGTCCTTTTATCGCACAGGTGACTTGGTGCAAATGGTATCAGACGGATCATTTCGCATACTGGGACGGAAAGATAACCAAGTCAAGATCCATGGGCAACGAATTGAGCTCGAGGAAATTGAACATGTCATCCATGATGCATTGCCAGAGTCTCAGCGTGTGATCGTGGCCGTTGTGAGCCGCACATCTCCCGTCCTCGTTGCCTTTCTCTTGGGAATGAATGGGGATACTTGTGAGAAGGAATCGGCCAAGTCGACGTTCCTCAAGCCTTCGAAAAGTTTCCAACATGCGTGTCGGGTTGCTGTCGCTACTCGTCTCCAGAGGGATTTACCGCAATTCATGATTCCAAAACTGTGGATCCCATTGGACAAGCTGCCACTCACACCGAATGACAAGTTGGATTTTCGTCTACTATCAGCAGAGGTGGCACAATTCTCGTCGGAAGAGGCGTTCGAGTATGGTCTCTCCATGGGGAATCGCCGTACCGTAGCTCATGACGAGATGGAAAATCGAATTCAGAGCTTGGTTGCGCTGGTGCTGGGTGTTGAGAAGCAGCAAGTTGCTCTAGATGCGAGCTTCTTTGCCCAGGGAGGCGATTCGCTGGCTGCAATGAGAATATCCGCGTTGGCCGGCAAAGAGAACATCGAGCTAAGCCCACTTGCCCTTCAAGAGGCGGAAACGATAGCCAAGTTGGCTCAAAAGCTTGACAAAGAAAAACAGAAACTTGGTTGCAATGAAAAATGGGCTCCTCAGTTCCTTCAAGATACCGACGGCACTGTCCTGAAGATGCTCTCGTGCCAATTTCCGGGAATAGGATCCCTGAATATCCAGCATATTCTTGCCGGCACTGAAATGCAGGGGTACTTTCTCGATCTGCCGTGTGAATATTTTCGATTAAATCTTTGCGGATCGCTGGATATCTGTCGATTAAAGTCAGCCATCAAATCGCTCCACGAGCGACATGAGATCCTCCGGACTGTTGTGTTTGGTAGCGACACACCGGGCAGAACGTATCAGGTCATCGTACGGGATTTCGAGCCTCAACTTGAGATCCTTGAGAGTACCGAACCAGCAATTGAGGTTGCTGGCCGATGGATTGTCAACGACAATGAGATGACAAAAAGGAGCATGCGCTCTTTATGGCCTCCCGCTCGATTCTTTCTTGCCATGAAGGATGATGACACGCGTGAAAGCTCCCTTGTTGTTGGAATTAAGCACACGCACTATGACGCCGTGTCCATTATAACCTTATTTAGCGATTTGGCTACCTTCTACGAGCACGGACCAGATTCATTGCCGCCGGCCATGACTTTTGGCGAATACCAGGCCTTCGCGGCATCTCTCCCAATGAGCGATGCCATGGATTTTTGGCAAGAGACCTTGCGTGGTTCATCGCTATTTGATGTGGGACGTTGTCGAGTCCTCTCGCGTTGCCCAGTAGTGGATACAAGTCGTGTCATTCCCTTAGTGCAGCCACCTCTGGGCATCACGCTAGCTACAGTTGTAAAGACTGCCTGGGGATTGACCCTGGCACACCAAGCTGGTAAGGATGATTGCGTATTTGCGCAATTCGTTACTGGTCGTTCCCAGGGTCCGACTGGTATCCAAGAAGTGGTCGGACCGTGCGTGAACAGTATACCTGTGCGGGTTTCGTTGGCCGGAGAAAAGCCAAATCTATCGGCAATGGAGGTGATGGAGGCAGTACAATCGCAACACGTTGAGTCGCTGTTCTATGAAACCATCGAGTTCACTAAGTTGGGAGATCAATGCACGGAATGGGGCTTGGATGCCTTGATCGAGACATATATTATGCATCAGAATATCACGCCTGATAACGAATATCGTCTTGGGGAGGCAGTTGGCAAGATGGATATGATTTATCTGGGGGATTTAACGGATGGATTTGTTCTCTATTCTGTTCCCCGCGTCGAGGATCATGAATTCCGCCTCTCGATTCCCGAAGGAGTGCTTGATCTCGCCACAGCCAGCCATTTGGTTACAGAGACGTGTTACTGGGTGCAGACACTCGTAGCGCATCCGAACACGTCTGTCGCCGAATTAAGGACTCAGAGAAAGGCTGACATGGATTCCGCAATGAACTGTGAATAATCGTGTCAATTGGTTGAACCTCTGGTTTCATCTGCTCCATGGCCGCTGTGGCTGGGAGCTGTGAGGTATTAAGTTGAGACCACCAAGGAGGCATTCCAGCACCACATCAAGTAACGATTCCTTCAAGTAAGGAAGGACCAAGCGCGGAGCCCGCACGAAGCAATTTGTCATGTCACCTGGTCCTCACGAGAATCACTTCACATGAGCTGTAACGCTACTCGATAGAGGAATATTATACAAGTACTATTTCGGTTCATATTCAAGATACAATATGGTAGGACAAAGACATAGATTGTACACCACTTCTGGAATATAGTGTGCAGTTGAAAATTGGCATGCGAGTTGGATCATCCAATCGCCCCTTTATCACTAATGATTGATGCCGACAGAATATTGTAAAATACAAATAAAGACTGTTTTTCATAAATATCAATAAATTAATTGAAAGAAGATATGACAGTATAGTACAATGAGATTATTTATCCAAATAATTTTTCCTTAATGCTCTCTGTTCACTTGAATCGAATAAAGAACCGTACCACCCCCCTCCCCCAAAGCAGTTGCCAATTTTTCACCTCGATGCGTCACCTGTACCCGTAGCAAAATCATTTAGCAACTTTACCTTCGGCAAGATATAGCTTCCGGCGCTGAAAAGAAGGGATCGAGGTTAGCCACACATTTCCACCAACTTCCACACGCGGCTTTATAACGTACACTCAAGGAAAATGAAAGAATAAACCCAAATGCGGAGACAGCAAGAGGATAAATGAAGACCCGTCGGATCGAATCAGTAACTTGGTCAATAACAGCTGATTGTTGATTCGAGCGCAAACTCTGGAAGACAGAGCCACTGGTCCCAGCGGTGAGTTCGCTTATGTCGTTGGTGCTGTACCCTGGAAGAACGCTGCTGATTTTATTGATAACGAGATTCTGGAAAACAGCTCCATCGATACAGAGAGATGCGAGAACGCCGCAAATTTGAGCTTTTGTCACCCGAAAATATTAATCAAAGGAAGGCAATGCTCGGATAGGACAGGTCATTTACCAATAGTCATGAGGCTCACAGGATTATTCACTTCAGTCGGTGCAGCAATTGCTGACGCGACAGCAACGCCGGCGCTCTGGAAGCAGCCGACTCCAACACCAATGAGAAAGGTGTATCCATATATGCGTGCTGGAGAAGTACCCGAATTAATAGTGACTGTTATGTTGCGAGGGAAAAGCCCCTAATGTCAGCACGGAGTTACGCTCTTGGATTTCTCGGTAAAGAGATGTGCTTTCTCACTTACCCATGAGAGCAGAGCCGATAATGATAACGGCATTGCCAAAGACATACCACGGCATATAGTATCCAAGCTTTGGCATAAAGGTCGCATTCAAGAGGGCGAAGAAAACCAGCGCGCAAATGAGTGGAAGCATGCGCACACCACCTTCGAGGGGACTGTCGGACCTAGTAACCTGGAAAAGCAGTGGGACATAGTAAATGTATGTATACATCGCACCTGCGACGATAGCACTCTGAATTGGTAGCGTAATGAGGTCGGCAGTGCGCATAAATCCCAATGGCAAGAGTTTATCTTCCGCCGACACCCCTGGGTGAAATATGGTCACGAAAATAAAGGCAATCAGAAGCACTCCAGTCATGACGAGGAGAGCAATTTCGGAACCGCTGCTCCAGGCGTATTCCGTGCCACTAAAACTGAGAGCCATACTCAGACAGGTGGCCCCAGCCAGGAACACGATTGTGGCAATCCAATCTAGTGAACGGAGTCTCTCTAGGAAGGGCTTGTTCGGCTGTGGCCTGATGGGCGGTAAGCAGATGAAATAGGCGGGTGCGAACAGTGCTGCGATAGGGAGGTTGATGTAGAAGCCCCAGCGCCAGGAGGCACTGCTCTGGGCAAAGGCGCCTCCAATAATAGGACCAAGAACGCAACCGATGCCCCAGACACAATATATTCCAGCCAAATAAAGTGGACGCTCGTGATCCGTCGTAAGCAATGCAACGAAAGTAAGTCCGCCTACATAGACGCCGCATCCTTCAACGCCGGCAATAACGCAACCGACAATAAGCGCGTCCATTGTGGGCGCCGCGCCACAGACCGCACTCCCGATTTCAAAAATCATCAAACAAGAGATAAAGAGCCATTTGATGTTGAATCTGCCGACGGCCTTTCCACTGAATTTTCTGAGTCAATATCGCTTTGTCCATGACCCGAGGAGAAGGATTTGTGGCTTACAGTGGTAGAATAGCGGTATCTCCCAATATGAAACTCACTCCGATCCAGGAAAGATCACTCTCGGTTTCGAAGGTCTCAACGATGGAAGGTTGAAGGGTTGCGACCTATAATGAGGCTTGTTAGGGCAAAGCTCTGAGAGACACGATTGACGCCCTAGTATGATGCTCACGATTGTTCCATCAAGGGCGAAGAGAAAAACTGTAGACAACACTGACGCGTAGGCAAAGAACCACTAGTTGATCGGCCCGGAATATGCAGTTAGCAGGAGAGGTTCTTGACAAAGTATGGCGCCGTGTCATAGAGGATCCAAATACCTTCAAACCAGTGATGGACCCTTTTTGTGCTGGTGCAGGGTCATCGCTTGATGTCCCATTTTCCAAACTGTCAAGTCTCTTTTCCCCCTCTGCTGACAATGAGGCCTCAGATGTCCGTCTATTCTCGCCCTTCAATCTTTCAGGTTTGCAGTCGGGCGTGTTTGTTCTCACTGTCATCCTGTCGGCGGTTTGATGAAATATTTATGGGGCGAACTGTGCTGTCAAGTGAATTATTTGGCTGGATTTCTAAATTATACAGAGGAAAAATCCACAGAACCTTAAGAAATAGAACATGTTATAAATTCAGACGGTTTCTCCCCCTGGAGCCAGCATATACAAGCAGAAACAGATCTTCCCGAACTTGGGTGGGGCTCGGGCCTGGCTGCAACAGCAACACGATCTTCCTTATGATGTGGATCCACTTGGAGACAGACTTTGTTGATCTTTGCACCGGCTACGAGAAATTTGATCAGCCATTCGGGCCGAAGCTACAAACGAAGTGTACCGAGCTGGACGTCTGCGCTGGGGTAATGGTCGCTAAATTATTTCCTGCTCTGAAACACTTACCCGTTCCACCATCCCGGCACGAGCCAGAGCCCGGGGAATGGCCCCCACCACGGCCCGAGCCGCTAATACCGGCGCCTTATCGTGCCCAAAGTCGCCGCCGAATGGGACCGGTATATCTACTTTGCAGGATTTATTCACTCCATGTGCACCCTTCTAGTGTCAGGATTTCAGGCACTTTGTGGATGTGCATTCCTGGTCAATTATGTTGATTCTCTGCCCCAAGAAGAGATGGAAAAGGGAGTGGCTGGGTGGAATGTGTGGACCCGCAAAAGATAACTTGCGCAGAGGCGGAAACATGCATACGCAATATACGACTTTCAATTCCGTATGTGATGGCATTTAGGTGGCTTCGCTTTTTTATTCGCCCGGAAAAGAAACCTGCTGACAAGATGTAGTATATAGATGCACTTCAGGATGACCTGGGTGGGTTTCAACACCATCCGTAGAAGCAATCCTCAAGCTGAATGATTCCTACCTGCTTACCTGAGAAACAATCAAGGCTTCAAAAATTAAAACCGGCTTGAATTGTCCGATGAACCTGCCGGCAACGAAGAACGAAGAGTGTGCTATAAGTTGCAGGATGACTGTCGATACAGCAGGTGAAGCAACCTTGAAGAATTACCTTTTGGACCAACGGGCTAGTCAGCAATAAAATAACATTTGAGCTATTTTCAATAAAGAATGGCACTGATCTATAGCAATATCTCAAAATTAGTATTGGGCCTTCTGTTTCTTTTTCACCCTTGCACCGTATTTAACAAAATACATTAATTCCACTGCTCGTCGATTACGATTCTCGAAGAGACCTAAGAAAGATTTACAGCCATTCCAAATGTTCTCACAACGATAATTTGACTTTTTATATTTAAAAAAACCTGCAAAAAGGCCGATAAGATGTGTTTCGAGTGAAAGTAGCAGCTTTTATTACTTGCCTAGCTCGCTTGAGCAGCTACCTGTCATTTTTTTACCCCTCAGTCTTGGGAGTAAGGACAAGGAACTGTCTGTTCTCAATTGTGACCCCATTCTCATCAATCATCACCCGGGAGTTGCCAACAAGGACGCTACCTTCGGAATTTATCTTTCGATACATATAATCCATGAATCTGGGCAGCCCGGTGGGCTTGATGAAGGATGACGTACATGTTCCGTCTAAAGAGACTGTTGCAATTTCGTGCCAGCCAGCCTCGAGAGGCTGTTCCAATCGAAAAGATAAGGGGGATAACAAAACACGATTATATTCGTCATTGTGATGGGCTATTCGATCATTTGGGGGCGAGAATCTCAAATGCCACATGAACTACCCGCCCGCATCTAAACGCTTGGCACGCGGGGACTACCTGGCGCGCAACTACACAACTTGCCTTTTACAACCAACCCAGAGCTGGGAGAGACCATGAGCGGTGGAGGAGCGCGTCACAGCGCATGCAAATACTGTCGAGACCATAAAGTGCGGTGTGATGGTGGCCAGCCGTCGTGCGAGAAATGCCGCAGGGCCGGCGAGGAGTGTATCTATCTTCCAACACAACGACCCACAAGGGCCGATCTCACTCAAGCTGTGGCCTCATTACAGAAGCGGCTACGTAAGACAATATCCCTTCTTGTTTTCCACTCTTTTTAAATGTTATTGCATCCCTACTACAATTTTCGTGCGAACCCCGACATAAGGTGAGACAGAAGCGCGTGTCTCAGAAATGCGCAGTCAACCAAATAGCCTATCTCGTACCACCTCGCGTTCGCATCCTCATTACAACACAGATGGGAGTAGCATCTGGGACAGTCAATCCCCTGCGGCTTTCCTCAATCCACTCCATACTGCAACCCAGCACGGTGACCAGCTTCCATCTCCCCAATCTCACCAGACGATCTTGCCAAACTCCTTGAACAATGAATTTCTGTGCTCGCTGCATGGAAACGACGGCCATAATAGGATGGCAGCGGAAAGAAATAATTCAACGCTTTTTGGCACGGAGAAAGAGTTAGGAAGTCACCTTGGACCAGAGTTGCATGACTTCGAGGGGTTCGGATTCCCGCCAATCTTCCAAACGAAGAATAACAATAAATCTGGTCAAGGTCAGAGCTTTGTTGATATAGCGGAGTTATCAAACGCGGATATGAGCGACATTGTAGAGGCTCCCTCTTCCCTTCCCGCGCCCGTATCACTCGCGCCACGGGGGGCAACTTGCAGTGATAGCTGTTGTGATATAAGGCTGGTGCAGATCAGGAACCAAGCCGAACCACCGGAATTAATCCCGAAGTATGTATACGAAGAACCAAGTTGATTTCCAATCAACTTGATCTTCTCGTTGTATATATAGCCTTATTCTTCCCTCTCAAATAAAAAACAAGACAATTCACACCTCTGAACTACAACAGGTTATGAGCCCGGAAGCAAAATCTCGGGTGCCATCTCTACTCATCCGAAAATTATCTTAACCATCGTGATTATATATCTACCCCGCTTTCGCAGTCATCACTATGTCTGCTCTGGTTCACGACTCTCCGGACCGAGCCGTCACGGCCATCGAGCCTCTGACAGGAAGCGATAATTACGCAACCTGGAAACGTCTTATGACCTCCTACCTCAAAGCCAGGCAGGTCTGGGATGTTGTGTCGGGCGACCTCCAGCGTCCTGACTGCTTGTTCAAGTACGCCAAGCCTATTACGGCAGACATTCATCCTTTGGTGGAACCGCACCTCGCGGGGGCGGTGAGACAGCGCGCCATTGAGGCGCGCCTCGAAGTGGAGGTCCAGGCATTCGAGCGCCACCGTGAATGGTCGCGCCGCGAAGCTGAGGCCTACCACACCATTTTCCGGTATCTGTCCCCCCACATTAGCATTCATGTTGCGGGACTTGAGACGTCTCGCGACCTCTGGAATGAACTCGAAGAACGGTACCGGCGAATGGAACTGGCCACGTTCTGCGAGTTGTTTGCGCAGCTTCGTGAAACCACTGGCGAGCGCTGCGGCAGTGCCCGCGAATTTGTCGATCGGGTACGGTTGCTCGTACATCGATTGAATGCTATCGTGCCCGGATCCATTGGCGATCGAACGCACATTGCGATCTTACTGACGCAGATCGGACCGGAATACATTCTAGTTGTGGATGCCATTCAGAATGACAAGGATCCGGTGAATCCGACCACGATCGGAAATCGTCTGTCTAATGCTGAGCAGACGGTTCGGAGAAAAGAAGCTCCAACACCCTTGCAGGCAGCATCTGGCCCGTCTGTCAATACGGTGCAGCAGACTGCCAAGAAATGCAACTATTGTAAAAAGCGCGGCCATGTGGTCGCGCAGTGCTGGAAGAAACAGCGAGAAGGACAGTCGTCTAGGGACCATGCCCTGAAGGCTGAGAGGAGTGTTTCCGGCTCACCAAGAACTAACTTACAAAAGATACCATCAAGCCAGGTGGAAGATTGGCAGGGCCCGCCGACTTCCAAGAGACCGAGGATCAATATCGTGACGACCCTTTATACCCACGCACCGCAACCCCGGTGGATCCTGGACTCGGCCGCCACCAGCCACATCTGCTGGGACCGGAGCTGCTTCAGCAGTCTGCGGCCCCACCGCGAGATGTTGGACACGGCGGGCGATCCAGTGGAAGCCGAAGGGATTGGTACGGTGAAGCTCACGCTCCGGGGGAAGTTCAACCAGCCCCTGGTGCTGAAGAACGTGTACTTTGCGCCACGCGTCGGGATGAACCTGATCAGCGTGCCGAAGCTGTTGCGAGACCGCTACTCGGTGGTGGCGCACCCACAGAACGTCTTTGTGCAACGCCGAGGACGAACCGTGGGGACCGCCTACCACGCGGAGGAGGATCTACTGATCCTGCGGTGCCATGTGAGCAAGAGATCTCGAGAGCGAGTCCAACTGGCGAGGGCGCCGACGACCCATGACCATGCAGATTCCCTGGAACCGCAGGCGGTGGCCATGGACGTTGACGATCCTCGGGAGTCAAGTGGCGTAGAATGTACAGCGCCAACCTCTGAACTCGGTGGTGAAGCTGTGATACTCGAAGAAGATGTGTGCACAGGAGTGGACCAGGCCTCCGAAGCGTTGTGGCACGCTCGGATGGGACATCTGAACCGGGGCGACTTGAGGGTGGTCCTTCGGCAGACCGGCACTCCGTACCGACCGCTGACGCAGGCGCAGCTGCTGGCAACGCCGCAGTGTCCGGCGTGCATGTCGGGTAAGCAGCATCAGAAGAGGAACTCCCGCGCAAGACGGCCACGTCTGCATTCAACGAGAATTTTCGAATTGATCCATTCGGACATCATGGAGATGCCGATTGCCAAAGATGGCTCCAGGTACGTGATCACCTTTACTGATGATTATTCTCGTGGCTCGTGGGCCTATGCCATGAGATGGAAGCATGAAGCGCTCCCGAAGTTCCAACATTTTGAGGCCTGGGTGCACCGACAGTTCGGCGCCCAGATCAGAAGATTCCTCACCGATAATGGGAGAGAGTATCTGCCAATTGGAACACATCTCGAATCCCAGGGAGTTGAGTTCGACACCTCGCCGCCATACTGCAAAGGGCAGAATGGGCTGGCCGAACGCACTAATCGTACTATCCGGGAGCGGATCAACACGCTCCTGTCCGATGCGAACCTTTCTCCTTCCTGGTGGATCGAGCTTGTAGACACAGTGGTCTACTTGAAGCTGCGTGCACCAGCATCGATCTTACGGAAGAAGACACCGTTTGAAATTCTATACGGGGAACCGCCCTCGCTCTTGCATCTGCGACGGATCGGCTCCCGTGCATGGGTCTTGATCCCCAAAGAGCATCGAGCCAAACTCGGACCAAGATCATCCGAGTGCCGACTGCTAGGCTATTGTGAACCGAATCAGTACAAGCTCTATGAAATCCATTCAGGAAAGACAGTCTTTTCCCGTGATGTCGAGTTCGATGAGAGGACCCCAGTGGCGCCACTCATCGAGGGGGAAACAGGCAACGACCTCCCGGACAATGCTCCTCCATCACCTGTCTTTTCATCAATGCCAAGTTCAGCCAGCGGGCTGCCAACACCACCTGCATCGCCATTACCTCCGCCGAAGGAGCGAGAGAAAACGCCATCTGAGCGTGAGGAGGAGACACCTCCAGTGGTCAATCCAAGCCAACAAGGCACTGACCTGACATCGGATCTTGGATATTCGATTTTTGGTCGCAGAAGAAGACCATCACGGCGTCTCCTGGAATCACTCGGCAAGGTGTACTCTGCCGGCGCATTGAATCCCGCACCGGCCAGACAAGTCGACCCGGCGACCTTTCGCGAAGCTGTATCAGGCCCAGACCAGCTGGACTGGTGGGCCGCCATCCAGAAAGAATATGCGTCGCTTCTCGAACACGGAACATGGGAAAAGGTTCGGCGGGAGGACGTCCCAGCCGGAAATCATGTGATTGGCTGCAAATGGGTCTTCAAGACCAAGGCCAACGGAACGCGCAAAGCGCGATTGGTTATCAAAGGCTACCGGCAGAAACATGGCATCGACTATCACGAAACGTTTGCTGCTGTGTCCAGGATGGACTCGGTCCGCTGCATCGTCGCCAGCGCCGTGTTGCGCGGATGGAAACTTCGACGCGGTCACCGCATTTCTCCATGGAGACGTCGATTCGTCTATCTATATGGAGTTACCTGAAGGTTTCGAAAAGCCAGGATACGTATGCCGACTGCGCCGCTCACTATACGGACTGAAGCAGGCTCCGCGGATTTGGTACCAATGCGTCCACCGCGTTCTGGCTTCTCATGGCTTCACTATGGCCCAATCGGACAATTGTGTGTTCTACAAACCGGATTGCGTCGTTTGTGTCTATGTCGATGACTTTCTTGTTGCTGCGACAAACACGCACGAAATCGAACAAGTGCAACGAGCCTTGCAAACAGAGTTCCGACTGAACGATCTGGGCACCCCTCGATCATTCCTCGGGATCCAGTTCGACTATGATGTCGATGGGTCCGTATCTATTCACCAACACCAGTACATCCAGAAGGTGCTCTCCGACTTTGGCATGGAGACTTGTCAGCCGAAGTCTACGCCGATGAATCCCAAGCAAATCTTGAATCATCGTCCAGAGGAGGAACCTCCGGACGAGGAAGCAAAAGCTCGTTATGCGACTGCCATCGGTTCGTTAATGTATCTAATGGTTGGCACGCGACCAGATATTGCATTTGCGCTGGGCATGTTGAGTCGCTTCACGTCTCAGCCGCAATCGCAACACCAAGTCGCTCTGCAGCGATTGCTTCGCTACATCAAAGCCACGCAATCTCATCGCATTACTTACCGCAGTGGGCAGTTGATCGGGTACACGGACGCCGACTTTGGGGGCTCCGTCGTCACTGACGGTGCATACTCAACGTCTGGCTATGTTTTCCAACTTGCAGGTGCGCCAGTTTCCTGGTCATCCAAGAGACAGGGGGAAGTGGCCACGTCTACAACTCATGCCGAATACATCGGACAGTACAATGCCATTCTGCATCTCCAGTGGCTCCGCACCTTTCTGGCTGAAACGCAATTGTATCGGTCTCCGGTCACTAACATTATGGCTGACAACCAGTCCGCCATCGCTCTCTCTCGCAACCCTGAATTCCACAAACGCACGAAGCATTTCAATGTAAAATTTCACTATCAGCGAGCCGTGCTGGATACAGGCGAGATTGGGCTTCAATATATTCCAACTGGGGAACAGGCCGCGGACGGTCTCACCAAGCCATTGGGACCTACGGCCTTTGCCAGATTTTGTAGTCTCTTAGGAGTCGATGCTCCAGAGGTTTCGAGACAAAACGCGTGACAGCGCAGGCGCTCTTTCCACTTATTTTCCCACGAAGGTTTTTCAGTGGTTTTACCGAGGCCTGACTGCTCTGCGCCATTCCAGAATCGCCCTGCCAGCAAAGCGATCCTGAGGGGGAATGTTGTGATATAAGGCTGGTGCAGATCAGGAACCAAGCCGAACCACCGGAATTAATCCCGAAGTATGTATACGAAGAACCAAGTTGATTTCCAATCAACTTGATCTTCTCGTTGTATATATAGCCTTATTCTTCCCTCTCAAATAAAAAACAAGACAATTCACACCTCTGAACTACAACAATAGCAACATAAACGAAGGCGTCGCCACCCACCTGGCCGACTTCTCCTCGGCTATTTTCAATGCCCAGGCTGAGATAAACGGCATCGCGTTAGCTGTCGCCGAATATATTGCCTGAATGCGGAAGATTCCCGCGGGAACGACCCCGCCAAATACCACTCTTGTTTTCTCAAATTTACTCGAGACAGTTGAGGAACGACTGCGTGAGATAGGTCATATGGCTCAAACTAAACCACGCGCTGCGTTTCAGGAGATGATGGAGGGAATCCAGAAGCTTGGGCCGGTCGGTGCCCCTGTCTATAACAGCTTGAGTGGGCTGGAAGAAAAGTTCGAAAAACAATCGGCAGATGTGGCGAACGTTTTCTCCACGCGGTATAATGCGTGTGCATTAATGTCGGCACAGGCGTTGAACTTAATACGTGGGCCTACCACGCGAAATGAACCTGGCGAATCGTCAGGCTCGGGGTAGCAATGGATTGATGCAACTATTCATCTTCAAAGAGTGGGTTTAGAAAGTCGTACTCGTTGTGTTGGACTTCTAGCGTGGTATCTTTCTTTGATCTCCGACGACTGATATATACTGTAGTTTGCTTAGAGCTGTCAGCTCCATGACGTTCATCGCTGAAACTTCCCCGCCATCATTTTGTTTCCAGTTTCATGTTTCCAAGTTTGGTTTCAAAGGACACAGTGTGAGATGTTGGCGCGTTTACGCGTGTGCGGCACGATGAGGCGCATAATGGTCTGCTTGGGGCCCCAATAAGCTAAAATAAAAATTCAAGATCAGCTTGGACAAAGATAAGGCCTTCATCAATTGAAAGAAGGGCAACAGTGGGGAAAACGAACTTGCTTGGCTAAGAGGGTCCAGTGCGTCGACCGGTCTGACCTTCCAGAGCCTCTTTCAACTGGGGAATAATTAAATTCAAACTGAACAAAATTAAGAAGATCTAGAAAATTGAAGCTTTCATATAATATTCGAATATTTATTGTCGAATAACAGCATCATCGGGTGCATGAGCGCATATAATCCGATGTCCTGCAATTACTTGAGTTGCCCGATATATACTTTTCCAGTTGCCCCGATGGAGTAGTAAACGGTTCGAAATTGCACCTCGAGGGCCTTCCAAGACTACGCCTCATTCTAAAGCTTCTGAAAATAGGTTAAGTCCGATCCTGCACCTGGATCTATATTTTGGGCTTCTAGGCATAAACATCGGATTGAAACACATGTTTCCTTTTACATGTCATTCTTGCGGCCCAGGAGTATACACGTGACATGAACATGACGTAAGATACGCACCCGTTTAGCTCAAGCGTAATTTTCAGTCCGGGGTCAGTGCACGTATGCTTGGCTTCTATCATCACGGGATCTTCATCTCGAATCCCTTGAATACAAATTGAATTCAGGTCCTGTTTCCAACGTTCAAGCCTCTAGGCAATATAGCGTTCCATGGATGCGTTGATAACATCCAGTCATTTATTTGCATGTTCGTTCCAAGCCTGCTCTCTCAGTTGAGGGTCTGCCAGAATTTGGTAACCAGCAGTTGCAAGACCCTTTCCAACGTCCAATGCTCGCAGAAACGAGTCGTATGTGCCTGCAGCTTCCGCAAATCCAGATGTATGCGGTCCAGTATCACCCTCTGGAGTAGGGATAACAAAAATCGGATGAATACCGGGAATCTCGTGGGTCACGTTTCCTAGAGGCAGACACATTAGAAATACAGCCATGCAGCCACTGACTTGAAAAGAGAAATGCTACCTTGATCAGTTGAGCCTCCAATATTTTCTTCCAATTTGTGTTGAAATGTTTTCCCCATGGTTCGCATAGAGTCGGTGAAGACCTTGGCAATTGTCTCATTATTTCGCAAGTTTTTATATGCCCGATCCCTGACCGCGGTTAGCGTCCACTCAATATGGGGAAAAAAAAAAAAAACTCGGAGACAAATTGGGTCCTACCATGTTAATTCAACTTTGCATCCAGATGCCTGCGCGCCGCCGTAAATACAGCCCTCAAGTCGTTTGCAAAGCGTTTCCAATTCCGCATCGGTTGCAGCCCGTGCGTAGAGCTCCATCTCCGCAAGTCCCGGAATGATGTTAGGTCTTTCGCCGCCATTGCTAATGATGCTGTGAACACGTTCTGTCAAAGGCAGTTGCTGTCGCAACATCGCGATGTTATTGTATGTTGCAACAACAGCGTCGAGTGCATTGATTCCAGCCCACGGAGAGGCTGCCGCATGGGCCTCCTTTCCGTGGAACTTGATCTTGACTGAATTAATGGCCAGAGTTTTGGGACAGCTGATGCCATCGAAGGACTCGATATCGTTGGATGGATGGGCCATAAGACTAGCATCCACGCCGCGATAAGCACCAGCTTCGATCAAGTCGATTTTGCCACCACCCGACTCTTCAGCTGGTGTACCTAGCAATCGGACCCGACCTTGAATCCCAGTTTCCTTGAGCAAGCCCGCAGTAAAGAGAAAAGCGGCGATGGAGGAGGTGGCAATGAGATTGTGTCCGCATGCATGGTGGTATCCGTTGTTTTCACAGGGGAGGGCATCGTATTCTGCATTATAACTCACTAGTCCACCTCCAGTGCCAAACTCGACTTGAAAGGCTGTGGAGACTTCGTATGCATGAGGCGTGACGGTATATCCAAGGCTTTTTAGCAAACCGGAAATGTTGTCATGGGCTTGCACCTCTTCATAATGTGGCTCGGGGTTTCCGTGAATCTGGTGGTGCAGAAAACAACTTAGAAAAGCTTATGAGCACCCAATCAATGGATCAACCGATTTACCTGTTTGTTAACACGCCATAGATCATCCTTGTGGGTGTGTGCCAGGACCTCGAATGTGTCTTGAATTTGACCGAGGTCAGCTTGTGCAGGTATAGCAGTTCTCATGGCTTGCGATCTGGAATTTTTTGGGAGAGACAAGGAAAGAGATCGGATAGACTCACCTACACCCAATTTATAGGGACCGTGAGGTACAGAAAGAATTACCAGACAATTATTTTCTGGACGTTGTACAGTATAAGTCAACACGTTCTTCGGGGTCTGATTGGCTGAATCGAAAATATGGAACTGACCTGTGATTGGCTAATGCGGCAAATGCACTACTGATAACAAGCGGAGTAAGTCGGTGGTTTCCGCGTCTCCACACCCTATCACCTCGTCTCTTCTCTATTCTCTAAGCGATTTGACATCGTCTAACTCTGTGCTAACCCGATTGATTCCACAGACATAGAAATCAATATGTCGGGAAGACATGCCCCCCGCTCTAAAAAAGGTCAGTGCCGCTAGGATGCAATATAACTCTCCTCATTTAACCATTCTATGAACAGGTTGTTTGTCTTGCCGTGTGCGCAAGCTGAAATGCGACGAACAAAGACCAGAGTGTCTGCGCTGTACTAGTGGCCATGTGAAATGTGATTGGGACTGGGTGCCGGTTCCTCGACGATCAGCACGCAAGGCAGTAGGACCGCGTGGGAATTGCCGCTCATTACAACCTTTGATCCATCGTTCATCGCCTGTGATCACTGACTTATAAGATCGACCTATGTCAATATATATGTGACTATCAGCCTCCTCTCACGAGAAGCTTGGGGACAGACCATATCCCCCTCCAAAACTCCGTCATACTTGGCCTAAGGGACCGGGAACTGTTCCAATTCTTTCCTCGTTGCATTCTCACATTCAACTATGGGAAAGCTTGGGAGTGGAGTGCCCCGGCTTATATTTATCGGGAAGTAGCCAAACGCAACTCCAGCGTGATGCACATGATCATGGCTATGGGGGCGAAAGAACTTCAGCTACAGCAGACGACAGATTCACACCACAACACTTCTTTAACAACAATGGCAGAGGCAGGGGAAGTGCATTACTGCCGTGCTCTGAGCGAGCTATCGCGACTATTGCATACGCCAGCACCAATGACGGACGAGATCATCGATGCGATCTTAACTCTCTTCTATCTCATGGTTTCTTACGAAGCACAATTTGGTAATAATAACGTCGCTACGTCAATACACCTTCAAGGATTGGTTTCATTTTTTCGTAGTTCCCAACAGCTGTCTGGACGGAATGGAGATCAATTATCAATTGACAGTCTTCCTCCGCTATCGCAGCACTTGTTGCTTCTCACTCTGTAAGTTCAACCAGTCGACTACCTGATAATGGCTCATAATAGGAATAGTGCTTGCAATTTGGCGATCGTACCAGACAGCCAAGATGCCAAGGCTTCATTCGATTATTTTATCGACAGCGGAAACCCTGGCATGTTCTACGACCAGCTTTTCCAAGCAGCGCACCATACCTTACCCCGTGTCTGGGATACTCGGTACCCAGCCGACGAGCTTCTTGATGACCTTGAGAATCTCCGGGCTCTGGACCTCATTCATGAGTGCAACAAGCTTCGTTTCAAAGTGGAAATTCTGGATCAGAGCTCACAAGATCTGTCCCTGAACATCTCCCATATAGCAGGCATACGTGAAGAATTACGTCGGACGAGGGAGGTATGAATATCTCCAGTTATGCTTCCCTGGCCATGGTGAATGTGCTAACAAGAGCAGAAATTCGAAGATCTCCTGCGATTAGCGAAAGTCGCACAAGTACCCGGCACTGCATTGCGCCGTGTAGTGCGTACAACACTAATTGCTGCTACTGATTTATATGGAATGGAGATATTCTGTCACCGGGTAGTCTGCCTCCAATCACCAGAGCATGGCTGCCACCAGTCTTCTCTAAATGATCTCATGGAGACTGCCAAAAAGGCGTTGGATATTGATATGCGGCTTTTAGGACGCATATGTTGGCCCATGCTTATGGCAAGTATGGAAACGAAAGACATGGCTCAACAGGCCTGGATCTGTAAAATATTTGAAGAGATGAACGCCAAGCACGGAAGTCTTTGGGGTATTGAGAGGCGCTTAAACATGGCATAATGTAAACAAATTTAATAAGATATGATTAATGGAGTCGATGTTTACCTCTGTCAGTATTTTTATGAATCTGGGGAGAGTAGTGATGGTCATGTAAGGCAGTGATCATAAACTAGGGAATTTCACAACCTATCGCATATTATCTACATGACATTCAGATATTGCCACTTGACCCGAGAGAAAAACGTAATCCATTCCATAATTTCCTAATACCTCAAGATAAAAAGTAACTTTCATGTGGGGAATAACCGTGCACAGGTCCATTCTCCGCCATTTGCCGCATTAGCCAATAGGCAATCGCGCCAAGATACGCCCTGATATGATACGAATTTGGTTGCTCATGGCCTGAAGGCTATTCATTTCCAATACAGATAAAGAAACTCAATTGAGTACCGCAGACTGTGTTCAGCAATGGCTTGGTATAAAGACTGGCTCAATATCTGAGTCCAGATCAAAATCGCTCAACAATCCATCTCCTTAATCCATGCCGAATGAGCAATTATGGCCCTTGGCAATGCAGTTAACCGTGACCCAGCCTGGCCGCCAGGTACCGCTCGAATTGAAAGTCTACGGGGTACTGATTATACGCGCACTCATGGCGAGATAATCTTACAGCCTCGTCCGTCATCGGACCCAAATGACCCTCTAGTAAGGAGCTATCCGTTTCCCTTCTCTCTGCTTCGAGACAACCATCTGATATAATGAACCCACAGAATTGGCCTCTATGGCGTAAACATCTCAATTTCTTCCTGGCATCTTTCTATTCATTCATGGTCTGGGCGTTGTAGGTATCCCTCCCCCTTTCTAACATGCTTTCGCTGATCGCCCGAAGGATTGACGCTGCTACACCAACCTGGACCGATATGAACATCCAGCTCGGCTTTAGCTTCGAGATACTCGACGACTCGTACGCAGCCGGATGTGGAAGCTTATGTATCGGGGCCTTTTTCATGATTCCGTTTGCCCTGGCATACGGACGGCGCCCTGTCTACCTGATCAGCACCGCGGCGCAGCTCGCCATCTGCATATGGTCGGCAAAAATGCAAACGGTCGTTGATCTTATGATGGTCAACATTCTAAGCTGCTTCTTTGGTGCGCTGTCCGAAGTCATTGTGCAGATGACTGTTGCAGATATCTATTTCGTGCACCAACGCGGATTGATAAATAGTATCTATGTCTGGTTCATGAACAGTGGCGCTAATCTAGCACCATTGGCTGCCGGCTACATCACTGTTGCTCAAGGGTGGCGCATGGTCTGGTGGTGGATGGCCATATTCTTTGGTATCTGCTTTGTTGCTTTCACCTTTTTCTACGAGGAGAGCTTATACAAGGTACCTGCCGGGGTGATCAATGGTATCCCGACATCTGAGAGAAGCTTCGAGGCATCAGATACATACGCAGTGACCAAGGATGATGAGAAAATCGACAAACCTGGAGATTATTTGACACGAAGCAGCCCCAACTCCGACACAGCATTACCACGTATCGATACTTCTATCCCGAAGAAAACATACATACAGCGCCTAGTACCGTTTAAAAAGCCCCAAGGCTCCCTCCGTCATTTTCTCCGGCATAGCTACCAGCCTTTCTTCATTCTTTTCACCATTCCATCCGTCTTTTTTATGGCCCTCATATACGGTGCTATGACGGCATGCTCAACAGTCATGATCACCACCCTGTCATCATACATGGCCTTGCCACCATATAACTTCGACTCGTCCCAAATAGGTCTCATGAGTCTCCCTCCATTTATTGGCACAAGTTTGAGGGTCCTTATAACGGGCCCACTGAGCGACTGGATTATCCTCTTTCTCGCAAGACGAAACAAAGGCATCTATGAACCGGAGATGCGTCTTTGGGTCATTGCCGGCTTCATCCCTCTTGTTCCGGCAGGAATACTGATGTTTGGCTTGGGCCTGAGCAGAGGCGCTCCGTGGCCAGTCTTGGCAGTAGGATATGCACTTTGTGCAGAAAAAACACATATCTCTTGGCACAACGAATTCTTGAAATAACTCCACAACCACGCCAGTTGGCGATTAACTGTAAACGGGAAGTTTTTAATTACTTCCGGCGCTACATTCTGATACCATCTTCTAGCGTGTCAGCATGCCAGTGCCGGCGTCCGCGTGGCCAACCCTGGTTTCAGGGACGGGCCGCACGGCATCCGCCGACGCCACTGCCAGACTCCTGAACGCCAATCACGACACCAAGCAGTTATTATCGTATATTGACAAGCAAAATGGGCACCGTGTGCCCGCCCAAGTGCTGCAACACCTCAAATTGCTCGAGGAGCTCACTGGGGACCTCCTGAAGAACCCCCTGGGCGCCGATTGGCGTGCAGAGTTTTCACAGCTGCGTCAGGAGACGCTGGAGATGCGGAAGGACCTTACCGCAGTACGGGCCGCGGCAGAGAGGCATCTGCCTACCCGTATGAGTACCAGCAGCTGGGCAGACGTGGTGCGAGGGGCTCCAGGCCCAGCACACCACCTGTCCTCTCATGGCTCAGCATCGTCGGTGGCGGCGGCGGTGAGCGATATTGCCGCAGACCGCGCGATCACCGTACGGCTCAACGATGCGGAGGCGGTGAATCGTTATCGACGAGAAACACCTGTAGAGATGACCGCGAAAGCCAACAGGCTACGTGAGCGTGCAGCTAAAGCCATAGGATCCGCACCACTGGCCTCTGTCCGCTTCCTGGCAGCCCGCCAGCTGAGATCGGGTGATCTCCGCTTCACCGCGCGCACCGCCAAGGAAGCGGAAATCCTGCGAGTGCACCGTGAAGGCTGGGTGCACTCTCTGGGGAGGAAAGCAGAGGTGCTGCTTCCGACCTGGGGTATCGTGATCCACGATATCAACGTTCGCTCGCTGGGGATGAACACGCCACGTACGGAGGATCTGCGGGGCGTGCAGGATAAGGTGATCGGCCAGCTGCTCGCCAATAATGGGCCGGACTGGGGAGAAGGGGCTGAAATCACTCGACTATCGTGGCTCCGCACGCCTGCGGGCAAGACGGGGTCACTGGTGGTCGAGTTCACATCTCCATTGCCAGCCAACGCGGCGATTGACCGGGGGGTCTTCTGGGACGGGAGCTGCTTGACTGCTGTGATGTACGACCGGGCTATCCGTGTACGTCAGTGTCACAACTGTCAAAAGTATGGTCACATAGGAGCCACTTGCCCGAATCAATCCCCAACCTGCGTCCACTGCGCCGGCGGGCACTTATCTCAGAAGTGCAGCGCCAAGGCTGACGGCACGCTGAAGGAAAACAAATGTGCCAATTGCGGGGGCACACACGCCGCGTGGGCAAACGACTGCCCAAACCGAGTGCGTGAAGTCGATAAGATGAAGGAGATGGCGCGATATCGGCCACGATATCATCCAGTTCCGGCTCACTTTTCCGCCAAAGCTTCATCTGTGGTGTTGCAGCCGTCACCAGCCAGTTCGTGGGGCACACCGGCAGGGCAGTCATCATCAAGCGAGGGCAGCGGCACCGAGAGTAGCGACTCGACCCCTGCCGAAAGTTCTGCACAAGCGGGAAGTTTAACTGGAAATTCGACTAGCCTGCAATCTAGTCAGTGGGCGAAGGCAAAGGAGAAGAGGGGGACCAGCACTCAGTCAGGGGCCACAGTGTCCAAGAGTGGCCTCCAGCGGCAGCAGCCAGCCGCTAACGAGCTCACAGTGTCTATGGATACTGCAGAAGACTCATTCTGCCCGGCAGAGGACGCCACACAGGCAAGCCAACCGGACAGAGCCAGCACCCTCCACGGAGACGGCATCAACTTTGAGCCAGCCACCACAAAGGCTGCCAAAGCAGCCACTAAAACAACAAAGAGACCAAAATCAAAGAATAAATCAGTCAGCATAGAGAGCACAAGCTCCCGAAAGTCGCGGAGACTGATAGAGCTCACCGAAAAGGCTGCTGAAGCCACAGTCAGCATGCCTGAAGTCCCTACCTCAGAGCCAGCATGTGACGCCAGCTACAAACCATCAACAGTCGGCAGCTCAGCACTCACCGAGATCAGTGACAAGATCTTCAATACATATAACCCGAGGAAGCGTCGACACACGCAGACAGAGGTGATGGACATCCGATTCGAACCACGCCTCCGACGGAACAACAGAAGCGCAAAGCCCTCCAAATCTCACAGTTCCTAATGAAAGAGTTCACTATATTCCAGTACAATGTGAATCGATCGAAAGACGGGGTCATGGCGCAGTTTCTGCGTGATCCTAAAGTGTTAGCCGCGGACATCATCGCCATCCAGGAACCATGGAAGAATCCCTTCCAGGACAGCACCCACCACCCCGCGAAGGGCACTCACGAGCTGCTATGGCCGGCGGAGGCAGAGACAGGCCAGCGGGCCAGGGTATGCATGTATATATCGAAGAAATTAGCGGGGTGGACGCACTACGCGCACTCAGGAGATCTGCAAGAAGTGAGGATCCGCACCAATATCAGTGAGGTGCGAGTCTTCAATGTATATAACGACCAGATCACAGGGGACGGTTTAAACCTCCTCAGATGTTTAGTGAAGCCAACAAAGGAGCAGAGGGGGGCATCGTACCTGATTGTGGGGGATTTCAACCTACACCACCCGGTGTGGGGAGGTGACGACGCAGAGGAGGATGCTAAGGCGGAGGAAGTGTTAGAACTAATGGACACAGCAAACCTTGAACTATGGACGGAACCAGGGGTTCCAACGAGGATGAACGCAGTGAGCCAGACCACAATCGACTTGGTACTAGCGTCACAAAAGCTTCATGAACGTCTGATAGCGTGCGAGGTAAGCGAGGACACACATGCGGACTCAGACCATCTTCCAATTGCCACACTGGTTGATCTGGGTACGCAAAGTGTGGGGGAAGCTCGCCGGCACTGCTGGAAAGCTATGGACATAGGGAAATTCCTGGAATTTGTGTCAGCAAATCTGCTGGGCAAAAGGGGGATACCAGAAGGTGTCACGACACCACGACAGATCGATGAAGCTACTGAGTCTCTACTCAGCGTCATACAGCAAGGTGTGCAGGTTTCAACGCCTTGGGCCCGTCCGTCAGCCTGGGCACACCCCGGCTGGACCCCCGAGTGCACAGAGGCAATCAGCACCACCCGAAGGTTATTCCGACGCTGGAGAGACTCCAAAAACGACCAAGATCACCAGGAATACCGAACCGCACGCAATAAGAAGGGGAAAGCGATCGGTAAGGCGCTCCGACAGGGTTTTCGCACCTGGATCAAAGACACCATCAAGGACGGCCCGCGCGGCCTCTGGCGGGTATCAAAATGGGCTAGGAATCGCGGAGAAAGCTCTGGCGGCGTTATACCAGCACTGAAGAAAATGGATGGCCAGCTGGCGGAGTCGAACGAGGATAAAGCACAGGTGTTACGGGAGGTTTTCTTCCCACAGCCCCCAGATGCCGATCTCGACGACATAGCCAGGGCCAAAGCAAGACAACAATCACGATTCCCACCGATTTCTGAACAAGAGATAATAGACGTGATCCGCCGAGCACCTCCTGATAAGGCCCCCGGGCCAGACGAACTGCCAAACAGGGTATGGAAGCTACTACTCGCATGCAAGGATTTCACCCGAATCCTCACCTTAATCTTCGACGCATGTGTACGTACCGGCTACAATCCACGCCATTTCCAACAATCAATCACAGTAGCCCTTCGCAAAGGGGGTCCCCGGGACTTCCGCAAGCCCAAATCCTACCGACCAATCGCCCTTATGAATACCCTCGGAAAGCTGCTAGAAGCCGTGATAGCCAGCCGAATCTCGTGGGCGGTCGAAGAGCACCACCTATTGCCAGATACACATCTCGGGGGCCGGAAAGGTATCTCTGTCGACCACGCAATCCAGTTGATCCTTGACCGTGTCCACCGGGCCTGGGGTGACGGCAAAAAGGTAAGTATGCTACTGCTGGACGTCTCTGGAGCATACGACAACGTCTCCCATCAGCGACTTTTACACAATATGCGAATGCTAGGACTTGGGCACTTCGTGCCATGGGTCCAATCATTCCTCACAGGCAGATCAACTCGGATCAAGCTCCCGGGCTTCACCAGCGACCTCTTCGCCACAGAAACGGGCATTCCCCAGGGTTCCCCGATCTCACCAATCCTCTTCTTACTATTCAACACCCCCCTCGTCCGTGGATGCTATATTCGAGGGCCGGATGGAGCTGAGTGCCGTGGATACGGATGGGTCGACGACGTGGCCATGATTGTGGAGTCTAGGACATACGCAAGGAACGTGGAGCTTCTTCAACAAGCCCTCACCAAAGCAGACACCTGGGCACGACGACATGCTGCGAAATTCGCACCAGACAAGTTCGAACTTATTCATTTCACCAACCCCCGACAGATACCAGAAACGACAGCTACACCACTACCGGACCGCCAGCACGCCCCGGACATTTACGATATCCTTGTGGAAGACCCCGGCAACGACCAGCTACCAGTGAAAATCGCAAACCAAACAATCCAACCCACAGAATCTGCCAAATATCTTGGTATCTGGCTTGATAAACGACTACAATTCAATACCCACCGTGCGAAGCTCTCTGCAAAAGCAAACGGCAGTCTAGAGGCCCTCCGAGGCATGACAGGCTCCACATGGGGAGCCCCACTCATGGCCATGCGCATGGTATACCAGGCAGTGGTGGTACCACAGATGCTCTACGGCGTGGCTGCGTGGCACTCCCCAGCTACTGTCCCTAAAACGGAAACGAATCGAATCACCAGTATCTTTGCACAAATTCAACGCCGTGCGGCCATTCTCATCGCGGGTGCCTTCAAAAGCATGTCTGCTGCTGCATTGAATGTGGAACTTTATCTAC